CACCAGGACCAGGACCGGCACCAGCGGCACAGGCAGAGTATCGGACGTGGCGTGTGTGCGGTATGTCATGGAGGATGGATAGTCTACAGATACTCTACGACAACGAGAAATGGTAGTACTGTGGGAGGGAAGTGTTGAAATGGAGTCGACTGACGTTTAACGATTTGTGAGGGCCGGTTGCCGTTCGTTCTGCATTGTAGATTGTGTGTTTCCTGCTCTCTCCTCTCTCCCTGTTTGCGGGAGCAGGAACAGATATCAAAGGATGTGGTATACCAGATCCATAGATATAGACATGAAGACAGACATGGAGATGGATATGAAGATGGACATACAGATATAGATGCCGGTAGAGACACAGATCTCATTCTTCATGTATACTATACTATACCATACTATACTCATCAGCCGTGTAGCTAGCTACATATATGGATGTAGGTGTAGGTACACACGAAGAACCAAGTACGCCATGCAGTGGGAAAGAGGCCCGGTCGTTCCCGTCTAGAACTCCGTCTTTCCTGCGCTTTGCGTTTCTGCTTCCATCTCTACCCTTCCAAAGTGTCAGATTGGCAGACAGACGTCGAAAGTGAGACAGTCGTCGTATACAAGTTACAAGCCCTGCCTACCTCTCTCGTCCTTGGCAGCTTCTTTCTCTTGTTCTTCTCTTCCACCACCACCACCACCACCAGATGTCAATGTCACAATCTTGGTGAGCGGGAATCGGGTATTCGAGAATGGAAGAGGACCGGCACGCGCTCTCCACACGCACGTCCACTCTCATCTGGCCTTGCAGCGTGCGGACGTGCGACGTGCGACGTGCGAACATTTGTAGCTGCAGATGCAGAGCGTACTAGGTAGGTGGGTTGATGTATCATACCATCGAGATCAACGTCGTGCTGCCATGTCAGTTGTTCACTTGTTGCCCGTGCGAATAGTTCGTCTGTGGGGTAAAGGATGTCGAGATAGTTGTCGTGTCGGTTGGCGACTACCCGCTCAGCCAAGGAGATAGAGCAGGAGGAGTATCAGAGAGCTTGAGAAAGGGGGAAGAGGGCCTTGATTCCACTAGGGTAATCGGATCACACGGACCACACACCTTCACAGCGTCGGCGGTGGTAGTGATGCTGCTGCTGCCAGTTTGAAACTCTGCTTGAGAAGAAGGACGGCGGGAGGATGGTAAGTAGGTAGGTCGCTCTCTTCCATTCAATCAGGAACCAGTCTCTTGTGACCCAGCGACGCGGCTTAGACAAGCTCTTCTGTCTGGTCATCTGCGTAATTTTTTCGATAAATTGGTCGTCATTGCACAATTGTCCTCTCTATGCTCTCGGACCAGCCAGTCTGCTGGCCACCGTCTTGACAGCGGCCTCTTCACGGCTGAGAATCCACATGAACAGCATCTGGATCACAAACGCATACAGCGCCAAGAAGTATGTGCGACGGTTCTTCTGTGCGCGGGCCACGGTGTATGAGCTTCCGCCTCGCATGGCCGTCGGATCTCCAGAGGAGGCATCCGGTAAGAGGACGTATTTTAGTGACCGTAGCTATATGAGATAGAGAGGTCAGATTTCTGGTTTGATGGGGATGCAGTTACATAGTATCACTTACCAGAAAGAACGCATTCGCGTACCAGGTGTACAGAAACAATGTCCAGCCCACCCAGTTGTTTGTGCCGCTCCCACCAGTCAGAAGCTCGCTGAGAAACAGTGTCACAATCACTCCCACAAATTTGTATCCTGAATAAGCCACCAAATCCAGGAGTTGCGAGTCGTTGCTAATGCTCAGCATATACATGGCGATCTTCAGGACGATGATCTCGAAGATGATGACGAATATGGCCGTGCTGGTTATGCTGCCCAGCAGTTCAGGGTGGAATGAACCCCTCACTCCGGCGAGCACAGTCGACAGGAGGATATATGTGATCAAGGCCATGATTGGTATGTACATGTCTGGTGAATTGAGGTCGTCGCGAGGCGGCAGGTAGTTGAATGAATAGGACTGTTGGGTCATTGTGCCGTCGGCAGCGGTCGAGGAGGTGGTCATTCGAGCTTGCTGTCGCGTCCACGGCTTATGCCGCCAGGGAAACAGAACAAGCAGTAGCTTCCGTACCACGTACGAGTTTGAGACATTGAAATAGTGTTTCAGCGCAGAGACGGAAATGTAGCGGTTCAACTGGCAGGAAAGAGACGTGTCAGCATTTGCCTTTCCACCTGGATACTCCACGAGCGCCAGACTCTCGTCCACTGTGTGTGGCCTGAAACCGGATCGTACACATACATTCTGCTCCATATATTCTTGTCCAGCCTTCATGGCATGCTGCCCGACTTGAAACCCCATCTGGGCTGTCGGGTCGGTCATGAAGCCGAAGTTGGGGCCAAACCCTCCCCCTCCACCACCTCCCCCGGCCGACGGCGACTGATATGGATTCCCATAGCTATTGACTGGGGGCTGTGACGAGTTCTGCGAGGCTGGAGGTGGAGGGGATCGCATCATAGGGACTTGTGAGATGTGCTGAGGACGAGGATGGAATAACTCGGGGGACTTTTGAGGCGGAGAGAAAGGCTGGCGCTGCATTCTGGCCGAGAACGGGCGTGAGTGTTTTGTGATGAGTGCCTAGTGCTGTTGCGAGTCTCGGTGTCGTCTCAACAGTTTGGTGAATGGAGTGACAGGCTGTCATAAATAAATCCTGGATGTGTTGTTGCGGTGCGCGCACAACTTTGGAAATCTGTCCCCGATGCAGGCCCACGCCGCTTTAACACCGTTTCTCCGCACTCGAGATTGTTTGGTGGGCCATATATCCCGCTGCTATTGTGCTATATTCTACGATGCTCCAGCGAGCTCGTGCATTCTATGCACCTCGTCTACCTCGATCTGGTTCTATTCAACTGCCGCTTGAATGGCCTCTCTTCATTCCGACAGACTACACTCGACTAGACCAGGTCATACCAACGACCAGACCAAACCAAAAGATATGAGTAGTCGTCTTGCATGTGCCTTTCAACGGAGAACTGGGTCGAAGATGTTCTCAGCTGTCATGGCTACAGACCGAAAACATTCAGGACTATGTCTTGGGTCGATGCGTTATGGATTACTCAGTGATCTATCTTCAAGAGCGATTGTTCCTCTCTTTTGTTCCTCCAACTTCATCTCGAACCACTTGGATTCGAGTGCGTGGTTGGCATCGGAGCGATAAAGCCAGCCTAGCCCCGTTGTTGTGGGCAGTCCTTCCAGCAACCATCTATATACCCGCTAGGTAAACGGAACCCGCAATGCCTGACATCTCTAGCCTTCATAGAGAGACACTTTCACCAAGAATGTCGGTGTGCAGGGTGACATGATTCTTCTCCCAAGAAGATGGCATTCGCGGAGCCTTGAGATTGTGGGATAATGCATGTGCACGCCAACAGATTACAGAACCATGGCTGTGGATGACCAGGGAATTCTGTACCTATCAAGATTCCGATGGCACCTCTTATCCAAGCACCCGGATCAGTTCTGTGTGGAACAGTCATCGAGTTGACTTTTACAAATGTCCCACAGGACCAAACGGGCGAACCTTATGCCTGGTACAAAATACTCTTACTCCAAGACGGTTGAAAAGTAAAAGTTTTATATGGAGCCGTTTTCATCGAGCTTTCTGGGCATTAGAGAGGAGACGCGTTGAGGGCGTTGCCCCTCTGTGATCGACCCGCCGCACCGCGCTTGAAAAACGAATCTGCAGAGCTTTTTAGACAGCAAAGTTGAGCAGAGAAGGCCGAGTGAGGTCTCGAAAAGAGCAGCGAGACACACACGAGCACTATCAAAGCGTCCCCCATTCTAGGTAGAGTAACTCAGTACATCTTCTCCAAAACACTCGACCTGGACCTCATTGCGGCTGAAATCAGTCGAAGTGGATTGTCCCAAAGTTCCAAAGGTCCAAGACCCAAGGCCGTGATTGACCACATACTGCAAATTGCCTTGCGGAGAATAGGCGAGGACCCTCCCAAACCTTTCGCTTCTCCAGGTTTAGCGAGACACTAACGGGAGATCTGCAGGGCTTAGAACGACACGGCCAGTGGGTAGTCAGGTACCAAGATACGAGGTCGGAACCTTGCAGCCCCTGAAAAAGGGGGTCAACTCCAAGAACGCTGCGAAGGAGACAACAAGCGACGAGATCCGTTCGGGTGGTTTTGGGGGAATTGTCCTGGATTCCATGCAGGGGTTTGTGCGGTCAATGTCCTGGACTCAACTCGGTCAGAGTGGCTTGAACATCATCATCATCATCATCATCATCCTCCGGTACTCGTATTCGGATTCGACCAACTACCACCGACGGCAAAGCTTGTTGGATGGCAGATTCAGAACCACCCCCTAAAACTCTCCGGAGCGGTCCCGCGCCACCGTTGTTTCGACTTCGCTCTCTCTCCGGGTTTCCAGTAGTCAACCTTGGCCTTGACAAAACCTTCTTTCTCGTGTCTGTGAACGCCTCCAATTTCAAGAGCGCGTTGAACAAGATGAGTCAATGTGGACAAGCTCAGGGACCACTTGGACCGATGCATGGGGTCAAAAAGCCATCTTCGCCCCACGACCTCTCGACATCCTTGCTTCCACGCTCTTCTTCTCGCCTAAATAGTCTTCGGGTCGTGCATGTCACAAGGCTGGGCAACGGATATGAAGAGATTTGCAGACGGCTTGTACCCCTCGCGGCGCGGCTTGTAGCCAACGAAGGAGCCCGTCGTGACACACGTTTCCAGCCTCACCGAGCGACCAGAACGTTTCCGGCTTGACTTGTGATTAAGGAGGGCCTTGCGATCAAGCCAGAATGGTTTAGACTCATCAACCACGGCCCTAGCATGCATGGAGAAAGGGCTCAAGGGTGGTGAAGTCCCGATGCTTAAAGGGTCATATACTGCAGGGCATGATCACGGAGCCGTCTTTTCTTCCTCCAGCATTCTGTCTTCGTCCATTCTTTTGCTTGTTACTGACCCAAGTCATTCCTTCCGGAAACAACCCACACACTCGTTTATAAAATGGCCTCAAATGGAGCAGCACCTGCTGGAGCCCAGGGCGGCGTGGTCGACCAGAAGGATGTGCAAGACTGGATGAACCGCTTCAACGAGGCCCTGGCCGACTCGACGACGATCACTGCACCAGCTGCACCAGATGCCCGTCCCTGGCACTCATCCTTCTTCGGCTGCTTTGCCCCCATTGACACGTGTATGTTGAGGTGTGACACCCGAAGATACAGAGACTGACATTATTTCTGTAGGCTTCATCACTTGTTGCGTGCCGTGCGTCACCTTTGGCAAGACCCATCACCGCAGCCGCAAGCATGGCAACATGGAGGGATACAACTTTGTCAACGCTTCTGTGAGTTTACTTTTTTTTCCTCGTCGCTCTTCTTGGACTGTGCTGCACCGTGACATTTTCTAGCCCAAGAGCGATGGAGCATATAAGAAAATCTTTACTGATTGTCAAACAGTGCCTCATGTTCACCGGCTTCTCCTGCTTCGGCCTGCACTTCATCCCCATGATGTTCCAGCGCGCCGACATCCGCAAGAAATACAACCTGCAGGGCGACTGCATTGGTGACCTGTTCACCTCGTGCTGCTGCGCCTGCTGTTCGCTCATCCAGCAGGACAAGGAGGCCGAGCTGCGAGAGAAAGAGCTGGCCGACAAGGTCAATGGGACCGGGTACATGAAGCCCCAAGACATGGCGTATCCTGCTTAAGCGAGGGCGAGGCAATGCGAAGGCGAAGGCGTGATGTGATGTGATATCATGTTTGGTTGCTCAATGATCTGATCTGTCTGAAGCTTCCCCCATGTGAATAATCCTCTGTGTTTTCGATACTCGATACTCCCACCCGGTTGGCTGTCTGCTTATAATGGTCATTCTTTGGAAGACGGTCTTGTTTCGTTCGTCCATGCCTTGTGATGCGTTCCGTATTCAGTGTTTGGGTACTCCGCCGTGATTCGCCATCAAGTTGTTGGTTAGAACCACCGAGACTGCGAGAAGAGTTACTCTGCAATGCAAGGGTGGTGCTCATTTCTGCAGCGTCTCTCAGACATCAGACCTGCGGGAGTGACTGGGCCTTATCCCTGGTTGATTCTGACCCACACACCGACCCTCGAGTTCGTAAGGCTGAAGCCCCTTTTTCCGAGCCACATCCAGCGCCTTCTTTCACCCCTTGTTCATCTTCCCTACTCGTGTGTCTCGATAATCTCCTCCATAAAGTGTAAAGTTACCTTGGGTGTTTTCTCGTATCTATCATATCATATCAGACATCAGACATTAGAACGCGCCTTTCTCATGAGGGGGACAGTGATCCTCCTACGGCTGAGTCCGAGTCTGAGCCTAATCTGGGATGTGGGAATGCGGGGTCTGGGAGAAAGCCATCCAGACGGTCGGGTCGGGAGGGTATCAATCATAATCGTGGACCTCATCTTCTCCAACAAAGACACAATCTGGGATTTCCAACACTGGTCGCACCGCCAAAGAAGAGATAAGTGTTTATGATCTAACAACATATACCTCTAAACCTGGCCTTTCTATCCATCATTACCACGAGGCCATAAAATCTACCAGCTCTACCTCTGCCACGTAAACCCTTTTCCTTCCCCTCGCTTTGCTACGCTCTAGTTAGAGGACTCCTTGAGAAATGGCCACCCCTTCTTCTTCGAGTATAACATTCCCCCCCTCCAACACGGCCGTGCGCGTCCGCCTCGTCGACACCACCGCCGTCATGACCGTGCGGGCCGAGTCGTTCGTCAAGCCCGCGCCGCCGGGCCACGAACTGCTGAATTTGACGTGCGCAGCGTTTCTGATCGAGCACCCTTCCTCCTCTCCCGGCTCCGGGCCAGACAGGATCATGTTCGACCTCGGCGTGCGCACCGACTACTGGAACTACGCGGCCGTGTTGCAGGCGCGCATTGGGTCGGTCATTCCCAGCCTGCGCGTCGACAAGGGCGTGCCGGAGATTCTGGTCGAGGGGGGCGTCGGGCTTGATTCTATCTGTGAGTTGGGTCAATACAGTGACTGGCGGATGAGAAAAAAATAGGGGGAGAAATGGAGGGGGACCAGGAAGGGGGATGTTTTCATCGCGACATCTGTTACCTCTTCCCCATTCTCCTCCAGATGTATTTGACTCCCCTTTCTAACCATCCCTTTCTTGTATGGGCCACACACAGCTTCGGTCATCTGGTCCCACTTCCACTGGGACCACATCGGCGACATGTCCCTCTTCCCGCCCGCCACCGAGGTCGTCGTCGGCCCGGGCTTCAAGTCCTCGCCCCTCCTGCTGCCCGGATACCCGGACCACCCGGGCTCGCCGGTGCTGGCGTCCGACTTTGCCGGCCGCGAGCTCCGGGAGATCGAATTTGCGAGTGCGAGTGGCTCGACCCTCCGGATCGGAAACTACGGAGCGTTTGATTTCTTCGGCGACGGCTCGTTTTATTTACTCGGTGCGTTTAACGCCCCTAAGCTTCGACGATCACGTATACGTAGTAGATATGTGGATATCGGTCAGGTGTTTTGCTGTGCTGCGCTATTTTTTGCTCGGATAGCTGACATTTGACGGCGCCTGGTGCGGCAACAGACACCCCCGGCCACTGTCTAGGACACATGTGCGGACTGGCGCGGACGACGGCGGGCGACGACAGCACATTCCTCTTGCTGGGCGGCGACATCTGCCACTTTGTCGGGGACCTCCGACCGAACCCGACGTATCCCATCCCCGACCCCGTACCGGGCGACGTCCTCGACGACGACCCGAGCTCCTTTCCCACGCCGTGCCCGTGTAGCCTCTTCGCGGACCACCACCCGGCCATCTCACAAGGTGACAGTGGCGACCCGACCCAAACGCCCTTCTACAAAGTCTCGACACACCCCACGTCCGCATACGTCGACCCGCCGACCGCGCAGGCCTCGGTCGACAAGCTCCTCCACTTCGAGCAGTCTCCCGTCGTCATGGTGTGCCTGGCCCACGACGCCGCGCTGCTCAAGTATCTCCCCACATTCAACAAAGAGCCCGAGGCGGATCTCAACGGGTGGAAGGCCAAAGGGTGGAAGGAAAGGTGTCGCTGGGACTGGCTCAATGAGATGCCGCGCAACGGCAGGCCGGGCAGAAAGCCGATCGTCCAGGGGTTCTGGCGGGATGGGAAGCCGTGGGATAGAAAGGTAGATTGATAGATATATCGGGAGGATCAGTAGGATCAACAGGGTCCAATATGCTGGCGAGAGGATGGAGACGGAATGGAGATAAAAGAAATAAACAAACAGAGAACGGAAAAAGTCACGCCTTTGAGGACAACAGGTAGGTAGTAGATAGACGCAGTCATCACCACGGGCATTTTTGTGAAAGATCTTTAGATTCTGTGGAAGTGCTCGCTTCTGTCTTTTTCCCCACAACGCGCGAGAACCGAGTTGAGGTCATTTGTACCTCGTGAAACTAAGAAACAAGAAGTTTCTGTCCCGTCCTCCTTCCCTCCAAGATCGGAAAAGAGAATGTCCTTCTTCAAGACCCGATCTTGCGCCACTTGAATTCTCCCCGAGCCTGTTGTCCATCCTGCACACGCCCAATATTAGTACGAGAAATTTCCTTGTGAAAATAAATGCTCTCGCCTCTTTTTCTGAGGAGAGGAAGGGAGGTAGGGCAGGACAGGACAAACCTTGAGAGTATACCACTTGACAGGATTGAGCGTCATGTACTCAGCTCCGCCGTCACTGGAGTACCGAGCCACCCTCGTCTGCGGCTTGCCGATCCAGTTCGGGTTGCTGGCCACCTCGACCTGGGTGTGCCACAGCAGGGAGCCGTCGTCCTGCTCCGACAGCGTCATGAAGCCGCCGTACGAGGACAGGCTGCGGCCGATGCGCACCAACTCAGCGTCCGTGGGGTCGGCCGACGCCAGGGGCTCCAGGCCCGGCGGTTGGACCAATGTCGCGAGCAGGAAGCCCGACGCTGAAATGACCACTCTGCCCAACGGGTTGTCGCCAAATGGCCTGCCCAGCAGTTTCCTGTCGGGCCCTTCCGAATCGTACATGTCGGCTGAGAGCAGCGTCCACACCCCGGACAGTTTGTCCTTGTGCTTGTCAAAGACGTTTGTCATTTTGGTATCGTCACCAGTCGAGACGCTGGGGTGGTGGGTGGTATGTATGTAGGAGTGAGGGTTGCAGGTCCTGGGAAGGGATATGAGGCGGGCACGCACTAATGGCTAAGCTTCGTCAATCTCTGTTGGAAGTGATCTTGTCAAGTTATACACTGGCAGAGGCTCGAGGTCGGCATATCACGGTCCTCTTTTCAAGCCAGGTTGGGTCAAGGGGTTTTATGTATCCGAGGTTCTCTGACTGTCCCAATCACAGATGGTCTAGGAATTGGAGAAGCATTGAAGCACATGCAGACATCATCGTGATCACCGCAGCCTATTTGGAGTGTCATGCACGCTGACACTGGTGGTATACTTCATATGTTTCTTTTCCAGACGACAGCTGTGCACAGGGATTGGATCCGCTCCACATCCCGCTCCAGGTGCTTTGTTTGCTTGAAACGCAGGGAGTCGATGGGTACGAAGGACATTGGGCGCAGGTTACCTGCTGGTATCTCGGTGTCTGAACGTGAAGCCTTGGGTCCATCACATCAACAATACGACCCTGTGCAGGAAGAGGGCAGGAGGACGATCGACTCAGGGTTATCTTGGGTCAGGTAATGGTGCGTCTGATTTGGTCCGGTGGCGTGGTGGTCGTGATGTGCCATCTTCTTTCGTCCAGACAATGAACAGCGTACTAGGACCATGCTAAGGATCAAAGACAAGCTCACAGCAACTAGAGCAGGATTCAACAGACAATAACAACAGGTTGGCCGAGCTAATGTCTCTCTAATGGTCCACGGTGTCTTCACGTTCCAACTGCGACTTGGCGCGACCATGTGAGGCGGTTGTCTTGTGGTTGTCTTGTTGTTGTCTGCGTTTTCATCTGCTTCACCCACCCCGACTGAGCCTGCGCCTTTTCATCTCACTTCTCACATCTTCCGTCCGCTTCCGCTGCGCCTATTCTCCTCCAGTGCAGTGTCCGCGCTACCTTAATATGCCTTGTGAAGATTTCATCGACGTCAGTGTGCACGTCGACGGCGCGCCGTTGGCAGAATATGCTGACCCCGAAGCCGCGGACTCCAAGAACGCCACCAAGTTCGCAACGACGCGCTATGTAGAAGTCAAAGCAGGTCAAAAGTTCGCGGTTCATGTCAAGTTGCTTCCTGGGTTCAAATTCCACTCCGCCACGCACCTTCGTGCCGCCCTTTACATCGACCAGGAGTCGCGAGCCACGACCAAGACAATCAAACTCCCGCCAAACTGTCCTGTTCATGCAAATGTCCTGCGGACGGAGAGAGAGTGTCAGATTGAGAGCCGCCTGATGCTGGACGAGACAACTGGAACTTGGTCTACCTATGACCTGCAATTTGGAGATCTGGCTGTCAGTAAGTCAAGACTTCCATCCCAAAGTTCGACGACACCACTAACAGGAGATAAGAAGATGATTGGTTCTTGTCGGATGATGAAATAGAGTCGGGCGACTTCTCATCTCTGGGAACCCTTCATGTCAAAGTTTTCAGAGCCACCAAGGTCTTGCGACACCAGCCTTTCACATACACGGCCAACTTGAAGAAGCCTTTGGACGAGGTCTCAGAGACAGCCTTGAAGGGAAGAGACGTCAGCAACAACGTCAAGTACCTCACCCCTGATTTCAAAGTAAACTAAACAGGTCGCTCACTGCCGTCTTAGATACGTCGTCAAAACAACCGCTCCCCCTCCACGACCGGGTCTCTGGAATTATTATCCCCTCGATGACTGGCGTGGTTCCCCGTATGAGTTCGTCTTTCACTACCGAAACAGACGTAAGTAGCAAAGTGATACGCCCTCAGATCTGTGCACTGACTTGCTGCTCAGGCGTTCTGCAGACCCTCGGATGTATCCCCAGGACCCCGTCGCCCCCTCCCAACCTTGCTGTTAAGCTCGAACGCACGGAAGAGAAGCCGAAGATGAAGAAGGAGAATTCCCAGAAGCAAATCTCGGAGTCGCAGGTATGTCGGTTGATATCATGCAGGTCATACATGACTGCTAACCATGGCAGGTGAGGCTCGGTTGGGCTGAATGTGGCAATTGTGGAAATGGGGATGTTGGCACAAACGTCATTCCGGCAAAGCGCACCTGGGACGAGACCAAACTTGAGGATGACCATGATCAGGAAGAGGACGTAAAGCTGGCCCTTGTCCCGATCCATAAGCGGGTTGTTATCGACCTTACCAATGATTGATGGTTGACGTGTCGCTCGGCTTGAACAACAAATATCAACAACCAACACCACATGTTCAAGGTACGCGTGTGAAGCTTGTCAGCAGGATGTGCTGGCATCATAGCCTAGCAAAAGCTCATTCAGATCTTTGGAAGAACAGAACAGATGTGTGGTCCAAGACAGTAGAACAGAGTGAAAGATGTTTGTCAGACAAGGCTGGATTTTCGGGGAGCACATTGCACATCCAGACATTACATGCACATTGACATTCGGCCAAGCTTCTTTGGCTTGCTCAGGACCCTGCCACTGGTGCTCCATCCATCTATGTATGTATCGAGCCGAAGTCGGACGGCACTTGGGTGTCTCTCTCCGCAGCGAGTTGGAGTAACTGAGGCAAAATAGTCAGTTCAGAGAAAATGAAACCCAACCTTACCATGGCGTGCATGCGGAGGTTCGATCGTTGCTTTCCATTTCCATCCCTTACCCAAGGTACGAGGGATTACAGCCCATGGGCATTTCTCCTCGCGGCGATTGTGCGGGCATGGAGCATGTGTCTCTCCCCATGGCTGATCCATCGAGAAATCAATCAATGCTTCCCCGCTCTGGGGATGGTGTATGTCAATATCATTCATGTGCAGAAGGGGTCTGGTGCTTTCGTTCTGTGTAGTCTCGACATTGACAACTAGACACATTGATAGAGTACCTTGTCATCTAGTCGCGCAGCACATTCAGTGAGAACATCATCTCGTCTGAGCCAAAGAAGACTATCCGCCCTTGTCCTCCTCCGTCAGCATCGTCATCACCACCATCACCACCACCACCATCATCATGGCCGAAATACTCTGTAAGAAGATCCCTTACACGGTATGTCGCTACGTGTTGTCTCGCCCCTGCCCCTCTCCCCTCTCCGTTTTGTTTATAAGGACAAGATGTTAACATTGAGGGGGGGCGAACATGCTCCCGCGGGGAAGGGATATAGTTCCAGGATCCGACACTGTTGGACACGAGGTCCTTTATAGGGGGAAAATGGGTCGATGCAGTCAACGGTGACAAGTTTGCTGTTCTCGGTAAGGACACCATTCCCTCTGCAAGATACAGCCCCCGTCCGATCATCCACCTGGACATTGAGAGAGGAGGATGACTACGAGGGAGGGGAGAGATGGTGGTGTACTCAGTCCATCGTTTTCCCGGTTGGCTCACTCTCGACAGACCCGACCGACAACGAAAAGATCTGCGACGTGGCGGACGCAGGCCGCGAGGAGACGCGCCAGGCCCTCGAGGCGGCGCAGGCGGCGTTCAAGACGTACAAGAAGACGACGGCGCGGGAGCGACGGTGGCTGATGCGGCGGTGGGCGGACCAGATCCGGCTGGCCAAGGACGACCTGGCGGCCATCTGCACGCTCGAGCTGGGCAAGCCGTACACCGAGTCGCACGTCACGGTCAAGTACGGGACCGACTTCCTCGACTGGTTCGAGGGCGCCATCGAGCGGCAGTACGGCGAGACGGTGCCGGCCGCGCGCGGCGAGAACCGCATCATGACCATCCGCCAGCCGCAGGGGGTCGTCGCGGCCATCACGCCCTGGAACTCGCCCATCGCCATGGTGACGAGGAAGGTCGGCGCCGCCATCGCCGCGGGGAACACCGTCGTCTGCAAGCCCGCCCCCGAGACGCCCCTGTGCGCCATCGCCGTGGCCAAGCTCTTCGAGAGGGCCGGCGGTCCCCCGGGCGTCTTCAACGTCGTCACCTCCAGCGCGGCAAAGTCGGCCCAGGTCGGCGAGGAGTTCACCCAGAACCCCATCGTGCGCCACCTGAGCTTCACGGGGTCCACGGCCGTCGGGCGCCACCTGCACGCCGAGTGTGCAAAGACGTTTAAGAAGACCAGTCTGGAGTTGGGGGGCAATGCGCCCTTTATCATCTTTGAGGATGCGAAGCTGGACAAGGCTGCAGAGGGTGAGTCAAGACATGTACATGGGCACATTATTACCCCTTTTCTTGTTATTCCCTGCCCTAGGTGCAACTCTTCTCTCTCTCTCTCTCGCGTGTACTGAGTATTTGACATGTATTTCATCTTGTATCTAACCCAACACCCGCCCTCCCTTTTTTGGGGGAAATGAGGGGGATATACAGGTCTCATCACCTCCAAATTCCGCTCGTCAGGCCAGACGTGCGTGTGCGCGAACCGCATCCTCGTGCACCGGTCCATCATCGACCAATTCGCCACCGTGCTGGCCGACAAGCTCCGCAAAACCTTCCGCTACGGCTCCGTCTGGGACAAGCAGGTCAATTTCGGCCCGCTGTACGCGCCCAAGGCGTTTGAGAAGATCGACGCGCAGATCCGCGACGCGGTGAGTAAGGGGGCCAAGGTCTTTGCGAGGGGCGACGAAGAAGAACGAGCGAAAGGAGTGTACGGACCGAACTTCTACCCACCCACGATCGTCACGCACGCGACCAAGGACATGCTCTTCATGGCGCAGGAGACGTTCGGCCCGCTCGCGTTCCTCGTCCCCTTCGACACGGAAGACGAGGCCGTCGGGCTGGCCAACGACACGAGCGCGGGGCTCGCCTCGTATTTCTACACCGAGGACATTTCGCGGCTGTGGCGCGTCGCAGAGGCCCTCGAGTCCGGCATGGTCGGCGTGCGTGTCGGGCTGATCAGTGCGTGCGAGCAGCCCTTTGGGGGCATCAAGGACAGCGGCGTCGGGAGGGAGGGCGGCCGCGATGCCCTCGACGAGTACACCGAGGTCAAGAGCATTACTGTTGGTCTCTGACTGTAGCAGTTTACCAGGTTACTGATTGGTCGATTGAGGGAGTGAGACAGACAGACACATGGGGATAGATGGTCAGATGGATGGCTGAGTATGGCTAGGTAGTGGAACGACAGGTATCGATCAATCGTCTGATGGCTTTGGGTTTGGGTTGGATTTGCTCAAAGTGCTCACTGCTCTGCGTACATATCTGTTTTCAAGAAACAAAATACATGGGCATTCTCTGATCCTCCCTCACCCTGTGTATCCTCTCCTCTGATCAAGCCAATTGTCACTCTCTGCCCTGATTTGCTCATGATTTGTTCAATCCATGGCATCTCTTTCTTCCCTCGCAAGCATCTCATCAGCTCCCACCCACGGCTTTCGCTGCCGCCGCACCTGCTCTCCGCCCAAAGACCGCCCCAGACGTCAACCCACTGCCGCCGGGGTAATTCTCGTAGAACAAGCCGCCCATCATCTCGCCGACGGCGTACAGCCCGGGGACACCCTTGCCTGTGGTGGAACTGACCACCTGCGCCGTGTCGGGGATGACCTTCAAGCCGCCAAACGTAAAGGTGATGCCGCACGTCACGGCCACGGCCAAGAACGGCGCCTTGTCGACGGGGAGGGCCCAGTTAGTTTTGCCCAGCGGGAGCCGCTTCGCGCTAGATTGGGTCGACATGCCGTCGCGCACGGCCGGATCCCACTTCTTGTCCGGGTGTTCTTGTTGGAAAGCGTAGACAGCCTCGTTGTACTCGTGCAAGTTCCGCACAAAGGCCTCGCGGTTCTCCAGTCCCAGTGGCGCTAGCTTGTCGGCCAGCTCCTCAATCGTGTCCGCGGTGATGCGCTCGACCCTCTCCGGCCGATATTCCTCGGATCGCAGCCACGGGGTGGTCCGCGAGTCCCAGATTTGGAAGGCGATGTGGCTCGGCTGGGCGAGGATGGCCCGGCCGAATTTGGCGTACGTGTAATTACGCAGGTCGACGCCCTCGTCCACGAACCGCTCACCCAGGACATTGAACATCAGACCTAACGGATAGCCGGACTTTGTGAACTCGTTGGACGCTTCACGGTCGCCCGTGTCGCTCGGCGCATTAGCATCCCAAGCCACCGAGTGACACCCAGACCAGTTTCCAGCCTGGCCCGCCGAGACGTCGCGGATGGCCGTCTCGAGGCAATCTCCCGTGTTGTGAGGGGTGCCTCTGACCTTGGCCAGATCCCAGCCAGGACCCAGATATTGAGACCGCAGACGCGGGTTGCTCTCGAAGCCTCCAGCGGCCAGGATGACGGCGCCGGTCTGAATCACGGCATCCTCGCCGTTGGTCTGCACGGCTACTGAGGTGACAGCACCTGTCTTGGGGTCGGTTATCAGCCGTTTCAGCGCGGTCGAGTAGAGGACCTCGACACCATGCTTGCGAGCCGCGGCCTTGTGGTCTTCAATCAAGCCCTTGCCGCCGTCCTGCGTCTTGAGGGATAACCCGCCCCAGAACTTCAGGCGTCCGTCGACTTCGTACGCTTGCCTGTTGAACGACAGCTGGAACCGGATGCCATTGCTCTTCAGCCATTTGACCGTGGCATTGGAGTCCCCGATGAGGATCTGGGCGAGCTGTGGATCCGACCGGCCACTGCATATCCTTTTCATGTCGTTGGCGAAGCTGTCCACCGTGTACGGCTCCAGATCGATCCTCTTGGCCGTCTCCTCGTCCACGTTATTGACCAAGGGCAGCAAGTCCGCCGTGCCATGGTGAACGGTCCGATACGCACCCGCCGTGAAATATGAATTCCCGCCTGCCCATTCCTCAGGGCACTTGTCGATGAGAAGAACATGCTTTGCCCCAGCCTGCTTGGCCGCCACGGCAGCCGAAAAACCAGCATTACCGCTCCCCGCGACGAGGACATCGCAGCGGGTTGGAAGGGGAGCCATTTTCTAATTTCGACGGCACTGAAGACGAAGAGAGGAAGGGCAACTCACATTGGAAGTCAACCAGCAAACAAGAGACGTAATGTTGATGATGGAGTCTATTCTCCAGACAGCTGTGTTCTTGTTTTCTCCTCGGTGTTTCGTTTCCAGGTCACAACACCATGATACAACCCTTGTTCTGACCTGCAATAATGAAAAATCAGTCTTTCGGCTTTTGGATTTGGATCGGCAATTCGATGACTATTGCAGATGTCAGGAGATGCGTGGCCACTGCTGAGGCCGCTATCGGCGTAATATGGGGGGCGATGGCAGTTGCATTGCAGTGTCTCTACCGAGTTTACCCCCTCTCGCCCCTTAACCCCGTGCCCCCCAATTTTTACGGGGGTCCTGAGTTGGAGAAGGACGCCCTGGGCTCGACACCCGCACCTGGGCCTGGGCATGACAGGGGCCGCCAGTGCCTGTAACTAACCCAAAGTGCCCAGCTGGACGGGCATCTTATAGGCGACGGCACCCACGCCGGGCATTTGACTGGTGCCCCCAGTGGCCCCCCTGTGTGCCCTCGGCAATCATCGGGGGCATCTCCGCACCGAGCGGCTTGCTGTCCCCTTGCCCCCCTCATTCTCTCCCGCTCTATCCAGGCTCACAGCCTTGTCAGCACCCCAAAATATCAGCGCTCAACAAACACCAAGGTAAGTACGAGGTAGTGAAATCAACCTTCTTGCAACCCCAAGAAACAAAAACTCTCCCAAGAAATCGGCCATGGGACGTCTAGACGGCAAAGTGGCTCTCGTCACTGGAGCCGGCAGCGGGTTCGGCGAGGCCATTGCACACGCATATGCAGCAGAGGGGGCCAAAGTGCTGATTGCAGACATCGCCGTCGCCAACGGAGAGAAGGTGGCCTCTGAGATCACCGCCAAACGTTACACAGGGGAAGCCATCTTCGTCGAACTCAACGTCACCAAGCGTGAGGATTGGGAAAAAGGCCTCGCTCTGGCCAAGGACAAATTTGGGAAGCTGGACATCGTGGTCAACAATGCCGGCACTACCTACAAGAAGCAACCGAGCATGGGCGTCTCCGAGGCAGACTTCGACAGGGTTGTAGCCGTCAATATCAAGAGCATCTATTTGTGTGTGTCAGTCCTGATGCCGTACTTTGTCGAGAGGAAAAGCGGCGTCTTCTTGAGCACTTCGTCCATTTCAGGCATGCGGACTCGACCAGGGCAGGTCTTTTATGGAGGTACCAAGGGATTCGTCAACACGGTAACTTGGAATACTCCCCCCCCAAAGCCCCAGTGCCTTATTGCTTGGCCTTTGCTAATTTTGGATGTATCTAGATCACCCAAGGGCTGGCTGCCGAGTATGGCCCAGATGGAATCCGCGTGAACTCGATCTGTCCGCTGCGGGGTGCCACAGGCTTGTTGGAACTCTTTAGCGGTGTCCCAGATACTCCTGAAGAAAGGGAGAGATTTGCCCAGACGGTCCCGTTACGCCGCATGTCGGAACCAAACGACATCGCCATGGCGGCAGTTTACCTGGCCAGTGACGAGGCGGCATTCGTCACAGGTGTCAATCTGCCGGTGGATGGAGGGCGGCTGGCTCTGTGACCACTGTTGAGGAATGTCTTTGGGATGCTTCCTTCCTGTCGAGGAAAGAGTGGTATAGCTGCATTCGTCCAAGTTCACTTTTGAGATCGACAAAGCCAGCTATGCAGTTCGAAATCCACTTGATGGTGGAGTTGTGGGTTGTCTAGTTTAGACCAAAGACACATTAGAGAGACCTACCTGCCGAATCTGAAGCATTTGTTGCTTGTACCGATGACATGTCGGCTTGAAGTCAGCTGGCTCGTTGTAGCTCAGCTCCCTGCATTTTTGGAGGTAGCAACAAGTCACGTCAAACTGGTGGGAGGCAAGAGAAAAGCAAAAAAGACCACGCGTCCCCGAGACGAGACGAATCGACTGGACCGAGAGCTGACCATCAAAGGCAAAGAAATGACCAGAAAATCCTTCGTGCCCCAACATCAAGTTTGAGGGAAGCATTGACAACCTCTTTAGACAGTAGGAGGGTGTCATTTGTCAGGACTTCGCCCACGGCCTTGTCCCGGCAGGGCGACCTGGCTCGATTTCTGACTGACCATCTCTTTTCAGACCCAATGGCCAGATCCGACTACTCGAATCTAAAAATACTTCGGCTGTTTGTGGGGAACGAGTAGCAGCAAGACGGGGATTTATCGGTGGGTTTGGCGTCGTCGTCGTTATCGATGGGGCACAGCCTCCTTCGTTCCTCATACAAAACCCCGTCGTAAGCTTTAACACTTTGGGCGATGTTCTTCTCAGACTTATCGGATTCCAGTCCTTCCGCGTGAATATTTCCCAACCTCTTTTGGTGGCTTTGTTGGGCAAGTTGCGTAACCACAAAGATCTCCCCGCGTTCAGTGTCACTCGCGGCAAGTCAGCTCGGATGATTTTTTCGCGCGTAGGTTTCTTGCTAAGGCCGTTGGGATGATCTGAGCTCGGCAAAGGATGGGATGGTAGAGGAGGCTGCATGTATGACCTGCCTGCAGGTTTGCTATTCGCCTGCGCGTGTGGCTGGGGTTCGTTCGCCGAAGTTGGGATCTAAGCTGCCAAGGAGCTGCTGATGATGAGGGTGTCTGTTGTGGGTTGGTGTTCCTCTCTTTCACATGTTCAGAGAGGATAGACGTACCGAGTGAGTACATCCTCGCCCATCATCCTTGTACCCAATCTTCATCCAATGGACAACGTCATCAAGGTGGAAACAGTAGTGGGAGAGAGGGAACTCGAGATGGGTCAAGGGGTGGCGCAAACAGAAGGTGTTTCATCACCATCTCTTTTTCGTTCCTTTTCTCTCTCGCATGCAGTTTCCAGCATCTCCTGGTTCGCCGATTGTCAGAGAATCACGTCGAGACTCTGACATCATTGGTTCAACCCTCTTGAATACCAAACGTCCTATTTTTGAAACACGAGCACAGGAGAGTCCAAATGCTTCGAACTGGTCATTCCCATTCCTCATTATTCCACTTTCCACTTCCCCTTCCGCCTCTCCCTTTCCCTTTCCCATTTCCATCCCATCCCCATCTCCACTTTTCCTCTGACCGTCCTGCAACGCAAAGTTCCTCCCCAGCGTCGCCACACGTATTATCGCGCGTAAACTACACCCGCTTTGGAACACGCCTCGCGTTGGTGCGAGTCAACTACTACGGCGGCAAAGCAGCGGGGCCACGTAACGGCCGCCTCGAGTCGAGAGAGAGCGTTTTTGCTGCTCCCCCCTGATACCGACCGAGCTTGATGAGAGGTCCAGGGGGAAAAACCATGCACAAGATCAAGAGATCCGTGAAACGTGTAGGCTATAGTCATAGTAATAATGGAACCGATTCAGGCAGCGATGGCAGTCCTGAAGCCGATGCAGACGATGATACCAATGGTTCAAAGTATGTAAGCTTCATGCTCCCCCGTCCTCTTATTCCTCTTGGTCCATCTTCTCCTTCCAACAAAATAACTTCTCCCAACCATTATTATTCCTTGCATACTCGGTACAAGGGTCTGCTTCCTTTTCCATTACTTTCCTATTTGTGATACCCCGTACAGTTTTCTTGATATATTATTCTACCCCACGGCCCTTATCCTTGTCGACGTCCTCGTCCTAAGCATTTTACACCCTTCCAAAGCACCACATACGATAGATCACTCTAACAAAACAACCATGGTCGCCAGGCTGGGTCACCTCGGTGCCCTCAAGGATTTTATATCTGTAAGTGAGAATCCGCCTCTCTTCTCCTGGAGCTGCCTCGCTCATAATGACAAAACACAGTTCCTTGCCACGGTCAGTGGTGACATCTCACACATTACCGCTCCGCCTTTCATCCTAGCACCATCTTCTCTCACAGAGTTTCCTGCATACTGGGCAGAACGACCGACATTATTCACCGCCCCCGCCCATGAAGCTTTGGCAGAGAGACGCATGCTCTTGGTCTTGAAACTGTACCTCGCTTCCCTCCAAAGGCAGTACTATGTCGGCCGCACCGTCAAGGAAGGACTAAAGAAGCCTCTCAACCCCTTTCTTGGCGAGCTGTTCTTTTGCGAATTCAGCGACCATGATTTGACCCAAGAGAAAGCCTCGCCATCGACAGTCAGAGTTATCAGCGAACAGGTATCCCATCATCCACCCACGACAGCCGCCTATATTTCAGCCGATGACCACGGCGTCCACGCCGAAGCGTATTCAACCCAGCACACCACGCTATCTGGCACTTCAGTCATGATTCGTCAATCTGGTCACGCTCTCTTTAAGGTTGACAAGTATAACGAGACTTATCTTCTACCCTTGCCTGACGTCTGTGCTCGAAGCGTGCTCACTGGCGTTCCCTGGCCAGAACTCAACGACACCTATCGCATCATCAGTTCCAGTGGGTACACGGCCGAGATGCGGTTCGTGGGAAAGAAGATGTGGGGTGGGCAGCGCAACTGTTTCGAAGCTTCCATATACCGGACTGTTGACTCTCAGAAGAAACCCATCTTCACCGTATCGGGCAGCTGGAGTTCCAAATTCTCGATTTATAACTCGGAAGGAAAGGAGATCGACGTCTTTGACCTTGCAGACCCGCAAAATCAGCCTGCCCCCATGGTAATGAAGCCGCTGGAGGAGCAGTCACCTTGGGAATCGAGACGCGCATGGGGTCCAACTTTTGAAGCCATTAGACGGACGGACCATCATGCTGTCGTGACGGAGAAGTCGAAGCTGGAGAATGCCCAACGCCACCTGAGGAAGCTCGAGCAGAAACAGGGCAAGAGATGGGAGACCATGTTTTTCAACCGTTGTGATGGTGCATCTGATGAGGATGACGTGGTGGAAGACCTCTTCAATCAACTCGACGATGTCGAGGCGGATCGTTTGCGAGGAACAAACGGCTGTTGGAGATTTGACAAGGAGAAGGAGCAGAGGTGGCGCCAGGGACAGGGTAGTTGGAGACCAGAGACGCCGTTTGGTTGAAATATGCAGGGGTCGGAAGATAAATCCCAAGCATTACTATCCAAATGTCGGAAGCCTTCTTGGTTGCCATGGAAGCCGTGTAGTGGCTCGCTCGACGGAGTACGTGGTTTGGACCTTTACCGATGGCCGCGGATATCTGCCGTAAAAGGAACATTCGACTGAGCGATGCCTGTCTTGTTCGCAGCGGCCTCTGTGCTTCGGTGCCAGGGCTCCTATAACTCCGTCTCTGGCTTTCGGTCTCTGGAGCTCGGCTGGCTTTGGCCATTTGTTTGGCTTTGAACTTGCACACCCTGAACAGCAATCATGGGCCAAGTTCTAGCTTCGCTGGTTCCTTTCAGTCACATAGACTATGTCTCCAGTCCGCAGAATGGCACCCGAGGGACCTGCAAAGGCATATTGACCGAAGACGGGCTTATCTGTGCCTGAGAGTCAGAATAACCACCCTATAGAGATGGATTACGATTAGGAACAAAAATGCGTATGTACTTACGAGGAAACTTGTCGTTGACCCTCCTGTCGCTGGCCAATAGACCATAGAGCTGTCGGTCCCGGTGGATCATTTCCCCGGTTTCAGGGTCTGCGTTCAGGCTGAGGCAGCGGACTGTCCTAAAGATGCACTTGATGGTGACTTCCTGGGCCTCGTCCGACTGCGATCGAACCAAGAGCGAAGACCAGTTGTCCTCGTCATAGGGTGGCAGTTGACCCTTGACATCGATATGGATATTAGGTCGGAAACGGAGTATCACATCCTCGTATTGATACTCGGGAGGGAGGCGGGAGCGCGCGTCTTGCTCCGAAGCTGTAGAGGTAATGAGTAACGGGGCAGCATCGGCAAATCGGATGCGCTGTGGTTGTAAGCCCTCCTGGAGAGCTAGAGACAGCGCACTCCGTTGGCTGGGGATATATGCTGCCCCAGGAATTTCGCGACGCCCAGTTCCTCCGATAGACAGCAGACGGACGTCCTGATCGAGGTGTTTGGAGAAGAAGGCCGCCGGCTCGTCCCCTAGATCAATGCCTATCGCGGTTGTGCCAAAGATGCTGACTTCAAACGTCTTATTTGCCAGTAGAGATAGAGGCGATGGTGTCAGCGGAACGGTGATTGAAGATGACGGAGTGGCGCGGGTGTGATGGATTGTCAGTTTTGTCCAGCTGTCATCCTGCGAAGAGCAGAGGGTCGCAGTCAGCTCATGTGCGTCCTGCACAGCAGGCGAGTGGACGCAACACGTACTATTGTGGGCTTGAAGAGTGCAAGTTTGAAATGCTTCTTGATCGTGAGGAACTTTGCCAGCTTCGAGCCGTCCTTTGGAGGAGTCACCAGGACGAAACACCGGTCAAAGCGCAGCCCCTCGTTGGTGAGCTCCACAGAAGACACTTGAACAGGCGGAAGCGACTTGACAGGATAGATGAACAGCTGCTGGATCGTCAACGGGGTATTCAAGGGCATGGTTAGACGGATCTCGCCAGTGAGGCGGCGAAGGAAGCTTGATTACCGACCCTTTGCACAGTGATGGACGACATTGGCGACATTGCGAAGCGCCCAAGGTTAGAGGGGACGATACGGGCCCGTGATTTAGCCTAATTGGGGATACATGGGCGACGCCGCAGAAGAAGGAACAGAAGGAGGAAAAAACCAGAAGAGGGAGGTGAGGGCGAGTTCGAGGGCGAGTCAGGCCACTTTTATCACTTTGGTGCCCCTCTTTACCCAAGACACAATAGCTGCCGGCACCGGAAGATGGAGCGACGCTTATTATCAGCCTGAGAGAGAACCGCACAACGCGCTGAGCTGCTAAGTGACAGCGTTACCAGCGTCAACGGCAGAAACTTTAGGATGACGGTCACGTGAGACGGACTGAGGGTTGAAGCGCTTGGCCCGGTGAGTGAGAAGCTAGTCTGATAAAAGTAATAGACAGCGAGAACTCGCACGTCAACAGCCAACCAGACATTACCCAGACGCCATTAGTCAGGGCTTGGCCATGGTCGCTGAATATTTCCCTTTTCAGCCTCCCCGGTCTTCTCCCGCCGAGCAATCCATCTCGCCCTCTCTTTCTCTTCTACAACACCCCAAACTCCTCCGGCTGAGCCTTGATCCTCAATTTTATCGACCCTCCCAACCTCAATTCGAGGGGTCTCGCGCGACCTGTCTCTGGATGTCGTAGGGTTGTGGTCTAGAGCCGCTATCGAGGTGGATCGTCCCAACCCACGCCCGGCGACGCCACCTAATTCCAACTTCATCCGACCAAAAAAATCAATCTCAGGCAATCTGACAGCGAAGTGCGCTCCAAGAAGGGCCGTTTCTCTGTATGGATACCACCACGCCAGGTGTCGAGTACGCCGACCGTGCCTGCAACTCGTGCAGACAGCGTCGGGTCAAGGTACGCAGCGCCTTGGTTGAATCCGCCCTTCTCCATTCGTTCCGCTTTCCGCCGCTTGGCTTGCTCACAAGAGATATAGTGTGACAAGAGACTTCCTGCCTGCTTGCGCTGTGAGAAATTAGGGAGACCATGCACTGGCTACGATCTGGAACGAAAGTTCCTGGACGAGGGTATTAAGGTCCGAAGGAAATATGATGGAAACTTTCAATCACCGGATTTCTCGCGGATCGTGGTCTCGAATTCCCCCAGAGCCCCGGCGGCGACGGCGGCGGTAGTGCCTGATCGTCGAATCAATCTTCCACCGATACACAACATCCCAAGCATCTCTCAAGTAAACTCACCTCCCATCTCTTCCGCCCCCAACCTGCCAAGCATACAAGGGGTGTCGGATCGAGCCTCGATCCCCAATATACAATTCCCAGCCTTTGGACTCCTCAATCAGCAGAGTCCCGATTTCAATATTTTCCCCAATACTCCTCCCCAGCCTGCCATCAGCGCCCCTCCTCCGTCGTCTACTTCGTCAACTTTTCAATATGCGGCGACGCCCCCTCAATTTCCTGACTATGGGCAGTATGCTCACCAGGAACATCCCACCGCCAAACTGCTTCATGGCAAGCCGCAGTATGCACCCTCAGATTTGGACTCCTCCGTTAGCGAGGACTATTTCGACCTGGACATAGAAACATACTACGCAAAGGGGAATAATGCCTGTGGTTTCATTCCCGGCCTACCAGTGATCTTGACTGACAATAATGTTCCTGAATCCGACGACGATTTCTTGACGAGTGATTTTGCTTCGATTAGTGGCCGATCATCAGTTTATGATGGGTAAGTTGTTCTCAAATCCGGTAATGCAGAGTTCATTCCGGCTATATCTTGCGTCTCTTTGTCTTTGTTGGAGCCCAGACAGCTGACAATTACATGACTATAGCTCGGAAGGAACTCGCAGCAGCCGCCCAGAGTACAGTCAAAAATATCTGCACGAGAGGACAACCGAGTTGGCTTGTCTGACGCGACACTTTGTACAATCAGTTTCACCATCGTAAGTCACAGTGGCGGTCTGTAATCCAGCTCTAACAACTCGCAGGATGGATCTCTTCGACCTCGACAACTATTTTAGCAGAATAGTCCCTCTGAAAGCCGTTCAGAACGTAATGCTCAGGTCTGCAATGGCTGCAGTGGCAGCGAACCAAATCGGGCAGATGATGGCAAATCACTCGCCATTGGAAGATTTGCAGCATCTATTACCATTTATCGGGGAAGACGGCGCTTTGCAGCACACGGACTGGTTCTACAAGGCCGCCAACTACTATGATCGGGGAATTTCATACCTGCGAATCTTTCTGCAGCGTTGGCTGAGCGACACGAACAAGGAAGGGCTTACGGGACATGCATCGAGGTACAACGACCCACGGACTCTATCGGAGCCGAGCAATAACGCTGCGCTCGGCGCTCCCAACAAACGACGACGCATCAGCAGAACACAGTCATCAGATGGAGCAGACATGGAGGCTTTGGTAGCTGCAATATCCGTCTTCTCGCTTTATGAGTCCCTCGACAATTTTACCGACGACTGGTCACAGTAAGTCCTTTTGGGAGCTGTCTTGAAAAGAACCCCTGTTCTAACTATCCCCAGGCACCTTGATGGCTTCAAAGCGCTCCTGGAAAGCAAAATCCTCCCGCATGCCGCTCTTTCTGTCCCTCGTCCACGCGCGAGTCCCTTTATATCCATGAAAGCCGGCCGAGCGGCTTTCTGGAACTTTGCTCGAGCAGATTATCTCGCCGCGTACGTGAATCACTCCAAGACGCGGCTGGATCCGGACAACTTGACCATGTGGAAAGCGGCGGGCTTGCCTGTAATGGACGACGGAACGCTCAACTACAATGATCCATCGACTCCGATCAACGCAGTTGTGACATATCAGCCTGGTGATCGAGAAGACCTGGTGTCTTGCACTTTGATCTGGATAGTGTTGAGGACCATGAATTTTATTGCACCGCAAGAAGACGCCGCACCGAGTTTGAGTGGCACTCCCCGAGTGTTTGACAGTCCTGGAACGAATGCTAAAGCTGCTTCTGAACCGGGTACACCAGGGGGGACGCAGCCACGGATTGCGCGGTGGAAGCAACTGCGGCGACAACTCGAAGACTGGTACGACAACCTGCCATTCACCTTTCAACCATATGCGATTGCGGCTGCAGGCGCCCAGCAACCTTCGGACCTCTTGCCCGATGGCAGACCACGCTTCGCAAGACTCTTTTTCAGTGTGCCCATGTGTGCTGCTGCTCTTCAACTATATCACTTTGCACAAATCCTTCTCCTGTTGAACCAACCCGTCGACGACCAAGACGCGAGACACCCCGCAAACAGGCTTCGAATGTTTCGCCAGGTAGCCGAAGAGTCGGAGCATCACAGTCGACAGATCTGCGGCATCGCGCTTGGGAAGCCTCCACCGGCAGTCAGCAGGCAAATGGTGCACTCGCTCTACCTGGCCGGATCATGCTTTGAGGAGAAAGAGGACCGGACTGTTGTCTTGGAATTACTGGACAACATTGCCAAGGAGACTGGTTGTCCGACGGCTCACCGGATTAAAGAGTTGAAGGAGCAATGGGGATGGCAGGACGACACTGTAAGGGAAATTGGATAATGGCGGATGATGATAACAGGGAGACCTGCGTGCTCCCTGATGACGCTTCTGTCAGGCGGTTCCGGGAAAATGTATTTGCGACACAAAATGACCCTGTGCACCACGTGTGACGGCGTTGATGACCAACTATCTGGAGGGTTTGAAAAGTCCTAGCGCATTAATTGTTGAATCTACTCTTCCTCATCTGAGCGTCGTTATCGTTATTTGGGATGGGCCGTGAGGGCATGATTGCTGGGATCTCTTGAAGCCATACTGAAACTTTCCTCATTTCTCACGCATGTACAAGTATAACAAAAAAGGGGACATCTAGACTCAACAGACCCGGGGGCCTCGGCGGTCGGAGATCTCTCATCTGCTATGGGGGTTTTATTTCATACTTGTATTTCATATTTTCTATTAGCCTAGTCCATAACTAGTACTGACAGTGCTAGTGTGCTGACTTGTGCTGCTAATTGCAACTTCTGTTCTGCGTCATTGGGCCGAATCAGCGCCGAGAAAGCCGCATCCCACCCCCCGATACTTGGAGACGTGTTCTTCGTTAGAGTTTGTACCTGTATCCCCGTCGCTGTCGTTGCGCTGCTCTTCGGGCGTGCGTGTTCAAGGCGATTCTTCCGTTGCGGCGGGTTTCGCGCCTCTGCTGACTTACTGGTCTTGACCATCACTGATTGCGTTGAGGGCACGCGGGAGATGCATCAGCTATTATCGGCCAGATGCCAAGAGACACCAGTCACGTGACTGTCAGTATTGAGCACTTCCTACCTGTGCTGGTGTTGACATGGAAGATTAGCACAATGAAGAAAGAATGCACCAAGGATGAATCAGATTCAATGAATGCGCGGGCTCTCAGCGCTGTAAAAAAACAGCAACTCGGGATCCAGATCTGATTGTTCATGATTGATGAGGTTGCCATCTGCTTAATTCGGAAGTATGGAGCGATTGCGCAGGATCTTACCGCCTTTGGCAGTCTAAATCGAGAATGCCTCTGTGTCAAAGCCTGCTTGCCGCTCTAAATACCCGGATTCGGCGTCTCGCCCTCGCTTACTCTACAAGGTAATTTCCCGCCAAATGGCCTCATTTCTCGTTTCTCGCCGAACGGCAACAAACCCTTGAACTCCACGCGAGAAACATCAGCCGCCCACCCAGTCAGAAACCCCTAGCGTGCCCGCCCCGTCGATTTGGCATTGTCCCCGAAAGAATTCCAGTTATTATTATTCTTCTCACGTTGCAGAAGAACAATGGAGACATGAGGCGTCATTTTCACCAGGGATCGGCCATGTTGCCTTGGGGCGTCAGTCAGTCCGGCGAGTCAATATAAAGTGAGGCGATCAAGCACGGTAAGTTTGGGGCTTTGGGCATCAACAGACGCCTTTTCCAAAACCCCCTTTCCATCTGAAACAAACCCTTTGGACCCTGTTACTGTGAAACCACCCCTGTGCGTGCCCGATCCGTCACAGATACATAAACAGTGCCAGCCTTCTTCCTATACATTTTTCAGCATTCAACAATAAATCCATTGATTTCTTGACAAAAATGTCGACGCCGACGATAAGAGTTTTGGGGGTGTCTGCCGCAGAGGGGCTAGGGATGATGGTTGACGATAAAGCCAATGCTCCGTCTCGACTGAGGCTCCATGGCCGTATCAGCATCTTCAACCAGGATGGCTCATTTGAAACTGTTCGTATCCGATTGCAAGGTGCCATCTACACCAAGATTGGTTCACAGGCAGCCGTTGAAAAGGTTGGTTCCGGCATCCATCCCGGGAAGAAAGAATACACAGGCTGACTTTGACCTATCAAGATCCCTTCAACGTCCGTTGTCAAATCCAACCTGGACTTCAAACCGGCCTATTCCGCATCTAGAGAACGAAGCGAAGAACAGTATCTCGATTTCGTCTGCCCGATTCCATCCTCCAGACGCGGTCTCTCCGCCGACTTCGTACCGTCGATGACACTGTCTGGAACCACATATCTCACGAAAGTGACTGCTCTGACGAACAGGGAACTGTTGGAAGGTTCTTGTCAAGTGGTCTACACGCTCGAAGCAGAGTTCTTGCGATCGCAAACGAATCAGGTGGTGCGGAGGATCAGTTGCCCGGTCGATGTGTCTTCGGGTCTGACACCTCTGGACGTGGAGGTGATTTCAGACGGCCGCTCAGATCACGTTGAGCAGATTGCAAAGCCTCAGCTACGACTGAACAGATTGCTCGGATCCCAGTCGCAGCCTGAGGTAGCTGTGCACATGCCAAAGTTGGTCGGCTGTGCGGTCAACGACTTCTCCACAGCTTCCACTGGTTGTCGGCGACTCACTGTACCAGTCTCAGTCAATGTCGCCCTACCCTCACACGCCCGTCGACAAGCACAGGCATTACTCGAGAAAGACTCGCTTAGCTGTTCGGTTACGGCTCGCTGGTTTACCAAGAGGACATTCACCACCGGTTCTTCGGCCGTCGAATCAACGATTCACAGCGATCGAGCATCGACTCAGAAGTTTGCCATGACATTACCACCTCTCTACAAGTCAAGTACCGAAACATCAAAATACACCACGTCAATGGAGCTGGAGCTTCTGCTCCCGGAATCGATCTCGACCCCTTCAATCTCTACCGATCTCTTGAAAATCAGTTACACACTAGATCTCTCCATGAGGTTTGAAGTGATCGGAAATGACTCTCTGAAAGGCCCGTACACAGCGAACTTCAACCTCCCAGTGGCTCTGCGCACTGCTCAACCACAATCCTTGATCAGCCATCGCAGTTTTGATCCACTTCTAGGACTCGTTGAGGAGCAATCAATCTATGCTCCTCCTCCATATGTGTGCTAGAATAAGCCGGCAACCCACTTTTGTACGAAATAGACCTAGCGATCATGATTTGACGAGTGGTGGGAGGCGGAGTACTTGATATGACTAGACTAGCAGGGATTTAAATAGACGATTGTAATAATATATAGCTCATGAGAGCCTTGCATAGACTGAGTACGAGTACCTGGCCTTTTGTACCTCGGAGAAATTATACCCCGGAATGCCGTGACCCCCAATTGTGCAGCCACGCAGTTTTACTTGGTACATCTGACAACTTCGACAGTCCCGAGGTCTGTATCCAACAAAACACTCTTTTCATGTCAGCCAAGTGACTTCCACGTCTCTGTACCGGCCGCTGTGGCCGTGGAGAGGTTGTTCAAGATGTTGAGCGGAATCCTCCTCTTCAATCAAAAAGGCGAGAACCTCATCTTCAGAGCGTTCCGTCCCGACTGCCGCCCTCGCCTCGCAGACATCTTCCGCATTCAAGTCATTTCTAATGCCCAAGTGCGGTCGCCCATTCTCACCCTGGGATCAACCACTTTCAGCCACGTCAAGCATGAAAACATATACCTTGTGGCAGTCACAAAGAGCAATGCCAATGCCGCCGTTGTTTTCGAGTTTGTGTACAAATTTATCGCCCTGGGGAAGCAATACTTTGGCAAATTCGATGAAGAAGCGGTCAAGAACAATTTTGTCCTCATATACGAGCTCCTTGATGGTGAGAGGAGGGCCTGGCACCTCGAGAAGTTGTGGCTGACATCTGTTATCAGAAATCCTAGACTTTGGCTACCCTCAAAACACTGATATAGATGTCCTCAAAATGTACATTACGCCAGACAACATCTCTTCTGCCATTCGATCGGTCTCGGCACCCCCGAGCGATACGTCCAAGATTACGATGCAGGCCACCGGCGCTCAGTCATGGAGGAGAGGAGACATTAAATACCGCAAGAATGAAGCCTTTGTGGATGTCATCGAGGATGTGAACCTGCTGATGAGTGCTACGGGAACCGTCCTTCGGGCGGATGTCACTGGTCAGATTGTTATGAGAGCATACCTCAGTGGAACACCGGAGTGCAAATTCGGGCTGAATGATCAGTTGATGGTGGGTCAGGTTGCGCATGGAATAGACGGTCCCATCGGGAACCAAGAAGGAAGACGAAAGGCTACACGGGCAGCTGCTGGCTCTGTCACGTTGGAAGACTGCCAATTCCACCAATGTGTCCAACTCGGCAAATTCGAGACGGACCGGACCATATCCTTTGTGCCGCCAGATGGAGAGTTCGAACTGATGCGCTACCGAGCTGTCGAGAATGTCAATCTGCCGTTCAAGGTCCACGCAATTGTTCGCGAGGTCGGCACCACAAAGGTCGAATACAGCATTGCCGTCAAGGCCAATTATGGCAGCAAACTGTTCGCCACCAATGTGATAGTCAGGATACCTACTCCACTCAACACTGCCAACATCACAGAACGGACCACGCAAGGAAAAGCCAAGTACGAACCAGAAAACAACTGCATTGTGTGGAAGATTGCCCGGTTTGTCGGCGGCAGCGAATTCGTGCTCAGTGCCGAAGCCCACCTCACCAGCATGACGAACCAAAAGGCATGGTCGCGCCCTCCCCTGAGCATGACCTTTTCCTTACTCATGTTTACGAGCTCTGGGTTACTGGTGCGTTACCTGAAGGTCTTTGAGAAGAACAACTACAGCAGCGTGAAATGGGTTCGCTACATGACGAAAGCTGGCAGCTATGAAATTCGATTTTGATGAGTGTCGAGTTTGTTCCCAGGCATCCCTATCGAAAGCAACTACCACAATTCCCAGGATTGCTCCGAACGAGAACAAGCATGGCGTCAGCAAAGTTTGGACAACCAAAGCAATTGTTCTGCACGGCCGGCAGCAACTTGTCCGGCGTAATTGAAGGGAATGGCGGGGAGATGGAAAACACCACCATCATTCTATATCCATTGACCAGTCTACCCGGACAGGATGTCGACCGATGCCTTCGATCCCCCCTCCCTCCCCCGCCTGGAGTTACACTTTGCAAGTTCGCGAGATCTCTAGGAAGCTGCACTGTGGGACGTTTGGAGGGGCATTGAAAGTCCCGGATACGAAAAGCAGGAGAAATACTTAAGGGAGTCTATGAACTGAGGCAATGTATCTCAGTTGAAGACCTATCTAATGCCAGTTCGCTGGAGCTGGAAAAGGGATGTTTATACAAAGCAAGCAGCGTTTGGCCACAGCAACTGCCAATCAATGCCAGCAGGAGCCGTCACCAACTCGAAATGTCCAAATTTGTCCTCGAGACTCTACCACCTCTCCTCAAGCCGACATTGCCCTCTCCCACTAGCAAGCTCCACCTTCTCCCAAGGCTGTCTCTGTCCTTGCCCAGTTTCCTTGCGCAGTCATTCCAATCGCGTTTTGACAGTTTGAGCTTTTCGAGCACTGTCTCTACCAGCACTCGGTCATCGTCTTCGGTCCAGTCTGCGTCGTCCACCGATGGAGATGACCCGTAGGCCGAATCTTGGTCTGAGGGTACGTGGTTGTGAGGGCTGACTGCGGGCATGTCGAGCTCTACCTCGTCCTGGGGTGTCTCCAGCGCCCTGAAGTCATCCGCTGAAAGACCCATGGGCATGGACAGGGGGACCTTTCGTCGCCTTTTAGGAGTTCGAATTGGTTGCGGTGTCCGTTGACAATCTTGCATGATTACATCTGTAGATGGAGCGGGGATCATGTCCTCTTCAAAATCACTGCGCCGTCGCTTATTCGCGCGTCTGGGAGGCGGTATTTGTGCTTCTTTGGGAGCGCTCTCTTCAATGAGCGCGAAGGGATTCCCCAACTCCACCGGCTGAGTCGCTCGTGCGTGCTGGATTGCGCCAGGCGCTCCGAGAATGGCCTGGAGGGCGCGACAACTCGAAGACAGTGGGCTCGGGCGCGCATTTGTAGAGCTCTGGGGTTCATATGCGCCGAAGGATGGCAGCTTCGGTCTTTGAAGTCTTGACTGGGACTGCATGCCGCCATCGCACGAGAACGCGGATGGGAGCAGCATGGTCAATGCGCAGTGTGCGCAGCGAGGTAAAGTGGAATGCGCAAAGAGAGGTCGAGGATATGCGCCAGGACTTCCAGCGACGTGCAGGCCAGCGATCAAGACGGGAAAAGTGGGCGCATGTATTCGCAGATATGGTCTGAAGCTTGAGAGGAGGTTGTTGTACTGAGAATGGAAAGGGCAGGGATGTATAGAGGGATTGTTGCTGAGATGTGTGTGAGACGGAGACCGGAGGTCTGTGCGAGCAGCAGGTAGAGGATGCAGGATGCAGGTCTGGGAGGGGATTGGAAGAGGGAGGAGGAGGATCTGCGAGAGGCGCCGGGAAGAAAAGGCCCGTCGCAGGCCGCAGGATGCATGGGCAACAAGCCACCAAGACCCTCGAAGCCATGCACCAGTCGAAGCTGTGGACACCCAAGACACCCAATTTTTTTTAATTAAGCACCTGGACTCTCCCTAAACGCCTAGCTCAGTACCTAGCTCGGTGCCTACCTGAAGAACCAGTGAGAACCAAGACACGCCGCCGTTGAAAACGAGCAGAGCAGCAGAGCAGCTCCAACAGAGACAACCAACTCAAGGCCAAAGAACTAGCACACCCCTTCCCTACTCGTACAAGTAGAGTCCCAGCATCAGGCTATTTCCCTCTTTGGTAGTGGTAGTGGTAGTTGGTCCTGCTAGCCAAAACGCGTCATCTCGCCTACGAGTACAAGGGCCAGAGTGATGGGGATGTGATGGATGTGAATGCGAGCAACTCGAATGTCCTCTGTACCTCGTACTCTTATGTACTCGGTACTTGTAGTTCTGCCCATCGCATCTATTACCTGCAATCTCACAGCTGAATCACGGTGAGTGAGTGACTACCTAGGTGCTTCTCCCCCGATCATCACCGACTTTTTGGCCCATATCCTGCATGCATCGTCCGACGAGGTAGGTTCTCAACGGTCCTGCAGCAGTAGTTCCCGGCGAACATGCACTGACCTACCAGCCTACCTACTTGGTAAGCTACTGATAAAATTATCGATTGGCGTCGGAGAATTTGTTATCGAGAAAGCTGGTCAAAAGCGTGGCAGTATGTGGCCAGTAAAGTGATGGAAGCCCCTCATAAATGCCTCAAGCTTTGCCCGTTCCAAGCACGAGCGTTCGCATCAATTCGAGCCTAGAAGGGTCCTCAATTTCAGGGATGAGCTTCCAGGGAAATTGGCTGATCCGGGCTGATGTGAACTGGCGATCTAGAGCAGCCACAGCAGTCACAAGCAGTCCGACGCGTGGTGACTACGCGTCTATAACGCGCTAGATGTAAAAAGGGAAAGCGTAGCCTTATTGACTCACGTGACTGTCTGTGCCCTGCCATTTCCACGAGGCTGTACATTCCTCGACTTCATCTAGACTCCCATCCCCTTCTGAAGTTATTCTGCCATGATCTCTTTGCCTTCTGTTTTCATCAAGGAGGAACCACCAGATCTTCTCAATAAATCTAGCATGCTTCTCCACCAGCTTACGCAGACCAGTGCCAACCAACTCTCCTTGCAAGTCATTTCCTTTACAATGCCAGTCACACGGTCCAGATCTCGCCCAGCAAACAAAGCCTTTCTCGGACCTCATTGTCCATCGTGCAGTTTTACGACCACGTGCGTACCGCTGCATGCAAATTCTCTCCCTCGCGTCTTTGTTTTTGTCCCTCGGATCACTGCATGCGATCCAGCCGTGATTCCCCCATAGGCTGTCTCCATGATTCCCTCATTTTCATCAAACCAATTGGTGCTTGAAGCTTGCCCATTGCGGCAGAAGATACAGCTCAAAGCAGTCAGAAAGCTTCTTTGCGTCCTTTGCCCATGAATCGTAGGGACAAAACGATGCTCTTCGCCCCCGTCGTTTGCTTCGACCCTTTCAGACTGGCCCCCCTCCTTGCTGCGTAAGGTTCTCTCGTACGCGATCAAGATGAGGAACATTCAAGGCGCCCTTTTCGCCATCGTGCTCAGCTTGACCTTTGGCCATGTCTCTGCCTTCTGGCGAATGGTGTGTGGCACGGTTCAGGTAGGCAGAGTCGACCCGATCGTCAACCCCGGCGGGATTTCCGGTCACTGTCATACCATTGCTGGACCAAACAGTAAGTGTTGGCTTGTGAAGGCCTGTGGGGATGCACCTCAACTGACTGCGAGTAGATATCAACACGACGTCGACATTTGACAGCCTTCAAGCCGCTTACTGCACGTCTTGCAGCGTTCAGAAAGACAAGAGCGCCTATTGGACACCGAATCTGTACTTCAGACACCGCAACGGTTCATTCGAGGAAGTCCCACATGACGGGACAGTCGTGTACTATTTGGATCGTGGCGTGGATGTAGCCAACATGGTTCCTTTCCCACCTGGCTTCCGCATGCTTTCTGGCGATGCTGCAGCTCGATCGTTCGACCCCGTCACCCTGACCTATGGAAACAGGACCTATGGCGGTACTCCGGTTTCCAACCGTATCAGCTATGCTTGTCTGGACAGCAGTGGACCCCAGCCAGAGACTCCAGGCTTCAAATCCACTCAATGTTCCTCAGGTCTTCGCGCCCAGGTACACTTCCAAAGCTGCTGGGATGGCGTCAACCTTTACAAGACTGATCAAAGCCATGTGGCGTATCTCTCTGGCATGGACAATGGCATCTGCCCGCCTACTCACCCAAAGCTACTCCCCCACTTGTTCTTCGAGGTCATCTATTCCGTGAACAGCGTCGACCAATCTAAAGGTGGGATGTTTGTCTTCTCCCAAGGTGACACGACGGGTTATGGCTTCCACGCCGATTTTTTGAACGGCTGGGACGTCGACGTTTTAGACTCCGCCATCGACCAGTGCATGGGTCCCAACGCCGTCAATAACGGCCAGATTGGTCTGTGTCCACCACTGCAAGCCTCCGTGGACCCGTATTTCAGCCAGAATTGTCCTGAACAGGCTCCCTTTGTCAATGAGACGGTCCACGGCCTCCTAAAGGTGCTTCCGGGTTGCAACCCTCCCACAGGTGGTCCTCTACGTGCCACTCAAAATATCTGCCCTGTCCAACCAGCGCTCAACTATATCCCCAACCAAGACTGGAGGAACCGATCCGTCGCCATTCCGGGTCAAAAGGTGGGAAGCTGGCAGTACATGGGATGTGCTCTCGACGCAAGTGCACCTCGGCCGCTCGCCGGTTTGAGCTACAGCAGTCAAACCAACATGTCCATCGAGAGCTGCACGGCTTTCTGCAAGCAAAACGGCTATTTTATGGCCGGAATGGAGTACTCTTCTCAGTGCTATTGCGCTAGCTCGTTGACGCAGCCTCTGCAGAGCCCACTCAACTGTTCACAGCAGAATTACATGGTTTGCACTGGCAATCAGTTCGAGTATTGCGGCGGACAGAGTCTGATGCAGATATGGAACGACACCACGTACTCGGGACCTGCAATCAAGCCTGCCCCTGTTCCCGGGTCGACCGTGATGTCTGTCCCTGGCGGCGGAAATGCGACGTACCAAGGCTGTTACATGGAGGGAGTAGGAGGTCGAGCCTTGACGGGATCGTCTTTCTCGAACAGCACCGGTATGACCCTGGAGCTTTGTGCCGCGTTCTGCTCAAAGACCAACTCTGCGTTCTTTGGCACCGAGTACAGTCAAGGTAAGCCCGATACTTTTTCATTCATTCCTGCTTGCAGTCCCATTTGGCTGACTTGAGCTTGGGTAGAATGCTACTGCGGCGGCAGCATCAGCACCGCCATAGCCCCACAGACGGCCTGCTCCTCCTTCTGCTCAGGCGACAAGACCGAGTTTTGTGGTGGAAGCTCTCGCCTCTCTGTTTGGGCGTTGGGAAACTATCAACCGCCTGCTGCAAGCGGAATCGGCACAGCTACCGGCACCGGCGGAAACACCACACCCTCATCGACTGCGAGCCCCGTCCCCGCCGCCACGGGCATCACTTCGATGGGCTGCTACAGCGAGACGACTCCGACACGGGCCTTGACTGCGCTCTTCACGGCGGGCGCCTCGATGACGATCGATCTCTGCGCCCAGAAAGCCCAACAGCTCAACCTGCAGTACTTTGGCGTGGAATTCGCGTCGCAGTGTCTGGCGGGCAGCGCGCTGAACCCTGCTTCCACGCCCCTGGTGTCGACCAAATGCAGCATGAAGTGCGCCGGCAACAGCACCCAGGTGTGTGGCGGGTCCAACGCCATCTCGCTGTACCAGAACACGCTGTACGTCAAGCCGACGAACCCGAACCCGGTCAACGTGCCGAACCAGCCCGGTTCCCAGTACGGGTACGTGGGGTGCTACAACGAAGGCAACGGCGCCCGCGCGCTGGGCAGCACCGACCGGACGGGCTCCGCGGCCACCACGTCCGCCACGCTGACGGTCGAGGCCTGCGCGGCCTTTTGCTTCGCAAAGGGCTACGCCTGGATGGGCGTCGAGAACAGCAACCAGTGCTTCTGCAACGCCGCCGGCGTCATCAACGGCGCCGCCCTCTCTCCCGGCGGTGACGCCGACTGCACCGTCACCTGCACCGGCAACGCCACAGAGAACTGCGGCGGTAGCGCCAAGTTGAACGTCTACCAGCTGAGCAGCGGGAGTGGGAGTGCGCGGTTCGCCACGACGGGGAAGTCGGGCAAGAGGGACATCAGGGGCGTGAAGGGTATGAGGTTCCGGACTTGGTGAAATGCTTGGTTTCTTGGGCTTCTTTTTTTCTCTCATGTTCTCGTGTTCTCATGATCTCATGTGAGCGGCGTATATGTCACTGTGCACCTCGTATGTATGTACGTATGTATGTATGCATGCATCATGTGTTCCATCGTGCAAATGCGCTCAATCGTGGTCAATCGTGCAATTGCGGTCAAGGGGAATATCTACCATCTATCTAGTTGTCGGTTGGTGGTTGGTGGTTGTTCGTTCGTTCGTTGAATATACCCACTACCTAGCACCCAGCGATCGCTTTGAACGGTAACATGTACCTCATTCTCCTGTGTCGCTCCATGACCGGCAGATCCCAGCTGACCACGTGCCACCTACGCCGACGGCAGCGGCGAGCTCCCACGGCCAGGACGAATCCGACGTCGAACCACGCTCTGGATGGGACTGTCGTCAAACAGGAGCGTGACGACGACGTAGACGATGGTAAAGGCCGACGCTACAAGCACCAACACCACGGTCCACAGGGGGACGAGACACAGACGAAGAAAGCTGACGGCGGCTCCAGCCAGGGTCTTGGGCCCTCTCCGCATCTGCCAACTACTCTTCTTGCTCTTCGTCTGCCCCTTGTCTGAATCCTCGTCCTCATCCGATTTCTGGGATGACTCTTCTTCTGCTCCGACAGAGGCGCTCTTGACCACTACACGTACCACCGCCGCCGCTGCGGACCATCCTCCTTTTCCGACCTGCCCCTCTTGACCACCAGGATCCTGCCCGACACAGCCGAGTAGCCGCAGCGCAAAATGCACCTCCCCCAAAGGGAGCACAAAGATGACATACCACAGCACGTCCAGCAGCGCATGGGGCGACCGGTCGGCTGTGTGGGGCGTGAGGCTATCATCGACAGACCCGTCTCTGGTGTCGCCGCCTGGTTTGGAGGCAGTGATGGTGCTCTGTTGGGAGGGCTTCTCGAGCTTGGGATGCGGTGGCTTTCCCTCGACAAAGCTATTGCTGTCGACGTTGACTGCTACCTCTGCAGCTGAGTCTGAGGCTATTTGGACTGGCGCTTTGTTTTTAGGGCGGCGAGAAGCCCAGCGACTGAGCTCCAGAGTGGATACAAGGTAGGTGCTGTGACGGCGCGCCAATTTGCCAAAGGAGGCAAAGGCGGCAGCAACTTCGTTGACGTTGAAGGCGATGAGGATGAGGGGAATGATGATGGCGGCGGAGATGGAGACTGGGCAGGTTGTCGTCAGCGGCGCGAGAGAGGTGAAAGGGTAGGAGCTCAATGGGTGGGCTCACTCACACATATACTTGGAGACATAGCCGAGATGGAGGCCGTCGGGGTCTTTGGGGAACTCGACGATGTTGATGGCGAAGAATGCCGCGATAAAGGATAGGGGGAACTGGGATATTGCGTCAGTTATTGTGGTCTCAAGCATATGATTGCTAAATGGTACGCACGAAAACTATAGTGGCAATGGTGAAGACCATAATCGTATTACCCTGCCTGGCTGTTTCTTCGGCTTGTCTCCGTGTCTGCACGGCTTCATGGCGGGCCCAGCGCGCTTCGAGGAGGCTTGCATGCTTCTGTTTGAGGTCGACCAGATGGTTAAGCTAGAGATAGACAGTTAGGGACTTGCATAAGCAGACGGGAAAGGAGAGTAGAGGTGTACCGCGTCTAGTGTTCTTCCAGCGTGATCGTCCATTCTCTTGATATCAGCAATGTTCCGGTCCACGATCTGGCATGGTATGGCGAATCTGGGGATGCCAAAGTCTGCTTCCGGCTCTCGGTCGTCTGTGGTGACTTCAGGTTGACTGTCGTCGCCGTTGTGCACCTCGACACCACCAGCCGCTTGCAGAGGTTTGGGCTTCTTGTCTTTTCGAGAAGTATGGCTTGGGAGCTTGACACCCTGGGCGAGTCTCTTCAGATCCTTGAGGACCTTTTGCTGATCTTGGAAGATTATCAAAAGGGTGTGGAGTTCGTCGCGAATATCCTTGACCTCTTTCAACAGTTCGACCTCTTTGCGGATATCAAGAAAGTCTCGACTATTCTTGTCCAGGTCATGGCCCGTGTCCTGGTTCTTCAAGTTCTCTACCATGGAGGAGAATTTCTTGAATTGTTGAGCTTCTTTGTTGGTCTATCAAATCAGGGTGAGTCAGTATTTGGCAGTCTGATATGGCGGGATGCTGCTTGGACGGTAAAACCAACCACTGCCCCTATCGACATCTCATAGTGCTCCAAGAAGTGGACTGTCTTATCGCCACCCTTACTCGGGTCGAGGCATGTTCTCAGGCACTCGCCAATAATGAGTTCGGCAAATTCATATGTTGACCGGATTGGAGAAGAATTCGTCTCGATGTTGCGGGCAATATCAGTGCGCTCGTGAGGTTCACCTTGGTAGCTCCACCTCTCAGGGAAGCTGGTGAATACCATATCAATACTTGGTCAGTACTCTCACGCCTAAAAGTATAAAGGAATATGTCTCTGTGAGCAAAGCCTACCTCCAACAACCCACAGCCACAACTGGTCTACCATCATAAGGACCTTGTCGCCAACGAGATCACCGCGATCGAATAGGCGACCTGTCACTTGATCACCATCTCTGTCGCTGGTGTCGTCCAGGGAGAAGTAGTAATACTGGTCGAGCGTACGGCGAAGGTGAATAGGGTTGCTACCGTCTTTGGGATTCAGATATGCCCAAATGAGCCTCTTGTGCTGGTCCTCTTCATGCATCTCGCCACGATCCTGCATGATGCTCTTTGCATAGTCTCTCATGTCGACAAACGTCTCCCACTTCTCCCAGTGGATGTACGGCATCTGATTATCAGTTAGTTTGGACCGAACCTTGACTCCAAGGGAGGAGCTTACAATGAATACAAAGTCTTCATGGCTGTCACGCTTGTCTACATGTGTTCCGTGGGAATATCTCATTAGCATGGGAGCACAAATGAAAGCGGGAGACCAGTCAAGGGGGATGGAGAACAGAAACAAACGAGACTGAGCATACTTATAGACTCGCAGAAGGGAGTCAAGAAGCAAGCATGGGGTCTGTTAGGCGAGGCTTTGTGTAGTCGTTCAATCCAAAGATCAGGACGCAGGACAACAGCCCGCGAAACTTTTCCTACACTCTCGTACTGCTGCATCATGAGCTGAGATTGAAGTATTAGAGATCTGTATTGAAGTTGTGGTCTCGACAGTGGGCATACCTCGATCCATCTCATCTATGACACGGTTAGCCACCAGTGATGTCGTGGGCTTTAAGGCAGAGGATACGGAACTCACGTTATTTGCTGGAAGATGTAGCCATCTGAGGCGCTGCACTTCAGCCGGCAAGTTTCTGTAAATGACGGCCTTGCCGTTGACAATATCTCTGAGTGTGGGCTTGTCTGCCTCTTTGAGAGGACGTGCGACACCATCGGAGAACTTGATGTCAACAACATTCGCGTTGAACAGGCTGTCCACATCGTCGGTCCGTCCGATAGGTTCGTTAGAAAGTTTTGGAGCATCCCCTTTTGCCTCGAGGACTTGGAACACAAGATTGTTTGTGGTTGGTTGGCTGCGTATGACATTTTCAACCTTTTCTGTGACGATGATCCTTCTTCGTCGGTCTATCGAAGTCAAGGGTTGGGACACTGTGGACTCGACATTGGGCGCCCCATCACCGACAATCGCCGACTCATCGACCGTGTGGGGAGCATGCAAGTCGACTTGGTCGCTAGATGCGGCTTTCCCAAGAGGCTCAACGGCAAAACCTCTAGCTCTTCTGCCAGCGTGGTCCTTTAGGTCTGGATCCGCCCCGTGGGCAAGGAGCAGGCGCACTATGGCCTCCTGGTTGTTTAAAGCAGCATAATGCAGAGCTGTACGTCCCATGTCGTCCCGGTCGTCGATTGAGCTTTCCCAGTCTGGCAGGATGCTGAGGACTTCCTCGTGGCCTTGCATGGCGGCAAGATGTAGGGGAGTGCAGCCATGTACATCCCTCATCCAGAGGTTGAAACGGCGTTCTAGCATAAGTCTGAGTATATCTGCCTTGCCTCTGAAAGCGGCGTGGTGTATCGCCGTCCTGCCTTTGTCATCGCCATGGTAAGGATCGGCTCCCTCTCTCAAAAGTAGGCTGAGAATCACTCCATGGCCATTGTGTGCGGCACATATCAAGGCAGTCCATCCATGATCGCCTGAATATTCGACACTATTCCGTGGCTGCGCTTGGAACTGTTTGGTAACGACGTGCTCGAGACCTAGGAACGACGCAACCATCATGCTGGAGAATTCCCGAGGACATGGAAAGGGGGCTTCGTCGATTGTACTCCAGAAAACCCGAAACCAGGTCTTGAACCGGTCTGACTTGGTGTCACAGAGGGTGATCGCCATTGGCGAGAGCTTTTCACCTCCATTGGTGACGAGGCTAAGGTGGGAGGCCCAGAATTCAGCCGCGTACCCCAGAAATGGATGCCGCTCGAGATACTCCTTGAATCGACCATCGGACTTGGGGGTTCCATCTTGTATGGATTCGGGCAGGGGATCCACAGCGAGCTCGTCGAGCAAAAGGTCGGCGATGCAGCTGGTTGCAAGCAGAAGCTGGGGGTTGCCAGGATTCACCATGCCATCACCACCAGGCCCTTGGAGTAGGAAGTGGCGAAGCGACCAATGCAGAGAGTGTACCCTCTTCTCTGTGATATGGAGGAGATCCACGCTCGCTGTCACGATATGCTGGCTGCAGGATGATTCGTCCGACGATTGAAGGTACTTGACCTTCCTGTCTCCAAGCTTGATCGTGAGGGCCACATGCAGTTCCGCCAAGGTCAGCGGTCGCGTCGCGGCACAGGCAATGGAGAGAATTTTCATGGCATAATTTCCGTCTTCGCTCCGCTCAATCATTTCACGATAAACCTGTGAGATAACTGTAGGCAATTGCGTGGATAGAAGTGTTTCCAGCGGTCTTTGCGTGTAGATGTCGGGATCCTCTAGCATACGAATCGTTTCATTGGCCCAGAGATACGTGCTTCCCGCCCTTTCAAACATTGTCTTCCCGACACGACGCAATGCAGATGCTCGGAAGCCTCCGCGGGTGGCCAGTTTGTGAACGGCATACTTGACATATCGCTTGATATCGTCGTCTACTTCCTTCTTCAGGCTCCAGTTGTCCAAGTTCAACCATCGCCATCTAGTTATACCTTGGAGCAGATGACGCAAATGGTCATACATCTTAGGGCGCGGATGAGATGTGAGTTTGAGCTTCATTTGGTGTTGCCGATTGCTCGTACACAGAACCCGAATGACTTGAAGCAATTCCGCCTGCTCTCTGCACTCGTTCAACGCATCAAGTATGTAGACCAAGTTCCCGCATTTAGGATCGTTGATGACATTGGACAGAACAGACCGTAAACCGTATTGGGTTTGAGTGTAACCCCTGCCGTTTTCATCATATAAGTGACGAGCATGACGGATGAGAGCTGGTTTCTGGCAAATAGCTGATGCAACACAGCGCTGAGAGCCGATGTCGCTTTTTGAAACTCCGAATCACGATCATTGAAAAAGAAGTAGCAGATCGTGCGGTCAGGACCCCATGTGGCACGATCGATGAGGTGCTTAGCCAGCACTGTCTTCCCACAAGCCATCCGGCCCATGAGCATGAGAACGGTTACCTCGGGGTCCTGGAGCCAGTCTTGAAAGTCGGCAACACGGTCTATCTACTCACATGTTCCAGGGGCTGCTGTCTGCACTCGGTCCTTGAAATCTCTGTAGGGAGTTGTGGCAAGGCCCTGCACAAATCCGTCGTCCTTTTGGTCGTCGAAGTTCCTTTCGTGTATATCGCCGCGGATACCACCAACGTATGCCATGGTGTTAATATGTCGACAGAGAACAGGGTCGAGTCCGCATCTCACAGCCTTAGTGACCGGCACCACCAGATTGATCACTATTAGGGTTTGGAAATAATGTCGGAAACTGAATCCAGTGAGCAGCATACGCCAGAACAGCTGATCTGGTTGATCGTAACGCGAGGAAGCTCCAAGAAAATTGACAGAACATTCACTGGAGCATACTAGGGATACGGCCTCGCAATCTTCACATTCACATGAAAGGCAACTGGCGAGGGCCTTGTCGGCTAAACCTCAAGCAGGCTGATGAGCCAAAGCTGTTTTTGATGTGCAGCGACCACGTCAATGATACATGCATAGGTAGCTGCTGGTTAAGCGAGGTCGAACTGGTAGGTGATTGGTGATGCCGTATCCCTGCCCAATAAGTGAGTATAGCCCCCACACATTGAGAGATGCTGGCGAATGAAAAATGGTTGAGGTGTCATGGGTGGCAGTTCAGCCTGTGACGGCTTCGCGGCGCAAGCGATAAGCAGCCGTAGATGGCAAGCTCTTGATGCGTACAATACGAACTGACCGTGAAATCTTGTAATGATTGGATGAGCTGATCAGCAAAATACCGAGCAGGACAGCAGTCAGCTGCAAATCTCCCAATTCTTCTCAGCGTCCCGCATATACGAGTATTTTGCCATCAACGGGCCGCTCCAGAAGTGGCCACTCTGGTTGGACTCGTTTAATATCAATCGGCTCTGGAGCGGATGAGCGGCTCAATCACGCGAAATGTCCTCTTCCAGCTTGCCAATGCAAAGCTGCTCTACCCCCGCCATCTCGATGCCTCTAACCCGGATGTAGGAGACCACAAGAGGTTTTCAGCTGCGGGGTTGCCCGCTCACAAGACAGATAGCGCTGGTACTCACCGTGAGGGTAATGTGGCCATACAAGCACGTGCTACTGTCGACATGGTCGGGTGGTGCATGTGTCGAGCCTTGGTAGCTAATGGAGTCCCAACTAGGCCATGATATCGTTGACTTTGCGGATAGATGTTTCAAACTTATCAAGCGCTCCACGGCTCTTCTGTGCTTCTGTATAGCGAAAAGCAATCGTCCACACTGGTGTGTTGCAGTGTCGTGGAGAGATTCCGGAAATAATTATGGTTGTAGAGCCAGAACTACATATGCAGAGGAGGTCGAAATATGCACAGGGGAAGAAATCCCAAAGGAAGTCTCTTTGACGCTAAAAGGCTTGGCCCGCTACCACCAAAGAAGGTCCACGCTGTTGAGCCACGGCAGTCACAACCCACACCTACAGTACCTACTCGCTACCTATGTACCTAGGCAAGCATGCAAGCTAGGTAGGTGCTACATATTATACTGCCCAACCTGCCCAGTATACGCCTCTTACTTATATATCTCGATGCACACTTACTAGTCTCACAGCCGAGAGTGGTATAAACAATATCACAAAAACTGGCCATAGAGCCAGCCAACACTTTGTATTGCTTGCGTTTGAGTAGCTCATAGAATGCCGGCAGTGAAACCTTGAAAGACTAGAGATCATCATCTCAAATGCACATGAGACACTATAATAACGCGGGAAAATACCCCCAAAACATGGAGGAGTGCTCCGACCGTGACAACCGCCACCCTGCCCGTTCAAAAATTGGCCGATCTACTCCTGGCTCGCTGCCCTCTCCTGCCCGTCTCTGACAATCTCTGCTCGCGCATCCGTCTCAGCGTTGATCTGTCCGTTTCCCAACTTTCGGTGGGATGGGCAACACCCCAGTGCAGAAGGTCGAACGGTTTCCAACTTTTGCTAAGCGTGGGCCATAGCTCGCAGCTGGAAGGATAAACAACATCGGCCCACGCGACAACGTATTGAATATTGTGTTTGAAAAAAGAGCCCAGACAAGGATCTAGTGTTGGCGTCCATCGCATGGCAATCTTCAGATTTCCATAGAGCACACTGCTCCCTTCTCTCCATATTTTCTTGCATACACGGAGAAACTGCGTCGAAAGACCTGAGCTGTTGACGAAATATCGCTCGTCAAACAGGTGGGTCCAGTCCAACACGCCGATGTGCAAGCCTTGAGGCCAATCAACAGCGTGTTTCAGAACAATCGCCTGAAATGCCGGATCTGTGGAGCAGAGGAAGCAGAGAATCTGGCGTTTATCAACCAAGACCATGCGATAGATCTGGTTCAATATTTCCGCGGGATAGTTCAAGTAACCCATTGAATCAACGGGAGTGCGACGGGGAAGAACGGGGAGGTCGTCCATTTCGGGGCTGTGTAGTCTTTGTTCAAAGAGCGTGCGCTGGGAAAAGCCAATTCCACAAAACCAAGCAACGAGATGGCGGCGGGGAAATGGGCGCTTCCTAGTCTTCCGATGATGAAAGATAGACAGTAAGATTCTGTTTCCTAACGATGAGTCTAAAGCCGAACGATGGGTGGCTGATGTCGATGTGTATCCTGAACCGATTTCACCGATTTGCGGAGAGTCTGAGGTTGTTGACCGCAGGTAGAACAACTCGACTGCTTACTGAATGGCAGGAGCGGCGGTCCAGCCAGGAGTCGGAGGGGAAGGCACAGAGCAGCTCTATGCTGGTACAGCACCGAGGATTTGGCCAGCCATCGCTTCTCCGCGGTTGAGAACCACAATCCGACTCTCTTCTCGTCTTCATCGTTTGGTCTTCTTCCTGGCCATCTTGTTCTTCCTCGCGATTTCCGAGGCGAAAACGACAGAGTTCTTGGATTTCCTCTTGGAGACTTTGTGGGTCTTGCGATTGGCTTGACTCCGAGACGTGGACGACTTTGCCGTCTTGGTGACAGCTCCTTGCCCATCGACGTCCATTACTGCGTGATCCGGTCAGTGGTGGTTTGCGTTTGTGGAAAATTGAATGAACATACCCTCAGACTGGGCGTTGCGAGACTCGTCTCCCGTAGTCTGTTCGGCGTTATCATCCACGTCCATGGCCTTTTCAGACTCTGGTTTGGGTTTTGCTGCCAACTCTTGGAGTTTTGCAGACAATCTAGCAGTACGAGCATCTGACGCAGGACCATACACCTTGGCGCGAAGATTGCGGTGGTTCTTCTTGACCACGGAGGCCCGGGCAGATTTGGCCATACCTTGCGTCGGAAGGGAAAAATCTAGCAAGTCGAAAAGACAGACACACGGTGGTAACGAGTGTTGATTGTGTGCGGGCACGGTGGGTAAGAGGCAAGCAGGACAAGCAAGACCAGATAAATTCTGTGGACATTTTTCCGCAGGTCCAAAACTGCCGGGGTTGCGCCGATTCGCAATCCATTCATCGGAATCCAACCAGTGACTGCGGCGTCTTTACGACTCGGCGACGGCAGCAACCTCACACCTTTGCAGACTTCTTCCTTGGATGGGGAAAATGTAGCCCAACCTTCACCATCCGTCCTCGTTGATCACTCTATTCTCGCTTCCCTTCCGCTGGGCCACTCGCTGGCACTCTTAGACCCCCGCCCACGAAAGAGGTTGCGACTGCGCGCGCAAGTTCGCCCTCGCCCTCCGTTCCGACCATGTTGTTTCGACGTCGTTGCCACCGATAGCCTCAGCCCGATTTCCATCCTTGCTGTCTGTTCGATCATCTTGTAAAGGAGAAAAACAAAAAAAGAAGAGAAGGACGCCGCCAAACCATGGCAGGCACCATGGCGGGTTACATGCCTGCCCAAGCACAGGATCATGTGCAAGCGTTGATTGCCCAAGTAAAAACCCTCACTGTTGAGAAGTTGAAGAATGTACTACGCAGCGAAGGCCTGCCCTTGTCTGGAGTCAAAAGTGAACTCCAAATCAGAACAATAGCCTGTATGCCAACTTGCCCTCTCCCCCACCGCGCTACCACTTCTCTTCTTCTACTGTATCCTGACCTCCATATCTACAGATATCGAGAAAATGCGCAATGCAGCTGACATGGTCGCGCTGAATCGAATACGCACCACGATCAGAGGCGTTCCTCCTTCATATCAAAACGGCAACTCTTACAATCCGCATTACTCGCACGACTCTCCCGCCTCTTCAGCCTCCCCTCAGTTTTCCTCACCGAGTGCTCACAACAACTACTACATGCCTTCTACCGCAACGTTAGGTCCAGGTACAGGAGGCGACTCTATCAGAGAAAAAGGACGCGCGCTGACGGAAATCAGCCCAATTCATCTGGAGAAGTTCACCCTTCTACAAGGTTCACAGACAGATCACCCGACTGTGGGAGTGCAAAGGTAGCTAGTGACACTCTCTCCGCTTAGAGCGCCGCAACCGCTGACGAGAACTTAGCCCGAGAGTCGGCCAGAGATACAGCCAAGCTCATAGTCATGGTGTCCCAAGATACTCTCGATACGCTGCATAAGGATCCGTCATACCGCATTATGGTCTTTTGCACCTCTGAGAATACCGGGTCTGTCCAGAGAGTAACTTATGATATTGAGTTTCCTCACAACGTGGAGCTCAAATGTAACGGTATTGATATCAAGGCCAATCTGAAAGGATTGAAGAACCGACCTGGAACGACCAGACCTGTGGATATTACGAGCTTCATCAAGAAAAAGCCCGCCAATTATCCCAATTCGGTCGACATGATCTATGCTTTGACCACAAAGGTGCGCCCATTGATTCGGTCTCCCCTCTGTTTCATTTGTGTCCGATCTCACATCAAGAACTATCCATACTAAATAGGACAAATCACCCCCGCAGAAATTCTATCTTGTGGTCAATCTGGTCGTGCAAAAGTCGATTGACACAATGGTCGCCGATATCAGGCGAGGCCGTATGATCACCAAAGATCAAGTGATTCGGGAGAGTGAGTTCACTTTGGCATCACCTTGGTTTGGGAGCTTACGGGAATCTAGTGCGCCGGAAAGCCGAAGACCCCGATGAAATCGTGGCTACGTCGATGGTTCTTTCGTTGAAAGACCCTGTCGGTTACACACGCATCACGACGCCATGTCGTGGTCTCGGGTGTAATCATGTCCAATGCTTCGATGCAGCCCTGTATCTCCAACTCCAGGAACAAGCACCCACGTGGACATGCCCTATCTGCAACAAGGCTGTGCCGTGGGAACAACTGGCTCTAGATCAGTATGTTAACGACATTCTGAACCTAACGCCTAGGAGTGTGGAGGCCGTCAATGTCGATCCAGACGGGAGATGGCATATCCAGAGCGAAAACGAAACTTCTGTTCGCAGATCTAATCCCACCCCATCCGAGGATGATGATGGTGACGATGACAACAACGATGGCAACAACGATGGCGACGACGGCGATTTGGTGGAGCTCAGCACTGGACCCAGCTTTCGACCCTCGAACCTTGAAACACTGACACCGCATAGCGTCAAGACCCCGCCATTATCGTCTCGCGAAGTATCAACGGCTCCTTCATGGTCTAAACCGTCAGCACACACAAAGAAAAGACCCCGCGAAGTCATTGATCTGACTTTGAGCGATGATGACGACGACGACGAGCCCCCTCCAAAGGTCTCGAGGGCATCCAATTCTTCATCCGTCGATCTTTCCCAGAAGGGCCCCCGGCAACGCGAAGATCGGGTGTTCTACGTCCGTGGGCAACCTGTCCTTGATTGGCCTCGGCCCCCTTCATTTCGTGGCCCTTCGCAATAAGCTTGTCTTACAGATATGGTATTTCGATTCGTATGGCGCTTGGGGGGAAAATCAGGAATCTGTGACGACAAAATGAATTTTGGGTGGGCGAAATTCAGGGGCGGAGGTACTCAGTAGCAGCAGTATTCCAATAACTGCCTCAGAGGGATATGCCGACTCCAAGGGCAAGTCGGACGTACAGGGGATTTTCCGCAGATGAAAGGTGTCGTAGCGACCCACTCCTGATTCGAGAAGGATTGTGCGATATGGCACGGGGGCTGGGACGACGGATCATGATTTTCTTTCCTCTGCAAACAACAGGCATGAGCTACTGCAGCACGTAAAGATATGTTGCTAGGGAGAATGGGTCATCAATGCGGCACAGAGGAGGTGCAGATGACTGCGGGACTGGCACTTGCAGTGCATGAAACAATTAGCGGGTGTAGATGTATGGCGAAGACAACAGAAGCTTCCTCCTCGTTACGATTTTTCCGTGGAACTGAAAGAGTTTCTGGACGCATCAAGCGCTGGAGTCGCATCATCTTGCCCGTGAGCTTGTACAAAACCTGATGTGTTCAACAAGAGCACCAAACCTGTTCTTTGACCTAAGGCTTCTATGGCCAGCCGTACGAGTGTCATGCTCTCATCTTCTCACCAGCACGGCCACGACACACCACCGTTTGGCCTGGTCTTTATTCTCGCCTGGCCTGAGAGGCTCCCAGGGTCTGCGGAGGCCGTTGACGTCGATCTCGAAGATTTCTGCGGCGCGGAGACGGCCCTGAACCTCTTTCGCCACCTGGGCTTCTCCGTCGCCGTCTTGGTCGTTCTTGTCCTTGTCCTCGCCGCGGGTGTCATTCTCTCTCGCGTCCTCCTCCTCCTCTTCCTCTGGGAGTCGATAGTCCCCGGTGGCTACCTCGAAGAAATGCCGCACGATCTCGCGACCGGTGTGGAAGCCGGCGACAACCAAGGCGCAACTCTCGATGGGGGGACCCGGGGGCGCTGGACCCGACGCCTGCTGCTCTTGCCGGTGCAGATAGCGCAGGATCGTCTTGACGAGGTTGACGTGCTGGGACGGCATCCACAGGCAGTCGGCGATGATGATGCGGTCGAAATCTTCTGGTTGTGGCTCGGCAGGCTTGCCGTATTGCGCCGGCATGTACATGGTCGCCGTGCCCCACGTGTAACCGAAGATGTCGATTGCTGTGGAACTCGGGATTTGTGTAACTGTTGCCGTGGACGGGTGCGATGGCGACGATGAAGGTGAGGGTTCGGCGTCCGCATCCGCCGTTTCTGGCGGGTCGACTCGTTCGACGCGGTTCCTACGGACGTTTTGCTCGATGGCGCCGGTGGTGAGAGCGGGCGAAGACGGGTGGTCGGTGATGGTCGCGGAGCGTGCGCCAGAGAGCGCAGCAACGATGGATGGCAACGCCGTCCCTGACTTTCGCATGTGAGCCGGCGTCCTATATACTTTTTTTTGCTTGCTTCCCCAGCATCTTCTGACAATTGACGTACGTCAAGTCGAAAATGATTTGTGTTCTCTCTATCTCACTCACACTCTCACGTACCAGCGCCCAACTCGAGAACCTTGGTCCCCCTCACATCCCAGTATCTCTTCTGCCATTCCTCCGACTTTTGTTCCCCGTCACCTCCGTCCTGCTGGTGCTGGTGCGGCGGGGGTGCCTGATCTCTTTCACCCTCTGTGCCGGAAGAACTGGCCCGCTCCAGCCCCTCGGCCATGATCACGCCCGCATTCCACAGGTAGTGCGCGAAGAGCGTGCGGCCTTCCTCGGCGGCCGGGTGCTGGGGTATCCGCAGGTCGATCTTCCCGAACCTGGGTGAGTGGTAGCTCACATGGCCACCGGGGACGCCGTGGCTGGTCTGCGTGTCGTCGGTGAAGAGGGTCGACAGGGCCGACGAGAAGATGTCTTCGTACTGTGGGTTGGCGGGGATGGGCGTGGTGATGCGCGATGTGAACATGGTGTTGGTAAGGGGGTAGAGAATGGCTATCTTTGACGGCCCTGGGGCATATTATTGCGAAAAAAACCAAGTGGTCGATTTAGATGGCGTTTGTTTGTGCGGTGAAAGCGCCTTTTCCAGGTTGCGATTTCGATTTCGGGAGGGCCCCTAGAGTGTGCTACTCTGTACGCAGATCTCCGTGGGAGGGTTCACGACGAGTTTGCCGTGGCCACTGTTGGTGGTACAAGTATATCAACAATCAGACAACAGCGTGCCAGAGGCCGTAAATCGACAAACCCAACCCGTGATCTCGGTTGGCCACTGCTACTTGAACAGAGCATCGGTGGATATGTGCGCGGATGAAGAGAAGACGTCATGCAAGGCTGAGACGTGGGGCATTTTTAGATCCGCCAATTGGGCGAGTGGGTGGGGCGGAATTGGGAAAAAAAAGGCTGTGGCAGACGGACTGTAAATCTTTCTTCGTTCCCATATACAACTTCATGAGGTACAGATTCTCAAGTCATTGCCCGTCGTACAGCAGCACAATTTGCTGGATCCCACTTTGTGCCTTTGGAACAACCCCTCATATCCTAGGCACCCTGTGATCCAAACAATGTCTGCAGAAAAATCCCATCCCGCTCACCTGGAACCAAGCGAACTAGGCACAAAGGAGTAGTGAGTGCGTCTCTCTCGCCCCCCTGCCAAACAACCCTTCACCCAAAACCAGGGAGGAGAGATCTCGTTCTGTTTCACAGGACCGTGGACTAACACGGGGCATGTCGCCGATAACAGCTGGGACGAATACTACCGGAACGATCTGGAAAACGGTGCTCGATCTGAAGACGACGAGGAGGAGGAGGATGGCGATGGCAGTGATTCTGATGACGGGGATGAGCAACCTCCCGATCCGGTCGAGCTGGAGTCGTGGTTCGACGACGTCGGCGCTCCGGCCAAGACCCTGGCGTTTCTGACCTCGTCGACGTTCCCGCTGTCGCCGAACTATACGGGGTCATTGGTCGATCAAGATTCACGGGATGGAGATGGCAGCAGTGTTAGGGATGCTCCGTCGGTGCTGGACCTGGGCACGGGCAACGGCAGCGCCCTGTTCGCGCTGCGCCTCCACGGACACTACGCGGGCCGCATGGTCGGCGTCGACTACTCGAGCCAGAGCGTCGAGCTGGCGCGGAAGCTGCGCGCACAGTACGCTTCGACAACGAGGACGACAAGTCCCTCCGACATGGCCGATCTGGACTTCCACGTCTTCGACATCATCCACGACTCGGCCCCCACGCAGCCCTGGTGGCCCGCGCGCGACGCGGGCTTCGACCTCGTCCTCGACAAGGGCACCTTTGACGCCATCTCGCTCTCCTCGGCCACCGTCTCGGACCCGGACCCGGACCCGAACGCGGCCCAAAGACGCATCTGCGAACTCTACCCCTCCAGGGTCCTGGACCTGGTCAGACCGGGAGGCTACCTGCTCGTCACGAGCTGCAATTGGACCGAGGCGGAGGTTGTGGCGTGGTTCACGGGCTCGTCCTCAGGAGGAAGAGCAGGAAACGCCGACTCCACCGCTGCAGATACAGAGAGCGGCGAGAGGGCCGTGTTCGAGGTGTACGACACGATAAAGTACCCCGTGTTCGAGTTTGGAGGGCAAAAGGGCCAGGGCGTCGCCAGTGTGTGTTTCCAAAAACGACAGAAAACCAAGACGGACCAGAGATGAAGAAATATCTTGTTCTCCGTGAGATTTTTCTGTTTTGATCTGGCTTTATCTGCGGGATTTTTAGGAGAGGCACCATATCTCCTGTCCCGGGGGTTTCTATTCATGACCACCTCCGCAATATCCCCTGAGAAAGCTGATCAGGCCAGGGATTCTTTCCTCGAATCCAACCCAGAGGCCCTCTCACATAGCCATCCGATATTACAACCCCACCAGACTCGTGCCTCGTATTCTCAGAAACTTGCCTGCGGTATTCCGGGCCGGGCCGGACAATGGTCGCTTTGATCATCACTCATCTCGCTCATTGTCAAATCTAGTTCATCAGCATATTCACCGCCCATGGGACTGACAACTGGCGCAAATCCCCGTAATGCTGACCCACGCCAATAAATTGAACTGGCACCGAAGTCGCATGCACAAGACTGATCATTGTCCCGATCCCCGATCCAACCGTGTCAACCTTCGAGACGATGAACCCATCGAGCTTGCGGTTCTTACCCAGCGCCCGGGTGAAATTCTGCGCCTGGCCTACCGAGTCATTGCCGACCAATGCCTCCGCAACTTGGAGGATCAAGTCAGGTTTCGCAAAGTCCACCAGTTTCTCCAGCGCCGCCATGAGTTGTGTGTTGGTATGGGCTCGCCCGGCCGTGTCGATAAGCACGACTTGGTAGTCGTTTTCTTTGGCGAAAGTTACCGCATCTCTGGCCACATTTGCCGCATCTTTGCCATAGCCTCGTTCATAGATGCTGACTGCGCCGAGCCCTTCGCGGGCGGTGAGCTCCCTCAAATTCCGCACATGGACGTTCAGCTGTTCCACGGCACCGGATCTAAATGTGTCACCTGCGGCAATCAAGACGCGATAGTTGTTTTGCAGGAGAAAGTAGCAGAGTTTGGACAGATTGGTGGATTTCCCAACGCCATTCACCCCCAGGATGGTGATGACGAATGGACGGGGTTGCGCCTTTGCCCCCGAGGGATTCGCGACCGACTCGATCTGTTGGAGCAGGTCCAATGACGATCGTGGCGTGAGGATCTTCCTGAGTGAATTTTCCAACGCGGGTCGCAACGCAGCATCGATTGACTCGAATGCTCCCGTCTTCTTCCCAACCATTTCAGCCTCCACCCCTTGACACAATCGAATAGCTGCGTCCCGAGCGACGTTCTTATTGATCAGGTGTTCTTCCATCGACCTCAGAGGTTTCTCAAGATCTTCTTTAGTCAATGTCTTCCCGCCCACGATATTCCTGAAATATCCCGAAATTGCTCCAAAGGTCGATTTTCCAGACCCGTTGATCTCGCCCTTGTTGGCGTCTGCCGATTTGAGGATATTGTTCACTTCATCCCCCAGATCTTTAAGCACAAATTGGCCTTGTTTATTCTTCGTGCCCCAACTCTCTTGTGAAATGGTTTCGGGTGGCGCAGACCTCATCCCTACGTCGCCATTGGTGCCAGCATCAGCGGCCGAGTAGTCGAGTTTCACATCATCTTCCACATCGGCAATCCCGTCAGGACCCCAAACTCGACCCTTCTTCGCGCTGCTTTTGGTTGGTTTGGATTTTCGAGCTTCGTCTCCACTCGAAACATTTGCAGAAGCAGTAACGTGCGCGGCCTTCCTTGCTCTACGAGAGCCTCGACTCTGCGGTCTGCCGTTTTCCGTCAAGAGGTGTGGCGCAATGCCGGGAAGAGGAGTGGTTGGACGGGATGTATCGGGTGAGTGCACGGGAGTGTTCTGGAGAGAATCTGCGTTGGTCACCGGCACAGCTTTGCGCTGTGCCTTGGCAGACGACGGTGTTTCTGGTGGTGGTGGTGGTCCTCCAGTGTCCCCCCCTTCAGCACTTGTTTTCTTTTCTTCCAGCGGCAATTCAACGTGACTTGGCTCCTTGGTGATAGCCCCGCCCATGCTTTCATCCAACCGACGCATCTCTTCGTCAAAATACGGATCAAAGGGATATTTCAGAGCAGCATAATCGAGCTCCTCTAGCTGGCCCCGATAGACTTCGACAAAGATGGTCTGAATGTCGTCGAGTAATTTGTCCACCCAGGTAAGGTGAAGGAGGGACTGGTAGACGGCCACAAAGATCAAGCCCAGGTCCTTGACCAGTGTGTATTTTAAGGTGTACTTGTCGTGTCTGTACGTGGGATTGTTGGAGCTAGTTGCGGTCGGGCGGACTTTCTCTTCGATGAAGACATCGTTGATCAAACTGTTGACCGCGGCTGCGCCAATTTTCGAGGAGGATCTCGACCATAAGACAACACCAGAGGTCGTCAGGATCTCAAAGGCGTCCAACATATTGCGAGACAAGGCTGGCTTCCACCGGGGACGGAGGCTACAGGCGAGCAAGGAGGGGGGACAAGAGGCGCACGCGAGAGTGACAGAAAAGCGCTATGGACCTGCGACGGGGAGTTGAAATGTGCCAAAATGACGTTGAATTTCCTGCCACGTGTTGATACGGAAAAGCGAATCACGTGGAGATAGCAACGGACAAGCATTTTGTACATTTAGCGCAGTCGTGGCACGTATTCACGTGATTCAACTCTTCCTCATCCCTGGTCCTTGCTGTCTCTCACCTGACTGCAATAGTTGCTACTCGTTCATTAGTCCGTCCCGTCGGTGAATGCCTGGCTCTTCTCACCTCCCTGTTGTCATCCAACGACCAATTGCGTTCGCTTCAGGAAAGAGGCATCAGCTGAGGTGGGTGGTGCAACTAACAAGCAACGCTTTGCAGGGGAAGTTAACCATGCGGCTGTATGCTACGGACTCTGCCTTTATTTCAACATACTGTCCTATTGATGGCCGCAGAGACTGGCAGTCACCAGTCTGACCCCGGTCGAGATCAACCACTCTGTGTCCGCGAAGATACCCAGTCCCCAAATTCGTCCTGGTTCCGGGTCTGGATGTAAATCCTACCAGGCCCTGTAAATCGACAAACAAGACCCTCGCCGGTCGTCACGCTGTGAATACCTCCTTTGCCGGCCTTTTCAATGGCATATCGGCAGTTCCATGCGACAAGATGACCGTTGTCAACAATGTGTTGTTCGTTGGCTTGAAGCTATTGCATTCGTTAGACGAGTGTTGTAAAAGAGGATCACCGAAGGACACAGGCCCAGATGGGACGAATATCAGGAGTATGGATCGGATCCACTTACATCTCGGGTGACAATAGCACCAAAGGACGTGACCCAGAGTGTCCCCTGGCCAGAGATGCGGTAGATGAACAAGTCTTCCCCACTGAAGAAAGCCTTTCCGAGACCCTGGCTCTTGGTGTCCTTCACAACTCCACTCGTGCAGGCCAGAAAAGCATCCTTGCCGAGATTCCAGCCCTCATCTCCTCGAACAGGAATGGCCGTGATATCACCAAACAAGGTAGGTGCCAGAGATACTTCTCCAGGGCCAGTGAAGGTGGATTCATTCATTTCCCCGCCCGTGAACATCTTCTTCATGCTGAACTTGACCTTTCCTTGGAGCACGACGGTGGGAGACATCTGGATCATGGCGCCGGGCTTGGACTTGATGACGGCACCTTGGGGTAGACGCACGTTCAACATGGCATTCGTGTCACGGTTAGTGATGGAATATGAGATCCCATCCGCTGTGGAATGCCAGCTTGAATCAAAAGACCCTGCTGCTGCTGTTGGCGCTCCCTGGGGGGCATGATGTGGTGGTGGTTGTTGCTGTTGTTGCTGGTGGTGCTGAGGTGGATATTGCTGTGCCTGCTGGTATTGATTCTGGTATTGATTTTGGTATTGGCCCTGGTCTTGATACGGAGCTTTCACGATCAGCCGTGTTGAAGTGGAGGAAGTCAGACTCATTTTCTCCTTACTATTTGAGCCATATTGTTGTTGGGGGTAGTATTGCCCCCCTGGATTCTGGTTGTACGCCATCCTTCCCTGGGTGCGTGGATATGCGGAAAGTGTTTCGGAGACGGAAACGAATCAAACGAGCAATTTACCGACTGCGCAACTCGAGGTCAATAGAATGAGAAGCACCCGACGATGGGATGACGGTACGTGAAGCCACCTGATTGTTGGAGGATTTATGCTTATATTATACTGAGAGCTTCTCACAGTGGAGGAAGAGAGGCCTGTGTGGCCTGAAGGATAAGACGTCTCTTGCATCGGTCGACTGGATTCTGGCCCCCAAACTATTGTTTTCGCCTTCAGCTGGGACGGTTTTTGTCTCGGCCCCCAACCATTGCTGGACTTTTCATTCGACGGAGGGGTGCATGACCCGACGAAAGAGCAAATCCTTCTGTGATCCTGGACCAAGACTATCACTTACCAGTTTGTTGATACATTACATGCTCGGTAACACAGTGTGGCTACCGAGTATTGGGACTTGGTCTATTATTCGCCTCCAGAGCGTTGACGCCCACCAGAGCAATATTAATGGCCTCCTCTGTGAAATTTCCTGTGGACGACCGAAACCACCACTAGTCCCAGACAGGTTATCACATTGCCCCGATCCGTCAGTAAGGTCTGTTTCTACTCGGTACTAGGGAGAAGGATTCCACCTGGAACAGGGGTCCGCACCGCGCACCCAGCGGGACCTTTGGTTGGTGACTCAGCAGATCTAATCCACAGCCTGAACTGGACACAGATTTCGCAAGGAATATTCGTACACGTTATTGTTGGATCTAGGGGACGGAGCGTTTGCGCTCAGCGCTTGGTGTGACAGACCTCGTATGATACTCGACAACCCGATAGAGGACACGATACGCATCTCTGGAGCCTGCATACGATGGAAACCAACCACATCTTCAACAATGAGACTCTCATAACGCCATTCGCACCAGTGCTTATGCCTCGTCATAACATATGCAGAGTCCCGCTTGAGCAAACTCCATAAGAGTACTTACATTTGCCACGTTGTATAGCGACCCCATCGGAGGATCTGAGAGAGGGTGGTCCTTTCAGGGCGTGTCTTTGGAAATTGCCCGCACAAGGTGGATCCCCTAGGTGGTGAATGGTCAAGAAGTTGTGTTCGGTATAGCCATATGTCCGGCTTGTGGCTGGTGAGGAGGCTCAGCGCCTCATCCCCGTCCTCGCCCGTCCATCCTGCGCGAAACGACCGTGTCTCCTCTGTGGCTAAGAGGGCCAATTTGGGTATTTACGGCTTTCCGAACTGGACCGTGGGTCAAGTCGGGGTCAGAACACATCCTTTGTCAGTCAAGGCGCCGCAACGGAGTCAAACGGCCCTGGTTTCAATTCGTCGATCAAATCTTGCGGCTGAACCAGCGTCTGCCGTCGTTATGGCTCTAACTCTGTTCACATACTAGGCGAAGGACCAAAGGATCGAGGCTGTGGACCTGGTCAGCATCGACAGACCGTTCAGCCTTTGCCATGGCGTACACTAGATGGTGAAGGGGAAGAAATCGCTGGCGCGTCAACGACAGGAGGGGTGACTGATTGCGTGGTGTCAGGACCCTTTTGTGGTTCTCGATTCGGGGCGGAGACTGTAAGTGAGATGTGCCCCCAGCATATCGACCAGCATATAAAGAAGGGGCTGCGACATGGAATACCGTCTTGAGCATCCTGACTGCACTCGATCCCAGATCTTACCATGCTTTCAACGTCTGCTCTCCACGCCTTGTGCGTGCTGGCACTCACGGTGGCAGTGGAGTCTCAGTCCGGCACACCATCATCTACCGCCACGGCAACCCTTGACGAGCCATGTGCTCAAGTGAGCGCACTTTCGAGCCAGTATATGGCGGCGCATCCCACAGGTAAAGCCTCTATCTTCAGAACGCGATACATGGCTTTTTGCAATTACTGACAGCATTGAAAGCGATTTCTTTCCCCGTGCCTCCAGGTTTGTTGAGACCTCCCACCTGGCTATTCCTGCTCGTGTCTGATGGCTGGGAATAGATGTGGCCTACGCGTGTGCACAATCCGTTCCGTTGGTGAAAGAGGATACACTTGCTGTCCTCACGGGCCTGAAGGCTTTGGTCCAGTGGCAAAGTACGCTGGGCTGGCTCAAAGATCCACCAGCAGACTGGCCCTTCCCTCCCGTCGACCTGGTGGCAGGACTGGAGGATCTCACCAACAAGGTGCAAGATGGGACCATGACGCGGGAAATTGACTTTGAAACCCAGCTAGTCGATTTGATCACTTCAGTGCGCGATGGCCACTTGACCTACGTGCCAGATGCCTACTCGGTCTTCCAGTATGGCGTCAAGGACCTACCCCTCTATTCCATGTCGACCGATGGCAAACAGCTGCCAGAAATCTACGCGGCCGCGGACGTGATAGCCCAATCCCTGGGCGGAGCAGAAGGGTGGACGCCTTCTCCCATTGTCAAGATCAACGGGACTGAGGTGGTTTCCTGGCTGAGTGAACAGGCTTTCAACGGCACCTTGACGCATCAGGACTTGGACGCTTTGTACAACCGTCTCTTCGTCACCATCTTCGCCCCAGGCACCTCTAGTGGTGAGTTCAGTGCCCCATCGCTCAGTCGATATTCGGGCTCGTCGATTGCGGTCGAGTTCAAGAATGGGACCCAAGCAACCGTCGCCATCGTAGCAGGTAGCAACCAGGACTTTACCAACGTGGTCGACGGCAAGAGTTTCTACCAGGCTTTCTGTGATCCCACCGTCAAGGCCAAGGCATCCGCGAGCTCGTCTTCGGCCTCTCCCGCCGAGCCCACCGAGACGACGGCACCCGATCCTTCTTCCCTGTACCCGTTGTACCCTTCAGCCGTGGCCATAAGTGACGACGGCACGCTCTCCGGCTACTTTTTGGACCAGGAACCAGGCGTGGCTGTTTTGGCCATCCACGAAATATCCGAGGCCGCCCAGGCGTCAACGCAGCAGACTCTGGCCAATTTCTTACAACAATGCCGGGATGCCAACAAGACCCATCTCATCATTGATGTCAGCCAGAACCCCGGAGGCACTATTCCTGTGGCCTATGACATCTTCAAGCAACTATTCCCAACTATTGAGCCTTATTTGGGCGCTCAAATGCGGGCGCACGATCAGGTATGCCATGAAATATTCCACCGTGGTGAAGTGGCTGTGTTTTCTAACTTTCTGCGTCACTTGCAGGCCAACGTCCTCGGAGAATACTATACTCCTCTAGTTGAACAGGCCGAAGAGCAGGAGGCGGTTGCCAACATCACCGACCCGGTAGTCCTTGCAGGTATATTCTCTCCGTTCGATGCCACGTCGGTGCTCAACGATAGTGGTCAAGCCTTTGCATCCTGGGACGAATATTTCGGACCAGTCCAGGTGCACGGTGACAAGTTCACGCAGCAGTCCCAGATGAACTTTTCCAATGTCGACTACGATGAAAGCAGTGGCGGCATTGTCGTATCTGGCTACGCCAACAACTCGCATGTTGCGCCTCAGCCTTTCCTCTCGGAGAACATGGTCGTCTTCACGGACGGGTTTTGCGCCTCGTCGTGCACGATCCTGCTGCACCTGCTGAAATATCAAGCCAAGGTCAAGTCAATTGTGGTCGGGGGTCGCCCACAGACCGGGCCGATGCAGGCGATCGGCGGCGTCAAGGGGTGCCAAGTTCTACCTCTGGACGACCTCGTCCCCATAGTCCAGTCGTTTTACGAGAGTGCCTCGCCGGACGAGATCAAAGCGGCCAACCAGACGGCGCTCAAGGACCTGGCCGACCAGGCCGCCACGCTGTCGCTCCGGCAGTTTCCCGGGGGCACGGTCATGTTCAACCTCCTCAACGCCATCGCGCAGTACGACGAGTCGCAGACGCCGCTGCAGTTTGTCTACGAAGCCGCCGACTGCCGACTGTTTTACCAGGCCGCGCACGCGACCAACGTCACGGCCATGTGGACCACGGTGGCCGAGCAGGCCTTTGGTCTGAACGGGCAGGAAAAGTTCTCGCTGTGCGTGGCCGGCAGCACGAACCACCCGACCAGCCTGAGCGGCAACCAGACCTTGTACCAGGGCGGCGAGATTGCCAATGTCACGGGGTACAACCCGAGCGAGGACGCCGCGCAGGGCAGCGGCAGCGGCAGCTCGTCGGATAATGGTTCTGGGTCGCTGAGGTTTGCCTCGACGGGCATGACCAGCTTGATCTTGGGGGTTGGGTTGGCCGTGCTGGCCTCGTCGACCGATTTGATCTTTTAGCCAGGAGGTTGACGTTGGTTGCGGACGAGTTTGAAGCCGAGGCTTCATCGTTTATCATTTTGTGTTTTGCATTGAGCATTCAGCATTCAGCATTGAGCATCGAGAGTTGAAGGGGTGGGGTTGTTTTTTCAGTTGTCGCGAAATGTCTTAACACATATGCTGTGCATATTCAAGTATCTATATATATCTACTTTGTGTCTATAGACTAGGTTTTGACGAGACGAGATGAGATGAGACGAGAGCAGACGAGATGATTCTACCACGACGGTACCGAGTGGCCTTTCGTGAGATTGAGATTCTACAGATTCAAGTTCATGTCGTATGTACCTGTCTACTGTTATTGCTACATACCTACATACCTACCTACCTACCTACCTATATGGCTGGGTACCTACATTAGGTGCCAACGGATATAACCACTTGCAATGGCGTCCAAGGCCCAAGGTACAAGGACAGGACCACCTGGGCAGGCCCATCGATTGGGTAGGCGAGGGCAGTTTCAGGACAAGACAGGATACGCCGGGTTCCTCCTATACATGTGTCCATGTACACATACACCCAGACATGTACGTGTGATGTACGGAGTAGGCTTTGTCATCCCCCATCAGACCACCTACACATACTGACAAAGTATGTACATACACACACATAATATACCTGGTAGATATACGCTTACATACATACATACATGGATTCTCACAAGGGTGTGGTGGGATAGCCTCGCGCGAGAAGACAACCGAGACAACCCGAACCAAGGCTTGCCCTCGCGCGAGAGGGAGAGGGAGGTCCGTTCAACTCCACACCCCATCCACACCCAACTCCAACTCCATCTTCCGACTCACCTTCTATAGTATGGTATAATTAATTATATTTCAGCATGGCTTTCAGCCTCTCACATACCTACAAATATCCGTACCTCCATACCTCCATACAAACCAAGTACACATGGCTCGATCTCGACGGTAACTTCTCTGGTGAAGATTACCTTGCCTTGCCGTGCATCGAAAACACTCCCATCATATAGATAAAAGCAAGGGATACAAACCCCCCCAATGGCATCGTCGCCGACCACAACAGACACCAGCAGACGCTCCAGCTTGGCTTGTCATCAATGCCGCCTCAAAAGACAAAAGGTGGACATCTCTCCCTCCTTCCCCCTTTCCCTGTGGATTCCTCCCCATATCGTTGTCGGTGTTTTGGACTGTCTGTTGACTGACTCTTGTCTTCTACCAGTGTGACGGCAACAGGTAAGGACACCCACAATCCAAGAAGGATCACAGGACACCTATTTGGGGGGGTCTCTTGAGGGTGACCCTGTTGAGCCTGTTCCAGAGATCACTAACAAGCAAACCTGAAAAGGTCGGGATGTTCGCAATGTGCTGCCCTCCGAATCTTTTGCACCTTTCCCTATGCAAAGAAAAGGTATGTCTCTCTCAATCTCGGATTCCTTCATGGGTCATCAACTCAGGGGGTGTCGTTTTTCCTCGGTCTGGAGAGTATTGATAGAATGCCGGTGCCAGCAAAGTCTTCACATGCTGACAACCTTCTTTTGCAGAGGTCCGGTAAAGGGATACATCGACGTCCTAGAAGGCCGCCTGTACGAGCTCGAGTCGGCCCTGCTGCAGGCTCTGCCCTTGGTATCCGACGACCAGCTCAACCAAGTCACGGCCTCGATCCCGCCCATCCCCAATCGCCGGCATTTCAGAAATCGGTTTAGCCAGCAGAGTAGCAGCGACTTCACCACGCCGCCTCCTTTCGACGTTGGGTTCCACCAACCTCAACAAGAAAGCCACCCTCGACATCACCAGCAGCCTTCATCTCGGATCATCTTGCCCGCCGGCAGTGACCTGTCTTCCAGTCCCGTCTGGAGTAACTCGGAATACCTAAGACAGGTCATGTGCGATTCGCCACATCACCAGCAGCAACACCATCAGCACCACCTACCTCCTCTGGAGCTGGCAACTTTCCTTCAAGATTCGTGGCTATCACTACCGGCGCTGAAGCTCGCGGGAGACTCGATCGCGCACCAACAGGACCAGTCTCCCGTCATCTCCGCACAAAGTCAACGGTTTGACGGTGAAGGAGGGCGAGGAGGAAATGCCCAGTTCGACTTCTTGCCCGACTTCTGACCTGAAATAGCAGCGCGAAAGAGGGACAGGGAAAATCTCCAGCCCATGGAGAGTCTCATGATCAGAAAGTAAATGGAACGATGATGGGTACAGAGGGCTGGACACCGATCCTTCTCTCTGTTGTTCTTTCTTTCGTCTGGGCAATGAACCAGAAACACCAGACTCACCGACTCAGGCCACGCTACTCGGCCCGAAAATGCAGACACCAAAATCCCTCCTGTCTTGTATGTTGCAGAGCAATGACAATATGGCCATGATTGTTCCGAACTCGGGGCCAACTTGATCCTTGTCCATCATGCATGAAAACCAACTAGCGAGAAATTCGAGAGCGAGTCGGTATGGTGGGCTGGATTGTTTGATGAATGAGTTTGCTCACATGGACCTCGCGAGGCTCGAACATGTCGCAAAACAGGGGCCTAGCTGGGTACAAAAAGAGGAACAGGACTGGCAACAAGCAACGGGGGACATAGGAAAACTCGACTCACTGCACCTGTTCTTGCACTTACTTCGGTCTGCTCCATTAGCAGTGAACAAGAAGATAGACACCGTTCAAGGGCAAGTGGCCGAGACTCCAGGATCCCGACCCCTGAACGGGTAGATGAACGTCGTGCTGGCTGGCTGGATTGATAATGCACGCGGGTCACTGCGCGGCTGTCTCGGACAACATCTCCTGGATCTCCTCGCTTCCTTTGGCCCATTGATGAATCATGGGTTGGGCTCATTCATTTTTCACACAAGCCAATCCCACACTTCACGAAGCTGTCTTTCGATAGTATCTGGTCTTAGCGAGCTTATCCGTGTCCACACCTTTCGTCTGCTCTCTTTATGTTGTTCTTTAGGATATCAGCATGAACTCATCCATTTTCCGCACAGGAGACGAGAGACGGACGCCAGCCCAAGGCAGCAACCCAACCGCAGCTTGGCAATAGGTTGCGGAAAGATGGTGAGCACTTGGGACCGCTTGAAATATCCCAACTCGGATATGGGTTTCCTCCTTTATTATTGGGGAGCTCAAATCGACGCCCTCGCAAGCGCGCCCACGGGTTTCTTGGTCCGGGGTCACCATGCGAGGGTCCCTGCACCAGCCCGACCCAATGGTGGAATAGACCTCAATAGCTCTTACTCTTACTCAGCAATCAGCGGATCAAATGATGCCACAATGCGTGTAGCGGGCCAATCCGCATCTCGCCAGATCCCGAACATCGTCTGGAGCGGAGAAGGCGAACTTCATCCTGGACTTCCTCCATTCCTCAATCTTGTGCAATAGGAATATTCATCGGACTTGAAGAATGGACATGACACCTCCTGGAAGTGAGTCGACAGACGAGAACAAAACCCTCGGCTCGGATTTCCTGTGGGTTGGTTCAGGCAGTGGCACCAGCGATCCAGCCAGCCATATTTACGAGAAAACGGTACGGAGCCATGTCCAGCGATGGTCGAAGACGCGCACTGGTCCAACAACGCTGCGCAGCGGCCCTCCAATCAATAGAAAACGAAAAGTCGCTCCAAGGGTTCAGACGATCCAGTCTCTGTCGCCAAAGTTGATGGCCAAACCCTACGGTTCGCCACCAAGTGCAGGTTGCTTCTCTCAATTTACCGCGGCGCCCATGACGCCAACATCTAGTCTGGAAAGTCCATTCGAGTCAAGTGATCTAGAATTCGCGGAGATGAAGAACGCGAGCGCGACCGAAGTTGATTCCCCGGCTGCGGGAGAGCCCAAGGATCACTGTCCACCCGAATGCGATGCACCTGTCCCGGAAAAGGGAGATTCGGGCGAAGTTGAAAGTGCCATTGTCCCAGTCTCATGGAGAGACACCCAACGAGGGGGCCAGACCTTTCAATCTCGCATCCAGCAGACTATGCGGCTTTGGCAGTCAATATCACCTGCTTTGTCCGCCACCCTCGACTCGGATAGACTGGAGAAAATGGTTCGAAGTCACCACATGACCTTCTCCGCCGTCTGCTCAGTCAAGAAAGCTCTCACCACCCGAGAATCTCAGGAGGAAGCACTGATGTTCGAGCGGCTGATGAGGAAAGGTTGCAGAGATTTGGAGGCGAAGAGAGTAAAGGAAGCTTTCTTGCTGTTTGACAAGGCGTTGTCATACCTCAAGCCGGTTCTGATCATGCAGAATCTTCGAGGAGAGCCGATGTTGCTGCGTCTCATTGCTCAATTCTCTGGACCGCTCTTTGTGCCCCTCTGGCTTCGGGTCTACCAATACATTATCGGGCTCGCAGAAGTGTTGATCAGTCCAGACAACCCTTTCGGACAGAGTGCGCGTTCGTTTATCCGGTCTCCGGTGCCGATGATCGACGCGTCAGGAATGGTTCTCCGCTGTATCCTCGACGTAGTGCAGACGCAGCTTGGACCAATGCATCCAGACGCCCTAGATTGCCTTGAATACCTTGCCTGGTCTCTGTTCGACAGGGGCCTCGGACAAGAAGCTCTGGCCCGCTTCACCGAGCTGCTGCAAAACCAGGAAGCCGCCAGAGGAGCCATGTCTCCAGAGGTATGCCATGCCGTCCGCGGGCTTGCCGAGACGCATTTGCTACTTGGTGACCTCGATGTGGCCGAGCGTCTGTTTGACGAGGTCCTTGGTTGGCGAAGCATGGGGCCAGAGAGGGAGAGCCTGCAGATGACCGCGATCAGGGCCAGGTGCTTGCTTTCTCTGTCTCTCCTGGCGGAGCGGCGGCAGAATCCATTTCGTGCACGGTGGCTGTTGCAGCAGGCGGCGGATACAGCGTCTTGGGCACACGGTGAAGGTGGCCAGAACACTGCAAATGTTTGCTTCGACGAGAACCTCCCGGACCTTGATCCACTGGACGAAGTCAAAGAAGAGATCCAGAGGGTGCTGGACGCAGTGGAGTCGTGCTCGATTGATTGATTGAGTGATTGACTTCTTTCTGTATGGGTCGAGGTCAACTCCTAAATGAACGGAGAAGCTGAATGTCTCGGGCCCGCCAACATGGAACATTGGGCCTCGCATAAGAGAGAGCCATCTGTCGCCTTTCCCAGCGTCTTTCATTTGTCCCAGTCCATGCAGAACCTTTTGCTCGGAGTCATTTGCCGGACCCGACTTGCGGGACGTCAACTGGCCAAGGGCGAGGGGGGAGGATCGAGAGACAGGCTGTAGTGGCGTGAATCTAAAAGTTGACAGCTCCATGCATCACCAGGGAACAGGGGGTACCCAGTATGTCGGAGCAGGGCATTGTGAAAGGGACGCATCAGAATAACAGTCTGTACGAGGTATTGATGTGTCTTTGCCATATGGTTGGCTTTGTCGTGCAGTGCCAGAGTGCGCACCTCGCAAAACCACAAAGTCTCCGACGCAGGTTGGCCAGGTACCGAAGATGCAGGCCAGGGTGCGGAAAGCAGGGCGAGAAGTCAAAGTTGCAGGCTGCATTATTGGGCAGATGGGGGTGTGTCTGTTGGCGAGACAGCCACGAGTCCACAGGTCCACGAGTCCACCACGGGTTGACCGCTCAACGCTCAACGGCTTAACGGGAGGGGAGACAATGGGGACTTCCAGGGGCAACACAGGCATTTGACAGGCCCCAGGCACCGCCTGACAAGGCGTGTTAAGGTCCAACCGGGCTCAACCTTGAAAGGACGCGGTGCGTCATAGCATCAACTCTCTCGACTCTCTCGACTTTGTCCTCAGTTCTCGCCTCGTCTGGACCAGCAAGACTTCCCCCCATCACTAAGACATACTCTATCACCCTCTCCTTTGTACAGAGTCCATCTCCATCACCTCCTCGCTGCCGCTCATCACTGCCTACCCTAGACGCCACCGCAACCAACAGAGTTTCCTCGTTCGCCTATCTTTTCCCAAGCACAACTAGTCCCAGACCGTAGGGCGATGGCCTGGGACCACATAGACAACGGCTCCCCTCCCCTTTTCTTTCACTGTGACTGATCCCCGATATCCACAACGAAATGCTCGCGAGCTTCGACCCTCGTCTGGCCCCATGTCGCATGTCCCCCACGCTGAAGAACTCAGTTGATGTGATCAGCACAAAGAAGAAAATGCAGGATACCCTGTGGAAAGCGCCTTGAACCACTCATCAGAAGTTTAAGGACCACATGTCTGGTCCCAGCTCCTATTACGTACGTCAAGCTGACGGTCTGAAAAAAGAGTCTGTACATCAGAAAGAAACCTCTGAGAACAAGATATCAAGCTAGACTAGCTTCTTTACAAGGGATATCTGAGGTACAGAGCAAGCTAAGTAAGCTGTTCCCATATCTTCCTGCAGTTTGCATAAGTGCTCATTGCAGGGATAGGGAGATCCTTCTGCACATGCCGTAGAGTCCTGCATGGTATCGAGGACACATTCACCGACAAAAGCTCAACACTCGTGGCCCCTCCAACCATATCGTCTGCCTCCTGGCTATCCCGTCTCAAAAGACTGGAAGAAAATCTTATACAAGTTGAATTTTGTTTAACCCCCCAGAAAAGTTTTGGTTTCCAGTGTCTTGCGACCCACCGCCTGTCTCATTGTTCTCTCGCGCCGAAATTTCTTCTTTTTTGTATCCTGATGCCCCATCCCCAACCATGTCCGGCCTTGAATTGACCGACCTCAAAAGTAAATTCGTCCTTCAGAAATATTCGTCTCGAATCATAATCGTTCATGGTGTTGTGTGAAGCCACCCAATCATTAAATCGTAATATAAAGTCTGGCAGAAATGAAACAACACAAGTTCAAAATAGTCTTAGCTGAGCCAGACATATACCAAGTATACATCATGGCTGGCTGTTGACAAGCAGCCATCAGGTGGTGGCGTTGGTGGGGAATAGAGAATAGGAAACGCGAGTGTTGCGTCGGGGTCGAGAGGTTGCTGTGGTGGCACGTTTGCGGCCAACTTGGGCCTTTGACAGTTCGACTCCTGGCATCGACGACGTTCTCTCAGGGACGGGGATCTGAGACGCAGAGACACCCCGGTCATGCTTGATTGTTGGAGATGTAGTGAACGGTCCAACACATTCAAGAACTTGGGAATCCGCCGTCCTACTGCCCTGCGATCCCTCTCGTATCGTGTCCTGGCTCCCTTCTCTGAAGTGCTTCTCGAAGGAGGCGCCGAATTCTCCGAGATCAAGATTGAGGCTTTCAACCGAGTTCGCGAAACTAGCTAGATGGGCAATATCGGACAGAGTTGTGCTAGAATTTGATGACCGGTGCGTGCCAAAAATCGAGGCAATAATGCTTTCCTGAGAGCTCGACTTGCTCATCGTCGAGACAGGACTTCGCATGGCCCGGGTGCGAAAAGCGTCAGTCGAGGCAAAAGTATCCTGTGGTTGATGAAGATTGCTGGCAGCTGCTTCATCCAAGGAGACGATGGGCACTGGCTTCGGAGACTCTATTCCAAGCCCAAGGAGTGGAGATGATGGTTCCTGCTCCTGGTGGCGGCTAGGGCCACTCTCGTCGCGAGAGGGATAGTTTGGCATTTGCATTGTCAAAGGAGTCGAAGCCGAGGAAGATGCTTCATCGAGAGTTGGCTGCTCCACCAACAAATAATTCTCCCGGGGTATGCTCAGAGCACTGGGTCGACTGGGGATTGTGGTTGGAGCGTTGTTTCCACCATCCTCGTCGAACTCTGCATGTTCCCACGAGTAATCAATGGCGTCCTCCCAATCCTCGATATCGATAGGCTTCACACCAACAGAGAATCGATTCTGGGTCTTGGGACTGGCGTCTCCCCCTGCGTCTTCCGAGTCAGTCATTTCTAGATTCGAGGTCCTACACGGCGAGGTGTAGCAAATAGCGTCAAAATGTATTTCACCAGATGATTGACTTCGCCGCTTGCGCTGTTTCGTGGAAGGCGAGCCGAGGACGCCCACAACTGCTGGTTGGGGCGAGGAGTCAACTGGTTCTGAAGTAGCCTTCTCTTCGGGATTTTCTTCTTCAACCACCTCCATTAATGGTCTTGGAGGCGACGGCAATGGAGCAGTGCGAAGGGGAAGTGCAATGTCGTCCCTAGTTGAGACAGCGTGGACAACTTGGTCGTGTGGCAAGTGTGGGAGCGGCTTAGCCAAGGCTCTCGCATGACTGACAGGGCTCATGGCGGACAACCTCTTGGTGGTCTCCGAGGAGGGAGAGATATCAACAGGAGCAACGGACAGTCTCGTTGGCCGAGAGAAATTCTCCATCGAGCGAGACAGCCGAAAGTCTGAGGGACTATATGGCGGCATGAAGTTGTCCTTTGGTGGTGGGCTTGGGCGCGTTGGGGTTGTTGGTAGATACGGAATAGCATTGGTAGTCGGCGAAGTTGGTTCGTCAAATCCAACATGAATCTTTGATTCCTCACCAGTCACGGGAAGGTCCGTGACAGGGATCCCCCGGATCTGGCTGATGGGCTGCTGGTCCGCCTGTACAGCATTGAATTCTGAGGTGAGGTCTGTTTTACTGACTGAGTCCAGGCTCTGGAATTGGGCTTGGTCTCCGTGAGTCAGATGTTGGAAAGCAAAGGGGCCCGAAATGCTCCGTTTTAACCCTAGATACTTGTTAGACATTGGCATCAGATAACGGGGCCAGGCAATGGATTCTCACGTCTGGAGATCAGGGTGGGCTGACGTTGAATGCCCTTTATTGGAACCATCTCGGCAGCCCTGTCTTCGGGGATGGTGCTGGATCTATCTTCCATCTGGGAAGGCAAAAGGTTCAGCTTACTCCCTTGCCGTTTCAACATGCGAGTGCCCTTGTTCAGCAAGCTCTTCGCAGTACTTTCTTGACGCTCCATCAGTGGCAGTCCACCGTCGACGTGACTCTGTCGGGAGGAAGGCCTCGAGGCAATTTCATTGGAAGAATCTGACAAAGACCGAGTGTAGGCAGAAAACGACGAGGTGATCGTGTTCGTCCGCGACCTCACTCGAGGTTTAGGTGATAGGTCAGGATTCCCAGATTCGGCACTTGAGTACTCTTTGATTAACTCGGTCAAGGCATGGCCGGAAGGCTCATTATTGTCCACTGAGGCCCAGTCGCTGGTAGCGACATGCAGCTTGTCGCTGCTTTGCTTGGAATGTCCCTGACTCCATGGGAAGCGACCCATTTAGATCTCGTGTCGTTAGGAGGTTGACAATATCCTACGACCAACAACACACAAGGCTTCCGTTGTCTCATTCACAAGTGGTCCGGAGCAGATTTGTTCACGCCCGGCTTTGCGTATATGTAAAAGGTGGTCGTATGGCGTTGGCTCGAGTGGAGAGCCGTGTTGAGATTCCGGGGAAAGGGAGGATCGTTCGATAAGACGCGGGCTCTATATGGCACACGGGCTGCCTCGAACTGATGTTTCAGTTAGTCGACACTGCCATCACGTGAAACATCTCATGTATTCCTTCAGCTCTCTTACCGACAATCAACATCTGAAGGCGGAGGGGTTTCAAGGTACTGCCCCACCAAAGTGTCTCTTCAGATAAATTAGACACACCGATCTAACTGAAGAGCCTAGGAAGTACTCGGGGATTCTGCTCGTCGAGAGGGTTTGATCGTCTTGCTTTGTATAAGGGCAATAACAGACCCGGAAAGCTGTGTTGTGACAGGGAGGAACGCGTTAAGCTAGCGATTAAACAACTTGCAATTGTATCAAAACAAATCTCGATATGTCACAGTCAATATCACTGAGGTGACTTCATAGAATAGCAGTGGCAGCAACACAATCTGGACGATATACAAAAAGCTGAGAATGAAAGACAAATGTGAATCACGAGCGGGAGACCAGATATTTGGGCCTGATCTTACCAAATGGCAGAGCCCCGACCAGACAAAGAGTGGAGTGAGTAGCACGACCCTCGTCGTTCATGGGTCGAAGGCGTAAACATGCAGATACTCGTAGGTAGAACCCGAAAGCAGGGGCAGCGAGTGGTCCAAACTGCCGGCGAGGCTTGATGGCGGGATAACGGGGTCAAAAGAACAATCTAAACCGCGGAAGGCAAGGCTCCAGAGCGTAATACTTTCGACAGACGCGACTGAGACTGCCGGCTCGAAAAACACCCCCATCTTCGCAAAGCAGAAAGCAGGGGACTTGGGGGAACGTTGCGTTATGGTGGAGGTGTGAAGGAGCAGGCGAGGAGATTTGATGGGGCCGTCTTCTCGTCAGGAACAGGTGGATTCTGCAGTGACTTTTCGGTGGGTCGTATTCGTTGCGTGGGCGGAAGCCACAAGCCGGGACCTTCTACTCGGAACCAGGGGGTTTTGTACCTAGTTGCTAAACCAGGATGCTGGTAGTGCGTGTGGTGGTGCTGCTTGCGCATCGGCGTCATCCTCCGGCGCCGAGATGGGCTAGCCCACTTATCGTGTCATTTGTGGAACTCTTTTTCTTCCTGCCCACCCCTGGCTTTTTTTTAATACCCGTTGGACGAAGCGCGCGTCCGCTGGCAAGTGCCGCGGTCGGGCAGGGAGAGGAGGGATACGGTAGTAGTGCTATTTTCATGCGTCAGGGCGCAGACAGAAAATCTCCAGCACCCGATGTTGAGCATGTGGTATGACGAATTGCGGGAGATGAGGGTCAAGGGTCAATTCAATGAGTCCCGACTCGCAGGTGCAAGAAAGTGTTCCCACTCAGCGAGAGAAGCCTTGTCCAATGTTGACAAGTCGCTGGAGAATTTCAGGCAATCGCTCGAGAGGCCTGACGGGAAACCTCTGGCGGTAACAATGAGTGTATGTTTTGATCGACATTCGACCGAGTCAGACTGGGCGATTTCTGCAGCTGTCAGCAGTGGCTTGACAGTAATTGCTCTGTATTGGACTGGAGACTTGATGAAACGGGTCTTGGACGCGCTAAGCGATGAGGCAGACTGGGCAGAAGACCTCCTTTTTCCGAGAGGGGGTCAAAATGGGGAACAATGGCAGATTTCGGCGAGAAGGTGGGTAGAAGCTTCTGTGTGTAAGAGAAGAGAAAAGTTAGCGAGGTGAGGATTCCGGGAGACACGGAATTCATCTGCACACAAACCATGAAAAGACGATCCAAGGGACCATCACAGACCTGGATAGAGATCTGCCCAACGGCCCTTTCCGTGTATGGCTAGTAGCGGTGCTAGTGCCAGATAGTATCGCGCTAGTGAACCTAGCGCGACGCGGGCTGCATCTCCTCTTCATGCATCACTTGCGCTAAACTAAGTTGGGAAGATATCGCAACATGTCTACGACTCTACAGGCTCCCACGCCATGATGGCCTTGAGGTACCTTGTCCAGGTCCTACCTAGTAGTAGTGACTTGAATCCATCGTTGATACATGGAGCAACCGACTACGTTTTGGAGTAGGAGACTCTCTTCACCCAATTGGCACTCCTCTCGCCGACTCTGCTGGGAAGAAGACGTCCAGATCGGTACAGATACTTCGAATAAGAAAATACAGATTGTTTCCTGTCACGGCGGCAGCAATCTCATAGGACTTGGAACTGCTTGACGGACATGGAAAAGTCAGATATCGGAATTGTGCGTGTCCACGCCCAAGTCATCAGAACTGACTTCGCCGTCCTCGACGGAGGGTTCCTTCTTCCGATGATCGACATGTCCTCCGTGTTGGTTTTGATGCAGTGCCGACTCGTCCTCTGAAATGGTGCACAAAGGTATACAAGCTCTTCCGTGTTGTCTGCGGAGGAGCTTCTTCAAGGCACCCGTGCTCGACCGGAAGAAGGTTTTGCCCATCAATATAGGGCTTAACTGATCGACCGTGAGAGAAGCTGCTCGCAAGGCCCCTCCTATAGTCCTTTCGGTACCGGAATCTGCAGAGTCCATGCCAGGGACGGTACCTCGGAAGTTGATCAGACCATCATGGAAATATCCAGCTTGTGGACTGAAAAACAATATTTGTTGGAGGGCCAGGAGATGAGAACAGAGGCAGAGTTTGCATTTTGGCTCTGCGGGTGACGATCCCCCTGTTGTGCACCACACCATCCCAAGTACTCGGTACCCTAAACATTTTCTCGTCCCAACTCTTGATATGATTAGAGTGTATATGATTTCCGAGTCAAAATCAACAGATCATGTGGTGCTCGAAATATACGAGCTCCTTTCCACGCGTCTTTCTTCCTTTGAGAGAGAGAGCCGCGTCGTCCACGAGTATCAAACCAACCAGCACCACCACCAACATTTCGAGGTAGTACTAATTTCGGGCTTCAGAGTTACAATCACCCGGTCACTCGCTCCCACGCGTCTTGTGGTTGACGACTTCGACTATCAATTGTAGGTGTGTTCGGTACTCGGTACAGAGAACAACTCGCAGGATTTGTGTGACTACTGTGACCACCTTATCTTGAAGTCGAAGCGAGAGGGAGAGAAAAAATGACCGCGCAGAAAACTGGCCTTGGCGTCGTCGATAGTTGTGATGGCTTCAGGCCTTTTCTTTTCTTTTGGCTGAGAGTAAGCCATTGGGCACTGACCGTTTGCATTCACCTTATCAGTCACACCAAACAGGTGTTGAACCCCCGCGTGCCGATACCATTGACAGTAATGGCTTTGTTGACAATGTGACGCCTGCACTGCAGATGTTCAGCGCCTGAGGGGCACAAGAGCCATCAACAAGTCAGGCACTTTTTTCATTGACAGAGCACTCATCTTCCAGCCAACCGGAAAATATCGTCTCCTCATCCCCTGTTTGGACTGCTGCTGAGTGCCTAATTACAGCAAATCACTCCTCAGAAGTGGAAAAAGTAACCGGCTCGCTCTGGGTGTCCCGTGTGCCCGTGTGCCCCTCCCTCCTTCCGACCTCGCTTATCGTTCTCGCTTCCTCTCGCAAACAGTTGCCACCAGTTCGATAAGCTGCCTTACAAGACTCCAAGAGCTAGGGACTGAGGAAGAGGAGGAAATGTTCAGCCAGCTACAAGTTGCACGGACTAGCCACATCTGCCAGGAAAGGCCTAGGAGCGGTGAGGACAGATTCAGGGTTTGGTGAGAGTGATTGTGTGCACCACACCAATTCCCACGCGTCTACAGGACATCGATACCACCAACAAGCTCCTCAGAAACATGCGTCGGGTTAGCTGCACATCCACCCACGATAAGTCACCAAGGAATACCAGCCATCAGGGACTTGTTGCTCTTGTTCGTCAATAGCACAGACATGCTTTCTCGGCTGTCTCAGGGTCTTCTCCAGGGAAAGATACCAAATATTGGGGGGCATGAGGGGCTCGTATCCGCCAACCTAAAGTCACATCAATAACACAATTATTGGCTCACTCCAAGGACAGGTGAGAGATACCGTGAACTCGACGGAAGGACAACCTTTGGGGAAACACATCTACGGCTTTATTGGCCTGAGTGCGGCATCGCAACTCAAGGCTGCATGAAAATAACCTGCGTCGGTTTCATTGAGTTTCGAGCGCAGCATTGTCACAACCAGAGCACACGAGAGTCTCTCGTCGTTAAGCACTCGTACAACATCGGGCATCTGCGAGCGAGCCAACAAGAGCCTTCTCTATCTTCCGCAGCAACTCCCCACGAGGCGGAAGTCCTGCTAGCTCCCCCTTCGTAGCTTGCATCGCCAGGGGTACTGCGCATGTTGTAGCGCAAGAAGCTGCAGTTTTCCACATGGCAGCGCCCTCTGGAGTAATCCTCAAACCTTGTCGAGCTGGTCCTGGGCTCGGTGCAGGAATGCGGCAGCTTTCCCCTGACAGCCGCTTCAGGCACCCAGGCACTTTTGCATTTAGCCTGCAAATATCCAATCCGTTGGTCGCATGCTCTCCACGCTCGAAGTCCGGACAAATCACGATAGCAGGAGAGAGGTCCTCTGGAGGCCAGTCTGCTGAAGACTTTCTGGGAAGTGTACTCCTTACGACGAGTATGCGGTGAGTACTCGTACCGAGTACATTGAGCCATGCTCTTTCTTAGTGCATCTGTCAAAGAGCCGTCTGCTGCCTCAACGACAGCACGTCTACCACACAAAACCTAGGCAATTTTGTGTGTCTTGGTGGCTTTTCAATAATAATCACTTCTGACTTCAGCCACATCTGCAAAGAGACTCCAGGCGAGGCCATCAACCCTGCAAACTCAGCTATAAACTTTGTCGACGAGGAGAGTCTGATCACCACGAAGCGCGACATGGCGTTTTTCTCTCCAGGGAGGCTAATCCCGTCTGCTCCAAGCGTAACGCTGATTGCCGTGGCCTTCTCCAGAATTGCTCCTCTACGGTTGCGGAGCGTCCATGCCGTGTGCGCTCAATAGTTCAAGTCGCGTTCAACAATTTTGGTCCATTTGTACCAGGTACTCTGCGGCACGCGTGAGTACAAGGATCAAGGACTATTCCCGCGTCCTGCAAGGGAGAATGAGCATTCAGTGCCTTGTCTTTGCGACATCCACAAGATGCCCACAATCGCGGTGTCTGACCTTTCGCCTGCGAGTACCCCGGTAGACGGTTTCAGCTGTCTGCTCATGCAATCAGTCCACACCTGTCTAGCTGGCGAAGCAAAGCAGGGGAGTTACTGGCACCTCATCAGCCCTATGGCGCCTCTTGCAGATGCACGGAGAAACAGCCCTCGGGAATTTTTGCATCGACCATGTTTTGTGCATGTATTGTACGTACAGTATTCGTCTACCAAGTACTCCCTTACCGAGGCATCAGCGGACACTGTTCGTCTTCGAGGACCAAGCGAAACAGCTCCACCATGCCACAATTGGTATTCTTGATCCTGAGTCTACCAGCATGTATGTACTCCGTACTCGGCACATTCATTGTCAGGCACAGCATCGACAGCCCGTCTCCACAGCTTCAATACTCGCAAATGATTTCAACCAGGGCACTCAGGGCTATGATTATTAGGTGCTTACGCCCTCTGAGACCTTGCCAAGGGAGAGTATACGGAGTAGAGGAGGTACTTGTACGTCTTACCTACGCTACAGCTAGTTGGTCTGCGCAGAACGAACCTCGATTCAGCTCCAACAGTACCTCGTACATGTACCTGGTACTGTACAGTGGGTGCTCCTCATGGCCGTGGACACTTGGACATCAATGCCGACACGCAGGACCGATTAATCCCCGTTGTGCCCACAATCATGCAGTCTTTTGTTTGTTACACTGCGGTCCATGTCGAGGCCACAGAAAGGACATTATTTGACAGCTGTCACCCGCAAATCACGATTTCGGTATCACTCTCTGAAGACTGGGTCCGTTGCACCCCGGTCACGTCTGGCGAACCCAGGATATCGCTGCCAAAATGCAGGCCCCCATAGCAAGCCCAAGGTATTCATCCCCTTTTTCCCCCCTACTGCGGATTCTTTTTTTTTCCTCTGCTGATCCTTTCCCTGCATAATGATGTCTGGCTGTCCACATTTCCCTTTTCTCTCATACGCGGCCTAAAGGGAACTCCCCCAGCCATCGGGGACCTCGCCAGTGCCCGATAGTCCCAAGTGTAGGTTGCCTTACCAGGTGTCTCACTTCGCAGCCAATCCACAATAACAATAATAATAATAATAATACTGGGAATACCAGACTCGGTTGGAAGGAAATTTCTGCCCTCGCACACAAAAGATCCTCCTACTCGGAATGGCAGTGGAACATCCCCTGACATACCAGCGGGGCTCATAACGCGCCCTTCCCCATCGCAGCTGGGTATTCATGCAGGCACAGTTCAATACTATTGCTTGTCCAAAGTCCCGGAGAACAGAAATTCCCACTGCGAAATATTCTTTCTCAAGGAGATAAATCGGTTATACAGAGCCGGAAGAAAGTGCGTGCCCACTACACGCTTGCCAGGTTAAAGGGCATTGCCCCCTTTTGCTGGGTGTTTTGGAAGTGGGACGGTCAACCAAACAGCGTCCTGTTGCCAGCTTCAATCGCCTTCCGCTCTCCTTCACTCATGTCCGGAGAGAAATCCCACATCGTTTTTCCCAGTCCCATGGCGCGCTTCCCTGCATCATTGACTTGATCCCAGGATACAGCTCCAAGAAAGCCAACCTCGCCATCACCACCGGCCCCGGGGAAGTCTGGCGGCGGGCTGTATGCCAGTGCACTCATCCGTTGTCTCTTCAAGAACTCGACATTGGGCCCGGTGATTGCACATGCAGGAATATACATGACGCTACTGTCACCTTTGCCACGGTGCTCCTTGTCTACCGCGTGGATCTGGGGATCGCTGTCAGCTTCTCCATGGCATTGACCAAATGGGGGCCATTCACTATGACGCTGACTTGGCCAAAAACAGACAACATCTTTCAAACAGGACAAGGGACTCACCATGTCACAATGCCAAGCGACATAATCACCCGGTTCAACTTTGGGCATGCTCACCATAGTGGTGTCAAGCTCGAGGCCAGGGTGAGATACAGGGTCATATTCCTGACATGCAGCTGGTACGGAGTTTGGAAACGTGGCGTCCAGGTTCAGCTTGCCGGTCTGAAGATCGATAAATGGTCTCAGTATCAGGTAAGATGTGGCATGCCGAATCAAGGGGCAGACTCTCAGGGTGCCTTCACCAGGGCCCGTTGAGGACATGGACAGCCAGCCCTGAAACAAGCGAAACATGCTGCAAGCACCGGCTCCATTGTACAAGTCCATCCTGGCATCGATGCGGTGGCGTGCGTCGAAGGGGTCATACTCTTCCCAGCGACCCTTGAGGATGGGCTGATATACGCGAGCATACTCGGGATCTTCCCAGCGCTCGAGACTTCCCCCATCAGTGTGCGGGCCCAGTGAGAACTTTGCGTCGCCCGGTTGCCGGATGCGAAAGCGGTCAGCGTAAGTCAGAGGGTAGGTTGTAGATATCTCTGACGACGGGTCGGAGGAGTGCCAGAAAGAGGCGAGAAAAGACTGCGCTTTCAGCATGTTCGGATGAGCCCGTGCTTGGATCTGGGAAGGAGTCCAATACAACTCGTACACGGCAGGATTATCTGGCGGGAAAGCTCTGACTTTGGACCGATTCGCGGCAATATATTCCTTGGCTTGCCGTTTGAGATCCAGCGCCTGCTCTCGAGGGAGAACATTACGAATGACCGCAGTCCCTCGATGGCGGAGCGCGTCGAGCTTCGCGCGAGGCACAGTCCCAGCAACGATATCCCGAAATTCAATGCTAGGAATAACCTGGAACGCAACATTCAGCCATTTGCATATCTCTGACGGAAGGGATGGAGCGTACGTTACTGCCTTGTGATCTAATCTCGGCAATCTCCCGCTCCAGACTCTCCGACAGTCGCTGCCAGGACGCTGTTATGGCGTCTTCATTGCCCTTGATCAATTTCTTCTTCAACGCGCTGAACCGTGGTGGCAGAGGATCAGGTTTCTTGCCAGATAGAGAGGGAAAGACGGAGCTGATGTCACCGGCCTCTTTGGTCAAGGTGGAAGCGGCACGACGCAAGGTGGTGTTGAGGTGACTCTTCATGGTCTCTGCGCGGGTGGGGGGGCGAGCTGAATATGCGACGGTGTCAGACTCTCTCTCACTGCTCTCTATTTTCTGTTTTCTGTTCTCTGTTCAGTTCCATTGTCTGAATTTATCCTCGATCATGCCGCGAGAGCCACCGGATACGCTTCCGAACCAGGCGTAGCGTGAACCGCCATGTGGTTGTATTTTGCGGAGGCAAAAATGGCCCGATTCGAGTCAACCACGCTATGCCTGAAGGTTGTAACCTCGGTCTCCTTGGTTTAGAGCTTCGTGAGGGGAGGGGTGTCGTTCGACGTGGGCCATCCAAAACACGGGGGTCCTTCAATAACATACAACACTGCTGCCTCGGGATACCGAGGCAGGAGGTTGTATATGAAGCCCACAAGGTGAACCCTTCTCCAGATTGAATTCGACTTTGTCATCTTGAACCCCCCTTCTGTCCTCCACAAGGAATCTGTGCAATGGCTCAGCAAGTACAAGGAAAGACAGCGATTGTCACGGGCGCTGGCTCCGGTAGATCTTTCACTCCGATGCAACCTCAGCCCAACGAGGCCAAAAAACTGACTTCAGGCGACCACCAACAGGGATTAATCTCGAGTTTGCCCGTCTCCTTCTGGAAAATGGCGCCAACGTCGTGTTTGCCGACCTTAGTCTCCGACCAGAAGCCGAGAAAGTGGTCCAGAAGTATCAATCGACTGCCAACAAAGCCGTCTTCCAGAAGACCGACGTGACCTCGTGGCCGGACCTCGATGCCATGTTTGCCGCAGCTCAGCAACAATTCGGATCAATCGACATTGTGTGCCCGGGAGCAGGAGTATTTGAGCCGGATTGGAGCAGCTTCTGGCACCCACCGGGGACGGAGAAATCCAAGGACGACCCAGCCGGAGGGAGGTACCGGCTGTTGGACATCAACATAACGCATCCCGTGCGCGTCACGCAGTTGGCCATTTCTCACTTTTTGGCAGCAAACCCGCCATCCAGTGTCGAGAATCCCAAGACGATTGTCCATATCGCGAGTATCGCAGGTGAGACCACCAGCCTCCCATTCCCCCTGTATCATGTGAGCAAGCATGGCGTCCAAGCGTTGGTGCGCAGCCTGGCGGATCTGGAAAAGCTGCAGGGGATACGTGTGAGCTGCGTGATGCCGGGACTGGTCAAAACGCCGCTGTGGACCGACCACCCGGAGAAGTTGAAGGTCATTTCGCAAGACGATGTCTGGGTGACGCCAGAGGAGGTCGCTGAGGTAATGCTCGCATTGGTCAAGGACAAGGAGATTTCCACTGTCATTGGGAGCAGGAGCTCGAGGACAAATGGCGCCACTGGACAGGCGACGGACGTGATTCAGATCAAGGGAGGCAGCTGTTTGGAGGTGCTTGCAGGCGCTGTCAGGGATGTGCCTCTCTTCAACAATGTCGGGCCGTATGTGGGAGGACAACCAGGGGCAACAGCGAGCGATGCTGTGAAGATATACAACGAGGTCGTTGACTCGTTGAAGCCAGGATGGGGGAAGGCCTGAATGCGGCTGTGCGTGAACAATGCGAGCTTTGGGGGAACACGAAAGACAGTTCAACCACCAGTATCGAGTACCAGTAGACCTATACAAGCACCCAACAGGTACAGGATAGAACAATGAGCATCCTGATGTATTCGCATATCAGTGGAAAGGGGGGCCAAATGGAAAGTTTCGGGGCGACGATGGGGGATCGAGTGTCCCCGATGTGTGGCTTGGGAGGCCAGGGGAGGCTTGGACACTGTTTGACGCCATCCGCAGCCGCAATTGTCATATCCGTCTCTCTTCGCTAATTAATTCCTCTCGGGCTTCAATTTGGGAACCGACATTTCCAATCCATTCGTTTCCCCTCTTTCTTGACTGCTCAATGTGATGATCTAGCCATCTACCGCGCCTTTATCTGCTCCTGTATCTTTTGTGTCTTTGTCCGTAGCTCTCGCGAGGGGAGCAGAGATGAACACTTCCGATCCCACGAGATAAAACCGCGACGCCCTTTGTCCTATTTTTGGGACCCGATCATGTCACTACCTGCGCCCGCTTCCTCGAGCAGGACGCAGTCTCGAGCTCGTCGGTAAGTCGTCTCGCAATCTATGCTGTTCCTGTGTGCTAACTGCTCTTCAGACGCCCCGGCACCCCGACCCTGAGCAAACGCGATCTCACAGGAACCGTCGGTCAAGCATCATGGATCAGCAGCGTGGTCAATCTCCTCAACACAATCGTGGGCGCTGGAGTCCTCGCCATGCCCGGCGCCTTGTCACATATGGGGATCTTGCTGGGAACAATTGTGATATTGTGGGCTGGTGTCACTGCTGGGTTTGGCCTCTACCTGCAAACTCGCTGCGCCGCGTACCTTGAACGAGGATCCTCGAGTTTTTTCGCCCTGTCTCAAATCACATACCCCAACGCCGCGGTCATCTTTGATGCTGCCATCGCCGTCAAATGCTTTGGGGTGGGAGTCAGCTATCTCATCATCATTGGCGACCTCATGCCGGGGGTGGTGCGAGGGTTCGCCCGTGAAGAGGATCTGGGGAAATTCATGTTCGATCGTCACTTTTGGGTGACGGCTTTCATGCTGGTTGTCATTCCATTCTCCTTCCTACGTCGACTCGACTCGTTGAAATACACTTCGGTCATCGCCCTGATATCAATCGGCTACCTGGTCATCCTGGTCGTCTACCACTTTCTCGCACACGACACTTTGCCCGATGGGCACTATAAGACTCCGCTGAGGGTAATCACCTGGGCTGGTGCTGTACCGGCTCTTTCTTCTTTCCCCGTCATTGTGTTTGCCTATACCTGTCATCAAAACATGTTCAGCATCCTCAACGAGATCAACGACAATTCTCATTTCCGCACCAGCGCCGTGGTATTTGCGTCCAACGGCACGGCGGCCGCCATCTATGTTTTAGTTGCGATTACCGGTTATTTGTCATTTGGGAACGAAATCGGAGGGAATATTGTGGCACAGTACGCGCCCTCAGTGTCGACAACGATCGGTCAAGCCATGATTGTGGTTCTTGTCATGTTTTCCTATCCTCTGCAAGTTCACCCTTGCCGTGCCAGTGTCGACGCCGTTCTCAAATGGCGTCCATCCGACAAACTCAAGGCGAGACTCCGTTCCACGCCTGCTACGCCCAGCTCGCTCGATTCTAGCCCCGCCCGCGACGTGCCTCTGTTACAACCTGGCAGAAGACGAAATGCGGAGATGGGAGAGGCTCGGTTTGCCGCTATCACCACCGCGATCATCATCCTCAGCTATATCGTTGCCATGACGGTTTCCAGCCTTGAGACTGTCCTGGCGTACGTCGGTTCAACAGGAAGCACGTCCATTTCCTTCATCTTGCCAGGCTTGTTCTACTATAAGATATCGTCGCCTGATTCACCTCTGCATCAAAAACTCGTCAAAGAAGAAGACGATTACGACTGGCAGGGGGACGAGGATGAAAGCGTCAAATCTGACGACGACGCCGGCAATAATGAACAACCGAGCCACGAAGGCCAGAACTTGCTGAGCAGTTCGGGGTTCCTGAGCCTGAGTGGCGTGAGCTTATTGAAACGGACGCGAAATTTCCGCCGGAAACTGCTTCGCAAGCTGAGCCTCGCATTGGCCATCTACGGTGTATGTGTCATGGTGGTTTGTTTGATCACAAACACATTTTTTATTGTTGGGCACTGAGGGATGTTGAAGAGGAGGCGACAGGTGCGTGTGCTAATGCTCTAGATATCAGCCACAAGGAGGTGTCACACCACATGGGTTAGGCTGTTAGATTCGGCCGCCGGATATACCGTTGGACGTGACCTGATTGTTGGATTTCGAAGAGGGATAGAAGACGCCAGCCGATGACTATGATTACAGCTGATTAGGTCGGCATTCCGAGTGGCGAGGACATCAAGCCAAGGTACTCGAGAAGCGATAATACGGTGCACCCCGACAAGACCTCCTGGGAGGGAACGTCCCGCTGGGCAGATCGGCAAGTATCGGTATACGCCGGCATATTCCTCATGCGACTTGGACAGCAAAGTCTCATGGAAGAGTTGGAAGTGAGCCCAGGAGAGTTCCAGAACCATACCCAGCAAGACTTACGGGACATATACGCGCTCCAGACCCCTGCAACAACCAAAGACATCTGTTGACGAAGGACTCGATTTGCCGATCACGGCGTTTGAATTTGGGTTGGTGTTGGACATGGAATTGGACTGTGGCAGAGAGCAAAAGTGTCTTTTTGCGATTTGAACGAGTAAAGAAATCATCGTTACTATACGTTTTTAGAGAGGGAGAGGGAGAGAGCGACGGCGTTCCAGTCACGACACGGCTTTGGATTTAATGTTTATATATATTTCGTATATATTTCGGCCATGATCCCTCTTGAACGATACTATATGTGCCTCGATTGAGGTATTATGCCGAGATCCGACCTCTCTGGTTGTCAACCTGGCGGTGTAGGGAGATGAACCCCCGGATACGAGGTATTGAACGTAGGATCCTTGACACTCGCCTCTTGTGAGGGGTCTCGCTTTGTTATTTCTACCCTCGTACTTTTGAGTCGACACACCAAACACTCATACGTGGAGGTCTACCTCTGCCTCGAAGCGTCGTGTGCTCTGGTCCCCGGCCCTCGTACGAGCACGAGTACGAGCACGAGTACAAGATCCCCAGTCACCGGGTCCCGTACTTGCACGTGTCAAGAGAAATACCACGAGACGAGAGAGACGAAAGAGTCGAAGACGAGAAGAAAGAATGGACAACCCGATCGAACTGCCCGACGGCCGCCTTCTGTGCGGCGCCCACGGCCTCGTCGTCTGCGGCATCTGCTGCGTCGACTACAGTTTCATGGACGAGATTCTCGACCCTTCCTCCGACGAGTCTTTCTCCGACGAGGAGGAGGAGGAGGTAGATTGGGACAGGGATGGCGATAGGGACAGCGACAGTGATGGCCACGGCGACGAGTTGCTCACGGAAGAGGAGCTGGCGGCGTTGAGGGCGCGGTTGGTTGCGAGAAAGGGTATGTGCGGTTCCTCTATTCTTTTTCTCTGCTTTGCTTGCGTTCTGCATTGAGACCTTTGTTTCATGCCGTATCATCACATCACATCACATCACATCCTATCAATGTCCCGTCCCGTCCCATCGACAAGCTCGTACCTAGGTACATACTCACCTCCTTACCACCATACTAACTCATCCACTCTTCAACCGTATCCGGGGAACAGGATGCGCATGCTTCCTCCCCCTCCCCGGCTCGGGCTGCCCAAACTGCGACCCGGAGATGAAGGAGAAGGAGAAAGCAAAAGCCCAAAACGTCCAGAATGCCCAGAAGGGCGAGAAGACTGAGAGGACGGATGGAAAACCCGCGGCAGGGCGTGGTAAAGGTGGTAATGGTGCGGAGAGTGGGTCGGCACCGCGAGGAGCAGCAGCGTCAGCGTTAGCGATAGGAACATCAGCATCCGCCGCGACATCTGCAGCGACAGGAGCAACACAAGCTGAAAAGAAGAAGAGAAACAGATGGAATAAGAACAGGAACAGGAACAAGAACAAGAATAAGAACAAGAATAAGAACAGCGGCAGCAACGGAGCGACGACCACGACCTAGCAGGATAGTCACTGACGAAGATATACCAAAGATTTGACACAACTAGCATGGATAGGTTCGCAGATGCACGGGGACAAACAGACATGTGTGGTTCCCAATCTCATCTTATCCCCTGTCACTCGCTGTCTCCATCGCACAACATCTCCATACTTTGGCTACAAATGCAATCATTATTGTTTGACTCTTCAAACTGCCCGTTGAATCAATCTATTCGAGGCATATGAAATCCATGGCCCGTTGTCCATCCGCAATATCAGCCCAAGTCCAAGAAAAGACGTTTAGCGCTCGTCCGTATTCCCCTTAGACATGAGCGACTGAAAGGGACGAGTCCCAGCGCCCAATATAATGCAGCGACCTTTTCCCCAATTGCTGCGAACAGTGTTCGCCTGTAAAATCTTCCCCAAGGAATTGCACAACCAGAACTGCGATCGATCCGCAGAACGAATCCCGACCTGGACTTGCCCCATCCAGCACATCTGACCCAGACGTTCCATCGACCCTTGCACCTCCGAAGAACTTAGTTGTTGTTCTGAGTCGCATTCAAGATCCTCAGGATAGAGAGGAACAGGTTGAGAACGTCGAGGTACAGGCTGATCGAAGCCGCAATCTCCTCCTCCACGTGATAGTGTCTCATGACCAGCTGGGTGTCCACGAGGATATAGCCACTGAAGATCAAGGATGCAACCGCGCCGTAGACCAGCTCCACCGTCGATCCGTGCGGGAAAAAGGCGGCCATGAATCCGAAAATGATCAATATCCACAGACCACCAAAAAGGTAGGGCATCCAGCTGGTGAAGTCGTACTTGCTCTGGCACGCAAAGAGCGTCAAGAAGACAAAGATGGCCAGCGTGATGACGAGAGCTTCGATGACGATGCGGCTTTCGAAGAAGGACGTGACGACGCTGATGCTGTAGGCCTCCAACGCAGTAAAGCCAGCCAGAAAGACCATGTTTGTAGGGTATGACTTGCGCTTCCAGAATGTAAGGAGCATGAATCCGATGGCCCCGAACAACGACACCCACATCATCCACGAGTTGGATTGGATCCAGTTTCTGTAACCCTTGGAAAAGAACGAAAGCGTAGACAGAGCCGCGGTCAGGAGGAGCTGGACGGTCAGGATGGTGTAGACTTTGCGAATAAAGGACATTCGGATGTCAAGGGTAGCTTCGATGACGACGCCGCCAAACTGTGCATCGTCGTTAGTGCACGGTTCGACAACACTGCCAGGGATTTGGAGCTTACCTTGAAGTCGTCCGGAACATTGTCGTCTTCTGTTCTGGGAGCGCCGCCAAAGATGCCCTGGTCGGCGCTGGGTCCTGTAGCCTGATAGTTTGGAGGGGCTTGAGGGTAGTTTTGCTCCTCGAACGAGTCGCGCTGAGGAGCGGGTTGATATCTGGTGGAGGAAGCCATCTTGCGTGTCGACGAGAGTTGCTGAGAGATGAGTGCAGGGCAGAGCAGTGTGTGCAGGAGAAAAAAAGTAAAGCTAGGAGGGATGGTATACAAGTACAAGTAGTGAAGAGGAGTGGCGTGTTTGAGTTGTGACGCCTTCGTCCACCTGCGCCTGTGTCTGCGCCCGCGGCCCCGGCGAATGTTCCAGTCACAGGAGCCAATGATGCCTGGCAGCACTGACGCTACGGGCACGTGGGAAGGGGAGTTCCACCCTGTGCGGGCACTTCCTCAATAGGCACCGCCAGTGCCGAAAAGGAGTTTGTTACTCGTTCGTCCGCCGCTTTACTCGGGCGTCATGTGACCTGCTCAACTTTGGCTCAGCCTACTCAGGCGGCGCCACTCAGCCTTCTCGTCCCTCAGAGAGTCATTGGCTACATACGCTATACTCGGTACTTGGTAGGTACCCTGGTACCTCTCTTTGAAGTTATGGAACAACCACTGTCAGCTCAATTCAGCTCATGACCGTCGCTACCAGTCTCCCAAGAACTGTTTTTATATGGTCAACCGAGGATGATTTCCTTCCAAATCGCTCCATCCCCAAGCCCCTCGTTCAAGTCCGTCTTTCCCACAGACCCAATGGCCACTCTTTCAGCATACATGCTAGGCTTGCCATTGGAAGTGATCGATCCCAATGCCGTTTTGTTACCGTCCTTGTCCGTCCATTCGATCAACATGGCCATGTATCTCCAACCCTCCTCGTCGTCGATCATGCCATCCTCCGCCCGCTCGTCTCTCCCCTCGCAAACGAGGATGAATTCTCTCTCCTGAGGACCGGAATACCAGGGAGGTTGTACCTCGATCAGACCGAGTTCGTGTCCGCTGCGGCCAAAGATCCCGAGCCGTTTGCGTTGATGCGGCGGTCCTTTGGCTTTGTCGGGAGACGTCGGCTCGTCGATCTTGAGGATGAGCGACACCGTCCAGAACTGAAGGAATCCCGAACCGCCGCGACTGCTGAGAATATCTGGGACGTGGTTTGGAGGGTTGATTTCTGCCAACGCCAGCTTCGTGGGCTCGGTCCGCGAGCAGTCGATGCCGTCAAAACGAAGCTGAAACCGGGAGCCGTAAAAGTTTCGATTGGCTCGTAAGCTAGAACCCACGGCATCGTTCACTTCGTTGTGTCTCACAAGTCGCCTGCAGTTTGTCGACTCGTGGTTCTCTCTTTCGTACCAAATGATCCAGGTCCGCTTCCGGATCGCTCTTTTGATGCGCTTAATGCTCCTGTTGTACCAGTCCCACATCCTCGGCCACGAACAGCCCTCCCAACCAGACCAGGACCAGCTCGGGCCAATAGGCAAACCAGTCGTGGGCCGAAGACGGCGTTGCTGCTCCGAGAGTGGGCCCCAAAGCAGAAACCAGTCAAAGTAGACCGTCGGGGTTCCATGACAGAGGTCGGTGTCGAGCCGGCATCTCAGTTCTCGCGCCACCCCGGCAAAAGCATTGTACACGTCGTCTGCGTGGGACAGCAGGCGTTCCGAATAGAATTGGATGAGGCCTTCGTATTTGCCGATATCGTCGCCTTCGTATGCGCCGCCGTGACCACCTCCTCCCCCCCGGAGTTCGTGTGGACGTTCAAATACATGCTCCTCCCATGCGTCGTTACCACTGCAGCGAAAGGCGACTGTATCGTCAATGAATATGAGAGAACGGAGGGCGAAATGAGTCTCTTGGTATCTGTAAACAAGCCAATTAGTTTCTTTTTCCATTGTTGAAACTCTTCCCGGTAGAATGCAAGTGTCAACTTACGTCCAGCCGCGCGCGTTGTACGGCGTCGCTTGCATACTATCGGCATACCTAGACCTAAACGCCAGTCGAAACCCTGGGGCAATTTGTTCGACCGGTGGTCCCCAGTCTCGAGATTTGGGCCGAACGCCCGCAATGCCGGAATACGCATTTGGACTACCCGCAGCGACTATCACCAGGTCTGCCGCACCGTAGACCAAGTCCATCGTCTTGATCGTCGGGGTTTTTATCTCGGCATCATTCTGGACAATGCAGAGGTTGTCGACCCACAAGTATTTCATGCCAATCTCCCTCACAACCTCGATGGCGTCCTTGATGGTCGGCGGTATCTGGTCCAGATACTGGGGATCTTTCAGTGCGCCGGGCTCTTCAAGTGCGTGGACGTTGGTGTCGAGGGTTGCAAAGAACTTTTTGGAGCCCCAGACGTAGCTCAACGCGACATAACGGGACCCAACCGGCAGGAGGACCAGACAGTCGTTTTCGACATCAATGCATCGGAACTGGGGCACCTCTTTGGCTGGATGGGATCGGCGCAACTCTTTGAGAATCGGATTCGACCGGCAGGCTTCGCCGTGGCGCGTCCGACATACATCCAGCCATTCTCGCACCAGGGTGAAATCGATCATGTCCCTACGGACAGGGCGGATGAAGTAGGTGACGGACTCGGTCGGTGAGTCGTTGGCCAAGAGGGTGATTTCAGGGAACAGGTTGAGATCGGGTACAAAGCCTCCCTTCTGCGTGCGTGCGTATGGCCTCAGGATACGAACTTCAGCTCGACGACTCCACGGACCCAAGGACGGGCCGTTGGTGTTCCAGCTCAAGTCCACCACGACCGGGTCGTCGTTCTGATGCGTTGGGACTTTGTCTCCGCCTAGAGCTGCGAGTACCAGACGGCACAGCGGGCAGTTCGTCTTGTTCCTCATATCTTCCACCTGACCGAGGTGCATGGACAGCTTGTCGGGCTTGTTCGTTTGGCCATGTTCCTCGTCGCCCGGGAGAACAACGAATCGTCTCGGTGCCAGCTTGAGTTCTTTGCAGATACCACAAAGCTCGTCTCCAGGACGAGACATGTCGTCGGGGACGGGGATGAGGGAATCTTTTCTAGAACGGATTGAGGGTAGTTCGTCATCCAAGATGTCTTCCCAGCTGTCCGAGTCGGATGCCATGGTTTAATCGTCTTTGTCAATCCAACTGGTGTTAGGAAGTAGGAGGATCGTGGGGTTTCTCTCTTCCAGGACTGTAGCCTTTCTGAAGGTATTCTTTTTCGAGAGGGCGCAGGGGATCGTCGGACCTTTCGAAGCTGCCAGCAACCCTGCCGAGTGATACCAGCAGCTTCTCTGGGTGATATAGTCGGGGGAAGGGGAAATCCAAATCCACAAAAGATAGATGCGCTGGTCAAGCACAAGCAAGCACAAGTCGCAACCAGCCCTTCCGCCCCTTGTGCCACGTGGCAGACGACAAGTCGTGCCTCCGTGGCCCATGTTCACGCACCCCGAGATATGTACCAGCTGGGCTGCTGCTGCAAAGCGAACTGTTTTCTTGGGCGCGCAAAGCTGCAGAATCCGACGGTGGGATTGGCCTCCAATTTGGTGGCATTAGCGGTGGCTTGCTGCAGTCGTCCCAGCACAGATTCCGACCGAGAGCTGAAAGCAGGGGGGGGGCAGGCCACTTGGTAAGGCATGCGTGTCATGTTTCCGGTCTCTATTTGGGGCTGTGTACATACGAGTCCCGAGTCGAGGTTCTCGTCTCTGGACGTTTAGTGATCCGCAGCAACATTGTCGCCCAGACGGTATACGGGTATAAAGGTATACATGGCCAACAGAACGCCTCCTTCAACTCAAGGCCATGACCGGGTTGAATTCTACAGCTGCGAAACGAGCGTCGCGAGGATCGAGGTAAGAAGAAATCTTGGTCCCATGTCATCCGAATATTGCTGCTGATACATGGTTGAAAACAAAATTGTAGAGAGCCGGCTGGAACATCCCACAGCCCACCAAATGGAAATCTCGGGACCTGAATGGCGCCATCAATTTCATCACACAGCCGTCTCAGGCATGTGGCAGGCATACTGAAAAACATGGGGAAGTGATTGCTAACGGTGTTTTGAAAAGGGATAGACGGGAACTGCTCACCAGTAATCGGTTCAGAATCCTGTAAGTCCACGATGAGCTGATATCATGTCCCGTCGTGTTTGTTGTTTGGGGACTGAGAAATCCATCGTGTAAGAATCGTCAATTGCCCTCAGCCTTCAGCCGGGCCATCCTTGATCGAATCGTCCTCATCCTCCGACTCGTCGTCTCCAGCCAAGTCAGCGCTGACCAAGTCAAAGCCACCCGACAATCACGAACCGGAAGACGATCCTCTGTGTCGAGTCCTTAAAGTGGCGCGCAACAGCGACTGGATCGACGAGCACTTCGACTCGTACGTCAAGAACAACACGGCCAGTTCGGCGGTTTTCGATAGCCCCGAGAGCATCAGGCTGATTGCACAGTCCCCGAAGGACGATGGCTTTCCGTTCTTCTCGCTGGCCTTCACACAGCGCTTTTCCGAAACTCGTCAGTGCGATTCTGACTGGGAATGCCTCGTCTTCTTTCGACCCGCCGGCCTCTGGGACCATCACGTCGTGCCCTTGCTCACCCGCAACCCTTTCCCACACGACTACCCGGAACCTCTCCAGCCTGATTTCATGGTGCTGCCGGTGACGCTCCTGCGGTGGCAGGTGGACGACATCATCAACGAGCTGAACAAGGACAAGAAATCCCTCATGAACCACGACCGGGGTTTTGGTTCGAAATCGGTCGAGGAGTTCAAGAGCATCAAGAAAGTCCTGTTTGAACTGCGACAGAAGAACTTCTTCCTAAGTCACCGAAGGGACTTTGCGAGAGAGCTTGCAGAAACTCTGCAAGAGACCTTTCGGGCCATCGAAAGGCGGCATTCGAGCCCGGACGAGACGGCCGTGTATTCCCCATCAATGATTGCACGTGTGGCAAGCCAACAGGCCATGTTGAAGAGCGTGGAACGCGATTTGGAGACGACAGCTTCCAGGATTCAGTCTCAACTGGATTTTGTAAGCCACAAAGACGCAAGCATGGTTCCGCATTTACATACTTACTTCAAATGACAGGCCGACGGACAAATGAGAGAAGCTGTACGTCAATCAAACCCCCTGTGATAAACACAGAGAGATACTGACCATTTCCCCGGTAGTTTGCGCGACGAAACAGCACCTCGATGAGCGTCATAGCTGTTGTAACAGTCGCTTTCCTTCCTGCCACCTTCATGGCCGTACGTCTCACTCCGATACTCCAAGGAAAATGAGGTGCTAATAATTCTAATCCAAGACCGTCTTTAGCATGGGCATTTTCGACTGGCATGCGGGACAGCCGGACAATGATACCACAATTGTATCATGGTGGATTTGGCTGTACATTGTCTTGTCAATCGTCTTGACGGCAATCATCGTCGTCGTTTGGCGATTGGCGTCGAAACGCATGCAGAGGAAATTGGCAAAGGAATCCGACGAAAATTGGGAAGGAAAATGGCCATGAATCCGGGATTTGAGAAGCTCTCTACTGTGTCTTCGTATCCCTGGGTCCAAACTCGTATATCTTGTACGTCTCCGGTAGAATATCAGGGTAGCTCGCAACCATACCACAGTCAATCTCACGCACGTGCGGCTCCAAGTCACTCCAAGGTTGGAGGAAAGGACTCTTCCGTTGGTTGATGTCGCGCTCCTTTCCCAATCCCCATCGATTCTGTAATCGCTCGGCATTCCATCGGTCATGTTCAATCTCTCCCAGCCGATCGATTTGCGCCTGCGAGAAGTTTGAAACGGCTCGGCGACCTTCTTGCTTTTCCGAAAGGAAACATTGGATCTCGCGAAGTTTCGACGGGATCGAGTCAGCATGTGCTCGAGATGATTCTCTCAGTTCTTCACCGAGATCGCTCCAGGACTCGATGGCTTCCGTTGTTGTCTTTGCTCTGTGCTTGCGATAGACATTGTGGAGGGCTTCGGCAAGCTTTTCACGAAGTTGTTCTGGTAGAGGCATGCCATTGAGGTACTGCCTGAACATCTTGTAGTCCACATGCAAGTCTAACTGGACCGGAGGTGGAAGCGAGGATCTTGCAAAGTTGTACCGACCGTTGAGCATGCTCATGTCGATGATGGACTTGAGGGATCGAATACCTTGACGATACATTGGTACGAGCAACAGCGCGTTGAGAACGCTGTCGTCAATGTGGATTTCATTTTGTGAGACAAGATTTGGCTCTCTCCGTTCAAGTAGAGTGCGAAGGATAGCTGCTCGGCGGACTGAGTATAGCCGATCGGTTCCATTTCCACGCTGAGCCTTATTGGGACCTAATAGGTTTCCGAAGCCGTGTAAACAGGCAAGGAACTCTTGTGCTTGGTTTGTGGCGACTCTATCCAACCCTGTCTTGGGCCCAGTATTCAAACCTGCATTGGGATCCCCTCCTGCTCGCCTTCGGAACTCGTCGTAAGTCCTGGTAGACGTGGCACCAAAGAAGAAGACGGCAGCGCCAACAGGCCTGCTGACTCCGTTGTCAGAAAAGAATCCATTGAACATAACAGGGAGTAGATGAGGTAGCCAGCCAAGGGGAGAACCAGCGAAGCTATGGTCAAATCCACTGAGGTAAACCAATGGCATGAAGCCGCTGAGGGACAAATCACGGACGGAGTGGAATGCGGTCAGTAAATCGCTGGCACTGTTGAACTGGGAGAGGTCAATCTGAAGAGTGCGCACTTTGTGCCCTTTGGATGCCGCCTCAGCAACCTGTAAAGCAGCAAAGGCCTTGCCTGATCCCCTCGGACCAAACAAGGCAATACAGAGAGGTCTAGGCATTGGGGACAGCAAGTACTCTCTCAGAAAGTTGAAGATCGTCCGGAAGGATTCGATCTCATGGCGGTCGAACAAGAAGAGCTGATTGAATTGAGCCAGCGGAACCTGGCTTCCTGGAGAGAAAGGACCTTCCCTGAGGATCTTGCGAGCGACTTCGGCAGGATCACCGATGGTGTCGTCGAGGAGAGACCAATCTTGACTGGCACCACGAACAATGTCGGTCGATGGAATCGTGCACCTGGCCAATTCATTCTTCTCCTTCTCTTCAATGGCCCGCATGACAAGTTGAGCCCTGTACACTGTTGCCAATGAAGGGGCATCCTTGTTTGGCTCGGCTATCCCAGCTGCGGCAAGTCGTCTTGCAGCGTGTAGCCCAAACTCGATCCCTTCTGCTATACTCTGATCTCGCGATTGAACCAAGCCTTTGGTGAAGCCAGCGACAAATGCGTCTGCGATACCAGGAATGTGTTCTAAGTTCTTTCGAAGGAACTCGCCTTCCACGGAGAGAGGATCGAAGAAGAGTTGCGGGCTTGACACTGCCGCACCTCGGTGGTATATGGCACCAGCGCAGCCAAACAGGACGACAAGATGTGCGCAAGTGGCCAAGGAGACAAGTTTCCCTACCGATCCGAGCCGCTCAACAAAGTCTTCGCATGTCCTTTCCCAGGACAGTCCGTAGGACAGCTCTATGCCCTCGGCTCGTAAGTCCTCGGCCTCTACCACAACGATGAGACGTTCCGGATCATGGACGGCCGGATGGTCGAGAGGGCCGCGCTTTACATGATCCCAAACACGGCCCCTGCAAAGATGGCGAGCCATATGGTAAATAACAAAACTGGGTCGACATTGTTGGAATAGAGAAATTGCACGCGCAGCACTTTCGTCAGGGATTGACGTCTCGGTTTTTGTCTCTTGGAAAAGGAGGAACGACTGGTTGGACGGGTCAAATGCCGCGGGGGGCGGGGATGGGAAATGCCATTGTCGTTCCATATCAACCTGCTGGATACGTCGTAGTTTGAAGGATCGAGCATTGTTTGGTGGTATAAGGTGCGCATCCAACTCCATGATGGAATGAATAGTGTCCTGCTTCAGGCTTCCCGGATCAGGCTTGTGGATGTGGACGCGAGGTTGGACATTTTTGAATCCTTCATCGAGATATTCCGCCAAAAGCTCGGAGCCGACACGAAACCAATGCGCCTGTGGCCTTTGAACATAGAAATCCGAGTTTGATGTGGCGTCGGACGGGTAGAGGAATAGTCGCTGAGGCGCGTCCCCAGCGATGATGATGTGCCTTCCCGGGTCCTGATTCTGCGCCATCTTGACTGGAGCCTCAGGGCTGCCCTGGAAACTTGGTCAGAAGAAAGAGAGAATAGAATCGAATCCAAGAGCTCCAGCTGGGGGGATGACCTGTCAAGCCTGCATCGCTTCCCACCACGTGACCGTCACTCTCGCATGTGTCGGTAGTAAATATGTCTCTTCATTGGATTGGCTCAATGGCTGGCTCAATGGAAGGATGCCACGAGGCAGAAGCGCCGGAAAATCATCCTCAGGCCGTAATGGCGGGTTGCTCTGGTCTCGAAATGAAATGGGCCTTCATTTTGCAGAGGGTAAGATTCGCCGCCGAGTATAATGGTATTCAGCGACGACAAGCCGCCTAGCCTAGGCACCCATTTGGGACCGTGGCCTGCTGGGTGCCTGCCACCCACCTGCCGCTTTGCTCATGGATTATGTGACCTGGCTCAGCTTCGGCTCAGCCTCAGCGTGAACTGCTCAGCCATCTCACTTTTCGTTAGCCATGCTCCATCCCGTTTCTGGGCCCCTCTGTCATTGGATGCTCACACCATTCTTCGTATGTGTCTCTCTTCGAGAATATCGAATGTTTACACGACTATCTACGAGGTCGTAGTTTTAGGAACCCCTTTGAAACGTTCGAGACTGGGACTCATTATAAAGACGATGGGCGTAATCTCTCGTGACCTACGCCCTCCTTGTAAACTAGAGCGCGTCTCCTATAGTACATTTACTCGCGTCGCGCTCTCTCCTAATAGCGACTCGTACGCTGTGTTGTTACGCATAGATCGATATGCGGCCTGGTGACGACTATGACGCGGGAAGGAGGGTGTGACGTGTTGCCCTAGCCCGATACGGAAGGTTAGCCGAATAATTTACCCTGCGGCACAACACAAAGTTCCAGGCGCAAGTAATCAATCAAGTTATTCTACTCACGTGACAGGCAGCATTGCGGGCAAGGCTGACTCAAAGGGGTTGTGGGGCTAACAAGAGATCATCTCGCTGGCCTTGATGCGCAGTCCTGCGCCTCTGAAAGACGTTCCAAAGGCGGCGGGGGTGGGGGTGGGGGTGGAACTCCAGACAATGTCCAGTCCGTCCTTCTTGCTTTAAGCAAGGCAAATACCCTACGACTCAACTTCTCCGGAATGAGCGTCTCTCTGCTGGCAGCAGTGTTGTGACATCCTCTGTGAGCAATCATGCTGGGATTGCTGCGTCTTGACTGGGCGGCAGACCCTGGTAAGATGATCGGGCTGACTATATTTGGCCTCGTCGTTTTAGTAGCCGACTATGTACGGATACTTTCCTTACGAAGGAAAATGGTGAGTATTCGGCCTCTTCCTCCGCAATGTCTCCGTTGACATCTTCAGCCTCCTGGGCCCCTTCCATGGCCAATTATAGGAAATACTTTCCAGCTACCCGATGCGAAGCCATGGGTATACTTTGAAGAACTCTCCAAACGCTACAAGACCCCCATCATCACCTATTGGATCGGCCGGAACCCGACTGTCTGGATCTGCGATGCCTGGGCTGCTTCGGAGCTATTGGATAAGCGGGCTGCAATTTATTCGTCGAGACCACGAATGATCGTATTCGGTGAACTTGGCCTAGGTCAAAACAACATTGTTACCATGTACTATGGGGATCGCTGGCGACTACATCGAAAATTGACCCATATGGGTGTAGGTCTACAACACGTACGAGACTATAGTGGTTTCCAGAACAACGAGAGCAGAGTCGTCGCTATGGATATGGTCCGGGACCCCGCCAACTACGTCCGGCACTTCGAACGATATGCAGCATCAGTCGTCAGTATTATTGGATTTAACCGGCGTATCAGCAGTATTGATGACCCTATTATCACTGAGGTGATCGCTCATATGCAGAAAGCCGCGGATCTCAATATACCGGGGAAGACCTTTCCTCTACTAATGGAGACATTTCCATGTACGTTACCAGAAGGAGTGAAAATCACTGGACTAACCTATCATAGTCCTCGCCATGTTTCCCAACTGGATGGCTCCCTGGAAGCACGGCCTTGGAAGTGGAAAAGGCCGAGGCAAGTCTTTCTATTACGCTCTAGCGGACGAAGCCGCTCGCAAGGAGGACCACGGAAACTGTTACGCAAAGAAGATTTTCGAGGAGGCCCCCAAGTACAACCTCAACGACATTGAAATTGCTTCGCTAAGTGGGAACCTCTTTGGGGCCGGAAGCGACACCTCATCTTCGACTCTGGTTACTTTCATCCTCGCATGTTGTGCTTTCCCAGAGGTACTGCCAAAGGCTTGGGAAGAGCTTGATCGGGTTGTCGGCTCAAACCGTAGCCCCAGCCTTGATGATGACCTCCCTTACATACGTGCCTTTGTTAAGGAAGTTTTCAGATGGCGATCGGTGGCAATTGTTGGAGGGCAAGCCCATGCGCCGATTCAAGACGATATCTACAAGGTAATTTTCGTTGAAGTATTATCATTCGAGCATCTTTTCTTGATCTGATCACTTTATAGGGCTGGCATATTCCGAAGAATACCTGGGTTCAAGGCAATGTCTGGGCGATACACAGAAACGACAGGGATTTTCCAGAGCCAGATCGATTCCTCCCGGAACGATTCTTCAAAGATCATCCATTGCATCGTCCATTTCCCAATGAGAGGGGTTATATGACTTTTGGCTGGGGCAGAAGGGTTTGCAGTGGCCAAGGTCTTGCGGAACAGGGCACGTTCTTCAACGTTGCAAGGATGTTGTGGGGTTTCAATATCCAGAAGGCGTTGGATGAGAATGGGAATGAAATCCCTGTGGACATTTTCAAGTATACGTGAGCGTTTGCCCTTCTCCCTGGGAAAGAGTCAAGCTTATTGATTCCTGTCTCGCAGAAATGGGTCGAACATACGTCCTGAGCCTTTCCGATGCCGGATAACACCCCGAACGCCAGAAATTGAGAAAACAATCATGCGAGAAGGCCGTCAAGCGCTGGACGAGCTGGCGCAGTATGAGGGCCAGAGCAAGTACCGTATGAGCACATTTTACCTGCAGGACCAGATATAAAGGATGGGTTAGAGGGGACTAAAACGGCAGCACCATGAAGTGCTCAGTTATTATCCAAGCCATCGAGGTTGGTTCATCACGGATTGGTGGTTGTAAACTTGAAGCCAGTGTTGGTAGGAATCGCCAATCCCTGCGAGGGCTTTTGGCAGCTCCATTGAGGTCACTTCCAAGTAATATTTTCTTCATTTCAGAGAGCTCGACCATAGATGGCGTATCGTGGGGTACGGCCCTGCATCGACAATAATGACCTTGTTGATAGTGCCCCATCTATTCTGATGTGTTGTGCTATGCTTCCACTGCCAAAGGGGGTTCTAGACCGAGGAGTGCTTTAACAATATAGACTCTGCGGGGCCGAAAGCTCACGAGTCGTCAGGATTAAAGACCCCACAATCCACAACTGCCGGAACATTTCGTTCCTGGCATCCCTCGCCCTCTTCGTTGGTTAAGGGGGACGAATAAAGATCTGTGAACGGAGTAGGGGTAGTTTTTGGAAGACTCTTCGGAGCTCTTTGGACGAAGTAGCTTGCCATCTTTACAGGACTGTGCCGTTCCATTTTTTTGACATGGTGGTTAGCATGTAACTCGTCCGGCGTTCACTACTTAGCTCTATCCTGGCCTGCCCCTCTACAATCTGATCCCGCCCTGAGAGCGATGGGCGTGAGGTGGCATGAACAGGACCCTGCAGCCTGACAAGTCCCGCGGCACATATTATGTAATCTGGTCAGCCCCGCGAAAATGACCTTCAGCTGATTGGTCAGTGACTTCTTGGCCTGCGCCACTTGTGACCTATTCAACAACGTCCAGCAGGAATGGTCCAAGACTACCCCTGGTTGCGTGCTGGTAATATTTTGAGCTTGATTTGAATCATCCAGGCATTCGAAGCGTTGTGCCACCACCATGGCCGACGACTCCCGTACGTTGCGCGGCAACTTCAAGTGTCCGATATGCCCTCAGCAATTTCACAGGGCTGAGCATCTCCGCCGACATCACCGATCTCGTGAGTGGCAACCTGCGTCTCCGGGTCTTATGTAGGCTAAATGCACAACAACCCAAACAGACCGTGGCGAAAAGCCGTTTACGTGCTCAGCTTGTGGCATGTCTTCAAGCCGTAAGGACGTAATTTTGAGGCACCAACGAAAGTCACATCCCTCTTTGAACTCGCCCAATGAGGCTGCTTCTGGAGGTCAGAAGTCCTGTCAGCCTGGGCGGGGCGTGATCATTTTTGATCATTTTGATACCTTGAGGATTGAGCTTGGGCTGACTTCCTCCAAGTTTCACAACAACCTGCGAAATTATCCGTACATGAAAGTATCAACCAAGATTCGCGACAGGCCGTGGACGTGGACAATCAACAACAGAGAAGCTTTGATGAAGATCCGCAATGTGCTGTGGGAACCCTGTTGCAGAAAGCTGATGACCTTTATCCCTATGATTCCGAGGAAGTCCCTTCTATCCCGACTTCTTTACCTTCACGTTCGCGTTGGTACATGCGGGCGAGCATCGAACCCCTGGATCACCTCAGGCTACCGACGCGCCGCGCAATCAGCCAAGTTATGATGGAAGTGATGACTTCAATCTAGATTTTCTGGAAGATTGGGTATTTCCCGCTACTTCGCCTCCTCCGTCTTTCTTCCTGGCACCGACGGCGACCTCACAGGGTGACCCGCCAGATAGTCACCTCGCCCAGTACCGGCAACACTACCACGGCAACATAACAGGGAGCTCGGACGAACTACTGGTCGTTGTCTCAGAAGCTGAGCTTTGCGCGGCTGAAGCCAACATCAGACTCGCGAGTGCAGGCTGTGAGCTACACGACTTCTCTTTACCTCCTCGCTATGCCGTCATTCGATACATTCGTGCCTACAGCCGCTTCTTCGAACCACACGCTCCTATCGTGCCCCTGCAAACTTTCAACATATCAGTGGCCCGTCCAATTCTCGTCTTGGCAGTCCTTTCGCTAGGAGCAATGTATTTGGATGAGGCCGAGGTTGCCTCAAATTTATTTGCTGCTGCTCGAAGACTCCTTGCTAAGCACGATGAGGACCCGGAGGTAAAAGAGGATGGTCGACATGGTAACTCGTGGGAGTTGGTCGCGAGGCTTCTAATTTGCCTATATGGGACACTGAGCAGCGATCCTTCTCTCAGAAGACATCCTAATCGATCTTTCGCAACTATAACTGACATCATTCAGGACGCAGCGCGAGATCTCGGGACGACGACATCTGAGGAGTCATGGGTGAAGTGGCTAGATCAGGAAGCCACCATCCGCTGCATTGCATGGTACGTCGTTACTGCTGCAATGTTGCATTCTTTAGAGGGTTAGGCGGTTTTCTAGATGCGCATTAGCAGCCTCGAGGTTCTACTACCAGGCCCGGAAGAACGATGGATAGCGTCGCAAGCGGCGTGGTCGACCCAAAAGCCTCATCCGCTCCCGAATATGACCATTTCTCAAGCATTACAAGATCTTCTGAATGGAAAACCAATATTGCAACCCATTAGCTCCTTTGGGCTATTGACAGTTATAGCGGCTTTACAGTGTTTTCCCCCTCTAGCCTGTTTGTTGTCCTCACCATACTAAGTACTTAAGGTGGGCTATGCCCGCGGTTTGGGCCCCTCTCTCTTGCGTTTCGATCCATGGCTAACCATGCGGGCCTTCCGTATCGCGAAGACCTAAAAAGCTTCGAAACCTGTCCTGCCAAAATCCTCCGTCCCTGAACGCTCTCAGAGGCTCGAACGAAGTCGCCGACTCCATCGCTTCTGACCCCGATAACCGAGCCATTGTCACGGTCTGCTAAGCCTTCCCTGGGATCCCACCCGTGATCCTGGGAAGCGCCAAGAGCGCACGCCTTATTCCTACTTATCGCATGCTGGGAGATGTCTTACCGACGACTCCCCCAACACTGTGGATAATTCCTGTGTTACACCTCCTGTAGCTGCCATCTATCAGTTGGCTCGCAACCTATATTCTCACATCTACCGGTGGCCTCTCTAGGAGCCCTAACAGCCATGGTCGCCTGTCCCGAGTGCGTAAAGGACCAGGTCGTCTGTTACTACAATCGCGAACAGTCCATCAAATATTCCGAACATCTCCGTCATTAACGAAAATGTGACGGCACCTTCTTAATGGAAGAATTTCGGAAAGTGGGGTGAGTAGAAAAAACCAGCTAGAAGCCGAGTCCCTAGAGACAGGGCGTCAGCTCCAAGAGTTGCCTCACAAACTCCTCGAGGCCCGGAGAGCTCTTCTTGAGATTGAATCCTGTTTTGCCGCATTGGAGTCCGAAGACCTCCAAATTCGGGATGCGCTGGTCAAAGTGAAAGAGAAATCTGTAAGACCGTGAGCGCAACAGAGGAGCACGGAGCGACGAATAGGCTGGCAGAGCTCGGTTGAAGCATCGTCATACGCCACGACGAGTCTCTACCGGTGCTCAGCCTTTCGCAGCCTTGCCAGAACCATGGCCGAGAATTCTCCCTCAGAATCTTACGGTTAGTCACGGAGGGCAATCCGATCAGTCGTCTTGCGCTTTGGTCGCCGTTATATAGTAGGAGTTCTCTGGAAGAGCTCTCACGGAGATTGCACGGCTTATTGCAGCAGCGTACGGCCGCAACCACAGGCGCAAGAGCTCGAGATTTGGATATAATAACTGCCGAGCGATAAAAGGACAGCTAGGCAACCGCATGCTCTTTTTGATCACGTGTCAGAATCCACCACGTGAGAATGCTCAGAAACGGGCACGGAGAGAAGATGTTCTGACACAACGCCTGGGGGGCTTACAGCTTACAACCGAGCAACAGGCCGTAGCCGAAGAGCAGCAGCAGACGCCTAGGAAGCCCTTGGTCAAGCTTCATCTAGTGGTTCAGATAACGAAGGTGCTGAGAGACCAGTGGTTGCGGAGCAGCAAATGCCTACCTCACGAAGCGGGAGGCAACTGCGCAAGCCCCAGTCTATAGATAGTTATCAGTTATAGCTAGAGAGGATCGCATCTGTCTCAGCTCTCTGCAACACCGGGTTGCAGTTCAGACGGTTCAGAATTGGGTGCAATATGAACAGATGAATAGGGTAGTCGTAGCACAGGTTCATGCTCGTGTGGCGTGCATACTAAGGGGACGCCTTATAGCGCCATAGTATGCACGTGACTGTGGCATGCACGTGACCTTCAACAACATACAAATGAAAGCCATCATATCAATCTATCGTCACCAAGAGAAACTCCCTTCCCACCAGCTTGTGACTCTGTCCCAGGCTTGCACCATGGTTTTGCCGAATTCAAATTTAACCGCCGCGGCTTTGGCGACGTTGAACCAAAATTCCCAATTAGCCGACCCATTGCGAGCATCGTGGATGACACCGAAAAGGTCTTCCAAAAACGAGGCTTCAGGCTTCTTCTCTTCCGTTTCTGTAGGCTCCCTGGGCTGAAGAGGCGTCTCCTGACGCTGGAAAACAACTTGAACACGGCCGTCAACAATCTCGAGCGTTCCGTCTGTGGCCGGAGCAGTGAGCGCTAGCACCGAAGCCATATTCTCCACCGGAACGCCAGCGTTGCGCTCCATCTCGAATTGCATCTCGACGGGTGGCATGTTGCCACTGTAGCGACTGTGGATGAGTTTTTTCGCTTCTTCGCACCTTCGGGCCTTGTCATCCTCATCATCAACACTCAGCGTATCATCAGACTCATTCAGGGCTCCCCCTCCGGGTATGCCGTGGTGATAAAAGTGACAACCCCGGTACGGCTCTGGAGGATGATCGAGAAGGGGGATGAACTCGACAAAATTGTCATTGAATCGCTTGAGTTCCTTCCTTATGGCCCTGGGGTGGAATTGGTCCCACTTCGTGGTTAGAATGGTAATGCGATCAAAGAAGCGAGGACCGCAAAAGCACTGTAGCCAGCGAAGAGTCTTGATCTCCGACTCGTAAACTCTGTCCCTTTTACTGTCGTGAACGTAGATGACACCAGCAAATGTCACAAAGGTACCAAGCCCAAAGAGACATCCTAGAATGTCCTCCAGAACAGTCGAATAGCTGAGATCTCCAGCCCCAAACCCAGGGGTGTCGACGAAGATGTAGTTCTCGTCCTCTATTGTTGCCACACAGATCTCGTGGGTGATTGTTCCTAGAACGGGTTGTCAGAATCGAGTGCACGCACAAATCAAAGTCGCCATGTGAGAGTTGGACACGGACCTGAGCCAAGTGTGTCACCGATAACCAGGTTCGCTCCGGTGATTTCTTTCAGCAGCGATGACTTGCCAACACCGGACTCGCCAACGACCAGTATCAGTTTCGTTCCTGCCAAACTGAAATGCGAAGAACAGTCAGCAATTCACGAAATGTGGAAAACTTCCAGGCCTCGAACGTACTTCTTCGCGACAAAGTCCACCACCGCCGCACTGGCAACGCCATGGGCCCGCTCGACGACAGTTTTGAATTTCGAGAAAGGCCACATCAGGATGCTCTTCTCATTGGACTTCTGAAGGTCTTTTCCTTTCGTCTTGGCTGATGGACCCTCATCCTCCTCAGCCTTGAACGCTTCCAAGGTATCCTGAAGGTCCTGTTAATCTGGCAATTGATTTTCAGCGCATGAGCATGGTAGCATACAGCATCTTCCATAATTTGCTTTTGCAATGCGAAATGGACTAGCTAATTGATAGTAGTAGTTGAGTTGGCCGTCGCTCTACGTTGAGGCAAAGATCAGAAGAGATGGCGAGTCAGGGTTCTTTCAAGATCTTATCAACAAGGACTTAATCCAAGACAGCGAACCGCTCCAGATTGGCACTTAGATGCCCAGTATCATGTGTGCGGATAACCCGGACCTCCTTATCTGCGACTTTTTGCCCAGAATACGAGCTGCGGCTGAGTCTCTTCAACTTGTTCATCGAAGCCGTCTCGCTAGCCTTGCTGCCGGCACTTCTTTAATGACGTCTTCCTAAGAAACCAGGCGCTCTCGTGCGTAAAGCTTCCTGCAGCGCTCATAGAGATTGTCACAATTGGAACGACGCCTGACCCTACTCGGTAAACTGAGCCTCAATCCCCAGCGATGCGTTGGCAAAGAGTGCAGCCTTTAACCAAAGGAAGTATGGTGGCTGCCTTCCGAACTTCATCACAAACTGCTCCCCGCACTTCAGAAAAGTAGCCTTGAGGCAACTGGCAACAATACTTGAGGAAGGATTCGAGGTAAAATAACTCTCTCCAGGAGTCCGACTGAAGCCTTGCTGACTCGACGCGCACATTTGCTCCTGCACCCAGGCACGCGCCTCGAGGCAAAATGGATAAAGAAGTGCTCCAGCCTTGGACAAATTGTATTCCTGGAACGTTGCCTGGCTTTTGCCTGATTCTGCCTCAGCAACTTCGAGTTCCTCGCCCAATATTCCTTGCTAGTGGGGACCTTTTTTAGCTGTGGCTACTGCCCGTCTTGTCTTGCGAGCCTAATCGGATGCTTATTTTGGCTCGTGTTCAATTTGCCTCAGATCAAGGCGGGCCTCATTTTCGCCAAAGGTTGGGATCAGGCACGCCTGACACTCGTCCAAGCGCGCTTGATATTGGAAGGCCCCTGACAACGTATGTAAATCTCACCTATCAGCCCAACCTGATAATTTTTCTCGCGCTTGCTGTTTTGATTGATATATTTTGTCTTTTCCCATCACGGGAGCCGTTAGGTAGACCAAATAGCGGATGCTCGGGATCCTCACGACTTCACATGGCGCGAACCCTCTTTCGGCCAGAAAGAAACATGACTAACTGGACCTGCTGCTTGGGATGGCGCAGGCAGTTTGAACCGTTGGTGCAAGGCTAAACCTGCAGCGATTTGTTGGACCACGATGTCCAAACCTTCGTGATGTTCCACCATTCGCTTTCCTCATCCCCAAGCCACGATACGCAGGCGGTCTATATTGAGATCTATCACCAATCAACGGGTTTTGAGAACCGTAAATGCCAACCTAACTGGCTTAGATGGGCTCAGCCTCATGGCTGCTACCTAATTATCAGCCTTTTCATCACCGACTTCCCCAAGCCTTTCTACTCTTCTGACTCCTGGTTACCCCGGAATGATACTTTATATCTTTCGGCATCGATTGAATCGACCACTGTCCTCCTCATGATATCAATCGCTAGGCCCTAAGATCTATGTCAAATATGCCTAATCAGGCCGCCGCGACGAATGCACCGTCCCGTGCTTTGGACAAAAGACGAAATTGGACTTCCATTATTATGTCAAGCGTTTTTGGTGGAGCCGTGGCTGTCATCGCCGCTCCCACTGTCGCCGCCCTTATGCCTATAGGAGCGCTGGGCTTCATCGCTGGGACAACCGCATACGCGGTGCCGCCATGCTACTCAGACGGACGGCTGAGGTGCCTAGCCGCCTGAGAGAAGTGCAAAAGCTAGCCCCGTGTATGCGATGCTTTTCTTTTTAAGGAGTCTAGTACGTAGCCTGTGTTCTGCGCACTGCGCGGACTCGAGCTGCATCTATTCTTTTGAAGCGTAGTACCTCCGGTGGGCTTCGGTCTTCGCACTACCCAAGTCGAGGTTAGGGAGCCTAATCTAGCTCCTTTCGTTCAACTACCTCGATACTCGTGAAAGGTTCAGCAGGTAACAGCTTAGCCCGAAAGGGGGCCTCGTGAGTGCGTCAAGTATAACCGAGCGGCAGGGTCTGGAATATGGCTGTTCCGAGCTTTGAAACGCCGAAAACTTGGAACCCGGGGCCAAGTTATGGGCCCGTTCACGTACTCAGGGTTATACTAAAGCTACTCATGGTAAGCCTCAGGGCTCGCTAAGCGGTGCTCAGGATGGCACAGCCACGGCTCAGAATTGGTCTGTGACGACTCACGTTAAATGGCGAGATGCTCAGGCCTCGAAATGGACATGGACTTTGGAGAGGTCAAGATTCGCCACTGAGTATAGTGGTATTCGACACGTCAGCACGAGATATTCCTCGCCTTAGTCCAAAAAAAAATAACAAGGAAATCGAAAAGAGAGCGTTCAAGATTTTCAAAGAAAAAGAACCAATGTCAAAAATAGCAAAAACAATGACTGTTTTGGGCTGCGTGAACCGCGACTCGAACGCGGGCCTCGAGCATGGGAAGCTCGAATTCTACCCTTAAACTATTCACGCGAATCTGGGTGATATCACAGGTAAAATTTATAATTATAATATATATTTCTACTTTTTTAGTGGGTCTAGCTGGGGCTGCTCTGGGTGCTAATTGGTGCTTGACCGCCTAATACTTGGCACTCCCAGGCCGATGGGTGCCATCCAAGCACATCTTCTTACATTTCAGATATTACCACAGGTTGACAATTAAATCAGCCCACAATACTAAGTCTGCTACTTCAGCCACAGTCGTAACCGGATACGTGTGAGCTATTACAACAAAACCTGATAAAAGACATGCTTTTCCTGTTTTCCTATGTCTATCTCGTTTGAATCTTGGTTCAAGTTCTCGTAAAGCATCCCCCAACTGAGACCACCCGTTGCAATCAACACTCGCGCCGGGTTACAGAACACAAATACTTCTGCCCTATTCGAGCGTCTTCTCAGTCAAGAAGATTCCATACTTCTCCTTCAACTCCGTCAGAATGGGCCCCGCCAACTCCCACTTCAGCGGTGCGAGGATGCCCCTCTCCTTGATTCTTCCGTCCAGCACCATCAAACAGGCCAATCCGCACGGGACACCAACCAATTTCGCCATAGAGCTGTATCCGTTCGGGTCACCATAATCACAAAGAGTGCTCGTCCTGGTCTCTCGGGATCCGTCTTTGTGCTCGATCTCGAATTTATGCTGCAGCATGACCATGTCTCTCTCGCCCTTTTCGTACTGCATCTTCTCTTCGAGTGTGGCACAGAGTGTATCAAGTGGGTTGCCTCGCGGTGTGATGGGTGTCTCTGAAAACAGGCCAAGCCATTTGATTCCTGAGATGATACGTTGTTTCTCTGGTGTATCCTTGAAAGTCGTCTTGGAGCTGATTGCCCACGAAAGATCCGACTCCTTGCTGCTGGTCGCGCCAATGATTTTCTGCGTCGCCTCCGCCCAGGTTATTGGCTTCTTGTCAGCAGACGGCTTAAGGAAAGGCTGCTCTTCTTCCGACAGAAAGCCGATATCGACCAGCACCTTGACGAATTCCGGGAAGCCTTGGTACCGCAGCGTACCACGGATTACAGTCTGGGCTTCTGGGATGCTGTATTTTTCTCGGTAGGGGGTCGAGTCTCTGTTGGGATATGCCACGAACGCGAAGCCCGGGTAGATGAAGTAAGGCTTTGCACTGCTCATAAGCTCTGGTCCAGCGATTTCCTTGACGGAGCCATCCTCGTAGAACTTGGCCGAGTTACGGAGGGCTAGCAGGACCCCTCGACTTGACCAGGAGAATTTGTACCCTAGAGGGTTGTCGCTGGCTTCCGGAGCCGGCAGCCCACCGCAGTATGAAAGAAAAGACTTGATCTTGCCACCGGCCTTGTGAACCTCTTCGATGGTCTTCACGGCGTAGAGATGGTCGATGCCCGGATCCAGACCGATCTCGTTCATGACCGTAATGCCCGCTTCCTTGACCTGATCTTCCAACTCCAACATGGCCGGGGAAACGTAGCTGGTGGTGACGACATTCTTCTTCTTCCGGATCGCGGACTTGATAATGGTCGCGTGGAAGGTGTATGGGATGAGACTGATGGCAAGGTCGGTTTTGGCCATCTCGGCGTCGAGAGCCTCTTCATTGGTGACATCGAGGGAGATTGGCCGCGTGTTCTTGATACCTTCGCATAGTTTCTTTGCACTTTCGAGCGTGCGGCATGCTACAATTGACGTTAGTCAAGACACCTCTGATTTGTTCTAGAAACTCAAAAGTCACTGACCGACGGTAACCTCAACACCGGCATTTGCGAGGATCTCGACGGTGGGTTTTGTGACGAATCCTGCGCCGAGAAGAAGGGCTTTTTGGGAAGAATAGCCCAATTTGGACTGGATGGTGGTGATGAGCGATGCCATACTGAAGGAGCAAAAGGGATCAACTTCTCGCCTGATTATGTGTGTGTGAAGTGGTCTTGCTGAAGGAGGAAATGAGTCAACCGACAGTCCCCAGAGATTTCTTTCAATTCGACCCAGAAAATTGCAACAACCCGCGCCCGCCGATTGCGGAGTTGAGCGAAACACCCCAGAAGCCCCTCCATTATCGCCACGTGAAGATAGACTAAATACATATTACACCTCGGGTACCTTGTGCCTATACCGTATCAGATCGTCGCCCTATCTCCCATTCTGCTTGGAGATCTAGCAACAACTGGTGAGATTCTCCGTCGCTTGGCCCAGGAGGAATCGAGGGCATCATCCGTGACATCAAACATCATCTCACAGACTACTGCCTGACAAACGTGTGAGATTTTCCTGTGGTTCGCATAGGTATGGACCTAGTAGGTAAAAGGGTCGTTTACGGGCAACTGATCAACGCAGGTAACAAAGGATGTTGTCTCGCAATCAATCAATGGTAAAACCCCGACTTCATTGCTGCCCACATGGCCTCGCTTCTCCGCGCCCTTCTCTCATGTCTCCACACTATTTCCCAAGGTTCGAAAGGATATTGACCCAGCATCTCCCCCCTCCCCTGCTCAAATCCTCTCCCGCTCGATCCTTGTCGAACACCACCAGTCTATTTCCCCGTTCCAGAGATGGCGGTCCCTCTGCTCGTGAGGCTACAGTCCTACTTTGATCCTCTTGTCCTTCTCGGCATCTCCATTGCCTACCTGCCCCTAACGCTACTCTCTCACCCACTGCTGTTCGTGACATCTCCCTCGTCCTTCCGCTCAAAATGGTTCGAGAACTTCTGGCGCGTCGTGGGCCCGAAGATGGCCGCCACGGAAACCCAGATCAACCACATTGAAGAAGTGCTTTCCCGCGCCAGCGGAAAGGTCCTCGAGCTGGGTCCAGGGGGAGGCGACCAAATGTTCCACTACAAGCCTGGGCAGATCGAGGTGCTGTACTGCGCCGAACCGAACGTCTTCTTGCATGAGAAACTCCGTGGAGCCGCCGAGAAGCATGGACTCGGGAAAAAGCTGGTCGCCCTCGAAGCGGGAGCCCAACCGGGCAGTCTCCTGCCCGCGCTCAAGAAGGCCGGGGTAATCCCCAGCACGGCCTCGACTCTCCCTGAGAACGGTGTATTCGACACCATCGTCGCCATCAAGAGTCTCTGCTCGGCGCCCCAGAAACAGCTGGCTGCCACGGTCGCGGTCGTCCAGGCCTTGCTCAAACCCGGCGGCGAGTTCCTGTTCTTCGAGCACGTCGAGAACAACGCCGACTACATCACCAAGTCCTACGCGTGGCTGATTGACTGGATCTGGCCTGTCTTTATGGGTGGGTGTCGGGTTGATGGGAAGATTGACAAAGTTGTGCTGGGGATGGGCGGCTGGGATGAACGGAAGGTCGTCACCACAGGTGAATTCCAGGGTTACGAGGTACGAAAATGCTTTCCAGAGACCATCAAGCCCCCGCCTCCTAACCCTGGGATTTTGACAATCGAGCCCGATTTCACGTTGTCAATACTAACATTCGAACGCCCTATAGGTCTTCAGATACGTCAAGGGAGTCTGCCGCAAGGCTTGACGAGGTTGGCCGCCAACCCTTTGCCCAGCAGTACTTCTCGCAAAAGTCATCCGCAAAGTGTGTCTAACGCGGGGTTTTAAGGCAATCTGGAGTCCAAGACTTGAAACCAGCAGAGTGGCATCTATGATGAGCTCAGTCCATGTTGATGTGGTTCCTGTACGACGCTTGCGCCGGCTGAAGAAATGTCATTAGTTACAACATCAAGATCTAGTCTCGTACGTTGCACATGTTGGATTTTGTCCTTTTGTCCTTGAGGTCAAGGGATCATGAATGCTCAAACTCCATGGCCTTGCGATGTATAAAACTCCATTCAGTTCGCGCAAAGGCCCCCCTAGGCCAACACCGTCTCCTTCAATGGCAGCTCGGTCTCGTATTCAATCTCCACCCGGCCGCGAGGCTTCTTCTGTGGCTTTGGCGGTTGTTTTGTGTGGCGCTTCCTCTTCTTGCCTGACGCATCGTCTCCGGCCTCGTCCTCGTCGCTGTCTTCGCTCTCGTCTTCGTCCTCTCCGGACTCTTCAGTGAACTCTCCGTCTTCTTCGTCAGGGCTCTCTCCTCCGAGCCAGTCGTCAAAGTCCTCCATCTCCCGCTCCAATTCGTCCTCGCTCTCGTCCAAATCGGAAACGTACTCCACCTCTGCCTCGATTTCTTCGTTCTCGTCCTCTTCCAACTCTTCATCCAGCAGCTCTTCACCTTTTTCCTTCCTCTCCAGACCTCTCAGTACCTTTCTCCACAGGCCTTCTTCGATATTAAGCGGCCGGTCACCGTATGCGCCGCTCGTCAGCCGCTCCATAAGTTCCCGTTCGATCTCCCTCTCCACCTTCGCCGCACTCTCTGCTTTCCGTTCCCGGGTCTCCTCCCTCCTCCGGACCTTTGGCGCCAGTCTACTGACGTTCTTCTCGCCCAGTCTCACATCTTCCTTTTCGATTTTTCTTTCGCGGATCTTGACTTGCGTCAATCTCGTGAGCCTCTGTTTGCATTTGTGGATGTAGAATTTGGGCCAGTATTGCAATTTCTCGTCGAGGGCCAAGAGCGCCTTTCCATAGTTGTTGGGCAGACGGATCTTTTCCCACCACTTCGAAGGCAGGTGGTTGCGTTCGGGGGTCTTGATGAACAGGCAGAGGGCACCGCTCTGAGGGTCCGGTCGGACGGTGGCATAGCGGGAATTGGCGAGTGGGCAGGACTGCCGGTTGCAGAACCCGGTCAGGTTGTACTCATTGCGACAAAAGGTCTGATCTTTGCTGCTCAGTCTGTTTTTTTCTTCCGGTTAGCAACAATCCCAAAGCGCTTTCAAGTCGTTCATATCTGCGAGAGAAAAAAAGAGACAGGCTTACTTTAACTTGAACGAGCAGAATTGCTGGTTGATCACCTGCCATACAATCTCGTCCGACGACATTTGTTGCGAAGTTGCGAGAGGAGGAGAGGAATAGCAGCAGAGACCCAAAAAAGTGAGGCGGCGGTGGCTGTTCTGGCAAGCGCCCAAAAGATTGCAGAGGCCAAAAATTTCGAGTTGGACAGTAGGCAAACCTGCCAAGAATATTTCTTATCGCTTATCAGAGTTTGGCATGTTTGATAGATTTGTTTCTAATTCCTCCCACTCAATAGGTAGACGTTCGTCCCCTTTGTGTCATACTTTGTTAGAATTGTGCTTCGCTAGGTTAGAAATACTTTCATATTCACCCCCGTCTTCGTTGACGTCTGTGTTTACCGGAACTATCGGCATCTATTCTTGATAACATTCCTGCTAATGAAGTATTATGAACATATGGAACGTGGGGAAACCAGAGGGACAAATATATCCTGTGTCGGATACTTCTGTCCCTGTATACGACGTAGAATGCAGTCCTGTAAATGTTCTAAGGCCTACAAGTCGGTTCATATTTGGCAAATAAGCCCGTGTAGGCCAAGTGTCTGCACGAGCAGCATGATTATTGCTTATAGAGTTAGCCGAAACGCTCACCTTTGGAACGATCAAGCAGCTTCACGATGCATGTAAAGGATCTGTGAATCATTGTAGGCAAGCAAAGAGTAAGAGGAATCCCATGGTGGCCATCAGGACTCAGAGTTTCCCCATGCATTGGAGAACTCTCACGGAATCCTGATTTTTTACCACGTAACACTCTTTGCTTCTCGTCAGGAACAAGAGCGGAACGGTGGTGATACCCTTGAACGTTAAAGCAGTGTCGAAAGGGTCAATATGGTTCAATGGCTGTTTGAGTGGTTGTGTCAGCAACATCTGCAGCAGCGGCCAGAACAATGCGGAAGCTCCAGCTAGTCCTCGGCAGGAAGTATACTGTGTTAATCTTCGACTTCTGTGTCCCGTTCTTCGAACCTCAGAAACGTGCTGGCCGAGCAGCCTCTGGCCCCAGGATTTTCTGCCAAGCGTCATTGACTGCATGAAGTATACCATCATCAAAGGCAAGCTCTTGCGGTCTGGGTGGAAACACAATGACCCCTGGTTGCTCCCCGGACAGAGGGGTATTCAAAGTTGAATCTATAGCAGGTCCCAAAGCTCGATACGAGAGCGACCACAACAGCGAATCTTTTGCGCCGACAGTGTCGAGGAATGCCTTCACAGCAGTTTCAAGCCGGCTTCTGGAGGTGGAGTCTTCAGAAACAACTGAGGCATAGATGAGACCTGGTCAAGAGCAAGTTAGCAATTTCTCTGTTGCGCGAAGAATAAGAATTCGAATCAGAGAGAATTGAGAGGGTTTCCAGATCAGGTTGTCAGAGGGTAGTTATCAGCAAAGCACATGATGCTCAGGCAATGTAGATAAGTATTCGATGTTGGATCATCACGGAAGCAGATAAGACAGCGAGAAGGATAAGAACTTACATTGACCAGCAGGACATTCTCCTGTGTCCTCTGAGTGAATCTGCAGATAAACAGGATCCTTGTCATGCTCGGGAGCACCATCATCGGCCAGAACAACCGTCACTGCGGGGACAGGGCCATTGTCTGATGTTGGTGGAAACATTGATTTTAACGGGTGCGCAATGATGTTGATAGACCTCCAGGTAGTGCAGAACGAGGCCACTGTTTCCACGGCGTCTTTCGAAGTGGGAACATCATCGTTGGTGCCAGCGACATACCGAGTCCGAATCCGGGTGCCGTCGGAAAGTGTGCATTCAATGATTGGTATATCTCCGCCAGCTGCACTGTCGAGATCAGATATATTACCCGGCTCACTCAGAGCCTGTAGGGCATGTCCCAGGAGATACACGCCTCCGCCCACAGCGTTGGCACGACAGGCAACTTGTGAGATTTCTGCAGTGCCGCCATACTTTGCAACGACCCCGCCAAAGCCTTGACCGAAATGTCCCATAGACCTCATATGTCTCCTGATCCTGGCGAGGGCCTTGTCGAAAGGAATTGAGTCCGCAGCAACAGGAGACAGCGCGAGTGCCACCAACGGAGTCTGCAGGGAATCAGGAATTCTGAACTTTGTCGACAAAGCAGTCCCTAGCGATATCGTAGCATTGTCTTCGTCTGAGGGGGTTGTCGATTCCTCCTCCTGTTGCATAACATATCTCAAGAACTTCATCAGGCCACGTTTGTCCTTCATTGACAGTGATTCATCATTGAACACATCCTCGCGGGTGCTGGGAATCTTCTGCAATTTACCATTACCCAGTACCCATAAAGATCCAACGGCAAGGAACTCCAGTTGGGTGTGAATCTGTGACGAGACCAGGTAGGGAAGAAACTCGGATTTGGCATAGATGATTTGAGGGTTCAAGCTTAGGGTATACGAGCGGGAGGGTCCAAGTGCAGAGGTTGACCCAGATCCGCCGTCGGCATAGCTCGTTATGGAGGCATCTTTGAATACTGTGCTTTGAACTGCGAGATCATCAGTGCTGATGCCAACCTCAGAGTGCAGTTGTGCGCACACTGCCGCAAGTCTTCGACCCAGCCCTGGGCGTCGTCGAGACTCAAACCGGCGTCATCACCTCCATAATAAGAATGGCGATCGACGTGCAAGATCTTCTTGTCCGAGCGGGAAAGGGCCCTGGAGACGAACGCTTTGTCAGTCAGTTAAGGCCGCAGTTGAAGCAGGGTGAGAGAAACATACAACGCCAGAAGCGACTGGGGGATGCTAGTCCCAGCTATGACAACATCCCAGTCTTCGTCACTCAGGCTCTCCATGCTAGCTGTCGAGAGATTGCAGAAAGCGACTGAAGAATGTACAAGTAGTAATAACACGGAGGTGAGAATTTCAGAGGAAGTTTTGTCCAGAGATCAGATAGTGTTTGGGGAGAAACATTTTGGCAACTTTGCCGAGACGCCCAACACGACTCAATTGCGCCTAGCCAAATAGAGCCTGCAGTACACATTGCCCCGTATATCTCGGTCGAGCTCCTAAAACTGCGTTGTCTATACCTGTGTGTACAGGATTGAGGGGCACGAGGGTCAGCATCGTGACCTTCTGCGACCTTACTAGAAAAGATGTATCTCACCCACATTGTTGAAAGCCTTTCTCCACACAGTCCGTCCAGCTCCCTAGCTCCTCTAAATGCCTCCAGCGGATCTTAGCCCTTTCTTCGGCGCCGACGAATATTCTCGACATCACCTGAGCAGCGATCTACATGACTTCCGACTCTAACTCCTCCTTGGACTCAGCGTGGAGGCCCTATCTCCAACTGGGCCAAGACTCTGGAGGACGCAGTCTCTGTAAGTTCGGATGTGGCGGCATCAACCAGCCTCTACCACCTACACGCCGAGGGGCGACGAGACATTCTGAGAAGTCATGAAACAGACGATGAAGTGGCTTTGTCTTGAAGGGCCTAGGCATGTTGGCGGCAGAGAAGACCGGGCGGAGGGCAGGTCTTGCTGATATATGGGGTATGGAGCGGACTTGTCTCGAGACTCCCTCCTGTCCAACAACGGCGGATGCTAACCTGGTTCAACTACTGCTTCTCACCTCCACCCTCGTTCACCTTCTTGCGTCCACCCCAGATCTCCAACTACTCACCCGCAGAAACCCCAATTTAGTCCTCAAGCAGCCCCGCGAGTACGACCCGTCAAGTCGGTTTGCTGACTCGGGTTAATCTGACGGGTGGTATTTGCTTATAGTTTGACATTTACGCTCTAATACTTACCGACGCAACTCTATTGAGGCGCCCTACCCCGACCGGTACCCTCCACATTCTGCCCCACGATCTCGGAAGCCCCATCTTTACCTAAGCACAAAAGACGGATTTCGACCATCGTTGTGGAGGAAGACTCTTAGAACCAGCGCAGAGGGAGATATCTATACGCAGTAAACACCAAGCGAAGTGTGTCTCCCAAAAATCAGTCTACTCTCCGTTGAGCAGGACAGACACCTGGTTACCATCAACACGACCACTGCACCCTCACAATCCCTCTCTCCCGTAGAGGAACAATAAATACGAAATGGGCAGCTACGCTGAGGAGCCAGAGTTCAACACCATCACCATCCACAAACTTCATCCTACATTCGCGGCCGAGGTTGAAGGCGTTAATTTCCAGAATTTATCCGATGAACAATTCAACGAGATTCTCGCCGCAATGGCCAAGGTACCAACACTCCTGTTTCTTCGGGCCTTCTTTGTCCCATCTCGCCCGATTGGAGCCATACTTCGTCGTAATCTGGAGCTGACTTGACCCCTTTGTACATTAGTATGGTGTTTGCATCTTCCGCAATACCGGACTGGATGATTTGAGCCACATTGAGTTCTCCAGACGTATCGGCGATCTTGACACCATGAAACGGTATATGGTGGAAGGCCGCAAGCCCAGATATAACTACTACGAGTTATTCGACGCTGGGAATATCGATGATCAAGGCGGCGTTCTGGATCCCAACAGTCCGAGAGCACATTATGGCAAGGTGAGCACACCCAAAACATCCCTTGGGCCTGGAAGCTTACTTTGTATCGCAGGGAAATGCTCTGTTCCATGTGGACTCCTCGTTCAACCCCAGACGCGCGAGTTTCTCTCTACTACGTGCAGTGGAAATTCCACCACCGGGGAATGGTGGAAACACTGACTTCGCTGACTCACGCACCGCCTGGGACGAGCTTGACCCCGAGTTTCAAAGAGAACTCCTAGAGAAAGATTATATTGTTCAACACTCAATCGCTCAGTCTCGCAAATTGGGATCGCCCGAGTTCTTTAAAGACCTCGATCCGACCAACGGAGGTGTCATGGCCCGGCATCGACTCATTCAGATCCACGAACCAAGTGGTCGCAGGAATATCTATATCGCGGCACACTCGCACCACATAGAAGGCATTCCCAAGGAGGAATCCGATGCACTGATCAAGAAACTTCTAGACCATGTCACCCAGAAGAAGTACACCATTAGCGTTGAGTGGAAGAACCCTTCGGACATGATCATCTGGGACAACCGATGCACCCTGCACAGAGCTAATGGTGGGGCGTTTGAAGGCAGGTACAAGCGAGATCTGAGGAGAACGACGGTGCACGACGACAGCAGCACAGCCTGGGGATTGAACGAGGTCAAGGAGACGGACGACTGGGTTGTGAACCACGATGCCACCAGGGCAGCTGGGCAGACAAAGTAGATGGCAGCGTAGCAGGGTGACCGTGCCGTCATTCACCCTGGCCAATTCAGCAGATTTTGTGTGAATTTAGTAGATTTTGTCCATGCACTTCGCTTGAAACAAGAAGTAACTTTGCAATGTATTAACGAACAAACCGTTATTGTCAGGCGTGTTACTCCACTCTTGGTACCTCGTATGTGCATGTATGTATTCACAAGGTTGGGCGTCACTGGTAGGCAGTTTAGTTGGCAGGACAATCCCGTTCCCAATGACACTTCAAAAAAAAGGGGGTGAAGCCTTGAGGACCGTGTGACTCCCGAATAAGTGGGCATGGGAAGCGGAACAATAATAACCCGCAGTGACAAGCTCCAAACGGGCTCCGTCTTTACTTCTGTCTTGGTCTCGTCACCACCTCCTCCCGTCACCATCTGTACATGTTATATATATATTGCCCATTAACGTGCGAGTTCTGCACTTTATTTCCCTGTGTGAGTCACGCTCTAGCGCCTAGGCTGCTGATGGAATTATGAGTATATATATCAGGTTTTCTGCTCCTGGTCCTCTTCCACTCTTTCGTCTTTGGCAATACTCTCGTCAAGATTCATCAGATCTTGCTGGAGCTTACGAGCAACAACCGAAAAGGAGTCTTGAAGTTGAGTGGGTATCGCCATCAGACAGAAGAAGCAACAGAGATCTTCTCATCAGATCTCTGCATTTGCCTCTGGCTTGGAAACCCCTGGGCAAGAAACCAGCTTCAAGGTCCTTGAACAGAAGCCAGCCTCCAGCATGACGAGCTACGCAGGCATTTTCGACTTGCCAGTGGACATGTTTGACGACCTCATGTCTGGCCTGGACTACGAGTCCCTCCTTACCTTCCGCCAGACATGTCGCTCAGCAGCGACACTCGTGCCCTTGGCCCGGATCGTGGAGATTCGACAGGCTCTCCGAGCCAGACTCGTTGCCGAAGAACACGCCGAACACCAACGTCGGCAAGTGGCGTATAGGAACCAACGTCGGTGGGCGGGCGTGTTTCCCCAGACCGTCCAGGCAGCTCCGCCCCCGCAAAGCCCGGGCATCGCCGGCACCAACGCGCCGACGAACTCGCTCAACAACATTCACCGCAACCGCATAATGAGAGCGGAGCGGTTGAACTGCTACGCCTGCCTGAAGTGTCTGCCACGAGAGTGCTTCGTGAAGGGACAGGTCACGGGAAGGAGGAGTCTCGGGCACGGCGAAGGCGATCGACGGTTCTGCAAGGCGTGTGGCGTCAAGAAGGGGATCTGGGACAAAGGCAGCGTGATCAAGGACGGGAGACGTACCTGGGTCGTCTGCAGGTGGTGCAACTCCCTGGGGAGAGTCGAGGCTGGATCGAAAGAGGCCGGGGTTTGTTCGGCGTGCCTATCCGTGGACCAAGAGCGCTCGCTCGACACTGAGCATCAGGCCGCCGCCACCGCTGACCACCAGCCAAGCTCGTCACAGCTTCCGGTGCAGCATCCTGCATTCACACTGCCCGGCAGCCGAGCCACTCGGTGTCTCCGCTGCTGGGCCATCAACCACACCGAAGTGCCTGTCCAGTCGACGGGTTCTCATCTCTGCCAGTCGTGCAAGGCTGCTGTCGGCTTGTCATAGGCTCCGCTGAACATAGGGCGTTATCATTCTTATGGCGTCGCAGTGTGTACATTGGACCGAGACATTAAATGAACCATGATGGAGCGGGGATTTGGGACGGATATTGTGTATTGTATGTTTCTGCATTGCACTGTGATACCCTGGCAGGGAGTTTTGGGGGAGTATGGGCTTAGGGCTGGCTACATTGGCAAGAGTCTGATCCGGCCTTGGATAGAGACGGGAATGTAAACCTCTTGGACCTTTTGACTCTCTCTCTCTTTCTCTCTCTCTCCACTTCTTCATCACCTTTGTATGTGTCTGGTATTCTCTACCATGGCTGCCTTCTAAATGTGGCACCTCGTTAAAATAGTAGGGCAGACGAGACTTTGAATAAAGAAAGGGGATCATCCGCACGGGTTGAAATGTGCAAGGAACAAAGGTCTGTGGTATATATTCACGAGCAGGAGAATATAGAACCATACAGGCAGGAATATACCTGGTAGAAGTATATCGACCCACCCGCACAGGAACAAGAGGGAGAGAACTTGAATTTAGTGATGGAAAATGCATGACATTGGACATCACTCTCAGAACTTGAAATGAGATTAGTAAATGATGTGGAAAACCTGAGAGGAAGTACCTGCCCTGCCCTACCCTGCCATGCCATGCCATGCCAGGCACTCGTACTCGTACTCGTCTCTATGTGCTCCCTTTGGAGACCTACCTTTCGCACCAAGGTTCTGTGAACCAGAAAGCTGGGGTGTCGTGTGTGCAACTCTTAAGGTCTAGTGTTTTGTGCGACTTCCCCTGTCAGGACATCGTTATCACGGCTCTGTTGATTCTGGAACAGAGAGGTCTGGAGCATCTTGTCCCAGCGAGAGGTCACGAAGTCGGAGTTTGGCCGCTCTGAGAGAGAGTTGAGCGAGGACGATCTGTGTGTAGCTGGGCAGAGGTCGATGATTCGGGCTGTTCAATGCGGCTACAAACTCGGCCGGCACAGGGCACTCGGGAAATCCACTCCACGACAACGACTCCATGTCCTCGCCCTTCTCGTAGGCTTCCATTCTGGCCAGGCAGTCCTGTAGAAAGCTCTTGTACTCGAACCAGTCCTGATGGACCTCCCCAAAGCACTGTTGGCAGAATCCGGAGAAACGGAGCCTGAAAGAGAGAGCGTTGGGAGCCTGCTTGATTGTGAGACACCTGTGGCATTTGATAATTGAACTCGTTCCGTTGCGGAGACCAAGACTGTGGTATGCGTGAGGTTGTTCCGCTGCGGTACAAGCTCCACAAGTCATAGATTCTAGCATCATCTTGTAATCTTGTTGGGTTATCAAAGGATTTGCGTACGGTCTGAAAGGAAATGTACGACGCAGGCTGTCGGTCGGGAAATTCGTCCAAGGTTTCACGGTATGGCACTTGGAACAAGAGAAGTGGTAGAGACTGGGACGCACAAGCCATCGAACTAATGTGTTAGAGAAGCCACGTTCTATGGCGTACTCCTCTACTTGTTGTACAATGGATGTGCCATTGACATCAAGTCCCAACAACGACGAATTCATATCCACGGAGAAATAGCAGTCCTGAAATTTGCGTTCGATCTCGACCCAAGCCTTTGACATCTCGTCAATCAATCGAACCGCAGGGTCAGCGAAGCAGTGTCTCAAAGCCTGTGATGCTCTCCGAACACGAACGAGATCAGAGTAGTTGAGATGCTCCGCGATCTGGAGCTGGAGCTCACCAGGAAGAGATGATAGTCGGTCATGCGTTGACTTGTACCGTATTGATTCCGAAAGTTGTGCCATTGAGGCGGTGGCCTCACCTTGATGCCGCTGACGGGACGAGATCGAGCAATGGACGAGGAAGTAACGCCCTTTGTTGGGATTGAGACGGGAGGAACGGATCCTTTCCTATTTAAACGTATGTGGTTAACGGAAAGAATTTTTCTCTCAAACACAAAACCACCAAAGTGTAGACTCGACTGTTGGCAGTTGAGATAAAGGTCCCACAGAGCTCAAGCCTCAATATCACTGCCTCTGCCCAAACAATGAATTACGAATGAAAGGACCACCAACAGGCAGCTCCGGTGTGGAGCGCAGGAATCAGACGATTCACCGCATCTGAGCTGCTTGCCTTTGTAAATCAGTGACTTCCAATCTCCACAATGGTCCATTGTCTCTGGTCCATGGCCGACTCCTGGTAGCCTCAATCAAGCCTGTTAGGGTGGGTCAAGCATTCCTCGGCATGGCCATGGGCTTCCCGTTTTCGGCTGAGCATAGCGTGAAAACAGCCCTTTTGTTCTCCCTCCAAGCTCATTGTCTGATATCCACTGACCCAGTCTTTTGCCTATCGAGGTGCTCTCAGAAATTGCCCCAATAGCTGTTCGGTCCTGGGACGATAATCCGTGGCAGGTTCTTTGGAAGTCTCGATAGGTTGAGAGGAAGCTGTTTAGAGTGGTGTTGTTGGATTATGCAAAGATCCGAGCACGAAGCACTTGAATGAAAGTGTCGGTGTGTTGATGAACTGAGAGGACAAAGGACGAACACGAAGGAACCAGAAGGGGATTGGGTGGCACGTGACCGACATTTTCCATTTGTTTCTCTTTTCCCTTTTCCGCATGAGGCAAAACCGTCTGCGCTGCCTACAAGCAACACAACGGATCCGACTCTCTTCAAATTTCCTTTTGCGTCAAGACCATCACACCACCTGGCTGGCGCAGTCTCTCCCAGTCCTCCCTTAATATTCTGATGGACACATGGCCGCCTCCTGATTATGAAGTTGCCTGCGTAACCACAAAATCCACTTGTGTTCTCAAGTCAGTTCGTTCCGCGATTGCTCAGGAAATTCCCCCTTAGCGAGGCAGTCCATCTGTACTGTATCTGCAAACCATGAGCCGCATCCGCGCCCGCATGCACCATGCATGGTAGTCAAGGCCGTGCCCCGAGTGAAGGTTTGACCGTGGTGATGGTGCCGGTGGCTCAACTTCCAGGCGAGGGAGAATTCGATCTTGTCCAAGACATTTTTAGACCGGGACAGCATATCTTTGGCATATCGATCTTTCGACGGCTGGTGCAATGACCCGTTGTGCTCCAAGGGCGACACTCCAAGCAGTGACGGCGGTCACATTAACACTTCTTCCTTGCAGGCTTGCGGTACTTCACCCAGGTCGAAGTGCAGTGCCATGAAGACCGGCTTGCACGATGCCAGTCATTTCAGGATGGTTTCAACAGATTGATGTGATATTCTAAACTTACCAGTCCCCGTCTGGCACCGGTGAGATCGGTAGACGGAATAGACTGACATCCCTCCGTGCAACCCGTAAGACATGTCCTGCTAATAACGAACAGAAATCTCACACCGGAGTCTTCCAGAACTTGAAAGGCATTCGTTTCGGTCGCACGGCTCGGCAATCTGCGTTTGATCTTATTTGGGAGATTTGCGTATAAAGTGTCGATTGTCGTGGAAGAGAAGGTCAAGAAGTTCCGACATATTGTCAAGGATGGCAGCCAAGAATGAGATTTCGAGAGTCGACTGCTATGGTTTTGAGGATCGAGACTGCGCCAATAGTCATATCAGTCCGAGACTGACGACAGCGAAGGCAAGCAAAGCGCACGGTATCGAGACCTCCCCAGACAGCCCGCCGCCAGTCTTAGATCTCAGGATGGTCTGTCCGACCCCTTCAAGTCTCTAAGGCCTGCCAGACTCCAATGGAACATCACGCACCTTTACCCTCTAGCTATTCTGTGGGTTTCTGGACCGCGAGATACCTAGTGCAACCTGATACGCCGAAGCCGCTTCGTTGCAAAGGTTGTCCGAGTTGAACGCTTCAGAAACTTTGTGCATGAACCATTCCCACTTGGATTGGTGTTCGGACGAGCCTAGACACCCTCTCGGAAACATGATTCACACCTCCGGCCGCTACGGCCGTCCACATCCAGAGGAGACGTCAACCCTAAATCTTCTCAAATCCAACTGGTCTGAGTCGAGCTTACCAATGGTATTAGAGCCCGGACACAGTCTGCTGTGGGCGATGGGGGTTTGAAAGAGCTTTGTCGCAACTGAACGAAAAGGTAAATTTGGTTGATGTATTTAGTCGGCTTCAGCCAGGCTTACGCTGACCTTCCTGCGCACTGTGGTTCTGCGACGGTAGTATACGAGCTTGTTCCTCCTCTTGATGTATGTTTGCCACCCCTGGATGAGGTTGATACCAGCCTTGGGAGTGAAAGCCGTCGGAAGACCCGGGCAATTGTTGCATTGCACCAACATTTCCCCCCATCCATACCGACTGCATATTGGTTTGCATAGGCTGGTATGATGTGTGGTCCTGAAAATTCGGAGTCGTCGAAGTGTGCCGACTCTCTATGCCCATTGGCACCATGCTCGAACTGGTCGGAGGTAGATGTTGCATCTGGCCCGTCATTCCTCTGTCGAAGGACGGATATGTGTTTGTTCGGTATGGGGTTGGGAAACCGGATGACAATTCGTCGGTTTGGTCAGATGACATTGACCTCGCGGGGGGGTTTGTCCATCCATAGCCACCATTGGGGACAGCCGTCTGGTACGCACGAGTCTGTTCCTGAGACATCGTTGTCATCACGGAAGGTAAGGAACTCGGAGCAAACGTTGACGAATATGGCGTGCCAACTGGATGTCCATATGAGTGTTGTTGTTGTTGCTGCTGCTGCTGCTGCTGCTGCTGATAGAATGAAGGGTTCATCGAATCCACATCAAAGTTCCCCTGTGAGTACGGAGATGGGACGAGGACTTGCTGATGTTGACGCTGGTGTTGACTAGGGTCGTACCCATGCCCAAAATCAAAGCCTGAAATGCGTCAGCCCTCGAAGACAAAGACAGGATCGAACTCCTACCATGGACAGATACGGATCTGGAGGCCGGCTGAAAAGTTGGGAACCCAGGACTTTCATTGGACATGGGAGGAGTGTCCAAGGATCCCCTCCCATAACTTATTTGTTCCATGGAGCTGCTTCTTAGGATGCCACCTGGAGAGGATGACGAGACTGAAGCTTCACCCTCGTTCACGAAGCCATCCGCTGTCTTTTGCCCTGAGCGAGGTCGTTTCGTTGTGGGCGGATTTTGCGGGTCGATCGGCAGGAAAATGCACTCCTTTTTGAGGCGAATACAATTCTGGCATCGGCCTGTTGGGTCATTGTAATCAGGCATACAGCGAATCTTGCGCCGTCGGCAATGGACTGGTACTTGGTCAGAAATGTCGCGCACAAGGAAGCCAGGTACAGAGACTGACCACATGCGACGGCAGTGCGATGGTACCCCAGTTTATTTCTCTTTTTATCGGCAGGAGATGAGGGTGGCCCTTCTACCGCCATGTCGCGAACAGTGGGCGACGAGTTACCGGATTGGATCAAACCAGGCATGTTGAACTGCTCGACCTCAGGACCGAACTGGTCTTGCGCAGGACCACTTCCTTCTGCATAGACTCCAAAATTATTTCCTCCCTCTTGCATCTCTTCGCTGACAGATGTCCACTACCTCCGCGAGACAAAGACTAGGTAGTGATTCCTGCTGGTTTTTCGTCTTCCACCACTGTACTCGTCGAGATGTTGAGCGAGGCAGACTGGCAACATCACTGGTACCGTGGATCTTGTGTCGACATCACAGAATTGATTTGTCGCAACCGACTGATGGGTTTCCAGGCCGATTCGGGTTGCGGCCCAGTCAGATCAGCGAAAAGGGAGCAGCCCCAATTGCGCGTCACAGAGCTCTATGAAAGCTTCGTGGGATTTTGGATCACTTGGGTCGCACAAATATTGCTGGCAGTACTATCTACCACACATCGGAGAATAGAGGTGTGGAATAATCTTCCCACGTCGCACCGAATGCTAACGCAAACCGAGTACTGTTTGAGTTGACTTCGGGGCAATCCTCGAGACTCTGTTAGAGGATCAACAGAGAGCAATCGCATCAAGTGACCAAAGTTGAAGACAATCGGTTGAATCGAGTAGGGAGTGGAGAGGATTGTCAGCCGTTCCTTCGTCCGGAGCAGAAGTTGGAGAGAAATGAAAAGAACAATCAGAATTTCAACAAAAGGATCTTGATGGGGATAGACCGGGATGTCCCCTAGAAGTCGAGAACACAGACTGACCAGTGGTAGGAATTGGGAACTGCAGTTCACGAGGACTGGGTTCCCTCTTCGTGGATCGTAAAATATGGTCAGAAGAAAATGCCCGCCACCGCGAAAAGACTTGGATATCCGCAACAGGCGAATCAAACCAGGAAACAAGCGCCCTCAACATGCATGACAGTGTGGTATATGACACTTCTATGCATGCGGAAAAGGTATGGTTTGGAATCTGGCATTCTACGAGTTTGGACCCCAGCTCCTCCTTACTAGCGATTAAAGCCACGAGAGGAGTCAAATAGTCCACCTGCGGAGGAAAGATACGAGTCCAATCGCTCACGCCATTGACTTTCTTAGGCGTTGACGAGGTTCTTGCACAGGGAAGTTGGATGGCTGATCGCACAAGATACTCCCCAATGAGCCAAGGGGGAGACGGGGCTCGCCCCGGTAAGATGCGAGAACAGGACCCCCAAACAATCATGCCTGACCTTGGATTGCCCGTTTGGAGACTATGGCTGGATGGCCAGCAGCTACTACAAGATCCACTTCGGAGAAAAGCCACAGTTCAACTATATCTGCATTCCAAAAGTCCAGAACACCTGTAAAACGAGGTACTGAAGATCTGGAGATTTACGATGTGGTCCCAGGTGGTGCGGCTGACCATCTTTGAGTTGCTCGGATCGACTTTGAAAAGGTAAAAAAAAAGGGCAGGCTGTCTGATCGAAGCTGGTGGGTGATGCTGCCCGTCATTTAGCCTCCACGACTTGTACCTCCCTGCCTGGCGTGCCGAGACAAGGTACAAGGGAAGTTCGGTGTCCAAGGAACGATCTGCACCAACCTGTCTCCACCAATGAAGAATTGGGAACGTCTCCCCGACAGAAGATTCTAAGAAACCGACGAATACGAGGCGCAGGCGCCGCAATCCCAACCGACTGGTTCGAAGGACCAATCTTGATGAGGAGGGGTTGTTGACCACGGCCCTCAGCGACCAGACTCCTGGTCCATACCTGCTGTTTAATGACGGTGGTATCATTCTGAAGGGGAAAGATCAGCTGCTGTTTGCCTTGCCCAAAGCCATCAAAAGGGGGATCACGACAAGGCCCGACAAAGTACACGAGTACCCAGTCAACGGGGTAGACCTTAGCAGCTAGGACCCTCTTACATTGTCACAGCACGAAAACCGGCTCTGACGGATGAATACATGCATTGATCTTCACAAATGTCGCTTCGGTCTCGAGCGAGAGCGCCTTGGAAGACTCTCCAGTGGAGCCCATTGAACTGGGGTTAACAGTACTTAGCCCCGACAGCACTGGAGTTGATCCTCAGAGCTAGCGCCACTGAACGCCGGCTGTGTGGCTTCGATGGAGGTTGAAGTTGGACTCTTCCTGGTAAGGTGCGGATGGCTCGGTTGAGGAGAGACGCATCCTCCACTCAAAGTTCATGATCTGAAGAGCGGCTATCCATGCGTTGGATGGTAACTGTGGAGGCTGAGGGACTCTTGACCGAAGTCTAGTCAACCTCTGCCCACCCCCGACTCGATCCAGAGAGGGCCCCATTGGGCGCGTGCCAGGTGGCACCCCTGCCTGGTGAGTTAGGCCCAAAGCCGACAATCATGTGCTGAGGCTCAGTCTAACAGGGACAAGACAGGTTACAAGCTGCTTTCAACGTCTCTTCGGTCTTTGGCGAAGGATTTTGCGAAGCTACGCGGGGGGTGGGCGGCTAAAAGATGCAGGACAGCCTGGGACAATTCTGCCACGTTTTGCATGTACCCGGTTTGTTGTCCTCGGTGCCTGTCAGGCGCTTCAAGATCCGCCTGGGTGCCGCCCACTGCGAATGCCACACACGTCACCACCAAGGCCATGGATGCATTTTGTCAGCACGTCTTAACCGAGAAAGTGGCGTGGGTGCGATTGCGTGGAGTTGACCCTAGACCCACTCGCAGTATCCAACTCGGTCAAAGCCTCGTGCTGCTCCGAGATAGACGCAACGAGGTTAGTGAGAGAGAGACGACGGCAGCGTCTAAAGGAGCCTCGTAAGTGGTTTTAGGTGCAGAGCAGAGGTGGCGAGTATCCTTCCTTTCACTGACTTACTCGCTTAGCCCCTACGACTATCATTGCCCATAGCGGCATAATTTCAGTTTAGCTCGGCCTCCATGTGAATGCGGAGGGGTACGGAACAAAAGGCCAACCTCTGTGCTCGTATCCAGCAAGCGATCTTTACTGAGGGGTTACCGACGAGGATACAGCAGCGAGCCACCGAGGGAAAAAGAATCCAGACATACGAATACAAATCCATCATGTGGCTGTGTCTGATGCGGCTCTCCTTCAGATCCTCCTTGGGAAAGAGATCTTCTCAGGGACCTTGTCCAGGGATCCCAGGTATTCAGGGATTCTAGACTTAACGGAAACATGGTCCGGGTCGACTCCCTGTTGATGGCATGGCTAGGTAGCGTCGAAGCTACTGCGTCTCACAGTCCACATTGGAGATCCCTGTACATTCTGCAACCAGAAGGCTAGCGGCACACTTTTCTCAACCAAAAGTCTATCGCCCGTTCCTCCCGTATTATTCTACAACACTTGTCTAGGTGGCGACCATCTCTCCACGTGGACCGAGCACCTGGTGGTCCCTAGCTCTCGGGTGAAACAGCGTTCTAGGGGTAAAAATCAGCATCCGACCCCCTCCATCGGAGCTACAGGTATGATTACTCCACGGGCGCGAGAAGAGCGAGTTCAAAGTCAGTCGAAAGAGCAGAGCTCTCTGGGGGAAAACAGCCTGGAATGCATCAAGTCAAGGGTATCGTCAATGGATACCTTTGCCTCATCTCTGATCATGCCTCAAGTGGGAGTTTGGAGTACGTAGTAGGAAGAAAGCTGAAAAGGTTGGATGCCTGAGTGAAGCATACAGACTTTGTCCAGTCTCCGAGAGGACAGAGTAAGATTTTCGGGGCTTCATGCTGGTCCAAGACGCAATGCACCAATTGAAGGCAACTCCAAGCGTGGTTCTTCCGATCCAGATGAAGCACGAGCGAGTGTCTCTCAAAGAGCCGTCGGGAATTTTGATTTCCTCGGAGCAAAGAACGAATGGGTTTGTGCGCTGTTTGCAGCTTGCCATGTGGTTTTCCAAGCCTATGGCAGCACCAAAGAAGAGGTCACCGCCAGCTGGCACCATAAAGTTCCGCAAAGCCGTTCTCCCCTTCACCCGGTGGTCGCCATGGTGGTTGGTTTCGCATGGGTCAAATCATGGCAATTGCGGACCTCTGGCCATGCCAAAGTGAAAACATTTGGCATCAATGGCAGCTCCCCCGAGATTGCAAGTGGGTTTTGGACAGCAGGTCGATAGACTTTTCTACCGACGATCAAATACTCAGGCCCAGCGTGGGAAGTCGACCCCCTACCAGCGCGTACACAGTCAGTCCTGGTACTAGACACACCTTCTGCAGGCCTCGGAGTTCGGCAGAGTGGCCAAGCCAGGGGTTACGAGTATGAAATGTCAGCTCCTTGTCGATCTTTGCAGTCAGGACCGCCTCATTCTGCAGAGACACTAGCCAATGTGAAGTGAAGAAAGCTGGCAGCTCAGCAGTCGCCATCGCTGGGTGCCAATCCATCCCCAACTTGGGGCTCCAAACCAAAAAGCTGAGAAGAGGAGAAAGAGAGACAGATCAACCATCGACTGTGGGCGGAAGAGGCCAAGGGTCAACCCGAACGACGCTTTGTCGCATTCTCTCCCTCTGACTACTCGCTTGGGAAATTCAAGAGATGGGTCGGAGAAAGCAGATAGAGATGACTTGACCATTCCTCTCCTGGTATCAGAGTTCTTGGATTTCCCATGGAGCCCTGACAGTCTGGAGAATAATGGACAGGTGCGACGACAAACTGTGGCTCTCTTTCCCTTAGGGGACTGTCGATCTGGTGGCCTGGTGGGTCAAGGAACAAGGGTCTCTGAATCTTCGCCGTCTATTTTTAAAAAGAGAGTTTAGTGGGTTGGACGGTGGCAGAACCAGGCATCAGACCACCATGCCGACTAAAGATTTTCAATGGCCTCCTGCGTCCGTCTCTGCCTTGCCTACGAGTGCGACTGGGGGGGATGAAGCGAAAACGACTGCCTTTGATGCCCGACTTTGGGTTGCAGCATGCCCTGGCACAAGGAGACTGGGGGCCATTGAAGTCTACTCTGCATTTCGCCCCAACAACTTGACCCGGCTTGCGAATGGTACCGAGCACAAGGCCCGATGCTGTGCCTGACCTGCTGGTGTTTACCTATGAGCAATGCTTGAGACTCGACATGGGGTTTGGACAGCAAAGCGATCATTCCGATCGGTATGCTAGGACAGCACAGCATTGAAAAACTTGGTATTGTCACAAGCCATGCACAGCCATGCAGCCAGGGTATGTGGGCTTTTCATTACCTCGAGGCCCTGTACACGTCCTTGGATACCTTAGCGCGTGCTCCTCTTTCCTTTTCACGTCAAAGGGTTTCTTCTTCGTTTGGGGGCTTGGCTGAAAGGGCATCTAAGGCAGTGCCCAAGACGGTTTGTCTCCGGGGGACAATGCCCGCGCAGGACGGGCGAACCGGTGAGACGTTATCTGTTTTTGACAATACCACCTCGACGCCGCCATTCGAAGCTCCTATAGGATTTGTCCCGGCACTTGAACGCAGCCGAGCTTTGTCATCGAGATAGGATCCCCAGCAGACAGATGACTTGATTGACTTAAGAGGACCTTTTCTAGCTGGACTTATCGGCTCACAATACCGAATGGCCGTCACGAGATATGGAGCTCATCACTTGTACGAGGTACTTTGCCCCTTTGCCTAGAGCCAGCGCTATTGATGTGTACTAGGAGGTGTGTGAGGGCGATCAAAGCAGTCGATCACCATCACGACTTAGCAAAGACGTGCACGGTACTATTTCACACCGACTGCTAAGGGAGCGACGTATGATTGACCGTCAGCCAATCGAGTACTTCACCATTGGACGTCAAGGGCGGATTCCCAAACATCCGCCCCGTGGCAATGATTGTGGATGGGGAACTGGGAGGACTCGATCTGGACATCACAACGCGGATGCTCACTGGGTTTGTCACGCGTCCAGAGGGCTCATTGTGAAACACCCATGGTCGGTTGGGGTCTGCCTTTGAGAAGGGGAGGGGGGAATGGTGAAGCAGAAGGACAAGCCTCGTACTGTGCTAACCATGGCGAGGATGGCGAGGATGATCTACATACAAGTAACAACTACGCTCTGCATTAATGGTCGGAATGTGTACCGAATAATATTTACAATACTCTGGTTGAACAGGGGGGGCCATGATCGGCCTCATTGAAGCACTTGGCTGCCTACGTACTCGGGTGACCTACACACAAGTCTGTCTATGCGAAATACTCAAAGGCCGCAGTCAATGATCTCACCACAACCACAACCATCATCTTGCTATCAACATTATGATCTTCGCCATCCTCATCATCATCACCACATCACAAGAAATCTTCTCCTCTTTGGATTCATCTCCTCCCTCCTGCTGCATACACACGCTGCTCCAACGCCAATAACAGGCCACCTCAAAAAACAAAAAAGTCAAGTTCTAGCCCACTCCTTTTCTCTGGCTCTTCCCCTCTCCAGACGCACCGCTAGCACCGAACGAAGCTGCCAGGAAAGCTAAGCTGTTTACTCTCTAGATACCTCGTACACCCTCCCTACCGCGCACCGAACCCCGCCTCTCACGAATCCACCCACCCTAACGATCGTGGCGAACGCCCGTTGAACTCACCAACCATCAGGGACAGGTTGATGCTGTCACAACACCTCTGACGCGATCCCACTCAGAGCCCTGTAGTTCCAAGACTGCCATCGAGCCTACAAGTATTTCGCGCGATCGGGAAACTTGGGTCATCTTCTTGGTCTAGAACATCATGTTTGCAACTTGTGTCTTTCACCGTTACTCTTTTTCTCGCAAGGTTTGGGCCTCCGCACCCAGCCGACTTCTGGAAGAATAATGTCAATCCAAGTTTCTTCTGCTACCTGCTTACCCCGGAGGATGCGCCAAGGGATATAATTCCGATAAGCTGCCTCTCAAAGTGAAACATGGGAACTAGGTGTTGAAAATTGTCCAGGATCGTACAATCGACGAGGGACCGAGTACAGTCTTCCGAGACCTGGAATGTGACCGACACACCTTAGCCTCTAAGGACAGCCTAAAATAAACTCTTGCAAGAGAAGCGTTTTTGGTAACATTAGCGTTGGCCCGTTCCCTGAAGGCGAAGGGGTGATCTTTGGGCTTGTTTGAATCACTTTGTCGACAGAGTCTAGACCTCATTCTCAGCTTCCCTCTCATGAGACATTCTTTCAATTGGGGTAGCACACAACATCACAAGCCACAAATCAAAGACAGACACACAAATTCTGGATTCACGGCGCCTCCTGAACCTGACTCGGAACAAAGTCTTTGCATTGACTTCACAAACATCCTTTGAGTGTTGCGGTGAAACTTTTGACTCCAGGGTTTCCATGAACCAGGAAGCTGGGTCGGCGTCGCCGGTCACCGTCTTTGGATCCATCAATCTCTCCAACCTCCACTGCTCCCAGTCGCACTTTCTCGAGGGCTCAACTCTCTCTTCATGCTTTCGTGGATTGCTGTGGGCAAGGATGTTACTGACGTCAACATCCACTGGCGGAACACCAGGGAGCGTTCGTGGACTGAATTTATGGTGCACATGATAAGAGAAGGTCAGGTCGGATTGGAGGAACTAAGGACGTCTATCGTCATTGAGGTCGTAACTATGAGCGGTGCGATCTGCTGTCCTTCCTGCGCCATCAGGCAACACCAAGCAGAGCACTCGCCACAAACTTCAGGAAGCCCACACAACCCCTTTCCCATTGGATTCCAAGGGACGGTGTTCATGCGCTTTGGCGATGTACGTGGCGGATGCAATCTCGCAGCCAACCCCGCCAGGCCAACCTCTCTCATGAACCCTTGATGTCGGGGTGCTGATGCGCGACCACCGAGAGCCCCTGTTCACATGCATTCTCGGAGACTGTGGCCTGTTGCCGAAATACCATGGGAGCTTTTGGGGGCACATGTTCATTTCCGCGCAACTTTTGCTGCCCGTGCAGAAAGTGTTGGGGATGTTTGACTTGGCCTTTGAAGAGGACAAACAAAAGAAGATGAATCAAGGTATTGTTCTCGAGGGCTTCTCGACAATGCCTCGCCCACCGGGGTTGGCAATCTTGAGTAGTAGGGCCTCTCTTGCCGACCAGACATTGTCGTTCCCGGTTGGTCTTCTGCTATCATGCAAAATACTTTCCTCTGAGAGGACCGAGTCCTTCAGGGAGGAAGGGAGTGAGTGACAGAAGAGCGCATGCGTGCAACACACTTCCTAGCGATGGACCACGGCTGGCCCTACAGTCTATATTCTCTCGTTCTCTATTCTCCCCGTTGTCTCTTCTTCTTGCCTGTGCGAACAGAGTGACGAATCGACCCGAAATGAACAGGCTACAGGCTACAGGCTACAGTAGATACTCTCTCTCTCTCTCACTCAACTCGCATGACGATGAATACGTTAGACACACATCATGTCGATATCATTTTCGCAGTCCGTCCTTCTTTACAACCTCGTTCTATCGCGCAGCAAGGAAGTGGTGACGAACAAAGGGATAGAGAGATTGAGGGAGAGGTAGCTAGCTAGCTCACTATATGGATGGACGGAGAGATCGATCCACGGTCCATGGTCCATGGCCCATGTTCTATGATATACGATCCATGGTATATGATATATGATATATGAACCATGATCCGTGATTCAATCCCAAGAGAGCTCTCGTGCTTCGTGCAGAATGTCTGTCTCTGTCTCTATCTCTGTCCTGGTAGATTTTCGAGCGTTCATCTCAATCACTCGGTCATTCACACTCTCAAACTTATATATCTCACATATCATCCATATCTCATCCCATCCCATATGTCCATTCCTTTCATAGCTTCCATATGTCACTCCCTTTCATCTTGTCCAAGGCGTGCCAGGTCGTCCCAGGTCATTCCAGGTCATCCCAAGATTCGTCTCGTGATATAATATGCCGCTGGTGGATTAAATAGTCCCCCGGGTGCGTCACGCATCCTCCATCTTCGCCATCAACATCATGATCGTGATCAAACACCCTCGCTAACTCTCCCGGTCTTATTTCCATCGCCATGCTTGAAGACTCACTCATGCCTTGCCTTCCCTGGAAATGTGCCTTGCGCGGCGAGGAAAAAGGAACTCACTCCGTCTCTAGATCCCACGGCCGTTCTGATCTGATCGCATTGGTGAAATGAGATTCCCCCCCTCGCGCATACCCACTGGATGCCCGAGCGTCCACGTTCCCGATCTGTGTCCAACTACCCAAACCCGCCGGATGGCGTATCCAAATGTCGCGAGCTGAATGACAAAACCAGCGGCCAGCGAGGACCCCTCCCTGTTGACCGGCCACTTCGTAGACCTCCGTGCCAAACTCCGCGGGAAAATCACTCCTTGATTCCGACCCTGATAATGACCGAGATCTCGAGCGCCTTGGCCTCGCGAATCGCACAGGACAGGCATGTGCGTCCGACTCGGGCCACGATGGCGTTGCGGCCCTTTTCGGCACACCACGCCCGTACGAGGATGTCCTTTTTCCACAGTTGCGGGTCGGTGCTTCCGTGGAGATAGCGCTGGAGATAGTCAAGGTGCACTTTGGGACTTGTGACGCCATGGGTTGCTCCCTCAGCTGCCGCTGGCGTCGGCGTTGAAGACGGTGTAGGTGTCTCGCCCTGTAGGGAGATCTCTGAACTGTGTGGCGACTGGCCGTGACTTCGCGCATCGATGATCCAGACCCCTTCATCGCCCATCTTCGTTGGATTCGGGGGATCCAGGTCCGGATTCTGCACAATCTCGGCCAGTGTTTTGGTCACGTAGGCATATGTCTTGTGCAGTGGATGCGCAGGGATGTGTTCCGCCACGCCTCTTATGTGTTTGGGGTGTTGTTGTTCGTAATGCGCATCCAGTGAGCCGGGCTTGAATGTGGCATGGCCGTGAGGCAGGCGGCATGGGTGGGAGGTCACAAAGTACACGGCTCGATCGAGGCCGTAGCGAATCTGGAGCCGAGCCGTCTCGCTAGTGAGCGTCTCTCCTGATGATAGATGGGATGGAGTCGGGGTTGTAGGTGGTGCGAGGATAAGTTCGAACTGAGCCCATGCTGACAATGGGTGTTCCGCAGATGCGAGGGTCAGGTCCGAGCTGGATAAATGCACCTTGATGTCCTTGACAGTGACTTCGGGCATGCTTCCGTCATCGAAGACGTGGTCAGTTACCATACTGAACTCGGTGCCCATGATCCCTCCTTTCCCCTTACCGAGCGGAGTCGAATCCTCGGCCAATCTGTCACCGTCGAATATCCTCGGCCGGTCGCGAGTCGTGGGCACAGGAAAGGTTTTGATCTTCACCCAGCGGTTGCCCACCGGCTCGCGGGTGTTTTCGAACAAGGGCACGAACTTGGGCGTGTGAATCCAACCCATCGACTCCATACCCCCTTTTGTCGGTGCCATGACCCGTCCCACGATACAGGATTTGGACCACCAGGAAGATCCGTCAAGGATGAACCCCGACGCTCGCAGCGGTAGGCGGGCAGAGCCAAGATGCTGGAGAGTCCGTGGGTCAGGGTCGTTCTCGAGGAGCGTTGACATCAGGATATCACAGATCGAGGTGCCCGGGAGGATGAGACCTGAGAGCCAGCTGTGTGAGAGCCAGCCGCCGATGGTGGTGGGTGTAGCGGGGTGTAGATCGACGTTGAACCTCTGGAGCGAAGGCGTCAAGCTGACCGGGTTAGTCGTGGCGGTGTTGTCATCAGGGCAGACGATTGCATCCATCAGCATCTTCTCCCTCTCTTCCACCGACGCCGTACACAGCTTCTGCTTCAGGGAGTCGTGCAGCTGCTCACTTCGCGGCCATCCAATGTTGGTGGCGAAGCGGAAGAGGCCGTCCACCATTACAGCCGGTTGTCGAGCCATTATGGCCACGTCGCAGACATCAAGCACAACGTGTGGTTCGGCATCCGATTTGTCCAGCCCCATCTTGTGTCTGAGATCGCCAAACAGTGAATGGCGGTGGTCGCCCGAAGACTTCTGCCTGAGAGTCGAAGGTCGCTCCAATGAATGGATCGGTGATACTGGAGCTGAGTCTCTCTTTTCAATTTTCTTGACATAGGAGAGAAACAAAAATCGCCGGGCGGCCACAAGGTCCCAATCGACTTTGAGGTTGCGTAGCTTGTTGAAATGGTGAATTTCTTCGCTGCTGATCTCGAAGTTTTCCGCATGCAGTGCCACGCCTAGTCTCAGGGCTGCATCGAGGCGGATGACCAGTTCGACAGACAGGAGGAGCTGGATGAGCAGCCACTTACGCTCCGGGTCAATGACCAGAAGACCTGTATCGTGATCGTGTCGAGTCGTCCGACTATGTAGGATTTTCCCGAACCTCAACCGCGACTCCGGGATGCTCAGATCGAGCCAGGCGCCAGGCGTGGTCAGAACTTTGACCAGTGCTTCAATCTGGATCTTCAGGGATGTCTTCCCGTTTTTGGCATCCGACGGCACTCGGTGAGGTGGGTAGAGTAGCTCGTTGAAGAGATGGGAATAGAGAGACGGGGCGTCAATGTGGTTGAGGACGGTGGTCCGCCAGCCGGCATTGAGAACATGGTCACGCAAGTCGCCCACTCTGTGCATCCTCTCGGCCAGCACTTCCATGCTGATATCCCGAACACCTACAGCTTTCCAGGCGCGAGGACCTTCGTTGATCAATCTAGTTCGTTCCTGAGCGGGCGCATGCTTGCCGATTTTGGCATTCGCCTCCTCATTGTCTTTCCCCAGAGCGAGCATCTTGAAGGCCTCAAGCGCTGCTGCATTTGCGATGGCCAGGTCAATCTCGACGTCCTTGCCATGCTCCTTGATCCTTTCGTCTGTCATGCCATCTGCAACGGGTCTTTCGAGGAAATATCGCATGCCTACTGAGCCCGGCTCTCGACCTTCGATGCCTAGCATGTTGGGTCGCTCAAAGATTCCGAGTTCAAACATTGGCCGCTTTCCCAGTTCGAGACCCTGCTTCTTTGTGGGGGCCGCCATTCCCGGTCTCCAATTGACTTCATCGGGAATAGGTAAGTGGGCATGTAGCGTTGCGAGCGCGAAGCTTTCGTGCTTGATATATCTCCGGTCCTGTAGATCTGATATCTCTAGGTCATTATTCCATGGGAAAAATGATTGGGGAAAGTAGCGGCCTCTCCGACCCTTCTCGAGGATAAATTGGGGAGCCCCAGAGAAGAGATGCTCGACGTCTTCTTTAGTCAAGCCTCCCGGACGGCGCTTGGTCTTGGGCTGATCGCCTATAGCATCAAAATTAGGCTGATGTCGGCATTGCTCAAGACACGAGGAACTCACCCGCTTCAGTACCTGATTGCAGCCTCTCGGAATTGCTTCTGGGTAGTGAGGGAGCCTTCTCCTCCGCGGCTGGGTCAATAGACTGGAGGGTCTCAGTTTTCTCTGAGTGGGGTGAAGGGTCCACGTGCATAGAATGCTTCCCTTTGGTGTCGGCGTGAGCAAGCTCTGGATGGACTTCGGCGACTTTAGGAGAAACGATTTTATCATGCGCGTTCGCAGTCGCTGCCTCTCGCTCATGGCTCGCCTGCAAGCGCCCGGGAGTCAGTATCGACGTGCATGTGTGCAGCGAGGTATACTGCCAGACGAAGAGAAGTAGTTGCAATGTGTCAAATCATACTCACCTCGCTCGGATGCGGGGTTGACGTGGTCTCATTCTGACTACTGTGCGTCTCCCGTTCTCTAGACCGGCTGCTCTTCCTGCTCAGGCGGTGGAAGAAGGATGGCTTGCTGTCGTCTGCAACGCGCTCCGCTGCGCCAGCATCCTGGCCCGTCGAGCCTCTACCCCTATTCTCCTTCTCCGAGAGCGATTTGCTCGAAGTTTTGCGCGTGAGTAAATTCATGATAGATGAGTAACATGAAAAAAAAATGGATCGGCCACCTGTGAACCGGATTGGCCGGAGGGGGTTTAATGTCTTCGACCTAGATTGCGGGAGAGGAGGGGGCTGCCTCTTTCTGATATGATTGCTGGAAGAGACAATAAACAATGGGGATGGATCCTCTGATAGAATGTGGTTCGACTGAGGAACCCGTACCGACGTGGTCAAGGCAATGGATGAATCGAGGGTTGGCAACAAAGGAAGCACGGCATTCAATGACGCTGTTGACCGGACGAAGCTTCTAAGCTGCACAAAACGGTAAAGGGTCGCATGAGAAAGGCTTGGGCGAATCGAGCGACGGCATCTGCTCAGGTAACGAGATACTGGATATATGAAGAGCCAAAGCGGGATGGACGTGGATAAGTTTTGTCAGCTGGTTGCATGCGCTTGGATGCCATGGTTCGATGGTTCGATGGTTCGATGGTTCGATGGTTCGATGATGGATGCGTGGGCTGCGCGGGTGCGGCGCATGTGATTGACGAGTGACGACTTACCAAGCCGGGCCACGTGATTTGCGTCATATCTGAAGCTCTACCGAGTACTTGTACAGGAAACTTGTAGCAACTGATGTGGTGGCACCAACACACGACAATCCTGTATCACCAGGCACCCTGTGCTTGTTCGGCGACGTGCGGAACCCCAGGGCCAGGCTTGAGGTGAAAAAAGGAAAAAAAAAACAAAAAACAGAACCCACGACACTCTATCAAAATCCCGAGATATCTCCCGGCCATGCGCTTAGAAACGCCACACTTCTTTACCAAAAGGCACTCAAGATCTTGAACCAGATACCAATACATTCAATATGATGTGAACGTCATCAACAATCAGATCACTTCCATCCTCGAAGACCCGTCATTTCATTATCCATCTCAATTTCCGAATCCTCGTGGACCACTTGGCCACTGAGGAGACACAGCCTCATAGTTCCCATTCATGTCCTGCCCCATATTCCAATACTGCGGCACCAGATCAGGATCCCCTAGCCAAGCTTCAACCTCTGCGGCATGTGGAATCTGCGCCACAGGTATGTTGGTCGTCGTCGTGACTGATGACAGGCCGCCGATGTGGTGAGATGAGTGAGCATGGACAGGTGCATGCGGCGACTCTATCTGTGGCTCAGTGGCTTGTAGCTTGCTCGTGTCCCCAACAGGTGCTTTCTGAAGCATCCGCCGGGACGCATGTCCTGCAAACAAGCCTGGTTGCATAAGTGCTGGTGCGGCTGGGATCAGGGGTCGATCTAATGGCGCCTCATACATCGGTATCGCCCCTACCAGTTCACTTGCATCTGCAAAGAAATCCCTTCTCATCGTCCACACACGGAGATCCCATTCGCGGCGTTTGAATTCCGGCATGACGGTATATAGCTGGGTGACAGGATCTCTCTCATAAACATCCGATACTTTGTACGGCCATAGAAATTTTAGTGATCGTCTGAAAGAATCCGAGAACTTGTTGTTGATATACCTCCTCTTATTATTGCACAGACCAACTCGTAGACCGGGCCAAACAAAATGCTCGATGACAGGCGTCTTCTCCAAGATGTCCGGGTCTTCCGTCGACCCTCTCTGGAAGAATGGAGGCAGCGGAGCCAGAAACTGCGGATACATGTTGCTCTGATGGAGCAGCTTCAGCCGCATCATGTGGAGAATGGCGATTCTCTCTACAACGCCACATTCGCGGAAGATGAATTGGTCAATGCTCTTGAGTGCCTGCCAGCCTCTGTCCAGAAGATACAGGTCCTGCACATCGCGCCAACCATGTAATACTGCCCGGATGGCGATATCTTCGTCAAGATTCTGGTTCGCGAAGGATTGGTGGCCGCCTCCCAAGACCCGATTTATTTCCCGTTCCGAGAGGAAGAACAATTCACCTTCGACTCTGTCCTTCAGAATGTCGAAGGGCTCTGACGTCGGCCGTTCCAGTATTGTGCCAGGAGGAACTAACCTTCCAAGACTGTCAAGTCGATCGGCATGGTGCGGAGGGATGGCTCGAAGACCTGCTACCCTGGCGGTGTAGCTGGGCACAGGTGCCTCGGCAAATTTCGGGTGATCAAAAGGCTGGTACCCTAGTTCGACCACTGGCGAGGATGAATCCGAACTATGTGAGTAAACGGAGGCGCTGTTCTCGAGGTGATCATGGACCACACCTCGAAGGGGCGTCGCCATCAATGTGGATTGTTGGCTGTCGGAAGCCTTAGCACCGGTGAGTTGTTGTGCGACCAGGCCCTCGCCTGGATTCAGAGCCGTTGCCACCAGCTTCTGGACCCCATTGACCATCTCCCTTAGTCGTCTAACCTCGTCCTCGCTCTGCCTCAACTGAGACAATAGCGATCTGAGTCTTTCTTGCCCATCCTCAGGTTTTGCCTGTCCAAGGGGCTGCTCACTGCTCTCGCCGTGGCTTACCGACGACGCCCCATTCTCCATAATTCGGACCAAGTTCTCGAGATGGGCAATATAATTTTTGGTTTTCAAGCGGATGCTTCGTTGCGCCTCGCGGTCGATGGCTCTTTTCCTCTCTCGTTGAGAGGCAGTCAGCTTGAGCGTCCGCTTAGGTCTTTTTGGTGCCGGTTCATCTGCTGGGGGACCAGCCTGGTCCGGCGATGGTGGTGGCGGAATCTGAGCATTTTCAGAAGGCTTCTGGACCTGCCCAGGAGTCCTCCGAGAACTGGTGTTGGACGCCGTGGCAGTAGAAGTAGGCATACCGGGGAGTTGAGTGATCGAATGAGTCGATGGATCAACCAAGGGTGGACGATCAGTAGCTGAGGGTTGGGATGCCGTTTGTGCAATAGATAGAGCTTGCAGATGTATTCCTTTGCGGGATGAACCAATTTGAATTCGCAGTATCCAGATGCTTCACCACTACATGAGCTTGTGATCGAGTTCACAAGGAAGGGGGTTTGAAGAGGAACTGATAGTTGATAATGGTACTAAATGCGTAGTCCAACACAAGACACGATCAGCCTCGGGCCGCATGCACGGATCTGCGTCGCAAAACACGACCAGGGTAGAGCGACAAGAGTCGACAAGACAACAACGTCCAATCTACCGGGCCGTTAGACGATCACTGATGGACTCCAAAGGATGGCCCGATTCAGGGGTAAGATGATGGGACCTTGCAGAATTCGGGGCGGTCTTTGATTGAAGACGGGAGGAGTTGATGGAGGAATACGGCGGACGAGGGTTTGTGGGCGCCAGAGCATCAGGGCGTCAGGGCGTCAAGGTATGAATGAGGTAGCATCGGTGTCGTCCCAAGACTCGTTGTAAGCAGTCTGCCAAAGAGTCAAGCAGGGCGTAGAAACCATTCCTGGCGTCTTCGACAAGGTTGCAAAGTCGGGTTTCGATCCAATCTCTGAATGTCGGGGGCGGCAGTTGACAAATGCCTTGTGTCGGAAGAAGATATGGATCCTAGATGATCTCGACTGTCAAACTAGCGAGACGAAAAGGGAAAATGGTGAGCTTTGAGCAGGTGGTGCCTTTTGATGAATGGAGAAGTTGGAACGAGTACGAGACAGTGGGATGGACGGCACGATGGCTGATGATGCTCATCCAAAGTTCCGTCGGTGAAGAGCGGCTGGTCCGCGAAGACTTTGGTAGAGGCTGCCCCATTATTATTTCACTACCTCGTACCATAAGGTACTACCTACCAAGTAACTGGGGGGAGCATTGGAAGGGTTACGGGGGTGCCTCGGGGTGTCCCACCAGTGGCTCCTTTGATGGCTCCAGGTGGGCTTTTTGGTGGCTCACGGCATGCTTCAGGCAAGACTGGAGGGGTTGGCACGGGAGGCCAGAACACCTCTCCGGGGAGAAAGGACAGCCCGTTACTCAAGCCCCTCACCAAAATGGTACCTAGGTAAGTATAGCCTAGAGTGCCTAGGTAGGCTGGTGGCTCCTCCACCGCCTACGACTTCCAGTAGCAGCCCGCTTCTTGCGGGTGGTGAGGCTAGCGAGCAAGGCCTTGCTTCCGGGGGTGTCCGTCGCCTGTCCACTTAAGCCACTTCCTTGGTACCAGGGAAAAGGGTCGCGCCTTGGGCCGTTGCTTACTGACCACCAACGAATGGTACCGGTACAACAGCCTCCAAAACAGTCAAGGTGCCTGCCGGGCCCGCCGCGCCCGCCACGCCCGCTGATCCGGGGTCCCGTGTCTCCCAAACCCTCCAGAAACACAGGACACACTACTCGGTACATGCGACTATCACCACAGGGGCTTGTCTGAAAGACGTCTCAAGCGCCACCACGACAGACCAGGCTGGACTTCCTAGCCATTCTTCTTAAATGCCTCACTTCGCGGACAGTCATCCCTCTTTTTGGCAAGGCGGCATCTTCGACGCTTTTGTACTTGTATGCGCACGAGATGATGGTAAACACACTTCCTCGGGCTGCAGAAGTCTAACCGTCTCCTAGGGGGTTCGGCCACAGGAGAATGCCCATCTGATTCAAATCACAGGTATCCATCTCGTATTCTGGTCAGTCCGTTCTTCTTATCAGTCAAAGCCAATGCTACCGTGTCCTTGGAAGGATTGAGAGCACAGCAGCACGCAAACACATAGCGCATCTTCACGATCGACCCCCAACCCTGGACTGTTCCATCTCATGTTTCAAGTTATCGAGGATGGCAGATGGGCTTCGTCAGCAGGAACATTAAATGCGTGGAAGTGACATCAAGAAACATGCCTTGGGAAAAAAGGAGGAAGACACTAGATCTTGTCGCTTGCCAAACCACGTACTCACCAGGGACAGCAGAATCGATCAAACACAGTATACTCATCAGACCCTTTGGCCACCTACAAACTCCTGTTTTGCTCTCTGTGTCCAGCGAAGCGATCTGGTAGTGACTTTCCACAAAACTGTTCAAACGCCGTTCGCTGTGATGTGAGATACCGTCGCCGGCTAACTCCTCGCCATTTTTGCTGTGTCCATACCTGGCGCCTCGATAATGATTCCCATACATGGAAATGAAGCCCCCTGTCTATGCTAGGTAATAAAAATAGCCCCCCTTCGTAAAATCAATATGTCGTGTCATAACCCATTACCGGAGCAGCTTGACTCAGTCCGAAGCTCCATGAATTAATCATGTCCATAAATGTCGTCAACGTCTCGTCGCTTCGTTTGCAGCGTCGTTGTCCACTCCGGGACAATTGGTGGGTATTGTGTCTGGGTCGTTCTCTTTTTCCTCGTCAACGGTCGTGTTTCTGCGCATTGACCCCAATGGCGTCGACACGCTCCGTCGATGCCCACGACGATGGGCCGGAACGTCTGAGCTGGCAGGCAGATCATTGACCTCCCCAATCGGTGTGCCGGCTCTTGATGCTCCCCGCAGACTTGCTGACCGGTGCCTGCTGGGTACGTCACGGATGCTCTCTACACTCATGGGTGCATGTACTGGATTGGCAGCCGGGGCGGCCTGCTCAAGGCCCATTTCTTGAAAGTCTTTTGTGCTCCAGCTGACACGATGAGCCCTCGCTCCATAAGGCAGGTTCGATACACTAGTTCGAGACCGCATGGACTGTGATCGAGACACGCCTGCCTGATAACTGGCTTCCTTTTCGGGGTCCATCGAAGCCCGTGGTGACATGTACAACTCGGCCATCTGATTGTCTGGATCCTCGTCCTCGATTTTGGGCTGGCGTCGGACGCTTGACACCATAAAGTACGGTTCCTTCGGCGCTTCAGGCTCTGGCGGTGGAGTTGGCGCAGGTGGCTTCGGTCGATCAGTTGCTTTACGATCGACATGGGCGAAATATCGTGTCCGAGGCTTCAGCCATGATTTGGGTTTGATAGTCTCTCGATAACGCGTGATGGACATGTAACTGGAGATCGCCCCAAGAACGATGGCAATCATCAGACAGATGGTCAAAATCCCCTGAATGACGATGATGACCACTCCAATCACCGTGGTCATGATTCGATCCAGCCCGAATCGAGCATCAAATGCTGATGACAGTGCCACGGTTGCCACTTTGCTGAAGCCCAGCAGGTAGACCATGATCAAGTTCAGTCGGTTGCTCTCGAATGGCCTCAACAGCACGATTGCTACCAGAGCGATAATCTCCCAAGCCAGCAGACCAAAGACCTGAGTCAAAGCATGGCCTGCAGCTCCACCATAGAATGCGGCCCTCACAAGCTCATAGATCAACCAGACGAAGAAAAACCACCATCTACTGCGACGGAATCTTGACGCCAGCCAGCCAAATCTGATGATGTAGTTTTCGTCGTCGTGAACATGAACTCTGCCAGGGGTCGCACCTGGGAAATGTTTCTGGAACCATGTTCTTGTTCGACTTGTCTGGCCTTCGGTAACTTGGGCTTCGGGCACTTTCTTAAAGCTGATCTTGTACCAAGCTGACTTCCCGACATTCTCGTTGCCTCGAGATTCATGGCTCGCCTGCTCTTGTAATTCCGGCAATACCTCAGACTTGGTCCTGTACCAAAGGGCATACCCGGAAACGGCTAGGTTTTCGACCAGGAAAATGGTCAGGATCACCGCAGCGATGGCCTTGACACCGTGGGCTCCCCCTAAAGTGAACTGGAACATGGTTAAGAACATCATCATGAAGAAAGCAATGTAGCATGTCCGCAAAACAGCTACAGCCATGAACCAGAGCCAACGCTTCCTGAAATAGCCAAGTCGGGTTGTCTTGACCAGTCGAACGGCGACCAAACCTTCAATGCTCCATTTAAGGAAGGAAACAGCAGCCAAAAGGCAAGCTATCAGGATGAGGAACCACAAAAGTCCTGTGAGGAATGCGTTGGACGCAGGTATATTGATCTCGGCCAAAGTTCCAGCAAAGCCGGAATAATTCCCTGGAAGTGGCAGTCCTGGGAGCACTGGTGTTCCATACCAGGAGAATTGAGCAGTGCCGTTTGTGGTGTTCGTGGCCTGTCGTTTTAGCAAATCTCCCAAACCAAACGAGGTTGGAGCCGCTCGTTTGTAGATCTGTGTGATTTCATAGCCGCCTCCGAGGCCAACGGCATTTTGGCCATTGGGAGCAGCGCCAACCATGCTGATATTTCCATAGTTCTTACCGATGAACTGGTTGATCGAATTCTGCATCTTCTCGCTGTAGATGATCCCAGCTGACCATGCATAATTACTCCAGAATGAGACCAAAACACTCGGCCAATTCATAGAGAGTCCTCCAGTGAAGAAGATGTGCTGATAGACCGAGAACACCACGAAAACGGAGACCGAGTGGGCATAGTGCTTCCGAGTATCAGCAATATCATGTCCATACATGGCCACAGCCGCCGAAGAGATCAAGGCGACGACGGCGAATGCGCCGAGGACAGGAGCCACGGCCGACGGATGCGCAAAAGAAGCTCCATTGGTCACCACCGCAGAGAAGCAAGCAATCTGAGATTCAGTCGAGTTGGCAAAAATTCGAAGAATTGCCTGTCCTTCGAAGTCGGGGATGGTCAGTGCAATAGAGGGAATATTGGCCACGTCCGATGGTGCCACAGGGATAATGCCATTCGCGTTTATGGGTATAGACGAGTTAAGAGGGCAGAGGGAGTTGATATTGGCGTTGCATGGATTGAACGTCAGATTAAAACGGGACTCTCCGTAAGCAAAAACGCCAATATATACTGTGATGTTTCAGTCAGCTGGAATGTCAGCACTTTAATCTGGAGGGAATAAAACCCACGCATCAGACTCTCGTTTGTCAGGGCTGAGTTTCCCTCCAGGTGAAAGAGAACGGTCATGTTGTCCTTGTAGTAGGCCGCATCGAACCGGGTGACATTGATAAGTGAGTCGCCCTGGCAATCCCCAAAATCCTGAGTGTACAAAGAAGGGCGTCTGTTGTCGTCGAGGTAGACGGTGCCGTCGTTGCCTGTATACTGTATCCATCTGGTATTGTCCGCTGCTACCCGTTGCACATTCAATCCCAGGAACATCACCACAAGCGACCATGCCGTCAACCATGAGTACATGGTGCGCCCCAGCACCGACATCATGACTGCCAGAGGGCTGACGGCCGACTTCTCGGAACGACCAGTGTTCGACCAGGTCTCGTCAGTTTCCAGTGAGTGGTGGTCTAAGCTTTGGGAACTCTTGACATAACCAGAGGAAGTGCGGTGGCCTCGGTGCGCAGCTTGAAGCAATCACCAGTCTGGCTGGGATTATGTGAGTATTTCGTGAATAGATGCGGGGGATATTCTTTTATTCTATTTGAGAGCCCATTATTTGAGGTTCTCAAGTCGCAGGAGAGCTGGAGGTACTGTTCCGGTAAGGTCACAGCGAGGACATCCGGTCGACGGACTTTTGTGAGATTTTGAGACGACTTCCGGGCTGGTCGGGATGGGCAGGCAGTGTCGAAGAGGATGGGATTATGTGCAAAATTAAGGGTATTGGACCGCTGTTTAACGAAAGGTACAATGTTGGCGAAGGTGAGAGGAAAAGGTCGAGCACTTCCAGAGTGATAAATGAAAGACAAAGGGTGGGACTCTTTTTTCATTAGTATGGGTGGAAAAATGGAAGGCGGGAAGGGCCATGGGAATTGTCACTTGTCACTACTTGGGATGATATTACTACCACTACGACAGTGACTAGAGAGCAACCGAACTACTCGAACTACTCGTACCAACCCCACCAACATCTTGAATATTTGATGCCGATGCCGACAAGAGCTGGCGTGGAGACAAGAACCGAGACCTGCATCTGCGTGTCTGCATGCGATACACCACCTGCAGCGTGGCAGCTTTAAGCTCTCCAAGCTCCCAGCTCCCCAAGAAAGACGTGGGCCAGACAGACCAATGTGAAAAGAGGCTAAACTCGCCAAAAGAGGGTTCATGAACTCTGTCTACTACTTAGGTATGTAGTAGTGCCTCTAAAGCAGGTTTTACCCTTAGTTTTCAGCGTCACGGGTTCCTACGGAAGCCGGTGCCAATCAGTCTTTTACTTTGCTGTACTTGTTGTCTGCTTGATAGGGATTAAAAAGTGCAACGTGCTCCTTCAGTTTTGGATCTTTTGGGAAGTCAATGACGCGCGGCATCGGCGCAAATTATCCGGCAGGTGCACCTAGGTGCTTGTGGGTGTGGGGGAAGCAAGTGACGTAGGGACTTTGATCCAACTGCGGTGACTGCGCATATGCTCGGTAGAATGCCGTACTTTGTCATTTCCATATCATCAGATGGATTGATACTTCACCTACCTCATTCAGCTTGGACTATGTTCCATGCATGTACCTGATGGATGAGTACAGCATCAAACCCCGCCTCGGGTTGTGAGGTGACAAATTCCAACCTCGTCCTGTACATTTGTGCATGGATCTCGTGTAACTCATCAGAGTGGAGTGGACATGCTCGTATTTTCTTTTCTGTGCCGTGTGGTTGTCCATGCTTGGAGGCTCCTGGTGAGCCACAGTGGCGCTCATCATGTCGGCACTAAGCAAGTCTGCAGCGCTGATCAGCATCTAAGAAGAAGGTGACGATTCTGGTTCGGCCGATCTGTCCTTCTACTACGAGTAAAAGGCCATGTTATCGAAATCGCTTGTTTTGGCGGTGCAACTAGCCGAGAGAACGGCGATTCAAAAGATCTGCTCCTGACGAGGTGGCTTGCACGGCGTGGAGCTATACCGGGTAACACGGCGTTTCGAACAATTGTGTTGAAACAAGGCTGCGGAAGCTTGGAATCGTCAAAGAAGAAGAAAAGGGCTTTCCATTGTCCTTCTATTTCTAGCAAACCACTCATCACCACTTTCACAGCGTCTTTTCAATCTCATCCACTGGTAACATTGCCTCAACAATCTTCTTTTTGACCGCTCCACTAGGCTCTTCGTACGGTCGTCGAGGGCGCAGCATGGCTTCAAGATCGCCTTGGATCCCTGCCTTCTTTGCGCTGAACTGGCTAACGGCATATTTGGTCGTGGCAATACCAGCTTTTGTAGGGTTCTCGGCATGAGCAGAGAGTCTCTGCAGTGCCAATGCCTGATCATGTTTACCCATCTTCCACAGATTAAAGACTTTGACAACCGTCTTCGGAAAGATGTTGGCAAAAGCGGCAATACAACCGGCTGATCCAGCTGCCAGTCCACCAACTAAGAAGTCTGACTGCCCACCAAAAACCGCAAATCGGTCGGGTTGGAAGGTGGCCGAGAGTCGTGTGATCTTTCCCACCGAACCACAGGTCAACTTCACTCCAACAATGTTCGGGAACTCTTGCGCCAATGCAGCAATGGCATCCGAGTCCAAGTCGAGGCCGTTGCACACGGCAGGGAAGTTATAGATGAGGATGGGAAGAGGAGAGGCTTTCGCGACGGCGGCATAGAAGTTGTGGACGACGGTGGGTGTGGTCTGCTTGCCAAAGTATGCACAAGGGAGCACGAGAACATAGTTCGCTCCTGCAGCATGGGCATCAGCGATGTGCTCAAGTACTTGTGCTGTTGAGTGGCCTCCGACCCCGGCAATGATAGGGTAGTTCTCAGGAACCGACTTGCGTGCTAATCGCAGGAGTGCAGATCGTTCGTCCCGGGTGAGTAGAAAGGTCTCTGCATTGGTCCCCAAGATAACCAGTCCTGTCAATCCCGAATTTGCAAGGTAAGAATAGTATTGTGCTTGTTCATTTGGGAGCAGGGTATCGGTGTCGGGATCGAAGAAAGTGACCGCAGGACAATACACGCCTGGTGGTGGGACGAGGGTCGTTGGATTTGTAGAGCCCATGTTGATTGAGATATATCTAGGAGAATGTCAATTTCCAGCTGTAGATAAGAAGGGACAAACTGCGCTCCGAAGGAAAATGTCTTTGTGAAATAATCCATCTTTTCATCACGCTGAACAAACCACCTCCGAGAGCGGCACAGTCAATCGGTAACTGCGCCGTCGCCATCCTTGCCCGTGTTTTTCTCCCCCTCAGCATCATGCGTCTTCTTCACATGCGGGGATTCGAAGCCGCTTTCAGGCTATTTCTATTGGCGGTAAAGATCCTCGCTTTCGGAGGGTGATAACCCGGAGTCCCTATACCAGCAGACGAAAAGACCGTGACCACGAGTAACCAGTACATCTCCTGGGGACATACATAAGGTCTCTCGCCGATGTTGAGTCTGATCATATGAGCAGGCGAGAAGAGGAGGAGACAGAGGGTGTGTGCACGTCTGCGTCTCAATGAAGAACAATCAAGCCACGTGGGCCCCGGCGAGGGTGGAAATGGACGTTGTCGAACAGGTGGAAACACGAGAAGCCGAAATCTGGGCAGATATCCGTTTGTGCTTGATCCTCTTACGGGAACCTTCGACTTGGAATATTCATTTGTTTCACCGCCATTGAATCCTCAGATCCCCGTCTTCTCTGTGCCTCTTCAGGCTTGCTGCCACGAGCACCGTTGGGGGGTCTTTTTTTGTGGCATTGACCAGAGTATTTGTGGCTTTGAATTAATCATGCACTGCTGAAAGGCGTCGAGCACTGTTCAAAGTTGAAGGTGAAGCCCGCGATGTCCCCTCGGCCACAGGACAGGGATACACGATAGACTGACTGCATCGACAACAAATTGAATCCCCTAAAGACAAATTTGAGACACAGGAAATCTCTCGCCTGATGATTTGGATAAAAGGTCCCCCTGGAAGATCAAATCTGCTCCCTATGGCCTCTACAACTTTCAAGCTCCAGCGAGAGCAGCGGTCTCGGAGGCTCTACCATCAGAAGGTGTTCTTATTGATCCTCATCTTCTTAGCAGCTCTCCTTGGCTTCCCTCTATTGCGACACATACAGAATGGTACTTGTTCGGCTTCTCCTTTTCTGCTTCGGGCGGGTCTGTGCAGCACGGCTTTTCCTGCTCTGTGGAATATATTCCACCATCTGGGTGGGAATAGTCCGTGGATTCGCAAAATACACAGCGTAAACTATTACGACTCACCATTACCCAAGAAATGCTCCATTGATCAAGTTCACATGGTGAGGCATACACCGAGAGCATGGTCGATACGCCAGGAACCCCTTCGTGCTGACGTCTGTAGTTGTCACGGCATGCTGAACGATATCCCACAGAGGCCGCTGGCTCTCGTGAGTTACCTGGGCGATCTAAACAAGCTGAGACACTAACACACTTGAGCAGGCCACATTGATATCCTCAGCCGACTTCAGGATCCGTCGGTAAACCTTACAGGATCGCTATCCTTTCTCAAAGAGTGGACCTATTTTACAAATCTCTCGAATCCTGTATTCGGCAATATAACTGCAACAGGACCATATGCCGGAACACGACAGGCCTCTAACACGGGCAGGATCTTACGGCAACGGTACAATCACCTTATACCCGACGGCCGCAGGACAAACATCTGGTCTTGCAGCTCTCCGCGGGATGTTGAGACCGCAGAGCATTTCGCTGCTGGATTCTTCGGCCCAGACTGGAAGTCCGATGGTTCCGCGGAGCTGGTGATAATCCCGGAGGATGAAGCTCGAGGCGCGAACACGCTTACACCAGGAGACTCCTGTCTCAGCTACCGCGAGGACAAAAGGCACGGTCGCGGCCATGGATACATGAAACTGGCCGAGTGGCAGAGCACATTCTCCCGACCCATCGCCGAGAGACTCGCCAACGATGCAGAAGGAATGGCATTCAGCGCCCTCGACATCTATGGTATGTTCGGCTTACTTCGCGGGCCCTCTGTTGCACGCGGGGGACCCTTTTCGTCATTTGCACGTATGATGGAACGCAAACTGACAGATAGCCACAGGCATGATGGAAATGTGCGGTTTCGAGATCCTGGCGAGGGGAAAGAGCCTATGGTGCGATGTGTTCGAACAACATGAGTGGCTCCAATTCGAATACGCACGAGACTTGTTACATTACTATCGTGCTGGCCCAGGCAACAAATTTGGTGCAATAATGGGTTGGCTGTGGCTCAACGCGACTCAGCAACTCATGTCCAATCACTCGTCCAAAGACGTCTACTTCAGCTTCGTCCATGACGGCGACATTGTTCCTGCGTTGGCCGCGTTGGGCATCTTTGATGAATCTTTGGACTTGGGTCATCTACCTTCTGACAGGCTTGTGCCCGAGCGGAAGTGGAAGACCAGTGACGTGGTTCCAATGGGGGGACGGTTGATATTCGAACGCATAACCTGTGAGACAGAGGGAGGGATGACCGCAACAGGGCGAGACCATGCCGTACGGCTCTTCATCAATGACGGCCTGATTGACTTGACCAGGTTGACCGACATAGTCCCATTCAGCCACGTAGAAGGCGCTGTCTCGTTGGAGAGCTTCCAAAACACTCTATCCAGCAGAGGAGCACAGCTCGGCGATTTCCGTCAAATCTGCTCTTTACCAGAAGACGCACCAGACCGGATCGATTTCTTACATCAATAGAACAATACAGGGTAAATGGATAGAGAAAGCCGCAAATAAATTCTGGAGAGGGTAAAGGGGGGCAAATGGGGGGTGGTGATTGATAAGGCTGGGTGGCTGGGTATATTTATAGCTCCATGTGCCAAAAAACCCCTGGAGATTTGGCTTTTTGGGCAACACGGCCGAGGCTGAACCCCAAATCTCAATGCAAAAATGTTTCAGCGGCTGGAACGTCGAGGTTTTGCCGCAGAGCTGATCTGACGGCTGCGGCTGACACCAGCAAGGGGCTGAAAATATTATATTGGTGAAGCCAGGTTTGCTTCAACTAACTCCTGAACTCGAAGAGCTTTGAATTTCCTCTACTAACAACGACTATCTCTTCTCAATTACCCATTGACACGCTCCCTTATCAAGCAAAAAATCTACTCCACGCCCCCCTGCGCCCTCACTCCGGTGACGCAGATAAACAAACACCAAGACAAGCAGCACCACACTATCTGAACAGACCCGATTGACCTCCAATCTGTTGAAATCCCCATAGTCGAGTTAGAACTTCACCATCTTGTCCCTCTTTGTTCTGCATTGCGTCTCCTGCAACCGATACCGTCCTATCAGCACCTGCGGACGAGATCTCTTACATCTGGGGAAAAGAGAAAAAGAAATCACACAATACCCGGCCAACAAAGAAATAATGGCCGACCTACAGACACCCACCGAAGCGACACTTCTGTCGACGTCAAACTCAGTGACCGAGGGCTCTACTCCCATCTCCAAAGAAGCAGCCACACAAGTGTCACTCGTTCAAGCTCCAATGACTAGCAATGCGTCTACAGAGACAGAGCCTGTGCCTACGCCGACCGCGACTGTCAACGGGGTTGTAAACGGGGTTGTAAACGGGATTGCGGGAACTGCCACACTTACAAACGGTACTACACCCACGCCGGTCCCCGTGACTACCTCAGTGCCTGCACCGACCGCAGTTGATGGACTGGTTCAAAATGGCAAACCGGCCAACCTGAGGGACGAAGACGACCCGCCACTGTTTTCCCAGTCCCTTATTTCTGAACAAGTCATGTCGCAACTGCCTGACGGCTACTCGATCCGCCCTCTGCGACGAAGCGATTACTATGGAGGTACGTCTCTTTCTAGTCACACTCAGATATTCCATTGTTCCGTTTCTCTCCCTAGCTTTCTTGCCAGTCGCTCTGGCAGCACTGACTCTAATCATATTCTCCTCGGGCCTATAGGTTTCCTCCCTACACTCCGCGTTCTCACCACAGTGGGCGAACCCACCCTGGCCGAGTTCAATGCCCGGTATGACTTTATCTCCTCGCGCAACGACACCTACTACATCCTGGTCATCTGTGACGAGACATCGACCGTCGTGGGCACCGGTGCCGTGATTGTGGAGCGCAAGTTCATCCACAACATGGGCCTCGTGGGCCATATCGAGGACATTGCTGTGGCAAAGAACCAACAGGGTAAGAAGCTGGGATTGAGGATCATTCAGGCACTGGACGCGGTCGCTGAAAGAGTGGGCTGCTACAAGAGTATCTTGGATTGCAGTGAGGCGAACGAAGGGTTCTATGTCAAATGCGGGTTTAAGAGGGCCGGGCTGGAGATGGCACATTATTACGAACAGGGTCCCAAGACGAGTTACGAGAGGTCGTGAGAGGCGCTTTGATGTCCCGAGGAAGGCCGAGGAAGGTTGTGATGTTTATTATGAGGGCGTTTCTTACAAGAATGGGTTCGAGCTTGGAGCTGTGGTCGGGTTTGTGAAGGGGAGCAGATGGCGACACGCCCACCAGCGCAAGGCTGAAGCCGAAAAGCTGTTTTAGACTGCTATGAGAGTCCACCAAGGAAAGCGAGTTCATGTCCGCGATAAAGCGATCAGGCGGGATAGACAAAAACACAATCAACAAGAGCTGGGTTGGAGCCACCAGCGACCGAGACCAGTGGGAGGGCAGGCTGAAAAGACGGAAGATGAGTCCGGTGTCTCTGCAGACGCATACACAGCCACGCAACAGGATAAGGGAAAGAGAGAAGCACGGACTGGCATGCGGCGCGCCTTTTGAGATGGATATTTTTGGTTCTTTTCAGGGTCTTTTCTTCTTTCCCCTGAGAGAGGCGTCCTCGTCCCATGGCAAGGGGGCCGCGATGCGTTCAGAGCGTCTTGAGAGTGAGATGGGCGCACACGAACCCCTTTTGAGGCATGGAGGGGATGTGGGATTTCATTCAATCTGAAGAAAGGCGTTGAAACCACATGGGAAAGTTCTTGCGAGGTATGGATGGATGGTACTTGGGTATACAAGTATCTATTGACCCATTCCCACGACCGTGCCATTGTCACTCCTTTTTCTTTCTTCGTTTCTCCTTGCCCCTACCACCCTATCTAGTAAGGTACGCATTTCTCTCTCTCTCTCTCTCTCTCTCTCTCTTTCTCTCTCGCATGGGAGAGAGATATCTTGTCTGGGTTTTTCATGCGGTTCCCCCCTCCCTCCTCCTTCTTTCTCTTTTTCTCGTCTTGGTTCTTGGTTCTTGACCCTTGGTTTTTGATACTCGGGACAGACGGACGGACTCGAGGATGCGCGCGCGACGCGATTACTTCCAAAGGGGCATTCTGGGGCCGTTCGTGACTGTTCAAAACCGACTGTGACCTAAATCTCGCAGTGGGCAGCCAGTCATGCACGCGAACATGGGGACCAGCCCAGGGCGATCGAGTCTTTTCAACGGTGCGTTCGAGGCCTCGGCTGGACGGGTGGATGATCTACTTGTCTGCAACGAGGTGAATTTGATAACCTGCACTGCATAGGTATCGAGCCGCGAAAGGAGGGGGAGGGAGGGGACCCATAGGTAGATACACACATGTATGGACACCACCGGGCTACCTACATACAGTAGGTACACTAAGTAGATATATGGACAGAGCATACACAGCTACCTACGTACTGACCTGCGTACCAGCACCAAATCTATCGCAGATGGTACAGACTGAGAGAGACAACTACTGCACAAACAGAGTACACCCAGAGTCCACATACACATTCCTTGAGAACTACCAACCTCCGTTCTCGAGACTCAAGCTCTTGCTGCAACTACTCGCATACGCTGCCTCTGCGTTTACAAGTCTTGCTCGCAGCAGCATTCGGCTCGCACCGAGTTGCGCAGTCCTGCAATCTTCGCCAAGGGGCAACATGAACAGGCAGACGAACCTCTGACCAGCGTATCGCTTCATGATCTCGTAATTCGACAACAGGCAAGACTAGGCATGAGAATCCCTTGGCCCTCGACGCGGTTGGTCTGCCACTCTACTCGACGACACGTGACCTGGATGGGTTAGGCAGCACTCAATCCTTTTTTCTCCCAACCTTGCAGATCATGTGCCTTTTGATTTTCGCAACATGGATGATACGCAAGTGAGAAGGTCCTGAACCACTCCTCCCCGCGCCCGCGTTCGCAGATGGCGAGGTCAAGCTGTTTGATTGCTCTGTCGCGTTGGCTTGCTAAACCTTTGGCCAGATTTCGTGGCCAACTACGATCCGTGCTTGCTTCAAGGCAATGGAAATGTGATCATAATCAACACAAACACTGCCCTGACGCTTTGATATTTCCATTTCCGCTGAGGACCGGTGTTACCTCGACGCTGCTGGTGGAGTGCTACCCACCGGCTCTCCGCGTCAGCTTCTAGAAAATCTGTGGTCGGGCGTGACTGCCTCACAGATGCGTTGGAGATCCGTATTCGGGTGAGTCGAGCGATGCTACGAAGCGGATCTCAGGCACTCATTCTCGCATCCGATGACATGGTGCTCTCGTCCAGGCAGCAGCCAACAGCCAGCAAGGGTTAGGTATCGAAAGCAACGTCTCAACCATATCTTTCCCCTCGGCAGTGGATGCTGGGTCTGAATTGGCGGCATCGCACGGCATTCTAACACCATCCCGTTGCTAGAGTGGTGCCCATGATGCCAGGCCGCGGGGCGGCAAGTTGTGAGATTGGGCATTACCAGTGTTCGATGTCGCATTCCGTTATCGACGACCGGCTGCTGTGATATGAAGTCTATATGATGACAAATGCAGACATATTCATTGGGAGTTTTTCGCGTCGTCACTCACAAGTCGGACGAATTTTATGCAGATTGCACAACTCGGGTGAGGGTCGATGGCCAAATACTTGTAATGTGGTTATTTGGACACAGAACTCGGTACAAAACATACCTTCTGGCTAAAGCGACGGCGAGCCCATCTGCGATCCGAGTGTTCGTCCCAATAATGTCATGACTCTGTTCGCCAGTCTCGTCTGTTGAGTAGTATTCACCGGGGCGGCAGGAGTGCTTCTGCCTGTTTGGGTGGCCAACTGTGGGAGCGCCATGTTGTGCCATCTCGGAAAATTGAGGAACGCTCTGATCTGCGATCTGGGCACTCGCCAAGAGGCAGTTTAGGCAGCCCCAAACTGGCAAGGATGATATTTGAAAAAATGGGTCGCGCTGCTTGTATTCTCGCCCGTCCCTCAGCCACTCGCAAAGACAAGGCAGCCTCAAGCAGACTCGAAACCCAGCCCCCAACCTGGCCGTATATACCTCGTCCATCAGGTAATAGACAAGTTGATGACAGAAGCCAAAGGTGAGGCTGAATTCATTTTTGAGAGACGTGAGTTTCATCGTGACTCTGCAACCTGAAGGCTCCTGTTGTCCCTCGGGAAAACAGTGGAATCCGTCGCCCCTCCAAGCCCGGATCCTGGGTGGAAGAGGGAGAGTAGCGGAAAGGGGCCTGAAGGAGGCAAAGTGGCGGTTTGCCGCCCAACTGAATCAAGTTTTGAGTCACGCTCTTTTCTACAGTTTCCTCCCACCTTCGCAGTTTGCACCCTCCGTTATCCTTCGGTCAGAGTGCCGGCCACCCACCCACCACCTGGTGAGTGGTCACAGCGCCAACTGGCCCTTCGCTTTGGGGCGAATCAGGCTGGCGATGATTCACTACCACGCGGGGTGTTGGCTGGCCCGATTGGAGAGTTGTAGCATTGTAAGACAGAGATTAGCTGTCCTTAGCTTGGTTTTGCTTTTCTTCCCCCGTCTTTGACGTATTGGGAGGTGCACAGGTTCACTAGGGTTACACATGCGGCCAACACCTTGGTGACCTGGTGGCTGGCGGACATTGTTCTTCCAGATGTAGCGGAATACTCAGGGTGTACGAGGTACTCGTAGGACTTGGAGCAGGAGTTTGACCCGGAGTGCCGTGGAAGGAACCGTGTATGATGGAATGGACCACCCGCAGACGGACCTGATTGATGTAAAGCAATCTATTAGCGGACATGACTAACAGAATCTGATATAATCTTCGCTCTGGCAAAAATCCCAGCGAGGCTCATTGGCTATTGGTCTGTCGCCTGGGCTCTTGGTTGCACAAAGGGGGATGCGCGAGCCTGCGTAGGGTTTGTACTTGTACCGAATACTGACCAAATACTCCGGTCTCCGTGCTTGGGCTGGAGAAGCACATCATCGACGCCTTGTGCAGTGAGGCCCAGGTAGCCCGAATGAGCGCCGCCTATCGCTCTCTCACTGAGTGTCGCGGGCGGTCCTGGGAACCCTGATTATGGGCGGCAAAACATTAGCAAATCTCGAAACTGCCCAAGACAGGCAACGGGCAACGGGCAATTTGTTTGTAGATTCTCTGCCCCGTAGGAACAGGCAGTAATTCCATAGGCTGGAACCAAAGATGAGCAGAACATCAAGAGTTCTTCTTTCGTGCCTGGTCCAGACAGTGGGTGGGTGGTGGTGGTGGGTTTGGGGGGTGGGTGTCGCTAGGGGGGGTCTCAGGTTCAGGTTGGAATTTGAGTCATCGGCTGATGATCTGAGGGCGCGGTTCAGCGGCGGGCGAGCAGTGCAGCCACTGCATGGCAGAGCCAAAGTGGCGAGGGTGGCACCCCCAGGCCCTTATATCCTCCAAACCACCGCCAGCGGCCCGGCATGAGGACTTATTCTACCAGAGACAAGATGAAGCAGACCATGGATCGCAGCACTGGCTGCTCGTTATACTTTGTTCACATCTGAATCCCCCAAGCACACCTTCTGGTTATAAAGACGCAGGTTTTCGCCAACCCGCCGCACTCGATTTCCTCTGTAAGCCCGTCCAACACTCCTGGCCGCGAAAAGCGTCTCGCCTTTCGCCACGAAGCAGAAAGACTCACACTCGAGACCTGAATTTCTGTCCAAATCACACAACTGACTCACGGGACAATGTCTGCCTATAGACACTGTATATTTAGGACCATTTCATATTTGCCACGACCGCCGAGGACACAGATACCCAGAGACGCAGGCTGAATCTCGTCCGGAGCATCTCCTGCCCTCACCACTGTCGACTCCCATTGCGAACCCGAGTCTCGCATTCACTCCCTCCTAATTCACCTATATTCCTTAATCGCCAACGCATCATCTCCAGGTCCAACAGATCTACCTCCAGTCACCTTTCTCTCACTGCAATCTGAGCCTAACCTGGCCGCCTGGGTGTTGGAATTGAAAGAGTCTTTCGGTCACACGCCCTAACATACGTCTCCCGCAACTCTCCACTCAACCAGAGTCATAAAAAGAAAACATTGGTCATTAGCCATGATTTCTTGGTCGCTGTCATATATCCAAGAAGACCCATCCGCACGCCGAAGCCCACCGCCAGAGTCACGAATTGTTTTGGTAAAGCCACACCAAGATCGTTTTGAGACGGACGAGCATTTGTACCTCGAGACTTCCTTCGTTGAGTTGGCCTAGGCTTAACTCTCGAGGGCACATCGATCTCGTGCTTGTCGTGATCAAGCCATCTTGCCAAACAAAACAGTTTTCAGTGCTCTGACTCGTGGTGGGTTCGCCGCCCGTTCTTTGGTAAGAATCAGCGCATCTCAAAACAAGCGCGGCATGCTCACGCTCACGCGCAACAGGTTCTTCTAATTGGTTCTTCCTCCATCACTTTGGATTTTCGTTATTGAAGTATTGCTACCACCTCGGCGTGGCGACACCTGTTCTTCGAGATCGGAGGATAAGTCGGGCCCTGCTCATCTTCAGAAGATGGGCTTTAAAGAGGTTGCAGCCTTCTCCAATTCCCATCCCCCTCAAAATGTACAAGACTCCGTCGAAAGATGGCTCTCCCCGGTATCGAGGGAAGAGCCAGGGCGATTCTACAATTTTCGACATTCCCACGAACGGTGGGCCTTCAATAGCTACAGCCTCAAACCGGACCTCGACCAAACTAGCATCGCTTCTATTGAGGATGATGTCAGTGTGAGCGATTCGGCCCACGAGTCGTACTCTTCCGAGTCATCGTCTCAGACCTCGTGGACATCAACAACAGATCCTGGCGACATCTTCCAGGACGAGGATGGCAAGGAGCCTCTCCCACCTCTAAAGAAGGTGCTCTCAAACAGTGCACTTGAACCTCCGGAGCAGCTGCTCAAAGGACTACAAGGCAATGATCATGCTGCCCCTGGTAGTACCTGTTCCCTTGGCTATGCCTACCGCAGCCTCAAGGCTCGAGTCTCAAGCCATCTCCAACAACCTGGCCAAACTTGCCTACGATCCCGAGGTAATGAAGCCAGCACTGATCCGGACGCGCAACACTGGAGTGCTCGGAGAAATGCCTGCTCTTTCAGGAGACAATGCCCCCCGAAGTTGAAGAGGGACACCGACGTCACGGAGCAATTCGTGTCTCTTCTGATCATCTTTGCAAAGAGACTAATCACCGCCATATGGCCCCTGTCTGACCGACCTCCTATGATGTCGGATTGCTTCAATGGGGCTGGTGTTTTACGTCTCGACACCTTTATCAAAGAAACTCTTAGACGGTCCAAGACAAGCTACTCGACTTTGCAAGTCGCGTTGTACTACCTGATACTACTGAAGTCCAGGATGCCCCAAGGGCCGTCCAAGACTGGTTGTAGAGGCGAGCCGTTTGAGAGATCTCAATGTCGTGCGATGCAATGTGGGCGCCGCATGTTTTTGTCGGCACTCATGTTGGCTTCCAAGTATTTGCAAGATCGCAATTACTCGGCACGCGCTTGGAGCAAGATATCTGGCCTACGCAGCAGTGAGATCAACGAGAACGAAAGAGAGTATCTCGCACAGATCAACTATGATCTGCATGTCCCGAAAGAGGCCTTTGACAATTGGAGCAAGGTTGTTCTGATTTTGAGCAAATTGTCAAGCGAAGGATCCGCGTGCCGGCCAGGCACTTTCAACACAAACTTCGGCCCTCCTGGTGGTCATGCGAACGCCTCCTTGGCGGCTATGATCTCACAAGTGGGCTTGGATGAGAACAACGACGACCTTGCCTTCTCGGAGGCGTGGTGGACAGCCCTGCTCCGAAGAATCGAGCCGAGCATCGTCAAAGACACGTCACATGTGGATGAGTTCTTGAGGACTAATCTACCGAGTGACAAGATGGATGTCGTTGCGTCGCTCGCGCATCTGAGTAAGCAAGTCAACAGACGACCTGATAGTGCAAGTTCAGGGGCGGATGCTGTCACTCATGGCTTTGATCTGAATTTCAGCGAAGCCTTGAAAACTCGCGCCCCCGAATCGGCCAAGGTCCAGCCTAGCCCGTCTTCTCAGACTCCCATCCAGATGAGTCCAGCCAAAAGTGTCGCATTGCCCAGTCGTCCTCACCTTGGAAACCTTCCAACTCCGCAGACTACTCCTCGCATTCCAGACCAGTATGCATGGGAGCGAAACTGTAGCCGGCCTTCGCTTCGCTGCTCCGCATCGGTCGATGCGCTGCGAAGCATGCGGAAGCAGTGCCTCATGAACGCGAACTTGGAACGCTGCCCACCTCCTCGACCTCAGAGCTTTGTCTTACCATCTGTGAAGTGCCTTTTGCGTCCCGCCGAGACAATCCAGGAACTTCCCAGTAGGTCAGCGACCCCAGTCATGGCGTCGCCAGCGTCGATCTCTTCAGAGTCTACGACTGTGACGTCCCGATCTAGATCATCATCGATTTCGTCCAACTCTTCGTGGTCGTCTTGGGCACCCAGTATCCCACCGCTGCGGAGAAAGGTGTGGACTGGCGTCAGCTCTCCACTATCTCAAGTCCGTTCGTCGTCAGAAAGACAATGCAAACCCGCCTCGATAGATTGTCTTATGACGGAGACAATCTCCTATCAGCAAAGCTGTACGGAGGAACCTCAACCTCAACAACCAAACATTCCTACCAGTTCCGAAGTGGCAGCCATCCATGGATTAATGTCGTTGTCAGCACTAACAGAATCACCAAGCCAGAGTGTCACCCCGACACCCCGGCGGCTCGCTAGGAAAGCTGACAGTGCGGTGCTTCAGAGCCATGGACACCCCCGAGGGCATAAAAGGACTCTCTCCAAGATCGATTCAGACCTCCATGCCCAAGTCAGGAGTATACTGTCGCAGAGTCAGACACATATGGATGTAGTCGAAGACACTCTCCCACTGTACTCCTGTGTCACACCCACACCATTGCAACATCCGTCCAATCTTCTGACGGAGTCGCGGCGAGCCGTCTCCAATGCTACAGGTACGAAACGTCATTGCTCTATGCAACACTCTTCTTCCACCCCCGACCTGTCATTTCGTTTCCTTACCGAAGGCATCACGGCATCTTGAGGCGGACGACGAGGAGAGTTACAGACCTGTGCACATATCTGGTGACAAACACTGTGTCGAGTACAACGGTCTGATGGTTCGTGGCTGTGGAATCTCCCAAGGGAACATCCTGTTATCATGGCTGCCTTTGCTGTCTTGGTCGTATGCACGATCTGAGACACAGCGCCGCGCCGTACGTGACTGTGTTCCTGAGGAGATGGCGATGGACAAGACCCCGGGCTCTGCGCGGGTTCCATTTCCATCCGCAACAGCCAGCAAACCGTCAACAAGACACCACCGTAGACCAGCAACTTCTGGCATCTTGGCTCAGTGAAGGTCTGGCGGAACCCGAGTGTCCCAGGCATTTGCGCAATGCCAACTATACAAGGCCGACATCAGCCGAAGCCAAGGGACTAAAAAGCACCTGTTCTACATGATTGAAAGGAACAGGAAACAACAACCACATCACTACTACGCATCTTGGTATCAAAATCTCCGCCCGAGGGCCCTGATGGGGTTCCGAACGGTTTGGAGGATACCCAAAGAACCATGTCATCGCTACCTACCTACCTAAGCTACCTTTGTCAATTGTATAGCTCACGCAATTGAAATTTATTTTGTCTTTGATCTGATAAGACTCTGCAATTTTTCTAGTGGCTTGTCTGTGTGTCTCCTGAGCTCTTTCTGAGGTGATAGTCTGCGTATGCTCCAGGACCGAGTTTCTCCTTTTCTTCTTTTCACTGTCTAAACCGTGCTCCCCTCCTTCCTCCACACCATACAACGAGGGCATATGAAATCCATCCCCTTGCGCTGTAGTAATGCGTTCTGAATTGTACTTCTTTTTTGAAGTCGGCGATACTTATAGACCCTCACGCCACATTACTCGTGAAAGAATGCACGACTTCTCGTGCTCCTTTCCTTTGTCTTGTCTTGTCTCATTCTTGTGTTCCTGTCAAGGCCCAGCTGGCCCAGTTCTGGAGACCCTCAGCTCTCGGACACGTGTGAGTCATGCACGCCAAGAATCCGATATCGGGACATGAGAGCCGTGTGACCAACCATCGATGGCTCTGGACTTTGTTCCCCCACTTTGCCGAGACCCAGCGCCCCAGAGGCCCAAGGCTCCCAAGACGTTCAAAAACGTCCACGGGATCAGATCAGATAAGATTACCCGAGGGAGAGAGAGACTTGATTGCGTGCCATCACATGTACGTATGATCCTCGTCTCCCTCTCTCTCTTCTACCTAATCCACCTTGTCCACCTCGACAAGCACGGCAAGTCGACACAAATTAAAAACACAGAGTCCCAAGTGAAGAGCGGGGGCACTGGTTTTCTTTCTCTTCCTTGGCTGCGGTACTTTTTTGTCTCCTGAGATACTACTGTACCTACTCGGTACATACATACATAGTCGTATATATCACTCCCGCCGGCTCCGCTCTGTACCGACCGAGTCAATATACACCCTCCTGATTACCTCCTTTTCTTTCCAGAGTGCAGCGTCTTTTGCCGTTGCCATTATAAGCTCGATTCTTCCCCTTCTATCACTCTATCGTGCAGGGAACGAGGCGGGAACTTTCTGAGAAAGCCAAGGCAAGGAAACCAGAAAAGAATAGAGTAGAAAGCGGGGTGTGGAAGCAAAGCAAGACAAGGATTCGTCCAGGTGTCAAGGTTACACGGACACGGACAGAGGCACGAGATCAAAAGACAGAAAGACAAAACGAGCGAACGGGAAAAGGCAGAAACGCAGACACGCTCGGCAGGTGAACGGCAAATATCTCGGGTATAACTGCACTCCTACACCGACACCAACACCAGCGTATCTTTGTGGAGGACAGGACAAGATGAAGATTTCCTCTCCCTGGACACTGGCGGCAGTGCAGCTCCTGGCCGCGCTGGGTCCGCGAGCCGCAGTCTGCGCTCCCGCTCCCTTTGCGGTGACGGGAATGGGTTCGGAGCACGACAAGGCTGCCGCCCTCTTTGAGATTCATCACCCAGGAATCAAGTACCACGGTCAAGGTCAAGGTCAAGGCCAAGGCGAATATGGCCAGAAGAAGATGATGGCCCCGTCATACGACGAGGAAACCCTTTACAAGATTCATCATCCCGTTCCCACGGGGCCAGAGTCGTCCGCCTCCCCCCACCCGGGAATCGAGACGTTGTCCACGCATCACCCGTACACGATTCCTAGTCATCCCCTGTCCAAGGAGTCAGAGTCGGAGGAACAAGAGGGAACAGAAGAAGAGGATGGTCAGAAGGGAACCTACCATCATGACTTCCCCACCATGTCCATCCCCTCCCGGTACTACTCGACGGTGCTGGGCCGACGGCTCCTTGCACTGTCGTCGCACGGGGTGCTCACGTCGGTGTTCCCGTCGAACATCTCCACGCCAGCCCACGGCCCGCCCGAAAACGTGGCCGACACTCCCATCGGGCTGCCCGAGTACATCGCGTCGTGCGAGGAACCGAGCGGGAACCCGACGATCCTCTCGCTCAAGATCTCGACGGCGACGCGCAACGCCGCCGCGGGCTCCAACGTCTCGCTCTCCCTCAGCTGGTGGGACGAGTACATCCACCTGACGGGCAAGAGCCCCTGGGCGCTGGCAAACCTGCCCCGCCTCAGCCTGACGGGGTACCTCGAGGAGATTGACGACGACGACACGGACCCAAAGGCCCTCGAGACCTGCTTCGTCCAGAAACACAGGGACAGCGTCATGTGGCTGCCCGGCCGCAAGTGGGCCGCCCACGAGAGCATCTGGACCCGCTTGGTAGTGACCCAGGCGTACTGGATCGGCGGCTTTGGGGACAGGAATTACATCGGCTGGTTCGACCCCGAGGAGTGGCGATCAGTCAAGAAGGAGCAGTGGGAGGCCGTCAGGTTGCCGGGGGAGAAGGCATAATACACCAGAAATAACAGATATGAAAAGGATTCGACGTGGAGGGGAGGGGGGGTTCAGAGTTGTGAGCAAGCAATCCCAATCCATGAACAGAACTGTGGGTTAACGGATGCAAGAAACATATATCCAACGTGATCACAGAAAAATTGCTTTGAGAAAGAGAATATTAATTCAGTTTCTATAAATTTCGACGGTCACGATCAACCTATTCCTGCTAGTTCTGTCTGCCGGTACCATCAACCACCTCCAGTCCTCAGAGGTCGGGGTCGATGTCGATGGTGAATCATATTGTAATACACTAGGTTAAGATACGTTATGTATCATAGGAAAGCGTGGCATCCCCTACCCACCATTGATCTTCTGTGCATCCCTCACAATCGGCACATCGAGACCTGCCTCTATCAAGACAATGTCATCTATTTCTTCTCGCCAGAAATGCTGTTTGCAAGATCTGGGACTATTGTCAGCTCGGACATGTTGAAGTAAGGTCTTGGTGAGAGAGGAGGCATGTATACCTGATGCAGCTTTGCTAGCGCTGTTCAGAACATTGGCAGTCATCTCCTGGGCCTGTTGCAGATACGTCTTGCTGGACTCCTGCGCGGCGGAAGCGTTGGAGCTGGCTGTCTGGCCGACCGACGAAGCAGTGTCCTGCGCCTGTTGCAGGTATTCCTTGCCTGACTCCTGTGCAGCGCCGGCGGTGGAGCTGACCTGCTGGCCCAACGTGGAGGCAGTCTCTTGGATGTTCTTTGTAGCACCGGACAGAGTGTCTTGGGCAGAGCTGGACTTGGCCGAAGTCTCATCGGAGAGCTTCTGGGTGGTCGACTTGCTGTCCCCTGTTTGGCCAAGTCAGTGAGAGAAACAGGGTATAAAGAGACGAGCTGGCCAAGTTACCTGGTTGGACCATTCCTGCAATGTCGTCGGCAGTCCCCGTGGCAGACTCTTTAGCCTTGTCCAAGGTGGACTTCTGAGAGTCGGGCGTGAGCTTCTCTTGGGCCTCTGTAGATCAATGGGTTAGGATGCCGGAACACTCGAGTTTGGAGAGGGAGAGGGGAATTGCACGAACGATCCGTCAAGGGCTTGCGGCCTGTGTCAGACATGATGCACGACTATCTGGTCAAAGGATCTGGTAGATCGAGGCTGTGGCTTGTGCTTGAGTGAGGTATGTACTCAAAGCAAAAGTGAATTCAGCGAAATAGACTTGACAGTGGAATTGCTGCGGTGGGAAGAGAGTAAAGGTTGAGAAAAGGCGGGATGTAGGTCAAGGACTGCCTTTTAAGCTTTTCGTCACGGATCAAAGTAGCAGAGACAATAAGAACACATGCCACCACTTGCTGGAGGCACCAGAGGAAGTCGAGAGATGGTCTCATAGAGTGGGGGGTTTGGGGCAGTCACCAAGGCTGGTATAAACTTTGACGTCATCGATTCTCAGCAGCAATTGCATCAATTGCACATGATCCACGAACCACGAACCACGATCCACGAAACACAGCTGTGACAAAGTGATATCAACAATACTTTGTTCGTTCAGTGCTCCCATCTCAAGCAACCATGTCAGTAAACAGTGAAAGCCAGCAAGTCTCATTGGGGTTTGTCTCTCTTGCAAGCATCGCGACCTCCCTTGATAGACCAAAACAAACCAGACCTGGGGGTATCCGCTCGCTGAATCTATTCAATAACAAAATGAATGCTTGATGCATGTGCGCACTGTGTCGTCCCCTCTTCCTCATTACCTCAATGTCGACGCCATGCTTTTGAGTGCCCAAGGGTGCGTGTTCAATTGGTTGTCTCCCGCTCCCTTGACGTTCATCCAGATCCCCCAAGGCTCACTGCGCTGCGGGCTCATCCTCGAGTGACGGCTGTCTTCCGGCAGAATTGAGAGCTTCGCCTTTCCCACCGTATTCTTCCGGCAGCATCTCTCCCAATCCTTTCACCTTGCTGCTCGTCACCATCTCGCGGGCGAGATTGGCGCCATTGCTCATGGGGTGGAACTTCTTGATGGTCTTTGCGGCCACGAACAGTTTCATGAACGTGTAGATAAATCCCATGAATGCAGGAACATTCACAAAGAACTTTTCTTTGAGCAACTCGGGGTAGTTTTGCGCGAAGATCTTGATCGTCTCGGTGCTGGCAGCCTTCACAACGGCAGACTGGCGAAGGAAGCTGATCGACTTGTAATCGTGCACCTGAAGGATCTTGTATGGGTCGTAGGTTGCGGTGATGGGTTTGGTGGCCTTGTCGATTCCGAGTGCTTGGAGTGCGTCCTCCATTAGGGCAACTCGCCATTCGATAAATCTAAGCAAGCAACGGAGTCAGTCGAGACAGAAGAATCTTACGGTATACTCAATCTTACTCTGCCAGGTTTCCGAATGTCTCATCCAGATTCTTCACGCTTCCGTATATATTCCAAGTGAACACCTCCCTAGTCTCAGGATCGGCTGTCGGATCGGCATCACCGTAGACGGTAGTGTACCCCAGCCCGGCGAACTTGTTTCGGTTGAATTTCTTCTTGAGCAGTTCGACCGGTTTCATCTTGGCTCTCCAGTCCAGGGTCTTGGTGAGGGTGTCCTTGGATTTTGCAAGATCTCCGTCATAGGCATTCAGATACTTCTGCAAGATCACCTGGGTCGGGACGTGGGTCGCCGGGTCTGCAAGGGTAACTCCCCAAATCTCGGGGTGACCGTGAGCCTGTGCGAGGGCCCAAAGCTCCTCGATTGGAGTGGTCTTCTTTTCCACGGGGACGTCGACATCTGCGGCTTTCTCGGCCACGACCGGAGTTTCTGTGGCGGGAGGGGCGGACTCCTGAATGATCATCAGCACTCCATCTCACACAAATGGTCGACACACCGACAACTCATACCGTCGGGGCAGGTGTTTCGGTGGCAGGAGTTTCTGTAGCAGGCTTCGTCTCTGCACTGTCTGGAACAACAGTAGAAACTTCGGCCGGCAGCGCTGTGCTGTTGGGCGCAGCGGTTGTTGCTTCGGGAGTGGCCATCGGGATGGAGTAACAGGTTGCGCAGCTGCAGCGAAGAAGCGATGAACAAGGACAATGTCGGCCGAGCAGGGAGGAGTTTATCAGTTGACGCTATTCGCAGATTAGCTTTGAAAAGCCGATCGATTTGGTTCGAATGGGCAGCTAGAGACCCAACCTGGAACGACTGCGAGGAATCGAAGTTTGTTTACCCTGTCCGCAAAAGGAATCCTTCAAGGTCAATGTCAAAATCACAGATATCCGCACCCGTGGTATCAATAGGACAATTCCAAGAATCGTGCTAGGTATTTCAGCGCTATCGAAAAGGAGAAAATCTATTCACCGAGAGATAGAACTTGATCGAATGTGTCTCGATGTTGGTCGAAGCAAGCACACATCCCCCATATTCTAGTTGCGTGATCTAATCAGATAGCCGGAACGCCAAGCCATTACCACCGTTCCTAATTCCGGTAAAACCCGAGCACAGCCGAAATGTCCTTTTGCCCTTGGGAATTGCTGCTTCATGACCAGCAAAGAGACAACTTACTGATTCTTATATACAAACATGTTTCATGGGGCAAATCCGAGTCATAAGTCAAGATTTCTAGTGTTCGGTCATTTGTATCTCTAGAATTGTGTCCAACTTAGTGGTCTGTTCAACAGCCTCCAATGACAGACCGAAATTCATGTCACCAAACAACTTCGACGAGGGTTTCCAAACACTGTATCCCAGTTCCTCCTCCACATAGATCTCGATCCGTATATTTCGTTTCGAAACGTGTCGAGGTCCCTTCGCCCAGCCATCTATTCATTAGCCCTCTGCCGATTCAGACGTTCAAAAGCTGGTTTCCTTCTCCTAAAAACAAAATCAAGTGCGCACTTCTGCCCGAGGCTCTATATTCTTCAAGCATATCGAGACAGACGCGGTGATATCACTGTTGTAAATCGACAAAATCACAATTTGCACTTGGACGGCAAAGTCCCCTCCATTATATTCTTGCTCGTCAAGACACCAATCGATCCACCGCGAAGAAAAGATCTGACCACCCGGGAGATATACTGTCGTACAAGCTTTGGTTGCCTGTTCTCCTTTGCTTTCCGACAATGAACGGGGGCCCAGACACATAACAACAGAAAAGTCGGAGATTCATTTATCGCATGGTCGTCAAATCGTGCAGCTGGAGTAGGAGCTTGGTATGTTGTCGGAGCAAGACATGGCAAAACAGGTCTATGTGCAACACAAAATAGCGAAAAAGAAAATTGGACGCGGGCCAATATTCCCAAGATTTCGATCCGCGCCAAAGTCGCCGGGACATGAAGACACGGTAAAAATGGGGTCGAGTCTCATCACAAACTCATAGTCAGCCATTCCCATTCTTGGCTGTTCCCATGCGGACCGCTACCCATGTTCGCAACACCGGAGTTGAGCAGACCTCCCTGCATTACCGATGCCATTGTGGTGGCTCCTGCGGTCGAAGACATACTGGCCGCCTTGGCCCGGGTAACGGGGGCTTGAGTGACCCTGGGGGTCGACTGGCTAGTGTCGTGCATTTCCGCCTCATTTGTCGGACCACTGCTTCCGGGTATAATGGGCAATGTGTTGGTTGACGCCCGTGACTGCCGTCGCTGGCGTTTCGGTGTCACCTGAACCGGTCTGGTCATGTTGGGACCAGGCTGAACAGGTGGCTTGGGTGGCGCCGCGGCAATTGGTACGACCCCAGGTTTCCCTCCAGTGGTGCCAGGTGGATAGCTGGTGGGTGTCGTCACAGCCGATCCCGAGTGCACAGAGCCCTGCACAGAAGACGGGGATGCCGAATTCTGCTCGCTGGCAGCATTGCCAGAAGTCGGTGTAGTTGCTGGTGTCTGCTGCACTGAATTCTTACGAGAGGCTTTTTTGGATGCTCTGGTGGCCGTAGACCCTATGGGCACCGTATTTCCGCTACCACGATTTCGCTTCTTGATGACATCGGTCTTTAGCGACAAAGGGCGCACAACACCATGCAGTTTGAGAAACAATCCACACGCATTGCACAACGGGTGACCTTCTGGGTTTCGACGCCAGAGAGGTGTAGTCTGGGTAAAACAGTTGGTGCAGGTCGTTGGAACACCATTTTGATCCGTGTTCTTAGGTCCAGGGCTGCCTGGTCTCGATGGTTGTCGACTGCTAAAGCCAGACTCACCGGGCGAACTACCACTAGACTGCATATGCTGGTTGGATAGAGCTGGAGTCGAAGTTGTTCGAGGAATCTTCTGTCTCCTGGGATCTTGGTCGCGATTCCGAATGTCGCTGATTGAGGCAGCTGAACCATGTGTGCGACTGAGCATCGACGAACCCCAATCCGGAGGAGAATTGACCATTTCCGCTCCTCCAATTCTCACCTGTTTCCCCGGAGCGCTGCCGAATCGCTGCATGCTACTGTAATCGGCAACATTGGGATCCCACTGCAAACCCGAGTTTAGGTCCAATGTTGGGTCACTAATCTGGCCATATTCAGATTGGATCATTGCGAAATTGGCGTCCTCGTCTTCCGCGTCAGAATCGGCGCCGAACTGGAACAAGTTGTCATTTCCCGCCACAGAAATTCCTGGAGAGACTCGTCGTCCATATTCCGGCACCAGCACCCGAGAAGGATCAACGTGTTGCTGCATCGAAAACCCAGTTGCCGTCTGTGTCGAAGCTACCCCATTCATAAGGGAATACACCTGTTCATTGTTGGATCCGTACGCAAACTGCGGTGCCGAGGGGGTCATCAAATGGTTCCCTCGGTGGGATGGGTAAAAAGGCATGGTCCGTGTGTGGCCACTATGGTCAAAGTAAAATCCCTGACCATCTACTTCGTGGCCCGGCTGGGGCGTTGAAACAGCAGAAGCATAGCCGGATTGAGGCGGGGAATAAAAGTCCGCCGAGTTTAAGGACGAAGCCATTGATGATTGCGTATACACATTCGAGAACGGCCCGTTGGTGACCATGGGCGAGGCGGCGGGGGAAAATGCAAAGTTTTGTTGGAATGGCCCAGCAGATGTTAGAATTGGGTCGTCGCTCAGGTGGAAAGAATCTAGGTGAAGAGACATTGACCCTGGAAAGCTAGGTTGGCCCGGGAATTGGGCTGCTGATGATTGATCAAGCGCGTAATCAGGTACACCAGTGTCCATTTCGGTACCGTTGGTAGCATGAGGTGCAGGTAGAGGAGGTACTTGAGGAGAGAATTCTGCCGGACGCTTGCGGTTCTGGAGAAAAGGGTCAGAGAACAGCTTTGCCAGACGGGTCTTGTGAGAATTACACTTACACCCCTCCTCTCGTCAATGCTCGTCTTGCGGACCCTCTTCTTCACGTACTCAAATTCTGATGTCCGGTGTGTTGGGATAGAGGTCTGAGGCATTGACGACGGGGGTAGATTCTTGGGAATCTGGACTTGGGGTTTGTTACGGGAAGCAATGGGGATAGGAGGGGCCTGTGCCATCATTGATCGGCCGACCGTCTCTGACGGAGCAGGAGACGTTATCCCTGCTGGAGAGGCGACCGAGCTCGGCACTATAAAGTCGTCGAGGTTCATAGGATCTGTGGTTTGCTCGAATTCGGCAGACTTGTCCACGGACTTGCGGAGCTGCTGTGCTATGCCACTAGGACCCGAGGAAGGAGGAGTAGGGCTTTTGAACTGTGCTTGTTTTGCTCTAGAAAGATGGTCAGTCACAGCGCTCGGACGGTCGCTGCCCACCGGGGTCGATTTCCCGTACGCTGCTTGCTGTTGCTCTCGCCGGCGTAGATTCATAGCCATCATCCGCCAAGTCAGGTTTTCCATGCGCTCCTGGTTGGGGAGGCGAGACTTGGTCCGGCTATACAATTTCCATATCTGAGTGCCTAGAGGGTCCTTCTTCTGCATCTCTTCTGGACTGTCGAGGACGGAGGAAGGGGTATCGTCCTTCCACTCGGGGAAGACGGCGTCCCGTAACAGCGACTCATTGCGAGCAAGGACGTCTGGGGTGGAGAGATCCAGGTTGGGACTGAGGCTGGAATCTGCGGCTTTTGTAGCTTGGGAGATATGGGCACCGGTGTTAATGGAGGTGTCGGTCGAGAACAAATAGGCGGGCGACTGGCTGGTGGAAAAGGTATTTACGGTATGAGATCCCAAGCTGCTTGACCAGGTCGAGAAGTCTGTATCGTCAAGAGTGGAAGAGGGCTGTGATGTAGAGGCCGAAGAATGATGGGAGTGGTCGGCAGGTGAGTGGACGGCGGAGGTTGCGCGCGAGGGTGCAGCTGCAGTGCCCCCACGTTCACCATCATCCGCACTCGACATTACCGGGGCGGATTGGAGCGAGAGTCGCGTGCAGCAAGGTGGACTAGGGATGGGATAGCGAACAGGACGGTGTGCTCGTATGTTGTTGGACTTCTGGCAGCATTGGCAGAGTCGAAGCCAGGATATGATGTATTTGGGGGAAAGGTGTGAGTAGTTCTTGCAGACGAGCAATAAAAAAAATAAATTGGCTGCAAAAGAGACTTGCAAGTGTCATCACCACACACCTACGAGGCAAAAGGAAGAGGTCGGCAAAAGAGAGCGTGAGAGGGCACCTTTTCGTCGCTCTGGCCTGCAGGAAGTGGAAGTGGGAGGGTGCAAGGTCAGAGAGGCACGCAACCTATGGGGACGGAGGCATGGGTTGGTTGGTGCTTGGGAGATGGTCAAGGCGCAACCCGGTGGACCAGGGTATGTGCGTAAAGTTGGTGCCAGGGATCAGAGATGATGGTCCCTTCTGGCGCGCCCGCCTAGTCTAGGGCGATGGAGTCAAATGGAGCGAATGGAGTCGGCTGGAGGGGCAATAAAGAGAGGTACCGGTAGGGACATGATACCATGGATCGAGGCCTCGGGATTGGCGACGAGTCGGAAGGAGGGTATTGGGAAGGAGTGGGTGAGCGGGATGGGGGATGCAAGAACGGCCCTAGAGGCCACCAGAGGGTTTTTTTGGATGGCTTTGAGTTTGCTGGCAATGGGCTGCGCTTTTCCCAGTCGCTGGGAGCGAGGGTGGACAATGGCTTTTTAGAGTTACAAGCACGAGATGAGGGTTTCCAAGGGAAGCCGATCAGCAACGAGCCCATAATGCATGACCATGACCCATTGCTCCGGTACAAGTCACTCGTGATCTTGCCATCTCGCCGTCTTTGTATTTGGAGGTATCTTCTTCTCATCTCATCATCCCTCTCTTTCTCCTCCATCGAGGCCTCATCTCACATGCAGCCATGCCACTGGTGGGAAAGCCCCCTCAAACCACCTCTTCGCAAAAAGTAATTGGGGATCTCGTGGGCAGGGGAGAGGGGGGACACATCGGCATAGCGCCGGTCCATGCCTGAGGCGAAGACCAGAAACGGGACAAGAGCAGCGACTTCGGTGGGTGGGAGAGTGGGAGGCTTTTTTTCGAGAAGTGGGACATGGACCGATTCATGGCTTCTCTCTGACAGTTAATGATTTGCAACGGGCACTTTAACCTCGATTGGACTGACTCAGTCCGCCCGCGCAATCCCTGTGGTAAAATTGTGATGATCTCTCATGAACGACATGAACGACATCAGCGACTTGCAAGAAGGATCGAAAGGGTATCGCAGAAGAGCTGTACCATACGTAATATCCTACGAAGAGGAAGGTACAGTATGTACTCGGTACAAGGGGAGGTCCAAGGGTGGTGGAAATACCATATGCCGCTGTCTCTCAAGATCCTGCCTTGCCTGGCTTGCCTTGCCAACCACGCCTACCCACTACGAGGATACGTATGGAGGTACCTAATAGTAGCCAGGCCCTAGGCCTTACCTTTGAAGCTGCCTACAGGTACGAGTACAAATACTCGTAGGCCCAAGGTGGCCCTGGTCAACCCTCGTTGGAGCTGGGCCGGCTGCCTTCTTGCATCTGCATCTGCATCTGGCGACTGCATCGAGGTACGCTTTCTGCATGCGCCTGTGCGTGCGGCAATACAAGGGAGGAATGGGAGTTCCCCTTGGCTGGCCCTCAGCACCCACCACGTCGATACCTACAAGCAGTTAAACGTTCGGCGGGGCCTGGCTTAGGCTTAGCTCTTGCTGCTTGCAGCTGGCTTGGCTGGCCCTGCTGCGCAATAGCGGTTCGCCAACTTGGTAAGCCCGCCCACCCACCATGAGCTTTCGGGATTTCAAGCATCATGCACACCAGGGGACCGAGGAGCGCCACGTCCAGGGAGTCAGGGTCGACATCAGCGGGTTTTTTGCGGCCACTTAAAGCCCGCCCAGAAGCCCTATTCTGGCCTGGCGCTTCTGATAGCGTGGGTGGTCATGAACAAGTGGGAAGCGCAGGCAGAGGTCACTACTCAAGGGGGAGGCGGCCGTGCTTCAATGCCGGCGCAGGTAGAGCCTATCATTGCCGTTGGCTGTAGAATCATGGCAATTCACCCTCATCCCTTCTTCTGTACCTCGCTGTAGTCATCGGCTATGGCATTCGAATAGTAATACAAACAAATAATGAAATAATCACCACGCAACGCATCTCTACTAATGGCTGCTCACTAAGATGCGAGCAACACACTGCATTCACTCTCGGGGCTTACCTGTTACAACGTAGGTACAGGGCCGAGGTGGCATTGCCTCTCGGAAAAGGCACGGAACCCAAGTCGGCACGAGGAGTTAAGGGAAATAGTTATTTGAAAAAGCTGGAGGCAAAGTGGAAGTGGAAATGCTACGAGTAAGTAGGTACCATTGGCAACAAATACATCAAACTACTAGAATGAGCTTCTGAGCTTCTCGAACCATGTGTAATTTGGGCGTTGGCTTCTGGAGCTGGGGCACGAGGTTGTGGGAAAAATGGATTTTGTGCATGAACTACAAGCTGAGGAAGATGAAGGGAGGTCCAGAAGCAATCCACCAAGGTGTGCCAATTCACAACCCTGCAGCCCCCCAATGTTTCCACTAGGCTCCACTACTCGACGACACCTGGGAGTCCCAAAGTACCTCTCTGTATGTATGTAGGTAGGCTTGACGGCGAGAGCACCCGATTCTAGTCCCCTCGTATTGTGCTGCATGTATTCCGGATACGGGCTTCGCATTGTGCTTCAGAAATGCTTGTCTGGGGTATGACCTCTGGACTGATGATGGCTGCAGAAGCAAAAAAGAAGGAAAATCCCCCAAAAGAACCCCCAGAGAAAAAATTTCTGGCAAAAGATTTTCAGCTGGGCTCCGGCCGTGTGGTCTGTTGCGAGTCTCGAAGCGAGGCGGCGTTGTTTTGCTCATGCGAGCAGCAGCAAATGCTGCGACGTGATCAGTCAATTGGGACGAGGCACGAGAGGGGTGTGGGAATTGCTTCTTGCGACAATGCGCCGGGGTACCTCGCCCCCCATATATTTTGCCACGGCGCTCCTTGTACCCCAATACTCCGTAGCCGTTTGTATAATTTGTGGCTCTTGCTGAAGATCTCTCTGTCTCTTGAGCATCCCAATGTGATTTGTAGAGGCTTGTCCCGCCACACTAGATTGGGTAGGTAACGGTACGTCGGTTTCAGGTGTCCGGTGGAGTGCAAGGGATCCATGCGAGGAGCCTGATGGCATGGTCGATTTGCCAGGTGGTGCTTGGATGTACAGTACTAGGGGTGATGGATGCTGACGACTGGGTAGGTAGGTACTTCGTCCATGACAGGCTAAATTGCTGAACGAAAAAAGCTCGTGGCCGTGGTTCCAAAGTCAAAAGAGAGGAGAAGAGGCCGGACAGGACGGAGCCAAGAGGATTGCCCAGCACCTCGTAACCCGCAACAAGCATTGGCCACTCGCAATCCTGAACCTTTAGCCTGACCATTCACAGCCTTGGGACAGCTGGAATCCCACCCTCTAGCTCCAGTGGCACATGTGCAGTCCCTACACATATCTCCTGTATAGGGCTCAGTACTGGGTACCAAAGGACAGGACCGAGTTCTCGGTATACTGCCCTTGTTTGTGATGTTATTTCCTTCATCTCTTTTTTTTCAGTCATTTCTTCTCTCCTAGCTCGGACCGAAGGCCCAGATCTCACTCGACCTCACACGAGGTATTCGAACCATCCACCGTCCAGAGAGTGGAGTCTATCCCAATGGTCGATGGTAACTTCCTTGAAAAAAGGGTCCCGCGCGTAAGCACCCGTGGCATGTCCAAAGCATGTGCTTCCAACCACCCCCCAATTCCGACTGACTCCCTCACCTCGTCGAGCTCCCGACTTTTTGCCTTCCCGGCCCTTCTCCGTTTCTCGGCCACGTCTTTGCATGCAGATTCAAGCACATGGCAAGCAGTCAGAGATGGAAGCGCTATTTGCCTTGCAGACGAATGAGGGTACCCCGAATCCATGGCCATCATTGTTCGAGACGTTTCCCCGAATGCTCCTCACTCGATCCCGGGTCGACCGCGAGAAGCTGTCTCTCCACCACTTCCTGGCCAAACTGGGCAGATTTCGCTCCTTCTTAGCGCGGGGGACCTTGCGAACACCCCTTCGCAAATATTACGAGTCAAGTGCTGTCCCCTCCTCACTGTCATACCACGGATCCGCAGCCTGACTTCGGCTCAAAATCCTCACGAGTTACGGGTCCTCCTGCTCGGGACGCTCCTTGGACCTCAGGCTGGTGCTGGTGCAGCCGCAGGATAATCGATGCGGAACCCGATTGTACTTGGTGAAGTTAATATGGGCAAGGACACATGAGTACATGGTGGCGAGACAGCCGTCATCAGACGGGACATTGAACCTTTCGCTACGTAGCGCAGTGACGAAAGTGATAGACGGTCGGCTTGCTGCTAGTTACTGCTTGACGCCAGTGTCTCGACCGAGTTCTTGTACTCGGTATATTTGGAGATTTGGCTGTGCCCAATCACACTCGAGACGATCGAGGCTTTGAAGATCGTCAAGACCAGGCCAATTTGTCGACTCGGACTAATTTTGGGGGCAGGATCAATGCTGTCAACTCGACTCTAGTCTGATCAGCCTTGATGGTCTGCGGGACCAACCCTGAACTGCTGAGACGTGTACGTAGCTATACATCATGAGCTGCAAAGAGCGTTGAGGTCATCGAGCTGCAGAAACAGGTTCTATCGTGTTCGTCAATCCGTCCAATCCTCCTGGTGTGTCAAGGCTGTGAATGTATGGAATTCCCCTAGGTTTGTTCATGGTGTACTTTGTATGTAGACACCACATGTTGGCTGATCGTGGTCTGCCTCTTCCCTGTGACCCATCGCATCCCAACCACCTGTACTACTACCGAGTGATGTACACAAAGTACCGAGTACCATTTTCCCAAATTGTCTCGAAACACCCATTTAAGTTTGGCACTCTGCAGATGACGCTAAACATACTGCTTTTGTTTGTCCTGACTACTGGACTGCCGGCCGCTGGTTTACGTGCATATGCAACAAGCCAGGCGTTGCGTCCTCTCTTGTCGCGGCGTTGGCGTTGGCGTTGGCGTCGGCCGTCGAGAGTGACTCAGGCAATTAAAATGCTGGGCTGGGTTGGGCTGGGTCGGGCTGGGCAGATCCTCTTCAGATGAGGGGCAGATATCAAGCAAGAAGAAAGGTACGTGAAGTTTCAGGACCCCATTCACCCGAAAAGGGGGACCACCAAGAGTGTTTGTTGGAATCAGAAAGATACAGGAAACAATCCATGTTTCTTTTACTCGTATAGATGTGATAATTACATCGCATCGCCAGGATCGGGAGCCCCACAATATACCGAGTATCTACATATATACCCATCTGAGGCAAGAAGTGGGTTGAGGCTAGAAAACGAAGCCGGCCTAGATAATCATCTGTGGATTATGGGGGGGCCTTGGGTCCGTTTCGGCTTGACTTCTGCTCCCAGCGATCAGGGAGCCAATTGTCTTTGTTGGGTGAGATCCATATGGGTAGGTAGTCCACAGAGGCAGTGGTGCACCCAACAACATCTGGATATGCTCGTAGCAATCGGTACAAAAGGGTTGTTTTGCAAAGAGGCCAGAGATGCGCAGCTCAGAATGGTCGCCGCAGGGAAACTTGTCTGTCTCGCCATCGAACAATGGCTGCAACCGGGTAAACGGACGAAGAGGACGATGAAAGCCGTGTCTCTTGGGGATCGTCGTTGCCAAAGTCTGAGCCAGGGATGATTGTATCCCCAATTGACCACCGCGTTTCATACCTGGCGTACCTGGTTAAAGCTCGGGGACTGTTTCATTTCATGATTGGTAATTGTCGAGCCCACACACACACACACACACTGCGCTCTTCCGGCGCTGCCAGCGCTCAACGCACCTTTTGGGACGATACCTCACTGCCCCATCCGAGTGCAGGTGGAGAGGAGAGCAGTGACTGTAGTAGTGGACCAAGGTTAACGCAACCCTCAAAGAAAGTCGATGGGTACGGTCGCACGAGAGGATCCTCATAGATCTGAGCGAGGCCCACTGTCCCTCCTCGAGCACACGACCATCCAGGCGTCTCCAGTCCCATCGGTCGGTCGAGAGGTCGAAAGAGATCTGGGGAAGGGGAGCAGCTCCTCTCATCCTGCAGCAGGGAACTCGTTGAGACAGTCAAGGTCGGTATAGGCCACATCCTGCACCCGGTCGGCGAAAGCTCCGACCACCACCCCGACCTCGTACAGTGACGCACAACCAGGTAAAGTTAGGTGAGTTAGTGAGCGTAAGCTGCGTTCGACTCTTTCCCTGTCCTTACAAGTAGGCTTTCTTTTGTCGGTCCTTGCCGAGATGGTGGCACACAAGAAGACGTGGGATGCTGAATTTGACTCGAGGCTGGAGTGGTGCACCTAAGCGATTATTAGGTGCATCGTTAGCTGCTTTTCCTGGTAGAATTCCAAGTCTCGTCCTGGATGCATGCGGCACCACGGCCACCCTTGGGTTGTCCCTCCTCAACTCCGCCATCCATCAGTTATCGAGCGAGCCACGCCCCCTCATCGGTAATATGGGTCATCACCCTCCGACGCATGACAAGTGGACCCCCAAATCCCTTCTGGTGCTTCGGCTCCAGAAGTATGCTCAGCCTGGTGCGTCTTGGGTCGGATCCCTGCTAAAAAGGGGGAGATTCGCATATAGAAAAAGGCGTTGCCGATCTGTTGTAAAGTTAATAGTTCCGCTTGTGAGCGTAACGTCCGTCCGCATCAACAAAAGGTGGGTGCTCGTATTTGGTCCCAACAAGGGCTCCGACAGTGTCCAGGGTGAGACGCATTGCACCCCCACACTAGTGCAGTGCCTTGTCTGTTGTCGTCCAGCAAGCCTCAGCAGCCAAGTTGCTGCTTACCTCCTAATCTGGTGCGCAGTCCGGAAACATGTCCATGCTCGAAATACCACCAGCTCAACAGTAACCCTTGGTAACCCTGAGCTACCCAGGTGAATAATATTCTTGTCAAGGTTTCCAACTCTTCTTGTCTCGGCTAATCTGACCGATGTCGAGTCGACGCAGGCGATGGTGTTGAATTGCCGTTTCGGAAATGCGTGGGAGAGGCTCCATTGGTGGACGTAAAGGTGGACTCGCCAGCCTGAGTCTGTGAGTTTGTCAAGGGCCGGGACTATTCGGTGCTCTGCCAACGCCGAAATCTGTCCTCGTCAGGACCTGTCGAGAAGGTGTCGTCCTCATCGAGTGAGGCTGCATCGTTGTACGAGTATGTACGAGTGAGTTTTCCAGGCGTGATCTTTCCTGGATAGCAAGGCGAGCTACATCGGGTAGAATTGGGGTTGGATAGGGTATTGGCGATTTGCGTAGCCTGTTGGATTTGTTCGTAGCGAGGCCTCAAAGGACTAGTAAGGCTCAGAGATGGAATCTCGCGGGGGGCCGGTGGCCGTGTGACTCTTTAAGTACAGTATGGCCGGGGCTGCCATGGGCCAAATGATAAGGGCAAAGGAGATCAGCGACTACTGATACTCTCAAAGCACACCATAATGGGAACAAGTGATAACAAGCTCGTCGCATTCTGAGGACACGATAGGCTGTGAGCACCCATTCCGCCATTGAAGGGGAAATCTATTCAATGGCTTTCTGATAAGTGCGATAACCCCGCGATAACAGAATGACCCTCCTTAAGGCAGGCAGATAAAAAATCTGGGGCAGCCTGTCTCAATTCAGCAGGTAATTGCGGCCCTGGCCAGCCTATCCTTCGTCGGTCATCCACTCAGATGCTCGAATTGACCATGTTGATATCTTTGTTTCAGCGTTGTGTTGCATCTGATATCCCCCGAGGTCACCGTCACTCCGATGTTGTTATCACTGGTCATTGTGGTGAACTCCAGGCCCTTCCTGCTCATCATTCCAGCACTTATCAATGCACTGCAGGGAGGAAATAGCCTCAAGTCCTCGGGTAAACAAGCCAGTCATCGCTGCCAAAACTGAGGTTGAGCATTGCTTGCTATCTCCTGTCATGACCACTTGCAGTCTTGCCGATCCTTTGAACAACGCAGCAGATGTAGTTGGGGTCTGGGAAAATGATTATCTCCTGGTGTTTTGTGCGCAGCCTGAGCAACTGGACCTCGTCCTCAGTATTTCCATTTTCCGCATCCTCTTCAGTGCTTCGCTCTTTATTCTGGACAGTTTTGGCTTCGCCATACGCCGCTCCGGGGTACGTTCCGTCTGGACGTGCCGCATTGCGAGAAGCTGCGCCCAGTGTTGCACCCATTGCATTGGCATTGTTCACAAATTGGAAGATGGATGAAGCCAATCGCTCCACTGGTTTCTCGATATATTGAACCTCTGAAGTATCATCTGTTTCATGGGCAGTAGAGGATTGCTCCTTCTCTGACGCGTCTGTGCCACGCCTTGCCTCTTCTTTCTGCGGCCATGGGTACGCTGTCGCAGAAGCCGCAGGCCTTCCCTCACCCGCTGGAGAGGCGATTCCCGTAACTCTTATGATAGAACCATCTTTTCGAGAAAGGATCAATGTAGACTGTACGTTTGGTCTCTCCGTCAGACCTCGCAGCATCGCATCAATGGAAGGACCGTTTAGAATCTCCTGTTAAACACCAATCAGTATAGCGTCGTGTAAGATGAGGGGAGGGGACTAAAAACCCTTTCGGTCTGAGGCATCCTGATCGTGCGCCTCTAACCAGTTCGTTTCAAGCTTGCTCATTGGGTGCATGTCAACTCATGCTGACACCGTTTGTAGGCTCGATGTGGTTTTGGAGGCGTGCACAGACGCGCCAGACGCGTCTTTTTCTCTGGACAGGAACGTGCAGGGAAGCTCTCGAGCTATTCTCGTGGGGTGAGGTCACTGTAAGCCTTGTGTAACCGGAGGTATGGAGCTGAACAACGTGGAGAGTTTCTATTACGAACATGAATCCATCTCCACAAAATGGTGAAAAATCACTGTTAGATCGAGTGATTTGGGATCGTCGCCATCTGCGGTTCGGCCCGACAACGTCAAAAGCTTATTGTTCCCACTGCTTCTCCGCGGATTCTTCAGGAAGAAAAAAAAACTCTTTCCCATCCTTTAAATCCGTTTGAAGTCAATTACGAAATACGCCCAACCGACGAAATGGGCTCCAGTGCACGAAAGAAAAGAGAGAGGAAGAAAGACTTCCAGGTTGGTTGATCGAGCCCGTCCAGACCGGTAACAAACAAGCTGATATCGTGGACAGAAACAGAAACTGAAAGTGGGCAAGGCGAAACCCAAGGCTGAGAACCATACCGACACGACTTTCAGATCCCAAGGTATATGGCCTTATTAGTGGAACTGTGCAGATAGCTAACAAGATGAAAAAGCCATCGTTTTGAACCAGCAGCTAGATGTCCACGCGCCTTCGCAGTCTACGATATTTCTTCATCAACTCTCCCTACTCACCTCCCCATCCGCCACTCAGAGGAGAGATGCCCTTGCTTCCTTGACGAGTTTTGTCGCTTCTAGCCCCTTGACAAGTAGTTTGCCAGTTAACACCAGTTCTCTTCTCGGTACCATCTGTCCTCTCATGCTCGATGGCTCAGCCGGCGTCAGGACTCAGTTGCTCAAGCTTTTTCGCGCATTGCCCAGCGAAGACATCCAAGATCATGTGAGCAAGGCTTTGCCTTACTTGCGTGCAGCTATGACACATCTATCGCGGGATATTCGATCCTCGTCCCTTGATTTTGTATCCTATGTGATCAAAGCCGCTGGCCCAGAATTGATCTCGTGCCCTGGTGGCTGGCACCAAACCTTGGAATGCTTTACGACAGTCCTTGGCTGGAGGTCAGTCGACGCCAGCAGATGGTCCTCCACCAAAGCATCATTCGCGGGGGACTCCAAGTCTACGGCTCGAATAATGCAAGTTCTCGCTGAATTCTTGCAAGCTGGTCTTGTTGGGGACGAGCAATCTCCATCTAACACTAATCCACTACTCGCACACTTTCCCCTCTGGGAAGTTGAAACACTCCTTGTGCCAGAGAGATCTAATGCATATGCTTATCTGAATCTCTTTGGGCCGCAGATAGAGGACGAGACCAAAATTCTCGACGACCAACAAGATCGACAGAGCGACTTCGCACAAAATTTCCAGGGACATATCTTGGCCGGCATTGATGCCGCCAGGAAGGAAGGTGGAGAGCTAGGCCGTGCCGCAGGTCTGCTAGTGAAGACACTGGAACGCGCACAATCTTCTTGACCCGCCCTTATTCAAGAGGCTGTTCTCGAGGAGGTTTAGTCCCCAGGCGGTTCAGCAATGAAGAGGAGCTCTCTTATATCCCGTGGGATGCATATTGCTGAGCAACACATCCGAGACACTGGCACTGTGTTCAGCTCCAATGTCCATCCATCCTATTCGAGTCCTTTGTCTCGATAAGGCGCTCACTGCATCAAGGGTGGCTTCTCTTGGATGCATGAGTCGGAGCACTTGGTGGACACACTGAGAAAGGAAGAGGAGGAGGACAGAAAGCAAGAGCAGGAAGCAGACTGGCTATTTCATCCATCATGGAACAGAGACGGACTCAGGCGCAGGAACCATGTGGATCAGCACTATCCCACCCAATGATCGAAACCACCTCTTCAGCTCGTTGAATCTTGATCTGCCTCTTCATCTGATATTGTGCCACTGCCTCAGGTCCCAGATGCTTTGCTCGACCTTGCAGACACAACGACTCCAGGATCAAGACCACCTTGACCTTCCATGAGGTTTACAGCTTTGCGTTCTGCAACCCCCCGGCCTTCAGCTCAGCTATCGCCTGCAACGCGCCACTCTCTCCGCTTCGAATAGCCCCTTCCATATATCCTCTCCAGACGGTGTTCAATTCCGTGCCCACGAACTGGATATTCCCAAAAGATGCGCACAATGCTTTCCATCCGTCTGCAAGAACACCTGGTGGCATTGCAGGACATGGACAACCCCAGCCCGAAAACTCCTCATCCATCCACGGCGACTCATAAGCCTCGACAAAAAGAGGACGGATGTCCTCTCCGTCTGCAAACATGGCGCCTATTTGCTTCAGCACCGATGCCTTCTTCCCCTCCGCATCTTGGGCCGTCCATTTCCTCCCGAACTTTCCGCCGATGAAGCACGTCATACACGCATCATCGCCCAAACTGGTGTCCCGGAAGACCGATACAGGACCAACGAATGATTGACCCAGGCCGCACAGGTGTCTCTCCGCCCAGAACGGCTTGGTGAATCTGATGATATACTTGGTATAGAATCCATAGCGAGTGTGATTGGCAGCTGCACTTTTTGCGGCAGGTAAGGATGGTGAGAACCTTATGGTCTTATACACTGGTGTCGGAATCGAGAGAATGACTTTCCGAGCACGATACACTTGTGGCGAGCGTCCTCGTGTTGAGATCAAGACGGTGTTGTCCTGCTCTTGATCTATCGCTCCGACGGGGCTGTCCAGCTTGATCGACCCAGGCTTCAGTCTTTGTGCCATTCCTTCCGCGAAGGCTGAAGTGCCTTCTCGAATGCGGAGATATTGGCCACCATCCTTGCAATCGGATCGCATGGTCATCAACCCGCCGCCAGCGGCACAATCTACACAATATTTCGTCAGTCTCTGGATGACACGCACGGCCTGGAACCTGCATACATTCGAGGAAGTATAAAGCTGAAACCTCGGCCGGGTCGACGCCCAACATGGCGTGAGTCCAGACCTGTGCCGTCGCGAACGCCTTCTCCGTCACCTTTGCTTGCCGCAGGAACGTCTCAAAAGAAACGGAGTCAAGCTGCTCTCGATGAGGTCCTGCCGAGAAGATTGACGGTGTCTGCGTGGTGGAGATGTGTTCGACCAAATCTCGGATTGATATGCATGACTCTGTGTCACTGTCGGACGGATACTGCTCAGAGGCTCAGGGTCAACCATCTTACGCCCAAGCACCGATAACCTAGCCAAAATCGGCGGTCAAGGGGTCTCAAACCTTTGGTACATCGCTGGAAACTCGATTAGCTCTGTAGCAACACGATCGTGCTGGGGACAAACAGATCTCCGAGGGAAGGGCAGCTCACCCGTACGGAAACTTGACGAGCGTCCCGTCAAAATCCTGGACAACGACGTTGCCACTGGTGTTTTGGACATAAGTATGCAGCCCAAGGTCATTCGCCAGTTCCCACATGCGACTTTGATTGCTGTCGTTGATCCACGCAGCCCCCAGATCGGACTTGACGGCCCCTTCGCTGGAGCGCAGAGTCAGTGTCTTCCCACCCACTCGATCCCTCGCCTCGAGGACCAAGTAATTGAGGTTCTCATGATGGACGGTAAGCGCCGCTTGCAGGCCAGAAAGACCCGCTCCAACGATCACCACATCATATATCTGGTCAGACATGCTGTATATCTGACTTTCCTCGACTCGATGTTCAGATTGGCGACGCACCAGCATCGATTGCTGTGAACCTTACATATATATATAAACATTCTCAAGTGGACGCCATCCTCGCTTGTTAGGCCGAGAACAGCAGGCGAGATTGGTGGAGACAGCGCCCTTCTCCGTCTTGACTTTCTTTGGCCGTCGAAGCTTCTATGTCTGCCACTATGATGCACGTCGATATCGTATCGCACAAAGCACACGACTCGGCCTCTCAATCATACAATAGAGTCGAAATTTGTGCTGGGTCATTGCTTGTTATTCAAGTCATGTCTTCAGGATGGCTCTGTGTCTCTCTACACTGGGCCTGTGGGAGAGCACACAGCGTCCCGAAGTCGTGATATCACCCCACCCTACCAATGATTCAAATCATGCCGTGCATACTACAGACAATGTGGTCTTTGGTCGGGCCTGCCTTTCTGCAGGAGCATCAGGGTCCCAAGCTGCTGAGCAGGGATGCAAGACCTTCACGTGTCGTCAATAAATATGTGGTGGGCAGCAAATTGCTTATCCAGGGCTCCTTGAAGCCGTGCGACGCTGAAGAATGGGATGGATTTCCCGAAAGACAATCTGAATGGGATGAATGGGGAGGTATTGGTCAGGCGACCTTACTTGCACTTTGAATGGGGGCGTCTGTCGTTTGCAGTCTGCCATTCATCCTCGGCATTCACTGCTCGAGACACTATTGAATGGTTCTGCCGGTCCCTATTGTGAAGAGTGAAATGTGCGCGCGCGATGGATCAAGGCAGCATTCACAATGAATACAGCCCTTACCAAAGTTTTCACCTCTTCGCGTTTGCTCTTCTCTCCATCTCTTTCCCTCTCGACAGTATCGAATCTCGAGACAACCTGCCTTCCTTCTCTCATCTCATCTCTTTAGCTTCAGATTCAGATAGCCTCAGCGCCATTCGAAAGCTTGATGCTCTTTCAGCCACTGATTCTCTGTTCGATATCCTCCTCCTGATCAGACTTTGAAATCTCACAACAGCAAACATGAAGATCGCAAGAACCATCATCCAGCCCATCCGGTCTTTGACTGCTGTCCCCTTCACAGGAATTCAACCCAGTCTGCGCAGGCAGATCAAGGAACTCAACCGCAGTCGCTGTCACTTTACGCGCGTCAAGCCGATCGAACCAATCTCCAACACCCGGCCCCTCTCGCCATCTCGAACATTGCGAAAGCGCCGACACTTGACGCCCGAACGCTTCGAGAAACAATATGAGAGGCTCGACCATCTCGTGCCTCTAGACAACCACCACTCCAGGTTCCTGAGCGACCTGGCCGAGCCAGGTCTCTTCCTGGAGAAGGACTTCGATGCCGTCCAGGAGGACGAAGAAGCACAACGCCGACCCACCGAGGTCGTGTGTCTGGAGATGGAGGACACTGACGTTGTGATGACCGACTATGAAGAGATGGAGGACGTAGAGATGAGAGATGCGTTGTATCCGCCGCATTTGGTCTACTGGTGGGCATCCTTCCCATACATGTCGTTCTTTGATGTTAACAGTGTCCAGGCAAGGCGAATATCCGCCACCAGAGTTCTTCTTTCCTTTTCCCCCTCCCTACGCTGGAATCGACATCCTCCAGCAAGAGATTAAGATAGAAGAAGTCTGTTCGACTGTCGCGTGCGACCAGGTGGCTCAGGAGTCACCTGTGAAGCCATCGCACGTCGAACCAGAGCTATTGACCAAGGATCCGGTGGTTGAGTATTTCGAGAACCTGGAATACAATATTGCACGCGGAATCTTGCCACCAAACATCGCCGCAGAGGCAACGAGCCCTGAAAATCCTCCAGCAGAAAAGCTGGGAGACGAGAAGGTCGGTGTCGAGCAGGTCTCGCCCGAGAAGGACTCAATCCCAGAGGGAAAAGAGCGAGAGCCAGAGCCAGAGGCTGCCAAAGTTTGGGATCCGGTCGAGTCACCGGTTAGGAGACAGACTGTGTCATTTGAACATGTCCCAAGACAGTACCATGGCCTGGTGGAGGAGGCAATTGATTTCTCGGTTGACCAGATGAAACCACCGCCAGAGTGGTGGAAGTCAACTACGCTCAAAGGAAGCGACGGAGACAAAGAGCATGGCAAATGCGTAATTCGCAGTTTCGAGCAGTATGCAGCTTGGCCGCCTCACCTCCAGGTACAGCCACAATTCCACTGTCCCGATCAACAAAACCCAAAAGGGGAGTTCAACACACCAGCAAGCTGCCGGTTAGGCCTGAAACGCAACAGAGAGGAACGAAAGCGTTTCTCTGAGATCCGAAAGAACCACCCCGAAGTTTGGGAGGCAATCATCGGCACGATGCTTCAAGAGGGTGTGAGCATTGACAGCATGCTCCTGTGCCACGAAGCGCAAGATGAGAAAGGCAACACCGTTGACCTTCGACCACAAGTGCTCGACGACCAAAAATGGTGCGTGGACGAATGGCGATTCGACAATCTGAGCTGGCACACAATGCAAGACGCTGCACTGCCCCTTGACTGCTCTCAAGAGTTCCACAAAGCGCCCAAAGGTGATGAGCGAGTGTTTCAGGAGACGATTGCATATCTGAAAGGCCATCCTGAGATCTGCTACGTCTTCCGCATTCTCGTCTCGGAATGGCTCAAGGTGGAGGCGAACCAAGTGGCCTTTCGAAGGATTGCGCGCAAGGCGGGCTGGTGTCCAGCGGCCGAACACCAACTCCAGCGCGAATTCATCGAGTGGGTCTTTGCCAACGCCAGCGGAACAGCAAAGGAGATCTTTTCGCTGGTCGAAAAGCATTTCTCTAACCGATATCCGCGGTTCTTGGCTGCCGCCATCGAAGAGAAGGAGACCGCCACCTCCTAAAGGACAAGGAGGCTTCGCCCTGCATTGACAGGAGATTGCGAGGTCGTTAAGTCGTGGGAAGTTCGGTGTGGTGAGCGGGAGCGAAGATTGGGAAGACAAACTGCAGGACGGCAGGGTGGTGGAACATGACACGATGGAGATCGGGGCGGAGACTGCAGTTGACGATTGATTGCGATGCTCGGGACAAGGAAAGGAATTCGTGTCGACACAAGCCAGAGGCACCAGAAGAGTTGAAAGGCGTCGAGAGCATACGCATCCCGAAGAATGGGTCACGTCGACCAGGAGCGTGTTTGTGACAGTGTGATGAGGCAAAGGTACGACATGTCCGAGACGGAGCTTAACTGGCACAAGCAGTAGACACTCGACTAGGCTCGAACATAATGGAGATATTTTCACCCTAGCAAACTGTTTGTCTGTCGGGAGCAACTGGCAAGGCTGTGTGTGGTGAGCAGGTCATAAAAGGGGCTGCGCCTCGAGGCTGCGGGCGCCGGCGGTGGCTTGGGTCTATCGAGGTGGAAGAAACCACCGAATGACCAGGAATCATGCACGCAAGAAAGCATTTCAACTGGACCTTCAGGCCGTCCGTCATCACAGGGAAGATGTATGTATGGAGTAATAGAGATGCAAGTCTTTACCTTTGGAATGCAGCTAACTATCTCCAAGGACCGTTGAACTGACTCGCTCGGTCTCGCTCTGCCTGTCTCCGCCTGCGCCCATCTCCATCCACCTTTACCTTTTACTTTCACCTCCACCTCGGTACCAAAGACTTACTGACCCGGGTGAATGGTCTGTTGTCCAAGCTCAAAGACATCAAAATCTCTCGTTCATACGATGAGATCCACGACTCGTATTTCCTGTCCTTTCCGCCCTTGACAATCTGCCAAGTCGTCAAGAAGATGCAGCCAGAGTCCACAAACACACACGCACAAGGGCCAGCGAGCCTACGGGGCAGTCGATGCATTGGCGCCATGCAAGCCAGTCTAACTAGACAAGCCATCCAAGCTCCCTGTTCGAGTTACACTTATGCAGGTTTTCCAAAACGTCGTGGTGGCACCTAGCCTCGGTCCCTCCGCCTGAAGAATGGCCGGCTCCTCCCTTGCCCGATTTGCCCATTGCAGACGAGCAAAGGAGAAATACAATCCATCACACTGCTGAGCGGTACCGATCGAACACTCCATTTGCCTGTAGCTCTAGCTCCAACCATGTCCCTCCCATCGCTGCCGGGCGCATCCCTCCAGACAATGCTTTACATCTTCTTTCCCGTTCTCGAGCGGTCCCGCAGAGCTGTCGGCCAACCCATGGGCTAAAACTTGTTACGCGAGGAGTTCTCAACTCCTCCAAGGGGATCCAGATGTTGCAAACTCAAAACATCTCATCATCGTAATGGCCCATGCGGGGTTAGATGAAAGGTCACCAATGCGGGCAGTCTATCAGTTTGCTGTTTGCTAAGGCGATCGGAAACGTCTTTCCTTCCTTTTCCTTCTGACCGTGATGGTCACCTTCTTACAAAAGAATAGCGGCAGCTGAGCTCTAGTTTGAGCGGTCCAGGGGTCTCTCGTTCTTCGCCTATTCGGCACATCTTCTCCTCCCAGGGATCCGGCATAAAGATCGATCCTTCGTCCACCTCCCTCGGTGCTTCGACTGATCTTTGTGCAACACTCCAATTTTGACATGTGGTTATAGGATCCTGACTTGATTCTGGGACCTATTCTCGAAATGGGCAGAGAAAACGTCGAGTTCAAGACCTCGGATCGGGTCACATTGAGAGGATGGTTCTACACCAGCGACTCGGCTGCCGGGAAAGCACCATGCCTCGTCATGTCCCACGGCTTCACGGCCCTCAAGGAAATGGACCTGGACGCTTTCGCTGAACACTTTGTGTCCAAACTGCCCATCACCTGCCTCGTCTACGACAATCGCGGCTTTGGTGACAGCGATACGGCCGAAGGGGAGCCGAGGAGTGAGATCATCCCCATGACTCAATGTAGCGACATCTCCGACGCCATTACCTATGCTTCGACAAGGCCTGAAGTTGACCCGGACAAGATTGGAATCTGGGGTTCGTCATACAGTGGCGGCCACGTGCTATACGTCGGGGCTGTGGATCGAAGAGTCAAAGCCGTGCTCAGCCAGGTCCCTTGCGTCAGTGGATGGGACAACTTCAGTCGTCTTGTGCGTCCAGATTTTGCGGTCGGATTTAATGCGACCTTTGCTGCAGGTCTGTCATTTGGGGTCTTGACATATGTCGATCAGCCGATATTCTGACACCCTCGCAGATAGAATTGCACGAGCTGAAGGAAAGGAGCCTGGAATGGTTCCTGTAGTGGATGCTGATCCTCTGAAGCCATCTGCACTGCCAACACCAGACAGCTACGAATTCTTTACCGCTTGGGAGAAGAAGTCTCAGTGGAAGAATACCTGCACTGTCAAGACGTGAGTCTAGAACCTGCCACCTGCTCTTCTTGCCGCCTTCCGTTACTCACTCTCCCCCTAGAGTCGAGCTCTTCCGCGCTTATGAGCCGCAGCAACTCATTGACAAGATCTCGCCGACGCCGCTCCTAATGACGGTTGCCAGAGGGGACGTGCTTACACCAGCAGACCTTGCACTCGGGGCATTTGCACGCGCAAAAGAGCCCAAACAACTGCAACTGTTACCTTGTGGACACTTTGAAGCGTATTCCGGACCATATTTCGAAAGGAATGCTGGAACTCAGACCGAATTCTTGAAGAAGTGGCTGGTCGAGGGTGGTTGAATGAGGATTGTCTGGACCCCGAAGCGGGATTCGGCTCGGGAACGTCGAACATATGGAACATTGTGTTCTGTGATGCTGCCCGGTCTTTTGGACTCTCCTTTGCCGGTTCGATTGGATAGATTCTGGGACTTGGATGATGAGAGACGGTCGCACCGAACTGGACATGTTCGAGTCGTACTAATTTCCATGTCTGACGATAACCATATCCGCCGTATTGGGGTTGAAATGTGAGGTGTAACGCTGTAAAATGTCTTGTCAGACGGACCATTTTCGTAGCAATAAACCTGGAACCTCAGCTCGTATCACCTCATCACATCTCACCACCCAGAATTTCATTCCCAGCTTTGAACATTGTCCAGTCGCTCGTTGCTGTTCAATTACGCGATCTCCCTGGATTCGCCCGTGTGGTCACGACTGTCTGAGCTCCGTCTGCAAAGCGTACGATTATTCAGTGCTTGAAGCCAGCTTGAAAACCCCCTGTCACAAGAGAGAAATTTCCTTGCTCTACCTATTCGTCTTCCAGGCCAGCCAGAGTGGCATACGCGAACTCGACTGTCCAAACTCTAATCAGAAATGTCGAGGGTTCCATGGATGGCGCGTTGAAGACGATCGAAAGGGCTCATCTGCTATCATCGACAAGACGACGGAGTTACTGAGGCCAAATTTACAAATTCGTCACCTGAGAACAAACACGGTAGACACATACAGTACATGAAGGACGAAGGATCCCATCCGCGTCAGTAAGACGAATACACATCTCAAACCCTCACAGTTCGGGCCCGAGAGCTAAACCCACCATTTGAGCGAGGACACCTCTCCCAGACATCTTGAAGAAGAAGGGAGGACGAGCCGGCATAAAAAGAGTCCACGCATGTTCCGACCAGTTTCTTTCCTCCGCAAGAGGTTGGATGCCAGGCTGGTCGGCACATGCTTCAAGGCTCGATCCCTCTGGACGGGTGAGGATGCAACAACAGCCTCCCAGAAGCGTCTTCTCCTGTTCGATATCGCGAGCAATCAATCGCCCTTTTCCATCCACCGGGTTCATTCGTCCAACTCGTTCCTACGCGCCCAAAACTCTTTCTCCCCAAACACGATCCGCTCACGGCTGGCCCTGCACTACAAGGGGCTCCCGTACACCGAATCCTGGATCTCGTATCCGGACATCGAGCCATTGTGGCAGGAATTGAAGATCCCGCCACGAAAGGATGTCTTGGAAAGTCAACGGCGGACCTCGCCGACTTGCACGTTACCCATCCTCCTTCTCGACGCCGAAGACTTTGGTCCAGACACCTTGAAAGGACTACATGATGCAAAAGTCCCCGGGGTCCACGAAACGGTGCAGACGAGGTACGGCATATTCACGCCGGTGGTCTCGTCGCTGAGCATCGCCATGGCGCTCGAAGTGCTCTTCCGCGACCCTGAGAGATATCCTCCCTTATTCCCTGACCAACAGTCCCTGGAACAGACGCGACAAGTCCAGGGCATCATCACTCGCATCCTCCCCGCGACACGCCGGCTGATAATCCCTTCCGTGCCGGACATTCTCGACGACAGAGGGAAAGAGTACTTTATCCGAACACGCAGCGAATGGTTTGAGGTGATGTCGCTCGAAGAGCTCCGACCCAAGACCCAAGAAGAAACAGATCGGCTGTGGGCCAACATTGAGACAGAACTCGACCCCATCTTGCGCGCACTGCAGGACTTGCCCCAGGTGAAAGGTCCCAAGCTGCACGACGCCCTGGACTGGAATTCCGACGCGAGCGTTGCCCACGGGCCCACCGACCGCGTGCGCTACCTCTCCGGCACGTCCTCTCCGACCTACGCCGACTTCATCCTCATGGCCTTTCTGGCCTGGATCGCCCGCGTCGACATGGACGTCTGGGCGCGCCTGACCCTACACTTCGGCCACGGCGTGCTCGAGGATCTTTGGATGGGCTGTCTCCCCTACCTCCGCAGTGGCGGCTACGTGGGCACGCTGGAGTGGTTCCGGCCCGTGGGGAGACAGCAACTCGGCCATCGTTGAGGTTTTGGGCCTGGGTCGGACGAGTTCTCGTGGAAGTGATTTGTTATTCGACGACGAGGAGAGGGAGCAGAGGCGGTACTGTCTGTCCCCTTTGATGGAGATCTGGTTTCTGGATACAAACAGGAAAAGGAAAAGGGGGTGCGGTAAAGGGAACCGAATCATTTAAGGCTACTAGTTATCATTCATCAGTCCTCTAGAGAAGAGAAGAGGAAGATGTATTTTACCTAGATATACAAGTACTGTCTGTGACATACCTTTAGAAGACGGGTGTGATTCGCCAACCAGCGACACGATACAGCATTCATCTTTTGTATCATTTCAATTTCAATTTCAATTTACTTCACATACACCTTACCACTCTTCGCCGTATCATGATCGTTGCGCTCGGTCGCTCACTCGCTCGCTCCCTCTCTGTATCTCTCTTCTTTCTTCCCTTCCTCTTTTCCCTCTTTCTTCTTTTACCTCCCCTAACCTCCCTCAGCACACTCTATCGGACCACTCTGCCTTCTCCTCCCCTACCGCCGTCCTCCTGTGTAGCCATTGCGAGGCTATCTCCCTCCGTGTCCAACACCATCGCCAACACCATGACCATCGCCACCGCTAATACCAACCGCAAGTCAAATTGACAGGCACAGGCACAGGCACAGACACAAACACAGTCGAGTTCGTGTTCGATACCAAAAAGGGGCCTTGTCAACCCATGAGCGCAACGAGGACGCTAGACACAGTTCCTCCCGACATGTGCGATGCATGATGATGTTGAACAATTGCTGGACCGACCGCCGTGCACATCTACCTCCCGATCCACGTTGTCCCCTTCAGGTGTGGGTCATGATGTGCATAGCGTCGTCTTCAACGTCGACATCGACATTTCATGCATGTTGCTGTTGCTGTTTCTGTTGCTGTTACCGCTACCGCTACGCACGGGGTTGACCGTGCTATCATTCATCCCTCATCACCTATCACGCACGACATGGAATGGAACGGAGCGGGCACCATCTTCATCAACGACACCAGGAGGACAAGACAAGGGACGACGCGCAAGACAGACAAAGTCGTTGTGTCAACACAACATCATTAGCATTGGAGGTTCTGTATCTCCCCCCCTTGCTCTTCCTCTTTTGTTTCCTATTCTACAGGAAGGGAGCCTCATGGCCCCAGGCCCCTGGCTCCTAGGAGCCGACCAACGCCAACACTAAAAACTAAGCCAAACCAATATACACGCAAAACAAAGCCCGATCCTCGTCGGGGAGGGGTATCATCGTCATCAGCTCATCATGTCATAAACGTCGTGAAGAAAACAAGGCAAAGGCAAAAGACAAAAACAAAACCGATTTACAAACTGCTCTTCAAGAGCGATCCGTTCACAAGCTCCGCCACAATCCTCCTTCTCTGCAGCGGGATCATATCGGCGCTGTACGACATGGGCGTAAGCCCCAACATGATCTGCCGCGCGCTCGTGATTGTAAACACTCCACAATCATCCATGTTGGTCTGTTGTGGAGACTCTCCTGCCTCCAGCAAGGTCCATTCGGATTCCTTGTATGCAGTTCCCAATTCCGCAGCGACCCATGACTTCACAACATTAATGTATCGTCTCCCATTGCCTCTCAGGCTGTTGTAGTGTGCGATTGTGCGGTTCTTTCCTGACACCACACAAAGCGTCCAATGGCTGCCGCTGTTGACAGGGATGAAGACGGCTTCTGTTTCAAGTAGGTTCTTGCCCCCGATCTTTGCTCGAGAAGCCCAGCGTTTGACGCTATCATACCCGCGGCTTTCGAGGTTGTTGAAGAAAAAGGACACAAAGGCGTGGTGCGTGGGAACTTGTGTGGGACGGTCGTTCTGTCTGCCGTGGGCGACCACCAGCTTGAGGTACCCATTGATAACCTCATCGTTGAGCCATTGATCGGTGCCGCCGCTGGACTGTGCATTGAGAGGGACAACGCGGGTAAGATCTCTGGGTTTAAAAGTGCCGTGCCCGTGGCGAAGCGCGGTCTGGATTTTCTGTTCCCATTCTTCTGTGAGTGGGACAATTTCGTAATGGGTCTTCTCTTCAAGGATCGCAAGTCTCTTGGACTCTGCGCGCGTGACTCTCTGGGTCTTTTCGGAGGAATGTGGTGTGGCTTTGGGGGTCGGATGGTCTGGTGTATATAGATCATCTAGCCTGAGTTCTGCAAATTGCTTTTCGGGAGTGTGGAGGGAAGATGCTGCTGAGGAGCTGGATTCACTGCCATCTTTGTCATCAGTCAGGTCGACTGGACTTGCAGCTTTTATCTTTTGTGGAGTGACATGCATGGGTGTCTTTGGTAATTCATTATTGGAAGTTTGATTCTCCTGTGTTTCGATGTGTTGTTCCACGTCTTTTGTGGCATTGTTGAGTTGGGGATGATGGTCTTGGTTGGCCAGGCCAAGAATATCTTCCGTATTCTCGTTCGCCACTTTTACTGTGGTAGGGATCAGGTTATTGTTTGCCTCGCTTTCGGTTTCTGGCGTGGCAGGTTCGTCGAGATTCGACGTTCCGTTGGTGGGTTCTCCTGATGGCGCGATTGCGGTCGACATTGATGTCTCTCGAGGAGCCTCGCTCTCAGCGAGGGCGTTTGAAGCCGGGACTGGGGATCCGCCTCCTGACATGATCATTCTGAAAACATGAGCATCCAGTTCTGGGTTTGGGGGTGGTGTACCATCGAAGAAAGAAGAAATCTCGCTCTTAACGGGAGATCTTGGTGCGTCGATGTGATAGTTTCCTGGTGAGCAATCGCACATGGATGAGATATCTGACAACGGAGTCTTTGGACTTTTGAGGAGAACCTCTTTTCGTAGGTCCGATCTGGGTGAGTTGAATCGTCGTAGTCTTAGACGTGGTGGTGTCAACAAAGTCTTGTCGGTAGGAGTTGGGGGTTTGGGAGTTTCTGATGATGGTGCGTCTTGGACAACAATGGCAATTTTGGGCGTCTGTGGTGATTCCACGCTCGGACCTTGGGTCTGGACTCTCTTCGACGAAGCAGGGGTCTCGTCGTTCTCGGTCAAACGGGAGCCTTGTGTGAGGATGCGTCTCTTTCTAGATCGCTGGATGGAGGATATAACACTGCTTGACTCTGTGTCGCTCTCAATGACCGCTTGCAATCCTTGTTGCAACTGTGCGCTCGGTGTAGCGGAGTCGGTGGAGGTGATGGTTACTGCAGGCGAAGGGGGTGAGGCAGGAATTGGTTTCAGTTGCGGATATGGAGACTCTAGCTTTGCGCATTCGAGCAAAGGCTTCTCAAACTTTTCGTCTGGAGTTGGGAGATGAGCTGGTTTAGGTTCTCGAGGAGGTGTAAATCGAGGCATTTGGGGAAAGACCTGATCGACGACACGTGGGCGCCGAATCGGACCTCGGGGAGTAGCATTTTGGCTCCGTCGGTTCAAGACGTATTGTGGTCTGAACTCTGGGATTTCGTACAACACACCATCTGTGTATTTATGTTGTTCTTCTGTAGTCGGAATGGGTTTGGGGAGTCGCTGAGGCGGGATTGTGGGCGTTTGTGGAGGGGGTCGTGCTATTTGTTGAGCTGCGACCAGTTCTTTGGCAACAGCTCGATTCCATGGTGATTGTGAAATTGGTGGAGGAAGAGATCTTGGTGCAGCTTGTCGCTTTTGCTGGGTAGGTCTCTGCTCATGGCGACGGCGCTGGAATCGTCGGACAATGTAGACAGTAGGGACAGTGACCGCAGTGGTTGTGGCATCGATTGTACGTCTGCTGAGTTGTGCAGCGGCGTGGAAGCCGAGTCCAGCCAAACCTCCAAGGCCTGTACATATTCTCTTTGCGGCAGGGATGATGTGGTCGAGGGGAGAAGGTCTGCGAGGGGGCATGAAGACGCCGGTGGTAGGAGGGGGAGGGGTCGGAGGGTCGACAGGCCAACCACCAGGCACATATCTGTCTTGGTACGGATTGTGCGCAGGAGGAGGCGTTTGAGGATGCCAATCCATGAAAGATGAGGTGTCAGCCATGGCTGTGGATTTTGGAAAGGTGAGGGATGCTTGAGGATGCCACGATGCGGGATGTAGACTGAGAGTGTCGAGCACTGGATGAGATTCAGGATGAAGATGAGACTGAGCAAGAAAGGTACAAAGATCGGGAGCGAGTTATCTGACAGCATAGGAGTGTGAGAAGGGGTGAGTCGCGCTGAGTCAGAGAGTCGCAAGAGTAAACACAAAGTCACTTGGGTCAAGGGAAACAGTGAATTGTCTTTATTGTATGATGGATTGAAAGATGCAGGACAATCATCGCAGAGAGAGACGCGATTCTCCAAAATGCCAAATGCGGCACTACAGCGATTGGCCACTTTGATTTTCTGCCGCCCCGCCGCATCCAGGACAATGGATTTCATATCCGATACCGCCTTTGTTCACGAAGCTAAATACCGTACATGCAGGATCGAAAGGGTCAGCCCCATTATCACATGGAGGTTGTACCTAGGTACTGATAGGACAAGTGGTTGGTACTACTACTACACGTAAACAAATAATCACCCGAACACAACTGTTGACACTCGTAACATTGTATCATTGATGTGTACAGAGTACGGTTGCCTTATGATGGACTCCACATCCGCGATCACATTCCTGCGAACCAAAACACTTTTCGATTCCATGTTTCTCCCTTGAGTCAAAGTACGCTCAGTCCGAGATACTTGAAAAGGACCGGGACTCCCTCAACGGCCAGCCAAGCGATCCCCGAGTACACGATAAGTTTGGTCACCACTTCCACATCATACCTGACTCGAGGTTTCTGTATGGTCAAGAATATCTGTCGTTCCTGCAATTCATCCATTGCCTGATCTTCCTCCGGAGTGCGCATTTTGCCATCTGCGGGCGCAATCACAGGAATTGGCGACAGCCCTTCCATGCCTGTGCCCATCTGTGCGCGGAACATCTCCAAGCTGCTAGATCTTTTCCTTCCCGAGACAGTCTCATTGCCCTGGAAGTATCCAGGGTCAGGAGAGGGCGAGGATGAAGGCGAGCCTTCCAGTGCTGGTGTCAGTGCCTCCAGAGCATTTTTGCTATCCCTCCTCCTCTTTTCACGGTACGCCAGTGTTTCGTACGCATCTGCTTCGGACTGAGGCCCGACCGAGATGGCTCTTCTGCGTCGAAAGGATGACAACAGATGGGGAATATCCCGCGCGGGCGGAATGATGTCGTCGTCATTGGGCTGCCGTGGAATGGTCTCGTACTCCGAGGCCGGTTTGAAAAATCGTCGTGGTAAAGTGAGTCCCAGCTGTTCAATCACACGGAATATTGGTGGAAGTATCCTTAAAAGGGTCGGCTTCATGATGCCCCTCCATGCAAAAATCACAAGCACTCCAAGCAAAATGCGGGCTAATGTCATAACCCAGCCCATCTTTTCGAGATCAAATGGGATAGTGCCTCTAGTGGGGTTTGACCAGGCATAGGAGGTGCGAGCAAAGTGCCAAACACCGTACTCACAGCCAATCATGACACCAGCAAATGAAACGCTGTCATCGAAACAAGGACAGTCATCTGCGGGTTCGGGGTGGATGCGAACCAGGACCAAAATGATCAAAACGACAAGCACGACTCGTTTCAAGTCGCCGCCGTGGAGCCAGTCATCAAAGGCCTCGCCATAGAGGCATTGAACAAGAGCTATCAGAGCACCGAGAATGCTTCCCCAAATGACGTCAAAGAAGCCATGCATTCCACAGTATAGCCGACCAAGCACAATAGAAACAGCGTAGAAGTAAGCCAGAATCTGGAGCCCGAGTTTGAGGTTCGTATCCAGGTCGTTCGTCTCTTGCCGTAGGAGGTAAAGTGAGTAAACAGCAACCGAGACTGCGTTGGTTGAGTGCGTGGAAGGGAAACCGTACTCGAGTGCAGCAGACCCAGACATGGTGATTCGAGTCAGTGGCGGAGAAAGTGGTCGGGGTAGGCAGAGGAGATCTTTCAGAAACCCGCTGAAGAAAACTCCCGACGCCAGGACGTGGACCATCCTACTGCACGTCAGAATGAGCCCGCCATTGATTGGCACTTTGCATACCCTCGTCCCAGATTTGTGTTCCCACACCAGAATAAAATAGGCAACATGACCATGAAGAATGTGTGTGTTCCCAGGTTTGCCGACGTTGCAAAGTATGTATCAAAGGCGGGGGTTCGTAGGGTGTCTTGTAGCCAGGCGACGTAGGGAGTCTCCCAGCGCACGACAGGGAGGAGTTGTTCTCTGAATAGGTAGCGCCATCGTGGCAGTCTGATCTTGTCTGAAGCAAAGTCAGAATGATTTCGCAGAGGTATTACCAGTTGTTCGCTACATACAGTGATCGAGCGACCTCAACCCGGCATCTGGCCTATCTTTCTCCTTGTTCATTTCTGCAACGGGCGATAGCGGGCAAAGCTCCCTTCCATCGGATCCAGGTCTGGCCGAGGAAAGAAGTACGTTCCTGAGGCTGATGCATTAACATCGACCGTGGAAGGCAAGGGAAGGCATCGAGATTGTCGGCGAAGAACGCGGGAGGTAGCTGTCGAAGTGCTGTCGTGGTCGCGAGTTGTGCGGTGATTCAATTGAGTTGGAGATTGTGTGGGCTATCTCATTCGTCCGCTCGGCTGCCTGCAAAACTGGTGCAGCTGAGTTCTCCTCAACAACAGAACGACCCAGAGGGCATTGACGAACTGTTTTTCGACATGGTTCTTGTGCATGCAGGAACCATGTCGATAAGCGATAATGTCGCAATTGACGCAGGCCTAGCAGCTGAAAATAGGGTCGGGTCTGCACGAAACCTGCGTTTCACATGCAGTTTGGGCAGTGGTTACTTGGGCAACCACAACGGACAACAAAGAGTCCACTGCAGTCATCCCACGATGAGACGGCTATTATTGACTCGGAAATCTCAACAGAAACCTGCTTGAACCACATGTTCAGATCCCTCAGGCATTAACACCACATATAATACTGCCGCTCCCGTCCAAACGGTCGGGCTCTCCACGTTAACTTTCCATTTCACAACAGAGAGCCCACCCTCCAACTTCACTCACCATGGCAGAAACCGACCACTATCCTTTGCGATCGTCCACCGTCCTGTCCGAAAAGGGTCCATCTTCCTACATCACTCCCTCCTCACCAAAGAAAAGACCCGTCCGAGCACCCAGTACGAGAACAAGTAACGGCACAGTCAGCACAAACATGAGTTATGGCAGTGTGGGACGATTGTCAGAAGCCACAAATATCACCCAACCACCTGCGCACTCCAAGAAGTTCGTTGTGGTCGGGGATGGAGGTTGTGGAAAGACGTGTCTCCTCATCAGTTATGCACAGGGCTATTTTCCGGAGGTATGCAGGATAAGAGAGGGGAATGAACAGCAAATAGCTGACGATGGCCAGAAATACGTGCCGACCGTGTTTGAAAATTACATCACGCAGACCATCCACAAACCTACAGGCAAGACCGTCGAGCTCGCACTCTGGGATACAGCGGGACAAGAAGAGTACGACCGGCTCCGACCACTGTCATACCCGGAAACAGACCTGCTGTTTGTGTGCTTTGCTATTGACTGCCCCAACTCACTAGAAAATGTCATGGACAAGGTAAGGCATCCTCGCCTGCTGGATCACACTTGATACTGACTGGCCATCACAGTGGTATCCTGAAGTTCTACATTTCTGCCCAACAACGCCCCTGATCCTCGTGGGTCTCAAATCAGACCTCCGTAACAAACGAACCTGCATCGAACTCCTGCGGACTCAAGGCCTCACCCCTGTCACACCAGAACAAGGAGCCGCAGTAGCTCAACGAATGGGGGCTAGGTATATTGAGTGCAGCGCCAAGGAGAACAAGGGCATCCAAGAGGTATTCGACTTGGCCATCAACACTGCCATCCAGGTTGAAGAGGAGAGCTTCGAAGCAAAGCCAAACAACAAAGGGGTCAAGGTCAAGAAGGCGAAGAAGAGGAAATGTGCATTCCTGTGATCCTGTGGATCAGGAATTGACTCTTTGAGGAGATCACACCTTTCCATTCTCAGGGTACAAAACTTTGATCTTGTATGATTGACCGTTTGGGCTTAACATCGCCCGCTGATGTCTGATGGTACGCATATGGGATGGCGTTGGATGCAATCAGATTGCATGACGAGGCGCTGTAATGAGACTGCTGGTTTTAGAAGGGGTATCGCTGTGCGAGCAAGCCTCGACTCGAGCTTGAAGCTCTGTGGCTCGCTTTGATGTGATTGCCGCATGAGCAGCGCATTGAATAGCTGCTCCGAGAATGAATACATGCTCTGTGGAACATGCTCTGCTTCCGATGCCCTCGTCGTGAGTCGTTTTGGTATCGTCATTGTCTTTCCGACCCTTCTTTCAGCGTAGTTGACAATCCAAGCCACGGTCCAAGAAACCTCCCCAACGCACAAAGCTCGTGACTAAAGACACAGCTTGAGATGTCACCGCAACCTACACGGGTAGGTAGGAACACGCAGACAACGGACGACATTTCATCCGCCACGCGTGTCTTCTGCGTTACCGGCTGACATCGAATGCACGGCCTCGGCCGCGTTATCGTTTGCGTCTGCATTCGAGTCGGCGGCCTCGTCGCCCGCTGTTCTGCCCATGACGGTCTCGAATTGACTCCACAGCGCTTCGACGCTCGAGAATTCGTTCCCGATCTGTTCGCGATCCATCGAGTTAGTCGGTCAGTCAGTCAATAAACCGTCGGACTGAGGGCCTCGCTGCAAGGAGAAAGGTGTATAGAAAGGAAAGGCGGGTAGGGTTAGGAGCTGGGAGCTGGGCAGCAGGTCGACCTGCCATGCTTACTTACTTCAATGATTCCCTCGAGGCTGCGATTCAAAGCGTTGATCTGTGCGAGAACTTGTTCTAGCGACTAAAAGCCTTGCACACACCGCCAGGGAGGGCGAAGCAGCGACGTCAGCTCGCTGTTGCTCCAAGATATGTCTGGGCTTTGAGGAACTTGAAGAGTAGAGGAAAGAGGTTGTCAATTGCCATGAAGGAATGGAAGAATCAGAGGGACGGGCAGTGCGATCTCTGGGTCTCGCCTCTTGACATCGCAACCTCGCACCATCACTCCGTTGCTGGCAGACACCTTCACGGGTTTTCGAACATAGACACAGGACTCGGCATCAGTATTAGAATCAAACCCACCTCGCCAATCTCGCCCACCAGCGCAGCACGTCGCATCTGAAATTCACTTGGCTGATGATGGGCCTGGGACTCGTCCATTGAAGAGCGCACGTTGCTGTTATTCGATGTCGCCATTTCTGGGAGTTTTGCCTTTCTCTATATCAGTCGCATGCGAGATCAGGTCGATTTTCCTTGTTCTGGTGGTCTGGAGAGCTGCGGATTCTTGTGTCGGTTCGAGAGGGAATACAGGGAAACGAGTATGTATCTGATGAACAGTGTCGCCTTCTAATTTGCAGAGTTCTTTGACCAGTATTCAGAGACTTCGAAAGAGAGCGTCGAGCATTGGAGTATCAAACAAACAACCCAGTCCAAGACGCGTCCTGGCCTGGCTTTTTCACATGCAACCCAACCTGCGCCCGCCATTCCAATTCAGGATCCGTGTCCACCTCCCTCCCCCACCTATTACACCAAAAACCACTAAAAATTGAAATCCTCACACAATCATCACCTTACAACAACGCATATATACCAAGATCCCAATTAAAAAAAGAATTCATGGAAATGAGAGGAGTGGGATTCGAACCCACGAGGTTTCCCACTGCGGTTTGGATATAATAGGGACCTAAACACAGCGCCTTAAACCACTATATCACACCTGTTAGTCAACTCCGGATCACTGAAGAAAAGAAAGATAGGGGAAATATTTACCTCGGCCATCCTCCCGGCATAAATTGGGGAGTTTTTGGGTATGTGTAACTGATATCTCTTCAAAGAATGAAGCCCGGAGTTGGTGGCGGTTTGATTGCTTCTGGGGGGCTTGTGGGGATGCACACGTGGGCCGGGGGAGCGTTAGATCGTGGCTGGTTCTAGGCATGGAGGCATGCTGTTAGGCTTCGACTTGTAAGGATGATGCCTGTACGAGTGACTAAACAACCCTCCCTGGCGGGCCACAACCCCAATTATTGCAGTTCTCGAGCTACTCGTAGGTGTTCTTAGGAACCATTTCTGTAAAAGAGATGGGAACAGGTAGCGGCAGCATTTGCTGATAGTATGTATACAAGTCTGCAACCAAAGCTCACGCTAAGATTCAATCATTTCGTTCGTTTCATTCTATTATAAAATGTATCTTTTAAAATGGATCGATGCTGATCTACATTTCCCCTCTGCTGCGGTATGACATGGACCGAGGGTGCCTGCCAGCCACGATGCATCTCTCATGCACCTCTCCAATTCAGGTAACATGGATATATGGTGGTGAGGCCAGCATGGACAAAGTAATGGGCGACATCGACGACCCCAGCGACTGGTGTTCAAGTTCATTCGACCGGATCACCAGCTTCCACCTTACTGAGGACGATCGTGAGATTCCCCGTCTTTTGCGAGAGTCTACCTGTCTCGGATCTGTCGTCCCGTCCATATACAGCAAATGGCAATCTCGATCTTCCGCACCACCGGACACCACCGCTTTCGAGAATTGATGTCTATACTTCTCCGAGGAGGGGAGTCGGTAGGAGAACTCGCTGTTGTGTTCCAGAATAATATGAATAATTGCAGGGCCCATGCTGATCTCCCCCTTTTTTTTTGCTGAGCTAGTTTCACATCAAACTCGACTTGCTTCGGGTCTAGAAGTGTCTGGTGTGGGAACGGCAACCCTTCTCGACTGGCTGAATTTCATACGCGCGGGCCGGTCCCTCGCTTCCACAAGGCAATTTTTTTTATCGCTCATCTCCTTTTTTTCCATTTGTCGCAATGGAGTGATGGTGAATGAAAATCTGTGGAACGAAATGACAGGAGCGAAGGGCGCCAGCACTCGGTGTGCATGTTCCTCCGAAATGCCTCTGCTCTGTCGCATCGAGATGAAAGAAGCCGTCAAGAAAGGACTTTTTGTGTGGTCGTCAGGAAGGTGTTCGCGGATAACTGTTGCTAAATGGTGCCGTTGATCCCATAAGGTCGTGATTGTGTATTCTCTGTTGCATAGAGAAAGTTGTACCTGATGAGAATCATCGCTTGCCTCCTGACAGTAAGCGTGAGAGCCTTTTCCTCCTCTGCTTCTCCTCGACACGGTCACCGTCGGAACTTGAGGCACTTGATGAACTGTGACTCGTCGAACTGGCCTCAGAGGATGTTCGATCTCGAACTGACATATTGGCGGCACCTATGATGTCCTCCAACCGCACATCGTCCTGAGGTGATGTTGTATGGTATTGAGGATCAAGTATCTCTGTGAATTTGGAAGGCATGATAGTGAGTGTAGCCTAGACAGGGTGAAGGAGGTGTCGCCTGGTCGCTGCGGGATGTGTGTGGTGCTCTGGGTTTCTCAGAGATCAAGAAACGAATGTTGTGAGTAAACGAAGGGACTGAACTGGCTCCCTGTGGACAGCGAGGGCAAGCAATGATATAGGACCAGAGGAAAACCCGGGTCGGCAGTGCCCTAACAGTAATGTTTCCTATCCCTTTTTGTCCACGGCACACGATCAAGTCCCCGCCTAGCATTCAGAATTTTGCCCTCGCGTCGGCAGCCCCCTGTTTGAGAGTTTTTGGGAACCCAATAGAAGGCAGAGGCTACGACGCCGCCCCCGTCATTCCCCTCCTTCTTGCGAATGCTCCCCCGGATAGACTGGATCGTACCATGTCTAGACCCCTCGCAGGACCCAGAACCGAGCGTGGAGCCTCCCCACCGGGCCTCAGTGACCAATTTTCAGGGTCTCGTGTGTGGCTGATGGTGGTCCCGAAGCCTGAGAGGCCAGCGATCAACCACATGGTGGCGGGCGTTGCAGGGTATATTCAAGGAAGGCATCTATCGAATTGGTAGGGCACATCGAGGCGTACGAGGACGGTGATCAAGCCACGTAGGACAGGATGAAGATCGCACATTCACAACGTTGGATTCGCTTCCAAGTGCCGAGTTGTCTTCCGTGCCACTGTGCACCCTCTTCATTCTTGGTTGGATGGCTGGAAGGACGGGATTTGGGGTTGGTTGGTCAGTGGCCTAAGCAATGCTGGGCAGGGCGCAGCACAATCAATAATCAATAACAAACTTGTGATGACTCGTATTTTGGGTTGACGTTTCTAGGTTGGCGTGGTTGGCCATGGTTGGGTAGAGGCAATAAGGTCGATTTGCCCATTTGGGCCCAAGTTTGCCTCCCGGACTGAAACCTTTCAACTCGTTTGTCCGAACTATGTTCAAGTCCGAAGTCTTCCGCCTTTTCGAGCCTTCTGAGAACTACCAAGGCGGCTGGAAGAACCAATTCGCTCTAAACCTAGAATGGTGACATTGCAGTGGTACGCCTGTGACTATTGTTTTCAAGCGGCGTGCAAACATTACAGTTCCAAGGGGCCAAAAGCTACAGAGGTACTGGAGAATTTTCCTGTTTGCTCGCATCAAGTTCTATGAACTCTGTTTCCTGTCTTTCTCGGAAGAGGCGACTAGAACTGCTGTCTCCTGAAGAGATTGCTGAACATGTCCTCGTGTTGCGGACAGCTAAAGCATATGGCAAGAACTCTTATCATCGGTGCCCGCAAACTGCCCCTCCAGTGACGCCTCGGGTAGACAGTCTATTTGTGGCTTGAAGGAAGCAAGCCCGCGTTCATCCTCCTGAATTGGCCCGGGTTGTTATGTATGACCAACTCCTAGTGTAAAACTTTTGACATGCAGGACATGACCGAGGGCCCTGGAGGATGGCTCTTTTGCATACACGAAGCCACTGCCTGCGGCGATTCTTTTCGGTGCCAAGGGAGAGTCATGACGGTGCTTGTCGTCTCGAGTGTGAATTCTCAGTACCAGACTAGACTGCTTTCTAGTGCTTGGTTTTGCTTGACGGGTTGCGATGTCAGCAGCTGGATGAAGGATCGCATCGATTTCCCCTTCCGCCAGCATCTCGATGGTGCTCAGCTTGTCTGACAAGAATGCATTTCGTTGCATGCCACCAGCGAGATGTGACTGTTTGAGCATGTGCTCTTCGAGCAGGAACAGTGTTGAAGTTCCATGACCGATTTTGTGGAGTCCTGGATCCGTCATGCTCCTCTGTTTCTACAGGATGTTGCCAACCTAATCCTCCATTTTGGTGTCGGGTCCTTCGCCGTTCATTTCGACTCCCTTGGCTGCAGATATCCACAGAACATTGTTGCACCTAAAAGTGGTCAGTCATGCATTGCCAGCACGCATAGAACCCTGTGGGCCATACCTTATGAGCACTTGGCCCAAAGTCCCCGTATGTTTCCTGTCAATATATTCTTCTGTGTTTGAGAGCTGAATATTCATATATGAATCGACACTGATTAGGCGACCTTTGTATTCCGTTTGACCCCATTTTAAACGGATGATAACCTCGTCGTTGATCCTGCAAAACAATCTGTCAATACGCGTAGCTAGGTGATCAAGTCGTGCCTCGATCAGGGGGAAGTGCTCGCGCACTTTGACACGAGGGTGCGAGGACGTACAAGCTCTGAAGCAGAGGCCGCGGGTTTATGGGAGTGAACTGCGAAAACATTAGCGATGTCGCAAAAGCTAGCCATAACTCATCTTACATTCATTTTTGGTCGATTCACCGAGGATGAGGTTGGGCTTGTCAAGAACGCAGAACAATCAGCTCTCAATGAGGAATTGACTACACGTGATATTGTAACTCGCGTGTTTGGATCGCAGCTTCGAATTTGGAGAGAGAATGTTCCGCCAAGAGTTTGTAAATCTGCTCGAGCCACTTCCATATTAGGCCAAGAATGACGCCGCCCTGTGCTCTCACGTGAGTCAAGGAGGGTTGGCAAAGGTGGGCGAGCTGTGGGGGCCAAAATCGCGCATCATCACGTGTTTGACCCATGTGTTTAGCATGTGATCCGGCTCTCCATTTCTCTCCGTTCATCCTTCTCCACTGATCATAGTATCCTTGTTCCCCAATGTTCGACCAACTCTTCACAGTTCCTTTAGGCGACCTACGGGTCTTCGATCCTTGTGACCAAGCGACAGGGTCTTTGTTGAAAGGCATGGAGAAGCTGCGCTCAAGGAGTGTTCGAGTCATCCGTCAGGGATAAAGCTGTGGCACTCTTGTTTTCCCATTGACACGGCCTGCCGGGGTCACTGGCAATTTGGGAAGACTGCCAACTTCTACTTGTACTCGAGCACCTCTGCACCAATCAGAGGTGGTCGATAAACGAATTTCCCATGTCACAGGCGGAACGCCGCTCCTACACTGACTTCCTCTTGTGGCGCGGCATTACTTGATAGCTAGTAAGCTGCTCTTCATCACCACCAACTAGGGTCTCTCGCCCAATGTCGGGCAGAACACGTCCTTCGACCAGCCGATCACGAACAGGGTGTTCGAGCTGTCTGAGCGCTAGCCGAAAATGTGATGAGAAGAAGCCGACATGCCAACGGTGCGCACGTTTAGGATTTCGTTGCAATTATGACCGCCCGTTGAGGTGGAAGAATGCGGTACTCACAGGAGTGGTTTCAAGCAATGTGAATCAGAGCAACACATACAGTGGAACATCTCTGCAATGTTCAGGAGAGAAAAGTCCTACGAAGAGCCACCATGATAACGACAACATTCCTCCCAGTGTCATCCTGCAATCCGTCGATGACAATCGACTTATCGAAAGGTGTATGTCATCCCCGGTGCTTTGCGGCAGCTTGTTTTCTATTGTACTGAGATTAGATATTGAGTCTTGATCTCTGGCCACCTCCAACTCCATTGGTCCAATATGTGGGACAATCAATTTGTGAAGACATATGGATCCCTGTGCTTCACTTATCCGCCCGTCCGGGAGGCAATCGTCGCATTCGAGCTTCTAGAGCAATTTGGCTCGTCGCCGGTCGCTCTAGCACGAGTGTCGTCCGCTCTGAGCATTTTTCAGAGCCGACTGAGAGGGTCCGTCGAGACCAACAACGATATACTGCTGGCAGCAGGATTTTTGATGTGTCATGTTGCCGTAAGTCACGACCTGTCTCGCGGAACAACCTCCACCTTAACGTCAAATTTTAGATGAAAGCGGGTTATAAATGGACAGGTCACTTGAAGGGCTTGCTTTCTATTGCTCTCGCATGCCAGGACCCTCAGCCGAATATCGATCGTCTGGCCGGGCTGGACATGGATATTTGGCTCATCGGTCGGAGTTCGGACTCCCTGCACGTCTGGTCTACAATGTGTTCGGGACGAAGTGGCATCGATTCAAATACCAATCTCCCGCGGACCCTGTTGGATTTGCTTGCGTCGGCAGTCTCGGGCGCAGACATCTTCCGGCGACTAGAAGCGTGGCAACCTGACTATTCGGTTGTAAGAACCACGTTGCCATCATGCACACTCGAGATTTGGCATGCGTACCGACTGGCAGCTCAACTGTGGGTTTCAGCACCACAGTTACATCCCAGCCAGCTCCAAGATTCGGCCCACACACACATTCTGGATCGGTTGTGGCAGATCGTGGAGGGTTATTGGCTCCATTGCAAGCGAATTTTGTCGGAGAATCAACGCCAGGTCATTTGGCCTATAATCGTCGCATCATGCTTGACGGAGGAAGATACGAGACGCGCGTTCGCCGAGGACGTGCTCTCGGAGCTTTTTCCGAGCGAGGCCGCATTTTGTCCCTCGAACCTCAAATCTCTGATGCAGGAGCTGTGGTCGAGACGGCGGCAGGGGAGATATACCACCCTGGACAGCCTTGCTCGCGAGTGGAAGGTCGAGCTGGGGATTTGGTAGGCGGCGTTACGCTGCTGCTGCTGCTGTTGTTGTTGTTGCTTGATGTCGTTGTTACATTTTGAGGGTTGATGTACTATATCGGGTGTTTTTGTCGCCTGGATTGTTTTTCATGCTGCCCCGCTGGAGATGTACAAATGGGTGGTTTACGGCAACTTGGAGATCGATGACGAGGAAATCGTAAGGTCACGACATACGGCGCACACACACACACACCACGAGTACAGCACTGTCTGATGTGAATCGAGATATCGTCGAGCTCCTTCATTGTGGATTTTCTCTCAAAAATGATAGGTACATCATGTGGCTAACCTACAGCGAGAATTCCCACCACGAAATCTTTCTTTCACTTCCTCTTCGCACTTCCCTCCACCTCACCCCTCCTTTCCATCAATGAATCAATCACGCCGCCGCCGCCGCCCACTTGTCGTTCTTGCGCGTGATCCTGAGATAGTACCCCGCCGTGGCGGTCCGCCACTTCTTGCCCCAAACGGCAAAAGGCAGAAAAGTCATGTAGACGGCGAACAGCATCACGGCGATGCCGATGCAGGCGTTTTTGGGCCCGCTGGCGGTGATCCAGGGCCGGATGGCGAAGGAGAGGGCGCCGCCGACGGCGTTGCGCAGGAAATTGATCATCTGCACGGACTCGTCGAAGATGTCGCTGTACGAGTCGAAGGCGTAGGTCATGGCCACGGGGATGAGGATGTTGGCGGCGACGCCGATCAGGGTCAGGCCCAGGCACGGCACGATCCAGTGCAGGCCGTAGTGCGCGCCGAGGCCGTACATGAGGATGCCGCCGGCGCAGCAGAAGGGGACGGGCAGGAACGCCCACAGCCGGTGCTCGGGCTCCGTCACGCCCCGGTTGCGTCGCGCGAGGCGCAGGATCAGCCAGTCGGCGCCGAGGCCGCCCAGCACGGCGCCGATGACGTTGCCGATCACCAGCGCCACGAACATCAGGCCCATGGTCCCCGCGCTGAAGTTGTAGGGTGGGATCGAGAAGAAGCTCGCCTGCGTGCTGAAGATGAAGCTGGTCAGAAAGCTCTTGAAGCTCACGATCAGACTGGCCCACGCCACGGCGGGGAGTCCGATGTATGGGAACGGCGAGACCACAAGCTGCCAGTACCCTTGTTTGACCGTGGGATCCTTTGTGATCAGCGCGTGTCGTCTGCGGTAGGGGTGGATCGGGATCGTGTCGTCCACGACGTGGGAAGCCGTGGTGGGCCCCTCGTCGGTGATTTCGGTGGCACTGGTGGCCCTTTCGGCGCTGGTGAATTCATCCTTTGACGTGGACAGACGGGCAGTTCCGTGTTGCTCGGTGGTGGTGGTGGTGGTGGCAACGGGTGACCGCCGGACAGGTTTGCCCACGTGGACGGGAATATGTGATTGACGGGGATAGACAGTCTCTTCGGCGCTGAAGATAATGAGCAGTGCCGAGATGCCCTGGAATATCAACAGGTATCTCAGCACCCAGCGCCAGCCCTGCGAGTCGACGATGAAGCCGCACGCGATCGGCGGGAGGAAGTTGCCGCACTGCAGAACCAGCGCGTAGATGCCCATCAGTCGGCCGCGCTGGTGCAGGAACGAGATGTCCAGGAGACTGCTCTCGTTCAGCGAGTAGCTCGGGGCGGACCCGAAGCCCGAGAGGATCATGTACGCCCACATGAAGTTGATCGAGTTCATGGCGGCCCCGAACGCGAGACCGGCGAGGACGAGGACGGACCCGATGATGTAGGGCAGCCGGCGTCCGTACTTGGTCGCCATGGGCTGCGTGAAGAGGATCCCAATGCCACATGTGAAGACGAGGACGGACTGGGTGTTGTTGAGGGCCGTGTAGGTCGTGGGGAATTCCGCGACCCAGAGATCCCAGGCTGGGGAAGTCCAGGCAATGCTGCAGACGTGAGTGAGTAGGTGTCCATCAATACCATCTTTTCCCCACAGGACGAAGGGTGGAAAAAGGGAGAAAAGACACTCACGATGCATTGATCATAAAACACCAGAACAGCGTGACAGCCGACAACCAAGACTTGCGCCAGAGAGGCCAGTTCTTGAAGTACCTCAATCAGCCCGTCTGTTCTGCAGAGCCTTGGGTTAGAAAGGAGAGACATACCAAGGGGTCATTGGGATTTGTGGTCGGCGTGGGGATCAAGACGATGGTGCTGCTGTCCTTGTCTGCGCCGTCTCCCTTCTCAGAGACTGCGAGTTGAGAGCGAGTCAGCCAATGTCTAATCCCATGCCGATGCAGACAAGATTGGGGAGTACTTACAGTTCACGAGTTTCGTAGTTCCCACTGCCTCGATACGGGAATCGTCGTCGTCGTGCGACATACTTACTTACTCTGCGCACTTGTTGCTGAGGCGCAAACGTTTTCCCAACAAGTGCAGGTAGAGAGATAGAGAGAGAGAGAGATGAGAATCAAGACCAGAGAAGAGTGAGTAGATTCGTCAGGGCAATGTCGAGAAAGGGCCACAAGATCTCCAGGGTTTGTCGTCTCCTTCTATAGTCGACCGAGCGTGAACATGTTTGTCCTGCCCTGTGCTGCCCTGCCTTGCCGACCTCCCACCACGCAAATCACATCCACGACACTGACATTGACATTGATAAGGGTGGATCTGCACGGAGTGTGAGATTGGCATTGGGCAGTCCAGAACCATTCCTTCTTCTCTTCTGTGTGAAACTCGACGGTCGATGAAAAGTGTGCGCCGCTGTCTTCTGACTGGAGGTTTCCCACAATCCCGGGTTTCTGGGGGATCTGGATTTTTCCATGTGTACACGGTGAGATGTGCCGATAACCCTATCCTGCAAAAGGCCACTGAACCGGGTTAGTGCGTCGATACCATCACCCCCCGCCAAAGGCAAAATAACTCGGTTTGATAGAGGGGATGGGGAAGTGGCCATCAAAGCTTGTCCTCTTAAAATCTCTGGATTTGGTTAGACTGGCGGGGGGGATATACCGATCACAGCGTACATATCGGGTCAGGCTTGAGGAGTTCACAGGTGCCAGACTAAACATTGCTCTAAGATTTGCGCTGTGCGAGGTAGTCTTAGATACTGTATCTGATAAAGAAAGAGGCAGTCGGGTCCATGATAGGAAACAGAGCGGTGTTTCGCAGTCTGTTCGCCGTCCTACGATCTATCTGCCCTCTTTGTCCGCCATTCCTGGTAGACAATAGCCCTGCCCGGTCCCCACGTGGGTACATGGAAACCCTGTGAGGACGCTGAACTGGGGACGCTCCAGAAACGGCTTGAACAATGGACCGAGTCATTACACATTGATCCTCGTCCAAAGTCCTTATCAGCAACCTTGTCAAGTGGATACGACTGCGACTATGACTTCCATGCCGTGCATCCGTGGCATCGCAGACCTGTGTACTCTTTCTGCTGGGTAGTATACAAGTAAATCTCAATAGCTAGAGATTTACTCAATACCAGCTTCAATCCACGCGTGCCCTTGATTATTGGGTGACTGCGGTAACAAGGCTGGGCTCGTCGGGAGAGAAGTACTAACTATGGCACGACCACCTTCAGAGCCCGACTATGCCTGGTCACGCCCAGGCGGTCTGGTTGAATTCCCTGGCGCAGAACCCGGGAGTTTAGACATTTGGGTATATTGCGACAAGTTCTCATACCACCAACACGAATCCGTCTCGCTGAGAACATACTCGGCGGCTTCTGTATACGACATCGAAATCATCAAAGACGGAGTGACACCTCGCTCCGTACTCCACGAGAAAGGCCTGCCGGGACATCAGCACGAGACTCCCTCAGACGCCTATGCCGTTGGCTGTAATTGGCCGGAGGCCCTGTCGATACCTCTGGACGAGGAAACCTGGTCGCCAGGGTATTACGTGGTCATCATTCGAGCGACGGACCGCCACCGACGCATACGCGAGCGCGAGGGGTTTTTCATCGTCAAAGCAAAGAATCCCTTGGACGCCGACTTCGTGCTCATCCACACGACGTGCACCGTCTTGGCCTATAACGACTGGGGCGGCGCCAATCACTACCGTGGGTTGCCAGATGGGTATCAAAACGACACTCCCACGCCACTGTCAAGCACGCAGCGGCCAATTGCGAGAGGCATGATTCGGATCCCGGACAATGCACCTCGAGAAGGCACCGGCGACTTCATGCCAGGGGTGAATTGGACGCCCCGGTACCTTTCCCTCGAGTATTCGTGGTACTGGCGCTACAGCAGGCATTATGCCGATGCAGGCTACGCCACGTACGAGCGTCCCTTTGTCCTCTGGGCGGAATCTGCTGGGTATCGGATTCACCACATGACTCAAACAGACCTCCAAGACCCGACCGCAACCCCTCTCCACGGCTACCAGTGCGCCGTGATCGTCGGTCATGACGAGTACTGGACCTGGGAGCAACGTGACACAATCGATCAGTTTGTGGACCGAGGAGGCTTCTTTGCGCGCTTCGGTGGCAATTTTGCCAAACAGGTCCGATTATCGTCGGATCTGAAGACACAGTATTATTATGGAACTCCCGACAATGACCCCGAGAGCAAGGCGAACCCGCAACGGACCACAACGTCATGGGAATGGCCAGAGATCCAGCGCCCGGCCGCACAGACCGTCGGACTCTGTGGATTAACGGGTGTGTATGCGCGGTACGGTGTCGCTACTCCGCGCTCTTCGGGAGGGTTTCTCGTCTATAGGCCAGACCACTGGGCGCTTCAGGGCACGCAGCTGTTCTACGGTGACACCTTTGGAGGGAACCCCGTGAACATTGCCGCATTTGAGGTCGACGGTTGTCAGTATACCTTTCGGCAGGGTTTGCCATACCCTACCTTTGAAGATGGCGTACCTTCCACCCTGGAAATCATTGCCATGTGTCCCGCGGTGCTGGGCGAAGAAGACCGCTGGAATGGTTCGGAGCCCATCGGTGGTCCTACAAGGGACAAGATTGAGCTCATGCGAAGTCTCTTCAAGCCCCAGAGGGACGGGTCGACCAACATGCCCAAGTATCTCAAAGATCTCAAGTACGGTTCAGGCATGATTGCGTCCTTTACGCGACAAAAGGGAGAGGTCTTTTGCGCGGGCACGGCGGAATGGGTCGTGGGGTTGAAGAAGCGTGACCCTTGTACCGAAATCATCACCAAGAATGTGTTGAACAAGTTTATCGGGAAGACTGGACGTAGGTCAGAGTGTCGGCTGTAGCGTCACAAAGTATTCATTTATCTGTGGCAAGTTATGGTTTTTTGACATCCTTCGCATGCTCTAAGTTTTTAAAGTATCCCAGCTCGTTCTGAAACTGAGGCGGAATAAGCCTGCACTAGTGATGTGGTCGCTGTCTGGCATACTTGATTTTCTTGACCTACTTCTCCTGATTTGCTGCGTCCCCATCTCTTGTAACCACCAATTCCAGTACGAGATCATAGCTCATCCGTCGCGACATTCTGCCTGTTTATGCGTCGTCGCAGGACCGAAGTTTTGGTCTTCGACGGCGGTGCAAGGACACAGGTGGTAGCGGACTGCGTAACGACGGAAGTGGAGGCTAGAGAGCAGGTCATTTGAGAGGAGAATTCGCAGTGGGTAAGGCGAGAGGTGAAATGGACGCTATTTCGTATCACTTGAGAAAGGGAAATCGAAGGATGGAAGGATTGACGGGTGTGGTACACCACCGCATAAGGGCGTCTCTGTGACAGGAAATCAGGTCATCGAGGCGGGGGTGGGTTGAAGAGTGAAAAGGTGAGAAGGTTGGAAGCGGGCAATTGCTCGCCCCGCGTCGCAGCCTTGCGCCACAACAAGGCTGGACTACAGCCTCGTCACATTCACATTTTCCCCCCTCAATCGCCTCTAACGACATGTTTGTTGCTTCCGACGACCAACTCAACCGCGGGCCTCAAGCTCGCCGTATCTGCCACTTGATGTCTTTGATGCTGACTTCCTCGCCGGCCTTCTCGTCATAGTCAAACCACTCCCCCTCCGACAGGTCAATGCCCGTAAACTTGGTCCCGGACTCGATGCCAGTAGCCTCCCACTCCCCCTACAGCAGGTGTCAGTGCCAGAGGAACAATGTCAGAATCTTGGGCACGTATATCGACATACATCTGGCTTGAAGTCGGTGAATTCCAGACCTCGACAATCAATGTCTATGATATTCTTTGGTTTGGCCGGAGAATTTTGCTCGTATTTTGCGGGAGCTGCTTTGATCGTGGCGCTTGATTCTCTCTGTGTGGGAGAGGGCCTTGTTAGCTCGGTAGAGAATTGCCTGAAGCCGCCCCTGTGAGCTGAGGTGGTCGTCTTCACATACCTTGCAGTTCTTGCATTTCCAGACAAAGTTTGCTTCTCCCCGACTCCCGGATTGTTCGTTCATCTCCTGTATTTTGTGTGTCAGGTCAGATGAACCCCAGGCGGTCGGACAATAAGACGACTTCGGCCACAAACCCAGGCCACGGCACAGTCGTACAGAGACAACAATCAAGAGCAGCACCACACACAATGGACCATTATAGCCGCACAAGCCCCGCGCAGACTCTTGGAGGACTTACATGACGGCTGACCCCGACCCAGTTCGCATGGATCTCACGACACGACGTACATTGGACTTTGAAAGTGTAGTAGTAAGGCGATTCGGCTGTATCAGAGGGGACGAGGTCGGTCACACTGCAATTGAAAGGCCATCAGTGTCAAAAGGACGTTGCATACTCGGTAGGGATGTATGGGAAATCGTACCCTTCCAGATCTGCCGTCAACGCCAGTGCCAGCATTTGGAGTAGATATCGAACCTGAAACACTTTTTGTTGACAGAGCAGGACGAGTTGGCGAGCCTGGAAATATTCGAGGTCTGCGCCAGAAGTGTTATCGCTGGTGCTCGTCAAGAATCCAGGGTGTTTGGATGAGTATCAAAAGTGAAAGATGGAGTAAGAGTCAAAATCGGGTTAAGCGGAGCAACTTGATTGGTTGCCTTGTCCATTGGTTCACATCCCCCAAAAGGTCAGGGGAAACTTGATATGCTTAACAAACATCATGTCATTGTGCACCCCGCTCATTGTCGAGAGACCCTAATGATCGAACGACGCTCGCTAGCCATCTACATATGTAGGTAGGCATCAGGCGCCTAGCCAAGGTATACCCATTCCTGCTCCCTCCCCTCCTCTTCAGCCTTTGCCACGGCCTCCCCGAACATGATTCCATGAATGTAAACGGCCCCTCCGACGACACTGTATAAGCCAGTCCTCTGTTCGTCTTTGCGCAAGAGAAAGGGCAATGCGCCACCCCACAAAATCCACACCGTGTCTCCTGGTGCGACATGTTCGCATGCCGACCCGATGTAGCCTCGGGCGGTGCGGAACAGTCTCCTGTTTTTGACGTAGAGGCCGTGAGGAAATGGGCTGTCCATAAACTCCCTGTATGTCTGTAGCCTTTGGCTCCAATCGGCGGAATGAGCAGAGTCTGAAGATTGGAGAGGCCGCCCAGCGGACCACCACAGTTCGAACTCTCGCACCAGGTCTTTGCTAGGGGGTCCAGGAATCTTGACGTTGCCGAATGTTAGGGCGTGGCAAAGGCCTTCGAGACGGGTTTCGGTATTGGAGTACAGATCGCCCTGCATTTCTTCCATGGCGAAGCTCCGCCAGGAATCCCAGTCCATTTCCTGCTGCTCGGCACTCACATCCGTGAGTGAGTGTCCCACTGAAGACACCGCCAGGATCTCGTCAAAGGCGATTCCCCTCAATCCAATGTAGTCAAATTCCTCACTGTAGGCGAATTTGGGTTCATTGGGCGGTCTTCCGTAATCGGATAGACGACCTGCGCATGCATCGAATGGGATCTTGCCACTCTGGCTCTCGCTGTTGACGGCGTACGCGTCACATCCGCGCTGTGGGAGGATATTATGCACATCAGTCGCACACCCGAGTTGGTCAGGATGGACTTGCCAGTCGTGCATCCACGAGGGAAACTCGGAATTCTGCCGAGATGCCTCGTGCTTGCAAGCGCAGGAGAGCACGTCCAGGTTCAGCTCGGTATCGACGCAGTACATCACAGTCCGTCCGTAGACCTCCCGTGTACCTTTCTCATAGGAGATCGGCAATGGACGTATCCAACCCTTTTCGGTTCGAAATTCCTGGTCAGACATGTGCCAGAAGGCGTAGACTTTATCGCGAGCATCTGTGCTTCGACTGCCACGGAGCCCCTGAAGTAAAGTGGACAAGGGAGCCGACGGGAGAAGCGTCTCGTCCTTGTATCGACTTTCCTGCCACTCGCGGGTTTTCTTGATCATCTGAAGTCCGCCGCGATGAAACGTGGCCAAGTCCGAATCCTCTGCCGTACTCCACGGGATGCTCCAGTATGACAACCCGAAGATGGCTTCCTCAAACATTTCCCATGGAAGGACCACCGGCCCTAGATAGACGAGCAGGTTTTTGGCGTGTACCGCCTCCTGGATCACCCAGGATCTGCTGAACCACGGATCTTCCAAGATATCTTTGGCTATTTGCTTGGTGAAAAGGTGGTGGTCCTCGTCCGGAGGCGGATACGAGCCCGGCTCTCCCCCCATCAGCCTGGCCGTGAATTGCGCGAACGAGGGTGCATCTTCGATCCGGCCGGTGCGCTGGGGACTGTGAAGCCACGCGAACATTTGTGCAAACATCTGCGTCTTCGAGGCTCTGAGTGCTTTGCCCAGCCACACCAGCACGTTTTGCGCCAGGGAAAATATCATGTGCATAAGCTGGATCTGGCTCGCCCTCTCGACCAAATTGGACTGATCAATACAGACCTGGTCGGCCCAGATGGTGCAAAACTCTTCGTAGCCGCGGATCAACATCAGGGCATGGAACAGATTCGACGTGATCTTGATGGCGGCATTTCCGACGAGGATTTCCTCCGTCCGCTGCGTGTCCCTGAGCTCCTGTCCATCGAGGATGACCGTAGGCTCGTCCGGATCCGTCCATACATACGACAATGCCGTCCACCGAGGACCTTGATGCTCGGGATCAGCGGCCAATGCTCGCCAGTCAGGGCGGACCGTCACGATGGTTGCTCTGAGAGGCTCTCTGGGGTCTCGAGATGGCACAAGCTTCAACAGTCGGAACTCCTGGTGTTCTTCTTCTAGTGGTTTATAGTTGTAGGGCTCTGGAGTTGAGCCCTGTGCGGTGCTCCACCCCTTGCTCATTAGATCCTGTGGGTTCATGTTGCCGCCGATGTCGCTGACCACCCGGTGTCTTTTGTCAGTAAGTTGTCTGGTTTTCTTTTCTTGTCCAGTTGTTCTTAGTGTTATATTTTGCCCTTCAGCTGGCTTGGCAACCTGCAGGGCAAGGCAGATGGAATACGAGGCTGAGCTCAAAGCTCGGTCAATCTCGACTCTGACCTAGATTATTATATAGAAAAATAAAGACTCCATCTCAATAATGATCTTGTCGTCCCGGTCTTTTGAAACAGCCACTTCTCGCTACGGTTGGCAATAACACACTCGAATATTTATGGTCTATCCCATTCAGATTTGACACGTTCTCAGTCACGACCTCAACCTGACTGCAACCAGGGATCATTGAGAAGCTCTTTTGCGGAGCTCCTCCTCTCTGGGGCCCATTGCAGCATCTTCCTCGCGAAAGTCAGGAATAATTCTTTTTCGCTTCCATCAAGATTTGCTTACGAGCCTTCCAGAGATGTAGTCGGAATGCTAGTTGCTCCCTTCCAATGACCTCATCGAATGTACGCTACCGTTTAGCCCAGTGAGGTAGATCAACATACCCAGATCACCGAAAAACTCCTTCGTGAATTCGCTCCGTTGTAAAAAGTCCTCTGGCGGCGGGCCAAGAAGGGCGATCATTTCAGCCAAGTGATGCAAGTGTGAATCGTTTCCGTTCTCATCTTGAGCGCTGAATAGGTGCTTGTTTTCGAAAAGATCCCACTTCTGATCAACTGATTAGTGTAGGTTCTATGCAATTGACACAAACTCACCAAGACTCCAACACTCCAGAGATCCACTTTGGTATTCAATTTCATCCGAAGTACTACCTCGGGAGCTCGATATAGATATGGCTGGATGTCCTCGTGATACATCTTTGAACCCATGCGTGCCTCACCAAAGTCGTATAGTACCGGACGGCCGTGAATTGTGGGAGTGCGCAGTTCTCTCGATCTGTAAATGGTCCTCTCGCCGTCGATCTTTGGCGGGCTTGGATGTTCTAACTCGTCCTCTTGAAGCTTGATAGAATAGTTTTGTCTTCGATTGAGAGCATGATATTCCTTTCTTGGATATCTGCAGAAGATGAGGAGAGGTTTTAAAAGATGAGAAGAGTAGAGATAGACGCACCGGTATGGATGACATTGGCTTCCGAATGTCAGAAGTCAAGAACGAGGAAGATGTGAATCAACGTAGGCTTCAAAAGGTCCACCGGGAACTTGCGTTGCCGAGCTCTTGCTCTCAGTCCTGCTAGACTCATTCCGAGAGGTTCATGAATGAGACACAGATAGCGACCCTATGGTTGAATGATCTCAAAGTTGTCCAGGGCGGTACGCACCAAAGTAGATCCCACGTGGTCGGTGGTTGTAGAATTGACATGACGATATACTTCAATAAGTTCTCTTCGACCCTGCTTGAATCCCGCTCATAGACTTTCATGGCGACGTATTGATGACCGCTAGATGGATTTTCAATCTTATTAGCCTTTGAGAACCTAGTTAATAAGGCTTGACTTGCACTCGACCCCGGCAGAGACACACTATAGAGTAGGGTCCATACCCAAGCTTCCCCAGAACACGATACTTTGAACGAAAGACATCCCCAATTCGAACAGGAAAGAAGCTGTCTGGGAATACCAAGCATGATTGTCCTCCTCAATTTTCGCGTCGGAAGCAAAGTTCGGGCCAGACGAGGGAACTTACCTCACAGAGGAGGGTGAACCAGAAGCGATCTCCGAGCCCAGCGAAGCACATTTGGCATGATTTTTGATGATAGAGGACATGGATGTTCGGAGTCATGCTTGACCTGACAGCTGATAGCTAGGTCAATGTTAATCCACAGAGGGAGCCCCTTGGGGAAACACTGTGACACGTCAAATACGGGGAGAGTTAATCAGGCGAGGCTGAGGCTCGGCATGGAAAATCATTATTCCCCAATATCACTTGATTCCCAAAATAGCCTAGCCTCTAGGATATATTAGCGATATTGCCTTGGCGCGATATTCCTCATTCTTCGTCAGTCACGCAGACATCAACTCAGTCTCGATCAATAAAAAGCCAACAGCGAAGCAAAAGGGTTCAGGCATACAAGGTCTTTTTCTGCTCACCCTCAGCCATTTGGCAATTTATCGATCCTCTGTTGCGCCCTCTTAAACAATGGCTCCAAAGAAGAAAAAGAAGCCCACAGCGAACCCTGCTCGAGGCTTTGCTACGACTTCTGTACCTTCAAAGTCCAAGACCGTTGACCAGCCCGATGAGGCCCTGGGCGATGCCAGTGCGGCTGGCACGAGTACAGATACCGGGACTAAAATCACAGCACCTGGCAAGGACAAGGTCGTGACTTCGAAAGATGGCGAACACGCTGAACAAGGTCTAAAGATTCAAGATATGACTGCCGACGAGTTTGAAGCTCATCTGGAAGACTCTGAGCTGGAATCACTGCTCGCCAAGTATGCTACACGATGCGTTGCCGATGCTCGACGTCAAGTAGCCAGGCTAGAAACCGAACGGCGTCAATTACGTCCGCAGTCGCAGAAATTATCAACATATACCTGGCTGCTGGAAGAGACCATTGAGAATCTCATTGATATGGACGCTCGTGATACGAGCTGTGGGCCGTCAACATCCAGGAGTGTTGAGACTGCTGTCGATGAGGAGAAGCTTTTGCTCGACCTGTGGACTCTGGAGAGGGTCCTGGTGTCATTGAAATTCCCAAGAGTCTCTGAAGCACTTGCCCATATCACTGAACTTGCCCTGCTGAGACAGCTGAAATCGGCCACCGATTCCCTGCCTGGTCTGCCTGAGGCATTGCAATGGTATGCCTGCAAAATGCCAGAGGGCGAACTCATAAACTATGAACAAACCACAGGCACAATGACTGGAGTGAGCGGTACTAGCACCCCTCTCCAGGTAACATCTGGTGAGTAAGAAAGGGCCTGGTACTCGAACTTGTCCAACTGCCCTTCCTGTCTTAGAATGTCAACAAAGGCAGCCCAAGGACGTCGCCTCCATATTCCCTGCCCGGCCCAAGTATATGTGATGTCGCGAGACCTTGCCACCGTATCCTCATCTCAGGTCGGATGTCCTTGCTCTCAGTGAAGCGCCGATCTATGCTTTTCGCGACTTTGACCTCCATGTGCCAACAGGACTGACAAGGACACAGAACCGCCGACCGCAAATCAAAGTAGACAAAGCCCGGCATCTACACCCGCACAGGTTTCCGAAGCGGAAGACTCATCGTCGAGCCTGGTCAGCTCGGAATCCGACGAAGACGACGATCCCGCGAAGCTAACGGAGAAAGCTATCCGAATTCAACGTTTGCTTTGGAAGGCTCAGAATGATGATGCCAGCGATGCCAAAAAGTCCGGGACAACGAAGGAAAGACGAATTGCTAAACTGCACCGCAAATTGGAACAGCTGCACCGTGATCCGCTTTTTGATAAACAAGAGGCGCAAACTGCGTGGGACACGGTCTTCGCTGAACTCCTGATAACACGTCAAGAGCTCATGCGAGCTACTGCTAGAAAACGGCGGGAGGAGAAGCAAGCCACTATCCAGCACAACATTGACGATGATACAGCGAACAAAGGGCCCGTTTCAGAGGACGATGTCCTAGCTGCTGCCGAAGATGAAGATGCCCTTCTGGGCGGCATGTTCGGAGAATCTGAAGACCCAAATGCCTCTGAACATAACCAACCAGCATCTGAAGACCCCATAAGACTCCTAGAGTTCGGCAAATGGTCGGGTCTTTCACCAAAAAGACTACTGGATGAAGTCTGCAAAGGACGTGATTCGAGATGTCGAATACAAGTCAGAATTGTGCAACGAACCTCATACTCTGCACGTCACAAATTGGAGATATATTGGACTGCAGATACCCTGGCTGAGGCTCACACGATCACAGCATTGCCGCCTGAAGTCTCTGCTCAAGTTGATGAACGTCTTTGGGTACTGGAGATGACGAGGGTTGCAGCCGCCGATACTACCCAATCAGAGGCTTATATCTGTACCATCGGCCTGTTCCTGGTGTCAACACTGGGTGCAAGCGAGCATAAGTCAGTGGGCCGTCTGCCGACCGTCTGGAGAGATGTGGTGAAAGACTTGGGCGATGCCAAAGAAGCGATTGTAAATGAAGAACGAAAGGGAGCGTTGCGGAGGCTGAGAGCCCTAATCTCTAAAACACAGAACGAGCTGAGGCGACAACAAGCCACGCCCCCGAGTCAAGATCCATCCGAATCTCACAGCATTGCCGGTGCTCCCCGCCGAGCTCGAGCACCTTTTACTGTGAGCTGGAGCCCCGACCAGGTCTCCAAGGAATGGAATAGCAGAATTTCTCGTCCGTCCTTTCAGGAAATGCTCCAAGTCCGTCAACAGCTTCCTGTTCATCACTACAAAGACCGAATCCTCTCTTGCATTGCTGAAAATCCCGTCAGTGTCATCTGCGCAGAGACGGGAGCGGGCAAATCGTCTGGCATTCCGGTACTGCTTTTGGAGCAAGCGTTCGGCGGCGCCCAAGACTATCGCATTCTTGTCACGCAGCCAAGGAGGATCTCGGCCATCTCTCTTGCCAGACGTGTTTCCCAGGAACTGGGAGAGAGCCGGAATGACATTGGCACGAACCGATCGCTTGTCGGCTACGCCATTCGGTTAGAGAGCAAGACTAGCAGTACCACTCGCATCACCTATGCGACGACTGGCGTCCTTCTGAGAATGTTGGAAGACTCTCCAGACCTTAATGAGCTGGACTGCCTCATCCTCGACGAAGTTCATGAACGTACGATGGATCTGGACTTGCTGTTCATCGCGTTGCAGAAGTTGCAGAAGCGCCGCAGCACGTTGAAGATCGTCCTCATGTCGGCCACGGTGGACGCGAAAAAGTTCTCGGACTACTTTGGCGGCGCTCCGGTCTTGGACTTGCCTGGAAGGACGTTTCCAGTTGAAGTCGGGTTTCTGGAAGACGCGGTCGAAGCCACGAATGACATGACTGGCGTGAAAGAAAAGGACCTGACGATCCAGGAGGAGGAGCGAGACTTGAATGAAGCCTACGTGAGCGAAAAAGGGCGACCCGTTATTGCTGAGCCAGAGAAATACAGCAACAAAACCCAGCAGACCATTTCCAATATGGATGAATATCACATTGACTACGGCCTCATCGCAAAACTCGCCGCTTGCATCGCCAGCAAACCACGTTACGCGAAATACAGTACCGCAATACTCATCTTCATGCCGGGTATTGGCGAGATGCGGCGTTTGCACAACCTCCTCCTCTCAATGGACACCTTTGGCAGAGGCTGGATCGTGCATCTCTTACATTCGACCTTCTCGACCGAAGAGCTCGAGCGAGCGTTCGAACGCCCGCCAAAGGGACAAAGAAAGATCGTGATCGCGACCAACATTGCCGAGACTGGGATAACCATTCCAGACGTGACGGCCGTGATCGACACGTGCAAGGAGAAAATCATGCGCTTCGACGAACGCCGCCAGCTCTCGCGGCTGACAGAGGGATTCATTTCTCGGTCTTCTGCGCGCCAGCGGAGAGGTCGCGCCGCGCGTGTCCAGGAGGGCCTTTGCTTCCACCTCGTCACCAAGCATCGTTACGACAACCTGATGCTGGAGCAGCAAGTGCCCGAAATGCTGCGGCTGAGTCTGCAGGATCCGATTCTGCGAATCAAGGTGTGGAACCTCGGGTCGATCGAAGAGACTCTCAACGCAGCAATCGAGCCGCCTTTGAGGAAGAACGTGCTCAGAGCGATTGACAAGCTGAAGGACGCCGGCGCATTGGCGAAGAACGAGGCGCTCACGCCGCTGGGCCAGCAGATTGCGAGATTGCCCCTGGAGGTGTTGTTGGCGAAGCTGGCGATCTTGGGAGTCATTTTCCAGTGTCTGGTGAGTTCCATATTGGAGATTTGCGTGACTTCTGCTTGATATATTTTCTCTGACTTGTGTGCACAAAAGGATCCTGTATTAGCCATCATATCTCTCCTGACTTCCAAATCACCGTTTCTGTCGGCCCCGACATCCGGGTCGCAGACCGATGCAAGACGCACGTTCAGTAGAGGAGACTCGGACCTGCTCTCCTCCCTGAACGCGTACGAAAGCTGGAAGAAGGCGAAAGCGGCGCGATCGGCGCAGGAGTTCTGCCGCAAGAACCACATCAGCGACCAGACGATGGTGCAAGTCGAGGCGCAAAAGATCCAGCTGCTCGTGTACCTCGTTGACGCGGGGCTGGTGAAGCTAGACCCGGAGGAACGAGCAGCTTTGAACCGTGCCCGAGCGCAGTCTTCTTCTGGTGGACGAGGCGGCGGCGGTCTTGCGTCGCACTCTGTCATCATCCCTCCACGCTACAACCTGCCGGTGATACCCGACCGTGCCCTCAACGCCATCGTCGCCACGGCGCTGTACCCCCGAGTTCTCATGCGCGAAGGCAAAGGCTGGCGGAACGTCTACACGAACCAGATTGTCTCGCTGACCTCGCGCTCCGTCAATCACCCGTCGTCGTCGTCATCCTCCTCGTCCAAACCGCCCCGCTGGCTCTCCTTCTACGAAGCCATGCAAAACCCGCGCAGCGGCTCGCTCAACGTCTTTGAAACGTCCGCGATCCCCGAGTCGGCGCTTGCCATCCTCATAGGCGCGGAAGCCGAAATCAAATTCTTCGCCGGCGTGTTGGTACTGGATGGTGGGAAGATCAGGCTCTCCGTCCGTCGCTGGCGGGAGTTGATGGCGGTCAAGATTCTGAGGGAGAGGGTGTTGGCCACGCTGGAGAGGTCTTATCAGAAGCCCGGTGAGGTGCGTGAGGAGGGCAGGGCGTGGTTGGATATGTGGTTGAAGATTGAGGCGGCTCAGGAAGCGTAGTTTGGTTACAGTACCATGGTTGGCTTCCAGGCTGTTCTTGCTCCGTCAATCCTGAAACAAATTCTTCTTGACTTTACTATTTGGGCAGAAACTACATACATGCTAATTGGATGTATCCAGAGAAAACCCGTGTTCTGTTTCCTGACATCAAAGGATGGTGGGTATTTCCACCATATTCCCTCCTCCCAAACTATCTCTCTCTCACACGCATATGGTCATCTCAGTAAGTAACCCCCATCAACAGGCAAGGGCACTCCCGTGATCCAACCGGCATCATCGCTCGCCAGAAACACGGCCGCCCTGGCCACGTCCTCGACCTTGCCGAGTTTCTGGCCAAAGGGGTGTTTCCCCTCAATGTCGCGCAGTTCGTGCGGCTGGGCCTCGAGGTTCTGGGTCATGGTGGTCTCCAAAAAGCCCGGGCAGAGGGCGTTGCAGTGAATCAGGTCGGCGGCGTAGTCCAGGGCGATCTGCTTGGTGAGCATGACGGCGGCGCCCTTGGAGGCGCAGTACGAGGGCGTGCCGTAGTAGGGGACCAGGCCCTGTACGGAGGCGGTGTTGACGATCCACCCCCTGGCCGGGTAGATCTGGGGCTGGCCGTCCAGCATCTGCTTGAGGGCGTACTTGCAGCCGAGGAACATGCCCTTGGCGTTGATGGCCATGGTCTTGTCGTAGTCCTCCTCGCTGGTCTCGTGGCACCGCAGGGCGCGGACGTGGGTGCTCTCGACGCTCACGCCCGCGTTGTTCACCATGATGTCCACCCTCTTGTACCGCTGCACGCACGCCCGGATGGCCAGTTCCACGTCCCGCCCCCGCGTCACGTCGGCCTTGTGGTACGTGGCCTCGCCGCCCATGTGGCGGATGCGCTCATGCGTCCCTGGCTGGCCCGTGACGCGGTTGTGGAAGTCATCGGCGCGTTGGGTCGAGGGGTTGATGGCGTTGCGCGGCGTCGGGTACAGGTCAATACAGAAAACCGAAGCGCCCTCCGCGGCGAGGGCGAGGCAGATGGCCTGTCCAAGTCCAGAGCTGGAGCCGGTGACGATGGCCACACGGCCCTGCAGGCGGCCTGATGGGGAGGTCATGGAGCTAGAGACCCGCACATGAGGGAACCAGAGGGACTGCGAGGGAAAGAGAGGGACAGAGACGAGAGTAGGACAGAAAACTTTAGCACTCACTCACTGGTCTCGGGTATCGACCACAGCACGGACAAAGTAGTTTTATGATATCACGGACGATCGTCAAGCGAGCGAGTTCTCCTTAAGGCGGGCTGGCGGGCTGGCAATTGCCCAGCTCAGCTTCGGAGTTCCATGCATTGCATCTCGATAACGCACAAGACACGCACCGTACATGAGGCTGAACACGGGAAGCAGACATAAGATGATAGGTGGGTGGGTGGTTTCAAAGAGGCTGACAATGGAGTGATACGAAGATGCGCTGGAGGCTTTTGGCTGGTCCCATCAATGCTGACTATCACGTGACGACTGGTTGACCTTTGTACCTTGTACCGGACGTGGGGCTTTTGTACTCCTGATGGGTTCGGAAACATCCCCTCAACTCCCTTCCAACCGGCTAAGCTGCCTTTCCAAGTATGATACGCTCAAGGTTGAGGCTCAATAATGCTACAGAGTACCTCATAGCTTCTCAAGCTGCTCTCGTCACCATAGTCTTTGCTGATCCTTCGCATACAGCAAGCAGCTCTGCTTCCTTGCAGTCGATCATGTAAGCGATGCTTGTGTGCCGCCAGCTGAGGCGGCTGTATCCCCGTACAGCATTCGGACCTGAGACCAAACCATTCATCAAGACACTTTCCACCTCCTTCAGCACCTTCAGCAGCCGAGCTCACAAGTCGAGCAACCACCTTCCACCGCGCCCGACCTTACCTGACGCCGACATCAAGCACACCTATGTCAAAGGCACTGGACCCGGGGGCCAGAAGATCAACAAGACCAATTCGGCCGCTCAATTGACACACATTCCAACGGGCATTGTGGTAAAGTGTCAAGCAACCCGCAGCAGAAGTCAAAACCACAACATTGCAAAGAGGATTCTCGCAGAGAAGGTGGAAATGTTGCAAAAGGGTGAGGAGAGCCGGGCAGCCAAAGTGGTGGAGCACAAGCAGCGCAAGAAGAGGAGCGCCGACAAGAAGAAGCGCAGGAAGTACCGACGGCTGGCAGAGGAGAGGCAGGGTGATCAGGAGGAAGAATGCACCGAAGACAGAGACGATGGATCAGATGAGGAGGGTCTGGGTGACGAATTTGAGGGTCGAGCGCAATTGCATCAACCAGAGACCAGTGAAAGGCCAAGAGGATGAGTGACACAACAAGTTCACTCACTGCGCACGTTCTTCTTTCTGTCCCATGGCACGCAGCCTGTCTTGGCGGGGTTCTCAGCCTCGCGCACTCACACACGCTTACTCCTCAGCCTTGTGTTCGAAAGCACACGGATCACTTTTTGTTTACAAAACAAAAAGGACTTCGCCTGTTCAAAATGCAAAAACTCTAACCCGAAGCCCAACTCCCCGGTGGGAGTTGAGGTTCAGGTCGAGGGAAACCTTCCAGTTGTATAGGAGGGTTTTTTTATACCGTCGTTTCGTCAGGTTCTCTCCGGCCTCGAACAACCCACGCTTAGGGAAGCCGTTTTTGGACGCGGAACCCCCAGTTAAGCAGTGTTAACTGGGCTACCTCGATGGGTAGCTTACAGGGCCAGGGCAGTTACCTTCTAGGATTCTCGTAACTCCCAAGAGAAGCTGTCTCATGCCTGGTGGCCACACCCTCACGCCCTGACTAGCTCGTTTGACTAACAATCGGTGTTAGCCATCAGAGGTCAGAACCCGGGATAGACATGAGAATTATGACAGGAAATTGCGGGTTTAAAATATATGTGATTAATTCTGCGGATCTGCCAGACCAACCACTGGTACTGGACCCACGATCACGGGTCAAGGCACTCGGTGAATGAATACTGCAGAGAACTTCACCTTCTCTCCCTCCAATTGACACATCAACCGGACACCATGGGGACACATTCCATTGCAAAGAGCAAGATGTTTGGCTCACACCTCATCAAGGTTGGTCTATTGTGCCTGTTCGTATTCTCTCCTGTGTTGATCCTCTGTCTCGTCCATGTATTCGCCATGCCTGTCTCGCCCTCATTCACGATTTCCAGCATTGAGACCTGGGTCTCTCTCAAGCAACTGCTGCGGAAACTGATGGAGAAGGAACATGTCTTCATACCCGCTAGTTCTCCTCACATGCACGTAGGGCCACACTACCACTCCTACCCCTTTACCCCTGAAGACTGAACGCGCTTGATAGTATGTTGGACGGTGGATGCCCACTTCCAACCAACTCCGTCGGGATGCGGCATTTCCAGGTTAGTCGAGGAGCCAATGTACAGAACGTTTGAACCCCTCACTGACTATGCGAGCAGGCTCGTACGTCGAGATGGTGATAGCAAACACTACCGGCCTTTCCCTCTCTCTCAACAATCTCAACTCCGCCTCCAAACAACAGCCTGAGCGTTTGGAAGCAAGGGACATCCACCACTCCGAATTTCGATCCATCAGTGCCAGAGCCTCAGACCCCGTACACCTCGTGGTGTTGATCGAAGGCCACAATACCTATTGGGTCGAAGCGGCGGGGATGGTGGTCTCGGTTACAAAGCATCTTGATCCGCAAAAGACGTACAGAGTCAAGCTCACACACATGGGAGGTCCGCATGGTACCAATGGAGCACTCGAGTTTGAAGGAATTTGGCTCGACAAAGCCGCGCCCGCAGAGGCCGGCACAGTGTCGTCAACCTTGGCAGAGACCTCTTCGCTACCGAGACTTCTCCCCCTTCGTGAAGACCACCTCGACAGAACCTCATTGAATGGAGAATATATGCGCCGACGATCGAGAAAAGTGGTCGAGATAGTCACGTCAGATGGTTCTCTCTCAGTCATGAATCACCTGCCGCCGATAAGTGGGAGTGATGTGGACAAAGGAGTAGACAACTGGTACAACGGACTCGACGCAGTCGTCTTAGACACGGGGGGAATTGGCTTGCTGCCAACAGGAGAGTCGGGATTGACCCTCAGGGATCAATTCTTCCGTGCTGGCCCTCTGGGAACAAAGGCTTTTTCGCGTCCTTGGAATTTCAAGCTGTACCGTCCTTCAGTGCTCCTCCTCCAGCTCGGCTCTGTGGATTTCGGCGCATTCTTCTCTTCACTTGCCACCGGGAAACCCGTCAGCAAGCATGCTCTGGCCAAGTTCACCAACGAGTTCATCGATGCCTACGTCAATTTGATCCAAGCGATCCGTACTAACGCGTATCCATTTAATCCTGCGGCAACAGGGCCTACCAGCGACTTGGAGGACGACGACAACGACGGCAGCTACATCTACAACTCGGCACCATCTACACTCTCCATCTTCCTCCTCGCGCCATTCTCTGCACTGCGGTACCCGGTCACCAGGAAACTCAAGCTTGACCGGGTCATCTCCTATGCCGTCGCGCAGGTCGTCTCAACGCTACAAAGCCAAGGGGACAAATCGACATTCTGGATCGACACGAGCGGGTGGCTCAACGTGGCGACGGACTTCGACAGTGGCCTGGCCAGTTCGAACTCGTCCGAGCAGTTATCATCACCACCATCATCGTCTGTGCTCAACCGATCCGGAATGATCAAGGTCACGACCCTGCTCGCAGACCATCTCTGCCCGTACATTGGGCCCAGCTCAGCCAAAGGAACGACCGCGACCGAGGACCCATGCCCCTTTGACAAGTACGACAATTATCTCGGCAACGTCTATCTGCCCACGGACGTCGACTTTGACAGAGCCCTCCTGGAGCACAAGATTGAATTGATCAAGCACCGTTTCAACCTGTAGGCAAACGACACACGGAACGCCGGGACGCGGGACCAGTTGGCTGAGGGATCTTCAGGGCCCCCACATAAACCTAGCCATCTTACAAAGCCAATAAATGGGGGATTGAGGCACGGTTTCTTTATCAAACACGGATCACTCTACCTAGTGCCGAGTGCCCACCAGTGCAACTCCTTTGTTGTGCGCGTCGAGGGTCGACTTGCAGGCTACCATACCCCTTACTTCCAGATCGAGGACTGTGCTCTGTACGAGTAGACTGAGCCCATCCACGAAGCCAGCGCTGGTGACACCAAAGCACAGCCAGACGGTAGACCAAGGAAAGAGACCGCACGGTGTTTGCACATGATGTGATATGCGAGATGCGAGATGCAGCATGCGGGATTGAGAGGATGTCATTTCCGTTGATTGATAGCATGGCAGAGCATGGCAAAAATGCCCGTGGCTTCCATTTGCAGGTACATTGAATCATGAAAGAAAAATAAAAATATATATATTGTTCCGCAAAATGCCCATCCATCCCATCATGAGCAACCGTGCGTTACACCCCATTTTCACTCCCCTCGTTTTAACTTGTAGAGAGAATACGAGGGATCCAGAAAGTCCCTAGCGGAGCAAAGCGAGGCAATTATCCCTAAACTCCGAACAAAACGTTATACGAATACATCTCAGAAGCGCGCCGGGCTTCAGTCTTTCAGCCCACTCGGCCTCGTCGTCCTTTCCGTGTCCCTGGTGGCGTCCTCGCCTTCTAACGTGACGATCTTCCGGCTGAGGAGGAGGCGTAGCTCCGGTGTGATGACTCTCTCTTTGGCTTCTTCGATTTCTTTTCCTTTTGCAGGTCCGCGTCTGGCTGGACTGGAAGGTGGATTTCGGCCCTGTGTTGGTGGCCGCGTGGATGAGCTCGATGCGGTGCCGGTACCACTACCTGACGCTGTAGCGGCTGGATCCCTCTGCTGCTCCCCAGCACTTGTAGCTTGGCCTGGTTTCCTCTGTCGCAGGTCCGCTTCGCGTTGACCGGCATTTGGGAGCGGAAAGGTGTCTTTCCGATCAATGGTCTCGACCGTCTTCTCGAATCTCTTGAATAGCCCCTCGGCTCTCCATAGGGTATCTTGAAGCTCAATCGTCCCGCTCAATTCATTGATGTATTTCAGCACTTCGTCAAAGTGCTTCAGATGGTCCATGATCACATCCCGGTGCTTTTCAAGGATCGCCATTGCAATAAAAAGGTGGAATTGAGACGAGTAATAGTCGGTCCACAGCGACTCCCAAAGCCTTAGCGTGTCGGACCACTCAAACTCTCTCTTGAACCAAACAAGCAACATTCTAAAGAAGAAGAAAAAGTTTGTGGAGTCGGCCGATTGAAGATGGAGGTATAATTTCGGATCGAGAAGTTGGACTAGTTGGTCGAGGGTATTGAGTTGTGCGCGCATTCCCACCTGTGAGCGGACAAAGTTGCGTGACATCCGGCGCATGAACTGCACAAAAGCCCAGAATGCAACGGCATCGTCTTGAAAGACGGCGTAAAGAGGTGAGAGGAGATCGGACATGCCTTGGACATAACCCAGGTTCTGGGGGTGTGGATTTTGGGTCCGGTAGCGCCGTGGCTGCGAAGAGGAAGAGGGCTGTTGAGAGTTGGAGGTCGTGGTGGAGGGAGGCGTGTCGTATTCCAGATAGGTCAGAAGCATATCTTTTAGTTGTTCCATGTGGACATTTGTTCCAGGTCCATTGGGATTGAAGAAGGGCGAGGTTGGGTCTGGGTGAGGGATATCTTCACCTGCGAAGAGGGGGATGTGACGATCGGTACGGTGCACATCCTTTTCTACATGTCGCGCCGCCAGGTCAGTTGAGGTCGTAAGTAGGAAGAAACAAGGGCTTGGGCAGTATTCAGACTTACCAATTCGGACTTTCTGCTCCTTCCACCATTCCTCCTGTTCGGGAGTTGCGTCGCCGTCGATCATTCTATCCCACCAAGCACCTTTCAGCTGAATGTATTCGTCTCGTTTCCTGTTCATGAGAGCATGCCGCTCCTCCTCTGTACTGTCCCACTCGTACAGGCCCAGAAGAAAAGGCCATGCCTCTTTGCGTACACCATCCTCAGCGTCGAGGCCGCCGTGGAAGATGCGTTCCTTGACCTCGTCCACCATGACTTGCAACTTGCCTTTCGAATCGAAAAAGGAGCTCCATTCTTTCATGTCGACCGGGCGTCTCTTGCTGTCAGCCAAGGTCATTCGAGCAGCCTCCATGTCCAAAATTTCGAAATCTCCCACGCTGGTTTCTTCCGAGTCCAGCACATCTCGGGCAGTCCATATTCTCTGCCTCTTCTCTCGCTCGCTCTGTTCTGCAATGCTCATGGCCCATCGTGCCAGGTATAACTTTGCGCTGTCAAATTCATCCTGCAGAGTCTGGATCTCGGGGTTCTGAATGAGCCGCCGCACTTGAGGAGGGAGGCTCTTGTTGTTAGCAAGATCCTCGGCGGTTCGTCGAGTAAACGTAGTGACTTTGGACAGTTGTTCCAAGATCTTCCATCGAGTTTCTTTAAGTGCCTTTGTGAAAGGATCCATCCCTGGACCTGATGGTTTCTTCTGCTCAGGCTTCTCGGACGTTGATGCTTCACTCTTTCGTCTTGTTTTTTCGAGCGATTTGCGGCTTTGGCCGAAGCCAACACGATCTTCTTCAAACGGGTCGATGAGGTATATCGATGGCTCTGCCGTGCTCCTTTCCACAGGGACGTATCTCTTCAGCCACCGGAGTACCTCGTCACCGCCCCAAAATAGGTCACCGGTTTCTCCAAACGGGTCAAATGACTCTGCTCTTTTTTTCTTCTGCAGTATTGTGCTTTCGCATTCCGAGTCATGGAAAAACAAAGCCGGTAAGCTCGAGCCGGCGCGGGTGTTGATAACTATACTTCCATACCACCAGCCTAGACTGGGTGGACGGACGTGGATGGAGTATATGCTGGAGAGAGGCAGGGAGAATGCATATGGTCCAACGGGGGACTCGTCAAAGGTAGTCGCAAGAGGGAGCGGAGGGACCAAGTAGCTTTGTCTAGGAGGAGATTCGCCGTCCTTCATGTCCACCTTCACATAGATGCTTAGATCATCTTGAGCCAAAGACGCCTCTGGGACCCAGGCCAAAAGATATGACGAGGCATTTGTTTTCTTCTTGGACGAGGATTCGGAGGAGGTGGGTCGTTGACTGTCGTCGGACCGCGCAGGCGACCTCTGCTGGACCAGGGCGATGAAGCCCGGGATGTTGTCTTTGGCCGAAGGGGTCGGGTGCACATAGACCTTGCTTTTGGAGAAGAGCAATTTCACGCCCTTTGTGGCCGAGGCATGGGCGATTGTGTTGTAGCCACCTTCTTCGTCGTCCGAGAGATCGTAGAATGATGCTGAAGGCGAAGGCACTTCTGGTCGGGAGGATGACCCCAGAGTCATGATGCTTGTCTCTGGTACGATTGATTTTGGTCAGCGTCCGCTTGCATATTCCAATGCAAGATTGGAGAGGGATGCCACGACGTCCGATGGCAAGATAAAGTGTGTTTGGTATTTGGGAATGGTCAACAGGTGGCGGTGCAGTTGGTGTGTTTGAATTCCGGATGCCTGGGAGCAACAGCTGACGTCGGTGCTGGCGCATGAGAGGCGGCGAGGGGCGAGGGAGAGGGGGCGGAGGGGGACTTGAGCGCGCCAACCAGGCCAGTCGGTAACCCCGCAGCCTATTTCTTAGGTACCACTTAGATAATAGGGAAGCCCAGATAGATGTCGTCATTGCTGGAGCTTCCCTAGCACGCCTAGTCAGCAGTTCCAGGCACACAATTAGAGGGACCCTGAGTGGCTGCACCTACAAAGTACTCGTACGAAGCAGAGCTCAACCACGTGCAGCTTGTTCTCTCCAAGTCTTGCGAAATCAAAAGAACTTTTGCTATACAAATTACAATCCATAAAATGAAAGTCATACAAGTGAGGGAACACTCGCAGGGTACATTTTCACCATTCCCAGCCTTGTGCTCAGCATACATAGACTGTCCCATCCTTTTGTTCCCATCAAACACCATGCTTGCGATTCCGCCCTTTGCCATTTTCCTGTCGTCTCTCGCACAATTCATTAGATGGTCCACGAACTGAAGTCTAGCTGGGAAGCTAGAGCACCGTCCCTCTCCCGTAGTACTGGGGTCCTTCTACCATTTGATGAGGCCGACGCAATGCCGGTGCTGCTCGCGGCGGCTGGGGCAGCTGACGTCGAGTGCTTGTCACCTGATTTACTCATCACGCGCTCTTTGAGTCTTTTGATCTGTTGAAACCTGGCTCTCCAAGCGCTGGGAAACTCCAGGTCATCGTCTTTGGTGTTCCACGTCTGGCAAAACATGTTGGAATTCAACGCCAGTGTTCGCACAAAAGGCCCAAGCTGCGCAGCAGAGATGATCTTGGGATCGGCTGCTGGTGATATATTTGGTAAATCGTCTCTTGTAACCACGCAAACCCAGTAAAAACCCGGCATGAAATCCGCATCTGGGGTTTCTCGGCCACGGCAAGCAGGTCGGATCACAATGTTCACATAATTCAGCTGCGACTTGAAGTTGTTGAAGTCCCATTCAACTCCAGATCGGTTGAAGACGATGTTGACGTGACAGTTGCCGACGTGCGACTTCTTGGTGATACATTGGGGATCGTCTTCGAGATCTGTTGGCATCATAACCGGAATGTGGTAGATAATCTCTTCCACTCGGTCCCTCCATGCTATACTATGCGTGCCGTCTCGCGGGAATTCTAGGCCTTGGGGATTGAAGTTGAGCGGCGGCTCAAGTGATACCACGTACCCCAGACCATCGAGCAGACGGTCAAAGTCGGGACTCCCACTCGTGTTTGCAAGGTATTCAGACTCAGCAGTCTGCCCGGGCCCGATGTAAAGCACCCCAATCTTGTGGCTAGTAACGGTTGGAATGCGATCGAAGCTCTCAAGCGCCCGTTGAACAAGGTCATCCTGAGGTAGGAGCAGTGGTTGATCGGCTGCAGTGGTTGTAGCCGCACTGGCGACCATCTGGAGGATGATGTGCGGAGGGAGAATTTCAGTTGTGGCTTCTTGGTGTCGGATTTCAGTGTGGCCCGGTCGATGGTGTGAAGGAAATGGAGCGGTCAGTGGTTGATACCTTGCATATGTGGTACCCGAAGCCTGGCGCTTGGTTATCTGCGTCTTCCCAGTATGACCTGCCGTCTGCGCCGTCACGATACTGAGACCAACCATCCACGAGGCGGATGACACTGGTCCATCCTCCGGACCTGCAAAGTTGTGGTCTGGTGAAGTTTCTCCAAGGTCGGAGAATGCTGTCCTCTGCATCATGTCGATCAGAACCTGGCTCTGCTCGTCGATAGTCTCTTCCCCACGTGCATTCTTCCACACGAGTCTCGGGATAATCCATGGTACATACTTCGCCCTGATATCGAGCCTAAGGGACAAGAACCAAAAGATCATGTTATGATAAGCCAATGCTGCAGCATATTGAGGTAAACCAATGTCACTCAACATAATCGCTCGATATGGTGGCCGACGAAAATTCATTCCACTGTGCCTTGACGCTGGGTTCATTCTGCCAGGAGGTGAAGTTACTGACGAATACTGTTGCTCCCTCGTCTTCTCCAGGAATTGGATGCAGATCCCAAAGATCATTTGGATCTCGTCTGGGTTGAGGTTGGAGTGCATTTCTGGCAAGAGCGCGACCTGGATGAGGAATTCTAGGATATGTGTGGTGAGATGAGTCTGTGTCATATTCTTTGACATCTTATCAATCATGGTAGGATACAACGTTGCGACTGACGAAGGGATTTCAAGGCTGCAGAGGGACAGTGCATGAATGCAACCTCGTGATGTGCCTTCCCAAGCTCCGCCAATGCCAGAAAGAAATGCTCGAACCAGGTCGTCTCCAAACCCTTTCTGAATGGCCTCGGATTTCATTGTAGCGTAAGGGATCAGCTGAACTAAGATGTTGAACAGACACAAGGCGACGTCCGACCTCTTCAGTCCAGTCGAGGCTGGTGGCTCTCGGAAAGTGTTGTTGACAATCTGTTCACACAAGACTTGCCGTAGTTTGATGACGGTTTGGATCGAGTTGAGGAAGAGGGCGATGTTGCTCAATTGAGCCGCAACGTGGACAACGGTGTAGCCGTAAGTCTCCCAATCTTGATCAGCTTGCAGGCATCGAATGATGCTCATTAGCCATGTATCCATATCAAGTTCGGCTTGCACCTGAGGATAGGCGTCTTTGTCGACATTAAGACCACCGGATACTCGCCCTGCAAAGGGATAAGAGACATTTTCAGTATCTGGGTACATCCACAACGGGTCACCAATATCAGCTTTGGTCGATAGGCTGCTGCTGCTGGCCGAATGTCTTTGTGAAGCAGGAAAGTCGGAGTTGAATACTTCGGCCGATTCCCTCGTGCGCACAAGAGCACTGGCAATGTGTTGGCTTTCGCTTGCAGGGCTGATGTAAATGAAACCTGCATCATCAGCTCGCACTCTAAAAATGAGGCGTTTCGAGACGAGACGAGCTGGTCGGGATTTGCAGCGCGAACTGGCTGCTTCAAGCAGGACCTCAAAGGCATTGGCAGCTGCTCTAGCATCGGTGTGAATACTGTAACAGAAAATGGTCACAAGAACCTTTGTCGCCAAAATTGCTAGATCATCGTCGAAAGCAACCCCTGCAGGACCCTCCATGATCAGTGTGCGTAGTTTCTCTATCGTGCGGATGATAGCAGCCTGATCCTTTGCAGCCTCCTTATAATTCGAAGCCATGTAGTCCAGTGATTTGAGTAGCGTCTCGAAGACTTGGGTATCGCGCTCAACGTCAATTTGCCTGAGCAACCTGTCCAGAATCCATGTGTATGCATCATGAGACTCTGTGCTGGGTTCGGAAGATGCATTGACAGCCGAGTTGTTAGCCTGGACAAGGACTTCGATACCCTTTAAACGGCAGACCGGGGGAAGGGAGTGATTCAGAACGATATCAGTGTAGATTCGATCCGAGTATTGGGCTCTGACGGTACAGTCCTCAGATGACAAATATTTGTCCCTGGCGTAATCCAGAGTCATGGTCAACTGAGCCTGACTAGCATATTGTGGAAACATCAGGAAGAGCTCATGGACAGTCACCCGATCCGAGGGGGACAGCAAATCCCATAACTTCATGAAGTCATGGGACAGCGTTTTGGCCATGGCTTCTCGGTCTCGAAAGTGGCGTTCGTATTGACGATCCTTGTCCTCCTCTTGAGGGTTGATGCGTGGCGAAGTAACCCGAAGGACATTTGCTTGCGGTTGACCTGACGGCGTCATTTTCAGGCAGAGCATGATAATGTCCACGACCTTGGTAAAGTCAATGCCAGCGATTTCGGACTTTGGGCGATTGCTTGAAAGAATTCCATGCAAGGAGCTGAGGATATCATGGCCAAACCGGAAGACGCCTTGTTCCGCAGCAAAGTGCAATTCCTCTAAAAAGCCTCCCAAGGAGAGGATGAAGATACCTCCGTTGTCTTGCTCGTCGATAAGGTTCCGCAAGAGTCGCGTAGCTCCGCGGGCATATGCGAGATTTTTGCCGTTGTTACTCAGACTGGGAGTCCTCACAAAGGCGTAGAGTGTGCTGATGAAGTCTTGTTGCAGATCACCAGCAGCCAATATCCGAGCGCAGTCAAACAGGTGGTCAGGGGCCTCTGGCAGGTTTGCAGCAGAAGCACACAAAACCACAAGAGTCTGATGAAGGCCACTTTTCGGATACTCAAAACGGGACATTATGGTGTAAAGGATACTGATGCCTCCATTGATGTCGCTTTGGCGGCTACTATTGAGGCAGAGAGCAGTGATGGTATCCACAGCGCGGGATAGCTCCAGAGGATCAAAATCCGAGTGACCCAACTTCAGGTAGTCGCAGATGTATTGAAGCAACCAATCAAGGTTTTTCTGCTCTTTGGACGATCCGGACTTCGAGTTCTTGTTCTCCCTTCGGGCCTTCTCTGCCTTGTGCGACCACAGAGGTGCCCATTGGATCAACAAGGATAGTAACGTTGCAGCACCTTGATCGCCGTTCCGGTCCTCCCGCAGGTCCAGAAATCTGCGCGAGACTTCTGTGCCTGGCTTGAGATCTCCAAAGCCAACAAGCCAAGAACGTGCCTCTTCTGGTGCATCCCCAATTGACGATCCATCCTTGAGGACATCTCTCAAGTTCAGAGGCGTTGCATCAGGTATCGCTTTCTCGGAACCTCGTCCTGCTTGAACAGCACTGTCGGGGCTAGGAGAAGTATGAGAAGATATCGTCATGTGCCAGAGTGACAACCTCCTAGACTCTCTCGCGTTGGGAGGGGCAGAGCCTTCCTGGGGAGTGTCATTTTCCTTCGACATACGACACGAATCCTCCCCTACAGACCATAGTTAGCCAGCTCAGCAATTGTCAAGGAGTCATGATGGTCAAAATCTGGAATGGAGCCGCTAGCTGAGCAACCCATAGCCAAAACAAAAGCAGAAAGGTTAAATCGCATGTACACCAATTGATCTGAAGCCAGACACCGAAGAAGCACCACTAAGAGATATAGCCTAAGGGGAAATAACAGGCCGGAAACCCAGCCTTGAGACGGATAACATGGCACAAGGCAGAATGGCTGCGACACAAGAGAAAGAAATGCATACACACCTTGGAAAAGAACCTGTGGCGATGAGGATGCGATACAGACACTGGCGCAAACGAGCCTCTCATTAGACACGTTTAGTTTTTTGGAGGTATCTTCAAAATGAACCCGGAGGAAGTGGAAGGATTCCCGGTTATAATTCGAAGAGACTCGACAAACTTGAGATCAGGTGGCCACGTTTGCTGATAACAGCGACCACGTTATCAGCAGCATTTGGTATGGGGAGGAGGCCCGCCGGAGGGGACTTTTGAGGCGAGGCTTTTTAATGACGGTGATGGTGGAGCATGGGTGATCCGGTCAAAAGCAGGTAGGGTGAGGGTGTGAGGGTAGTAGGGTGAAAATTTTCTGGGATGAAAAGAGAGATTGGGCGATGACTGCGTAGGTGGCAGGATGAGACGCTGCAAGGACTTTTGCTTGCTTTGGAATCTTGGAATATTTTTTTTATGCGTGACGCATAGAGCCGTTGGATAATGGGGGAAGAGGCGTTGTGAGAATCAAGCATGGAGGTGTGAGTGAGCGAGCCATGAGGCGTGAGGAGGCGTTGGAAAGCGTTGGACCCGAGGAAAAAATCACTCTAGATGGTCCCCCGGAGCCAGGCCGATCATGACCTGGAGAAGGCCTAGTAGTGCCTAGTAGTGCCTAGTAGCGCCTAGCGAGTCTTATTCCCTCGCTGGTGTGTGCTGGTGCTTGGGGGTGCTCGGTGCCTATCAGATTTTTTGCCCCGAGCCTAACCGACATTTGCGCAGCTGGTGGTCCTCAAGATTCCCCGTACTCAACATGTGACATTTCTACGGTCGAGTATTTATCCCTCACCAAAAGACCCGCAGCCAAAGGCGGTGAGCAGGCAATTCTATATTCTGCCAGCCCGCAAGAAGCAATCCAAGGTCTACCTCGTACTTTGTAAACAAATCCTCACCGTCGCTGGCCTTCTTTCCCCACTCCCTGCGACTACTCTGACTTTACTCTGTGTCCTCATCCTATACTTGTCCGGTATAGCCTTGGATCAGATAGCCACATACGTGCGACAACTGGGCAGGTTATAGTCCCATCTTGTCACTCCTCTCTCATCGGACAGTGAATGTTCTCCGCCAACATGCACTAAGAGATCCCAAATATTTCATTGCAGCAAGGAACCACATTCCCCTAATTTGGAGCAACATCATCCGCCATGGCTTCACTTGCAACTTTGGCTCAACTCCTGGATGCTAGTCTTGATCCTAGGCAGAACAAAGAAGGTAATGTTCATACTCTTTGCTCTACTGGTTGAAGTCGGTCTAACACAGTAGCCTAGCGGAGCTGAAGATTCGCGCCGAAGAGAAAAAACCTGGGTTCGCCATCTCCCTCCTCCAGATCACCGCCTCGAACGAGTTCCAGTACAACACCAGACTCGCAAGCGCCCTCTTCTTCAAGAATTTTATCCGACGCAGTTGGACCGATGTGGAAGGAAACTACAAACTTCCCCCACAAGATGTGAATGCTATCAAGACAGAAATCGTGGGGCTGATGATATCTGTGCCTCGGGGCATTCAGACACAGCTGGGTGAGGCCATCAGTGTGATAGCAGACAGTGATTTCTGGGAGCGGTGGGACACCTTGGTGGATGACCTGATCTCTCGTCTGAAACCAGGAGATCCGGTGGTCAATGCTGGGGTGCTCCAGGTCGCCCACTCAATCTTTGCGAGATGGAGGCCCTTGTTTCGATCTGATGAGCTCTTTACCGAGATCAATCATGTCCTTTCCAAGTTTGCCCAACCCTTTCTCTCTTTGTGGCAGAGCCTGGATGCCTACATTGAGGCTCATAGCAATGATAAGGCTGCTCTGCAACAAGCTTTTGCTGAACTCGACCTTGTTCTACAACTGTTCTATGATCTGTCATGCCAGGACTTGTCTCCCGTGTTCGAAGACAATCTTCAGGGTATTTCCGGCTTGCTGCTGAAATACCTGAGGTATGACAATCCTCTCCTACACACAGATGACGAAGCGGAGGCTGGTCCCTTGGAGAATATCAAGTCCAACATCTTCGAAGCATTGACGTTGTACATCGGCAAGTACTATGATGACTTTTCAAAGTATGTTAGAAGCTTCGTTGAAAGCTCATGGAATCTGTTGACCACGACCGGCGCCGAGCCTAAAAACGATATTCTGGTCAGCAAAGCTCTCCAATTCTTGACGTCAATCGGAGGCATCAATGAACAGGCGCAGACTTTCAAGGACCCGAATGTTCAGCACCAGATCATTGAGAAGGTCATTCTGCCGAATGTGGCATTGCGAGACTCCGATGTCGAGATGTTCGAGGACGAGCCTATTGAATTCATCCGAAGAGATCTTGAGGGATCAGATTCCGAGACTCGTCGAAGGGCAGCGGGCGATTTTCTTCGTCAGCTTAGTGATCAGTTTGAGCAGTCCGTGACCGGAATTGCAATGACCTATGTTCAAAAATGCCTCCAGGACTTCGCGGCAAATCCTCAACAAAATTGGAGAGTCAAGGACACGGCAGTGAGCGTATTCTATGCTACCGCGGCGAAAGGAGCAACAACTACGACGCACGGAGTGACCAAAACCAACAGTCTAGTGGATATCGGCGACTTCTTCTCAAAACATCTGGCGAGTGATCTGCAGGATGACAATGCCCAACCACTGATCAAGGTCGATGCCATCAAATATCTCTACGTCTTTCGGAGTATCATTACGAAAGACCAGTGGCAGCAAGTCATGCCCTTGCTTGTTAACCACCTCGGCAACTCGAACTATTGCGTGTACACCTACGCGGCTGTCGCAGTTGAGAGAGTCCTGGCCATGACCGATGAGACAGGGCGTCCGGTTATTGATCCGGCTCATATCAAACCGTTGGCAAGTGATCTTCTGGAGCATCTGTTCGGCTTGGTCGAAAAAGATCAAGCACCACAGAAAGTCCAAGAGAATGAGTTCGTCATGCGGTGCATTATGCGGGTCCTTGTTGTCCTCCGAGATGGTATTTCTGCAGTAGCCGACAGTGTCCTGCGACATCTGACCACTATTACAACGATTATATCCACCAACCCAAGCAACCCCAAGTTTTACTACTACCACTTTGAGAGCTTGGGAGCACTGATCCGATTCACCCCCGCGGCACAGGCGGGTGCTTTGGCATCTCATCTGTTCAATCCATTCGCCGCCATCCTTGCCAACAATGTCGAAGAGTTCATACCTTATACTTTTCAGCTGATGGGTGCCCTTTTGGAAGCCGAGCCTAGCGAACCGTTGCCGCCACAGTACACCCCACTCATCGCGCCCATTCTCGGTCCGACTCTTTGGGATCAGCGAGGCAACATACCTGCGTTGGTTCGCTTGCTGGTCGCCATCATTCCCCGCGCAGCGAACGAGCTGGTTAGCAGCAACCAAGTGGAGAGTGTACTGGGAATATATCAGAAACTGGTGTCGACGAAAATCTACGAAAGCTATGGCTTCGATCTGCTCGAAGTTTCCATTTCCACCTTTCCACCATCCGCCCTTGAGCAATATTGGGTGCATATTCTGAATATCATGCTTACGCGACTCCAAAGCAAGCAGTCACAAGCGTTCCAGTTACGATTTGTGAGGTTCTATCATTTCGTGTCATCGCATCAGGAGAAAGGTCTCGGAACTGATTTCTTTGTTGCTGCCACGGATCGCGTCCAGCACGATGTTTTCCGCCAGCTGTACCTGAGCATCATTCTGCCGAAGACGCAGGAATTGGCTCGCCCTCTCGATCGGAAAATGGCCGCCATCTCTCTCACAAAATCACTTGCCGATTCCCAGGCTTTCGTCGAGCGCTATCCCAAAGGTTGGCCATTGACGTGTAATGCGCTGCTCAAGTTGCTAGAAGATCCCCCACTCCCACCCAAGGCGGACGACGCTATCGCAGATGTTGACGTTGACGACAGCAGCTTTGGCGTTGGTTTTACGCAGCTGAACACCATCCGACCGCCACCAGTTGATCCTTTCCCCGAGGTCACGGACCTGAGACGATGGGTGGGACATTATCTCAAGGCAGCAGATCAGCGACACGGAGGCAGAATAGGCAGAGTGGTCAACGACTTGAGCCCGGATTCGAAGAAGGTTTTGAATGCATACATGACGCTCCAATAGCGCCGGGTCGGGGCATCACTGGTCGAAAGAGACAGTCGTTCAGGGGGTGTGGCTACCGGTCAGGATAGAACAAGTGAGATGAAAGCGTGATTCTTGCAACCAGAATAGTTTCATACGCTGTAGGGGGTTGAGGGAGAGAAAAAAATCATGTCCGCCCATAGTTCATTGAGAACTGACGTGAGGATCTAGAACATGACCGGCTGTCAGCTACAAGCAGGTTTGTCAGATGCTATCGAGCGAGTATTGAGTATCGTAGTTCTGAAAGGGAGATACTCCAGTGGGTGTCCAGTACCCGTTTTCCTGATTACTGGAGATCAGGCCAATATGCGAAATTAGATGGATTGTGGATGAATCCATACGAGGCGAGGCTGAAACCTTATGACGCCAAGCGATTGGCTATAAGGCCTAGTGGAGGGGAATCTCTTACAATCCCATATCAAGATAGCGAGAAAACCACCTAGGATGCCGGAATACTCTTACTAACAACCCCTACTATATACCCCGTACCAGAAAGATGACGACAATATGCCCTACCTGTCAATGCCCCTCGGGCCCGCACCCCTATCAGATCCCGGAAGACCGGCACCGCCACAAAAGGTCAAAAGCAAGACGGAGCCCATCCGGAGACTGTCCTTGTACGAGCATCTGTGGAGAATCGTGCATTTTCAGAGCGCGTGAAGACGCTACCAGCGACTATGCCATGTGCGATCCTCAGGTCTATATTGTTGGCAGAGTGGTAATATCACGTGCGTTGAATTCGGGACACTGAGTCTGGCCCTCCCAGTCGAGCATCTGAACAAGGAACCCCCAGCCAAGTTATCGAGCGTAGCAAGTGTTCAAAATGGACTTTTTCGAGCCGCGGAGGGCCTACAAGCGGGCAGGTACAGATTATCTCGAGCTCAAGAGCACAGAGATCGAGTTGGACCAACATACCCTGGCTTCCAAAGCCAGTTTCACAACGACATACAGCTCCGCGACCAGAGATCAATCGCCCCTCATCGTCGATTACAGTAATCCTATTCGAACAGAACCGTCATACTTCTCAGGAAAGTCTCTGAGACACCGTTTCCTCACCCTGCCAAAGGGGCTTAGTGGATGGCGCACCGGTGCCATTACAGCCGCGCTTCTTGGAGTGGTATCGTTTCTGATCAATCTTGTGGTGGTGTCCTGGCTTACAGCGCGCGGTCAAGGTGCCAGCCTTGTGGAAGTCTACAGCGGTCACTGTGGCAAGGTCGAATCCCTGGACATCTGGATCCATCTGGCCATCAATACGATCAGCACTCTGCTACTCGGCGGCTCCAACTACTGCATGCAATGCCTCTGCGCCCCCACAAGGGAGGACGTCAACCGCAGCCATGCGAGGGGAGCATATCTCGACATAGGAGTGCCGAGTGTGAGGAATATGAGGAGTATCTCGAGCCACAAGTTGATTCTTTGGTTGGCCCTGGGACTGTCATCCATCCCCTTGCATCTCATGTAAGTATGCCTTAGCGGAAGGAACCCCAATCCGTTGATCCCAACCAGTCCTGATCATCTGGAATAGGTACAACTCGGCATTCTACAAGTCACTTGAAGCAAACGACTACAACTTATTCTTTGTGACACAAGACTTTATCGATGGCAAAGCGTTTGTGCCCTGGAAAGGTGCGAGTGTTCCGCCCAGCCAGCAGGATATCCAGTCTTCGCTTCTCACTCATCCGGAGACATGGGAACGCCTGGAGAAGCAGGAGTGCATCCATTCCTATGCCACCACTTTTCTAACCAGTCGAAGAAACTTGATTTTGCTATCAAACAACAGCACGAACAAGGCGAACGAGAGCGTATTGAGAGTTGACTTCTATACTTCGGGAAGTGTGCAGGCTTTCGACTGGTGAGAAGCTACTCCTTCCAACTTCACCCCTATCTTCCAGTCTAGTGCAAGCTTTCTGTTCACGTGAGGCTGACTTGATGTGATACCTAGGATTTGCACTAGTGATCCCAATATGGATACCAAGGTTGACACGCCGCATGAGTCGAATGGCTACATACTGCCATGCGAAACGTGGGTCTCAAAAGTTGAAGCCATCGCTTCTCAATGGCGCCCCTACGATTACGACGTTGAATATTGTCTTTCTGAGCGGGTGACTGAGAAATGCAGCTACAACGGCAACATTCCCATTATAGCGATTGTTCTGTCATGCAATGCTGTCAAGATTGTGATAATGCTCTTCGTCGCATTTCGCTTGAAAGACAACCCTTTGATCACGGTGGGAGATGCCGTGGAAAGTTTTCTGAACGAAAATGAGACGTCGACGAAAGGCCTCTGCTTGCTGAGCAAGAGCGATGTGGTCATGGCTATAAGGACAAAGAGCCACTGGTCGCTTCGAGCCAAAAAGGGAGAGGGCCAATTGAGCCCTAGAGTGGCCCGGCTGCGCACAAAACATGGGCTTGAATCTGCAAGCATCACGCGGTGGTCATTGACCACTGGCCTCACCGCCCTGGCGTTGATCGTGGTGGCCTTCCTTCTCGCCATCGCAACCAAAACCATCAAATCCTACGGCTTCGACATTGGCTCGATTGGCTTTGGTAAAGTCACTCAGGCGGGCGTGATCACGGGTTGGTCCATCGGTGCCGCCGACTCTGCAACGTCGAGAATTCTCTCGGCGATCCTCATTGCAAACTTACCACAGACAATCTTCAGCTTCTTATACCTCAATTTGAACGGAGTGTTGACAAGTATGTGGTTAGCGCGCGAATGGAGTCAATTTGCCAGCGAGAGAAAGCCACTGAGAGTGTCGAAGCCAAAGGCAGGTCAAAGAAGCACGCACTTCTTACAGTTGCCCTACAAGGTCGCCGTGCCCTTGATGGTTATGTCCGGCGCCTTGCACTGGGTGATCTCGCAGAGCATCTTTTTGGCCGTGGTTGCGGAGTATAGGGCAGACGGAAGTCTCCTTGATCCTACTTTTATTGCCACGTGCGGATTCTCTCCCATGGCCATGATTATCGTGCTTGTATTGGGAGGGCTCCTGGTTGGGGTCACACTGGGACTGGGAACGATGATGAAGTATGATGCATCGATACCGTTGGTGGGGAGTTGTAGTGCGGCTATTGCGGCAGCGTGCCATCAGCCGAGTTGGGACACCGATGCTTCACTGAAGGCTGTGCAATGGGGCGCCATTCCTGGAATGGACGATAGTGCTGGGGTCGGGCATTGTGCTTTCAGCAGCGGCGAGGTCGAACTTGTACAGGACGGGAGATCATATGCTGGGATTCTGGACGAGATGCAGGCAAAGGATATAGTCTATGGAAGGACGAACGGGCTATAGATGTGAAGTCCGCAGACATGAGTTGCCAGACCGATACAATGACAATGACGAACGCCTTGGAGATATAAAAACGATTTTCTTAATAAATTGAGCCGACAAATACCGCCGAAAGTATACTTCTTTGCCCGAGGAAGGCTGTCACCTAGCTGACGAGGCTGATAATACTCCACCATGATTGGGTAATTGAAACCTCCCGGCAGACCTTCTCTTTGGGGAGAAATATTTTTTTTTGGTCCTATTCCTCCAAGATTCCTACCACGACATCAAATCTCCCATGGCTTTAGGAGAAATGCAGTCCCGACAAGATGACGGAGACCGGCATTTTGACAGACGAACAAATAGACCATCTTCTGTCACAGGCCGAGGTTCGTCTACGGGGAAAGTCACACTCTGCAAATGAAAACGAGATCAGTTTGGAGATTGTCAAGCCAACAACGAGATCCCGGAAAATGTACGCCTCACATCTCCCCTGACCTGGCTGCGTCCGACTGACTCTTCCTGTGGCAGAATTCCCAAACTACACAACAACCTCGTTCGAACGAAGTATATCAATGACAAGCAGGGTGTCGCCGAGATCAATGCCAAAGCGGTCCTTGAGCACCAGCAAAGCCTGCTGGCGGATGGACTCAAGGCCGTCGAAGCGCCTCACAAATCCAAGAAAGTGGTACGCGGTTCCCTTGCATTTTATTATTCTGGTTCGCATGAGGAAATCTATTCCCATATGTTCTTGACGCAGATCAGCAGTCCATTCTGGCCTGCCCTGCACCCATGAAAGTTTTCAAATTCATAGTTACTCTGACTGTACCTTTGGGCTCTTCATTTATTGCTGCTCTCGTTGTTGTCTGCACATCGGCTAACGAGGAACAGAATGACCAGACCAGCGCAGGTCCTGACTGGTTCGACATGCCCAAGACAGACTTGACTCCTCAACTGAAGCGCGACCTCCAACTCATCGAAATGCGATCAGTGCTCGATCCGCACCGGCACTACAAGAAAAATACCAGAAGAGGCAAAGTGCCCACGTTCTCGCAGACGGGGACTGTCATTGAAGGACCTACCGAGTTTTTCAGCGCAAGAATCAACAAAAAGGATCGATCCAAGAACTTTGTCGAGGAAGCAATGGCTACCGAGAGGGAGACTGGACGGTTTAAGCGAAAATACAGCGAAATTCAAGACACCAAAACAAGCGGCAAGAAGGCACACTACAAAAAGCTCATGGCAAAGCGGAGGAAAAGACCTTGACCCTGGCCAGAGTTGTGAAGCGAGATTTTTTTTTATCGTGCCAAAAAAACCGAACCAGTACTCGGTACTGTCCGCCTGGCGTTGCCCGTGCTCTGCTTGACAGCACAGCCGGGGGAGCTACCTATGCACGGCTGGCGAGGAATCGGAGGTCAGGCATCAATAGTCGGCTGAAATGCTTGCTTTGCCTGGGATCTCTACGGAGTACCGAACCTCACTGGAGACAGGCGAGGGAGCCAAATACGCGCGACGAACGGGAATGTAGCCGATTGGAAGTCGTGGAGTGTCCCAGCATCGTTGTGGCACAGCCGCAGAGATACTCATGCTTCGCCGGCCCGCCTTGATTGAGGGCCAAAGGGATGGAAATCTCCGTAGCAAACAAAGTTGCAGATAGACCGGCGGTTGAAAGACGTTTTGTCCCGTAAAGCAAAGCCAGAAAGCCTAAACCGCAGGGCATCTGAGATGACTGAGATGATACTTGCCTGCCTAAGGGGAATTGGGGGCCACGAGCAAAAGATTTGAATAGCAACTGGAATAACGAAGGCGGATTTGGGCCGGAAGTTGTACAAAACCTCACTGCACCCCTTCCGTACCTATGAGAAAGACTCTGCAAGGATACCTGACTGTTCTTTGCATGTGGCCACCGCAAATCTACCGGATTATTGTCAAGAACAACTTTCTTTTTTGCTCAGCTTCACATGGGCACATTGTACTCGGTAATTGTTTTGCCAAAATCATCTAAATCATCTCAAACCAGTCCAAGGAAGGCTGCGGGCTTGATTCGAGCCGCTCCGTCTCCTGCATGGCCAATTTATCGCTGGCGTTGCCACCCCTTGAACACCTCCTTTCTCGGTGCCCCAAGTCGAACCATTATGGGACTGTCAATCCAATATCACCAGTCCAGCCCGTTGCCATCCGGCATCTGACCCCACAGGCCGTTTCTCCCAGACCTTTCTTCCGGTCATCTCTCCCAGCGCCAGACCATCGGGTGGCGCCATAGAATCACCGCTTCAAGCCCTCCGCAAACACGGAGTGGATTAGCCGAAGTGTCCAAGAACGAACATCCTCTACCCTGTTTTGATCGAGGCCATCTCGCTACCACATCTGCCGGACAAAAAGAGATGACTGGGGACACGTGGATGGTGATGAAGTCATTTGGATGTGCCCGGAAAGAGGACGCCGGCACAAGCCTACAAACAGGTTTGAGAATTCACCGTCCAGCTCCTTTTCAGCATGCATGCCTGGCTGAGTCGTCGCGAATCACCTTGTTCCCCGTGCGACGATCCCGTCAGTCGGCTTGCGAGTGACCCCGAGCATTGTGGAAACATCAAGAAACCCTACTCTATGTGAGACACACCATCAAAGCAGGATGACCATGGGCCAGGAACCCAGAAACCCACAGAGCGACCAGAACCACCAGGCCTGTGCCTGTTATCTCGCGAATAATTCTTGGTGCAGAGGCCTTGTGCCTCGAGACTTGAGACTGGCGTCCCCTGCCACCACCCGCCCCGAACAAGCTTCCCCTTCTTCCAGCGGGCCTTACCTGAAAGGCGAAAGGCTCAGCAGGAGATGCAGTGATGGCCTGACAGTTTGCTGCCGCCACCGTCTTGCATGCGTTCAAGCCTCACCTCAGGTCCAATCGCATCGAGCTCGCCTTTGGCTGCCAGGCAGATTGGCCAGTATCAGACCTGCGCCGCGACTCCGCCCCCATTGGCGAGATATCTTTAGCCGGCGCCACAAGGATACGCCCCAGACAATTGCTAGGCCCCTTTGAGCTCCCGCCAGGCCTTGCCGCGGGCCAAGTTAGCTATAATCCAGAGGCCTTCTCCAACCCTGCCCCAACCACCGACAATACGATAGCACGACGATTAGATCTACGACTTGCCGCTGCGGTACCACGACTCCCCTAGCATCCCTCGACGTTGCAGATTGGAATCCAACTTGATTGTTATCTTGATCTGTTTATTCTTCTCCAGAATCCATGCGCAATGTGTGCGCGAGGTGAGGCCTGGCAACGAACCACTGGTAGGACGACCTCGATGCCCCTCCTGATTGGAGAGAACCCCCAGAAGCTCGAAATTTGAAACGACTTCATATCAAGGACAACATGACATCGGTTCTGCGCCTGGGAAGCAAGGACCGTTCGTCCTTCTCCTTCTTCAAACGACAGGGTTCTGATAATGCATCGGATCTTTCTTCCGACAACCTCGCCCACCGCCTCCCCGATATCTCACATGTCGACACTCGATCTTTTGCAGAACTATTTGACGAGTTTATGAACAAGGAGATCCACGACGTACCCCAGGCCCAGGTGCAAGGTCCGGCAATACAGTCCCCTGACTTGATGAAGGTTATCGAGTCCAGCACCCCGACCCAGACGACCGTACCTAGAAAAACCTTCGATACCAAGGTCGACTTTCTCAAAGTCAACATCGCCAGGAATGATTCCACAGCATCATCTTGCTATTCTCAGCCAAGCCAAAGGGATAGCGATTGCTCACCCTTAGTCACCAGGCAGTCTTCGAGCTCCAGCTACACCCAGGAGCCACCATCTGCGGTTCAGAGAACGGTTTCGTCGAAACTCAAGCCCATATCGATCCCCAAACGACCGACGCAAGGATTTCTGGGCAACCTCACAGAATCTCCCGTGAGCGCGCAGCCTTCACCGGCTAGGACCAACTCCTCTCTAGTAAGAGTCGTGTCGGCCCCGCTAAACCTGGACAAACCACTTCCTCCGGGCCCAAGCAATACCAAAGGAGCTTCCACCTCGGCACCAAATCTGCTTCTATGTCAGCCACCGGTGGAGCTTCCCTCCACTCTTCCGAGATCAATCAGGCGTTCCTCTGCCAGTGTACAGCGCATATCTTCTCAACCAGGCATGATGGCGTCTACAAGAAGGGGCTCTGACGGCGGTGCTGTATCAGAATTGCCAGCCTGGTCGCACAGATCAGCTCGGCAAGCGCCATCGGAGAGGACTGCCGCCCACGGACACTACAGGAATCGTTCAGCATCTGACACGGAGGTGCCGCACCCCGGACGTTCCTTGAAGCCAGCGTCTAGACGACATACGGTTGATATGCAGAAGCTGGTCTTAACTGCTGCTTCTTCATCCAACCCCACTCAAGCGGCTCGGAAGCTCAATCGCCGTCCGATTACAGCAACCACGGCCGAGCGTGTGATCTACAGAATCATGTGTAGCCTTCACAGCGCACGAGATCTCCAGGCTACTGCCATGATCAGCAAAGGTTTTCTACGGACTTTTCAAAGGAATGAATCGAAGCTGGTAAGCCATTTGATGTTCAAAACATCACGAGCTGCTTGGGAGCTTCGTCGGAGTATCCTTGCTCTGAAAGGATCCAACGACTTTCTCTTGAAAGACTATAGCCGGGACTGTCGAACCCTGGATGCGTTGAAGGCGTTCATTGTAGCTCATTGCAGCTCGAGTTGCAAGCAGAGCACGCTGATTGGTCTTCTGGGCCAAGATGATGAGAGAAAATCACGAATCGACAATGCGTTGTGGCGGATATGGACGTTCTGCACTTTATTTGGAAACACAGTCGGTCAATCTGGCCCTGCACAGACGGAAATCGATTGGCTCAACGGCACCAGAGCGGCTTCCAACAAACAGCTCGGGGCTGGGTTCGCTATCGGCAATGGAAATGGGCTTACGACCCACGAACTTGAAGACATGAACGAAATGTGGCAGTGTTTGCAAATCCTGATGTCAGGTTTCCGTGGTCGAGAGCAAGAAGCCAAGCGATACGGAGTCTTTGACAACTGGCACTTGCGAGACACAACTTCAGAGTCCCAACATCTTACTGAGTGGACCTCGTACCTGCTCGCCCTGGGTCCCCAGACCGTTCTGTCGTTGTCCAGCTGCTCGTTCGAACAGGCAAGGATGCTTGGGTTGACAAACTGGCCCGTTCCGCCAGCAGGGCAAAGTCGATCATCATTCCTGACCACGGCAATTGCACAAGTATACCAAGAAAGGGTGCTAGAAGATGCCACTCGGAGGGCTGCGAGGATGTCGATGCGACATGTGCCAGGACAACACCCAGTCCCTCGAGCCCCGGCCCATCGTCCAACGAGATCACTTGACGAACAAGTGACCAACGTGGCTTCTGCGCGCGCCACCGTTCAGTCGCAATCACTACGGATTGATACCACAAGCCTGAAAAGGAGACCGATCTCCACAAACGCTCTTGCAGAGATGCGACTAGAGATACGTCCGGACTGCGATCCTGCCAATGCTAGGCAAGAGATCCGCCCTGATTGCGATCCTGCTCCTAGAACAAACCGGGCATCTCACTTGCTTCCGACGTCCCCTACGACCGATCCGACAGTTTACTATTCGCTTTCAATGACTTCGACAGCCAGCACCAAACTTGGAGCAACACTATTTCCTATGGATTATGCTAGTCCAGCGCCTCGGGTTCCTTTCCGGGCACCTGAGCCACCCGCAGCCTTGGCTTCTGGCATTGTGGATCCAGTCGACAAAGCAATGAATATCTTAGTACGTCAACTGGGATTCGCTGAGACCAAAGCGAGGAAGGCCCTTGCAATGTGCGATTCAGGGTCGGGAATCGATTTGCAGAAGGCGATTGAACTGTTGTCTGTCGATTCAAAGGATGCGCAACGAGAGCGCCATCTGCCTGTGGAACTCCCTACACCTACCAGTGCCGTAAGTGCTACCAGGCAGAAAAGGCCGCCGCCAGCGTCCAGGGCGTACTGTGACGGCCAATGCCAACGGACGTCAACCTTGTCGCATTCCCGGAATAGATCTACGGGCACGACGGGCACTGCTACGGATGTGTCTCTCAGTCCGGTTTCAGCACTGGGTGAAGAGGAGTGGCAGGACACTATATCGCCACTTGTTAATACGCCGGCAATGGCATCTCGATCAAAGGCCACTTTAGCCAGGGGCCCAAGTAAGGCTAAAGCATGGAAAGTGCTGGGAATGGACAGCCTGCCTAAACGCAAGAACTCAGTGCTTCATATCGAGGAATATCAAGCCAAAGTGGAAAGACGAAAGAGCATGCGCGCGAACATCAATGAAGGTCACCAGAGCCTGAAGATCAAAGAGGGGCTGGGTAAGAATCTGCTTGGATTGGGACTGGGCATTGGGAGTGGTGCTGGGGCAAAGTCGGCGGAGGTACAACTTGAGCGAGTGCGTGAGGAAGAGCGGCGGAAGAAAGAGAAAAACCGGACCAGTTGCATACCCAGGTATTCTTCCTGATCAACCTGCGACACTTTCACTCATTATGTTGTCCTCTGTCATTTTTGGGGGTATCGACACAGCTTTTGAGGTCACCGAACAGATTCGAAGAGATGGGAGGAATCGTCCACTCATTTTGCATATATATGACGACTTTTAAGACAACATATTGCTATTAAGGGAACGAAACGACAGGGAAATGCAAATACGACACGAGGGACACGATACGAACCTGCAGCAATGCAACAATTGATGACCAACACATACACTTATATACCGATGACTTGGATTTCTTGGGAAGCGGAAACGATACCTAGTACCTCCGTACATATCTTTTGATTTTGTTGGCTGGTATTGGCCTTTTTCTCTGAGGTGTGTTCCTCCTGTTCTGCTCCAGAGTTTGACTTGCATTTGGTGGCATTTTGGCAGAGTCTCATATGTATATTCTCACACTCACTGATCGCGGAGGGAGGTTTCCTCCCAGCACATTTTTAATGTACACTTGGACAACGACAAATATGAATTATTTCAAGACGTTGTGAACATGATTCGGGCATTCTCAAGAACTTGGAAATGAGAAGTCGGATAGTGGAAGAAGTATATTGATTCAGTCAGAGAGCTTGGTTGACTTTTTGTATTTGTATTTTGTCTTTCACTGTCACACGCCCAAAGGGGGGTGAATGCTTTCGGTATGAATGCTCCTGGCACATCGCAATGGTTTTGCCGGCCCTCTCTCTTCCCTGAGTTGTTTGTGCCTTGGGTACAGAGAATTCTGTGGAGAGCGTTCCATTGGGGAGGAATTTCGCTGCTCGTCCCTCGTCTTTCTTTCGCTGCCCTTTGGGATCTTCCACGATGCAATCGCGTGAGGACGGCGGGCGGGCGTACATGCGTGCAACAGGTCGGTCGGAGCCTTTGACCGGGGAGGGATGGAGGGAGGGATACACGGCACTTGCTCCCACGCATGCACTTGTACTTCTTTGGGGACCAAGCCGATTCAGCTTTTGTGTCTCTTGATCCAGTTACGCTTTCCGGCTCGGGTACCCTTTCTCCTCGGCATTAAAGTTGGGGAGGTGTATTAATGCCCAGTATCCGTGGGAGTCGGTGGGCTCGAAGGGATATGAAAGGGGAGAGAGACATGGCAATGGCATCTCTCTCTCTCTCTCGCGTCGGACCTTGCCAGACCTCGAGCCGAGTCGAGTCAACTGAGCGGATTGCTCTCTTCGTAACTCTCTCCTTGCCGTCGTCCCAATCCTTGTCGACTAACCTCTTGATCCTTTTTACACACAAAATCATCAGGTCATCTGTTGTCCGGGGTGTTGAAAGAGCACGATACCCATCCCATCTCGCGAGGCTGTACCCATTGTGTTCTGTCCGCTTTGTCTTTACGGATCTCAAAAGTGTAATTCTTATTTCCCACGCAAAACCACAAACTGCCCTTCCCTCTCTGTATTTTTTAATCTATCGCGGCAAACAAGCTCAAGTAAATACCCCAGAACAAGCCCACGACGCTCGCCACAATCACGCGCCTGTTGACCGGCACGAGCGTGAAATTCAGCAGCGCCACGATGGGCCACAGCTTCCAACTGCTAATCATCAACGGGACGGTGTCCCTCTCGACTTCCTTCTGCACGGCCTTGGCCGACTTCCCCTTGAAGGCCGCCATGGCGGCGATAAAGCCGACCGTGTTGACGAACGCCCCCAAGGTCTGGTCGAAGAGGAATTTGCGCAGCGTGTTGGGGATGTCGAGTTGTGTGTCGGCGGTCGGGGCGGAGGACGTGGTCGACGGGGAGATGGGCGCGATCGTGTAGCCCGGGAACTTGTCTTCGAGGTATTCCTGCCAGAGGATGTTGGGCGGGCAGGAGATGAAGGTGAAGAGCACAAACTGCACCAGGGGTGCGAGCTTGATCCTGAAAGGGACGGATTCTCGATAGGCCGCGATGCCTTGCGCGGCGAGGTTTGAAATGGCGGAGAGACATGCGGCTTGGAGGGTGGTCGTGATGAAATGGGAGACCATGGTGATGGTGATGGTGGTTATTCGCTCAACTTAAGACAATATCATGTGTTTACAAAAGATTGGAAAAGGGACATTGACGAAGAAAATGTGCACCTCGCACGCCTGACTTTGGATTGCAACCAACCGATGTGAGCCCAATTATTTGAATTATTTTATTTCACATGCAAGCTGCCAGATTGCGGAGAACAAAGATAAAGGAGATTGTGGAGAGACGCCACAACGCCACCGGTGTCAGAATACGGTACAGTAAGCAGCCCTCAACGCCACGTGCACACCTGCACAAATGTCACCAAATCTTACCGTATAAGGTCACGTGCAGTACGGGGGAGCGGAAAGCTGGCCTGCACCTGGCAGAGCCGGATCAAGTCTCGCATGACAACGCATCCCAACCCGAGCCTCCCAGCTGAGTTTTGATGCCCGAAGTGAGGCGAATCATAACTCTTTACCCCTTCGCAGTCACCTTGTCGGCCATGATATAGTACCGATCCCTGACGGCCAACACGGAGGACCCGATACCTGGGAAGCAGGAGAGGAACAACACGGCAGAGGTCTCCCAGCCTCGTGGGTGCGCATGACCAAGAGGTGGCTGGGGATCCAATACGAGTAATCGTGGGTGATGGCAGAGATTATCAGGTTGCAGAATGGGCCAATCTGCTCGGGATGATCATGTGTGAGCGCCAGGCAAATAAGAAACCCAGTCATTGTGTCCTCGGTGTGTTGTCTCAGCGCTCCCTCGACGCTCTGTAATTCGTCCCATTCGTCGCCCTGGTCGGGTCGAGTGATGGAAGTCCGATTGGTTTGTCGGAAAGGCTTTGTTGACATGATGAAATTGAGAAAGGGCGAGGCTGGCACACTCCTCGAGATTTTGAGGAACCGAAGAACCAGGGAGCAAAGGCTCGGTAGACATCTCTATCATGGATCTCAGATCTCGACGGTGGCCGGGCCGCTTGGTTTAACCCAGAGCCTGCCAGAGCTGAGGTCCATGGGCGCCGTCACCACCGTGGGCTGGCACGCTGGGTTCCCCGCGCCTGCGCTTTTCCCTTCCCTCTTCTTCCTCTTGCCCACAGCTACTCCCTCAGTGCCTCCAGCTTGGAAAACTCATGTAAAAATGCTCCTTGGGCTTCCTTTTTCCTACTCTACTCTCCACTCTTCCTACGCTTCCTCACCGACTCTCTATCCACTCTATCCATCTGTCCATCGATAATCCGGTTTTTCGCTGTATCTGACACTGAGCCACCCTTTGCGCGACCTCGACCGCTCCACTGACATCAATCCCCCCCCCGTCCTCAGTTGCATCCGGCGCGACACCCGAAGTTGGCTGTGCGGTGGATTGAGTGTCAAAACAACAGCATCTTACGATCATCTTTTCTATTCTCGCCCGTGTGCCGTCCTCGTTACATTCCGATATAGTTTCTCAGATCGCTTCCTCTCTTATTTCAAGCTTTCCGGTTGCGCCATCGTCGATACCATCCCCGTCGCGCACCGGCGCATTCTACCTGCGGTAATTATCTCCAGCTACGTCAAGGTCCTAGGCGACCATGGATCAACAACAGAAGACGGCTCCTCCGGTTTACGATCTTTCTCAAGGCGGCCACTATGGAGCCAGCGCTGCGGTGAGTTTCTACATCTTCCTTGGTCCGGTTGAGCAAGGGCGCATCGCGTGCGCAGAAGAGGAGGACGCAATACGACACACCGGTTGATGCGATATTTCGATAACGTTGTGGATGAGCGAGGTACTGACTCAACATTATAGCTGTCCGCTCAGGGCTATGTCCCTCATACTGAGTTGTACTCGGGACTATGGTCAAATGTATGTGTTTGTTGATCCATCCGAACCCGGTCGCTAGACACGTTGCTCACCAATCTTCAGATCAATCAAGGGCTGACTGGCCCGTCCCGGGAAATCCTGGCAACCTATTGGCAACAGACTATCAACCATCTCGAGACTGATACTCACGATTTCAAAATCCATCAACTTCCTCTAGCAAGAATCAAAAAGGTCATGAAGGCGGATCCGGAGGTTAAGATGATCTCCGCTGAAGCTCCCATCCTTTTCGCAAAGGGCTGTGACATATTCATCACAGAACTTACCATGCGCGCTTGGATTCATGCAGAGGACAACAAGAGAAGGACCCTTCAGCGCAGTGACATAGCTGCGGCTCTGGCCAAGAGCGACATGTTCGACTTTCTAATCGACATCGTCCCAAGAGAAGACAGCGCCGGGCACGGAAACTCGAAACGGCCCAATACCAGCGGCCAGGCTACGGCCGCTCAAGTTCCCCAACAAGCTGCACAGCAAATGCCACCTCCGGACTATGGCATGCAGCATGGAACAATGGGCCCACCGGACACCCAATACGGTAGACCCCAGATGTATCCCAGCCATATGGGTGGTGACGCACAACAAGATCCCAGTCAGGGCTATGGCCAACCTCCGCAGATGTTCGCTGGCGGTGATATGTACAACCCCTACGCCCAGGGACAGTTTGGTAGCACTGGTGCTCAACAGGTAGGTGGACTTCCGTGATCATCATAACCTACAAGTCGAAAACCAAGGGCCGTAGACGCTGACTCTTTTCTTCTCAACAGATGTACTCGAATCTCCCGGGCCAAAGACCACAAAGCCAAGGATATGGAGGTCCAAGGCCGGGTACCGCAGGAAGAGATCAACAAGTCAATGAGCAAGGTTACGGCCCTGGCTAGGTGCCATATCCGAGATCGCGTCGCATGTGATTGTCAACCACGGCCAGTACCAGAAGATTTCCCGTACCCCAGCTTTGGAAACACCAAAATTGATACCACTACCGTTTGATGAAATTGTTTTGAAGTAAAGACTGTTACGCTTTCCTCGTTCAGAAATGGATACCACGAGCACCGGTGATAGCAATATCTCACCAGAAGGAACAAGGCCGAGCAAGGCAGGAAGACGGAATAAATGATCCACGGGCTCCAGCACAACACGATTTCTGATAGACTGCCTTCGCAGCACAATGGAATTCTTTGGTTCACAAACCTTCAAACTGTGGTTCCTCCTGCATCCATGTGTCGTTGCTCCTATTCCGATGTATCTGCGTCAAATTCGTAAGGTGATTAGAATTGTTGCGTATACCTCGTGCCAGCCAGCAATCACTAGGAAAAGCGTCACAATCTTGTTCTCTCACAACGAAGCGCTCTTCCAATGCTTCATGTCAGCCTCGCGAGACACATCGCCCATCATCAGCATAAATGCGCACGATGCGCTAAGAAGGCCCGAATAGAACAGTACCTCTACTCATGCAGGACGTAGCAGCAAAGCATGAGGTGTCTGATGACAGGGTGGATGGATTGGATAGATAAAATAGACGAATGAGTTTCCAGCTTATCGGTTGTAAATAGGAATGTATTCAAGAGAGGAGGGGTTTTCTTTTATCGAATTTGAATGTGAATTGTCTACCAGTCGAGAATAGATGAAAATTGGATGCGTGGATGATTATGGATATACGAGGTAGATATGCATTATCCACCTAGAGGGGGAAAAAAAATATAGGGCACCATTGCCAGTTTCAGAGTTACAAAGCGAGAGGTTGAGATTGAGGACCTGGCGAGCTGGGTAACTAGTACCTAGTATGCTCTACTAGCTGAGCGTTAAGTGTTGAGTACCTCGTACTGACTACTGATTACTGATTACGAGGACATACTGTAGGTGTGTGCAACGCCATGTAGGTTCACGAACGTAGGCGGCAGGTAGATAGATAGATAGGTAGATACATGGAGTACAGGCACATTTTCAGGGGGATACGTCGCTCCAGCACCCATTTTGAATTTCGGTAGAAGCGCACTGGCCTAGTTTGGCCTGGCCTGGCCTGGCTTGTCTAGTCAAGGGAGCCACGAGAAAATAGCACCGACACATGTACAAGACATACCCATGTTAAAAGAAAGATGTGTGGCTAACAAAACTCATCGCCCGCCATGCGGCATGAACCGATTCTGCAATGCGGCAAAGGTATTGCCCCCTCTCGACCCGGTGCTCCCGCTGTGCGCCAGACCCGGACTGTGCACGCCGTCTCTTCCGCCGTCGCCGTCGAAAAGCCCGTGTCCGTGCCCGCCGGCGCTCCTGGCCGAGACGGGCGACCGGACGTCCACGTGCACGACCTTCTCCAGCAGCTGGGGACCCTTGAGCGGGTCGACGTTACGGTACTTCTTGTTCCGCAGCGAGATGTCGTAGAACTCGTCCGGTTGGTCGGTGCTCATCAACGCCACCGTCTGGATTAACTCGTCCAGCGACTCGAGCAAGATGCCGTTGTTGGGCAGTGTCTCGACATAGGATCGGAAGTGCTGGATGTCCATGTCCATCTGGGCGATGCACGCCGTCGTGATCCGGTCCACTTGCGGCGATAGGGGGAGCGAGAGGATGCTCGAGGCCGTGTGTGAGATGGCGTTGAACAGCATGAGATCCTTCAGCGACGACGGCAGAGAGAGCAAGACGCTATTGATGATGTTCGACAGGTACCTCGTCAGAGTGAGGATGTAATTGGACGGCTCGGTGGGGAGGTCGCGTGAAAGCCAGTCATACTCGGCCGTCTCGATCAGGTCGCTGACTTTGCTGTTGACCAGTTCAAAAATGCGGTTCTCGGCCGTCTTCTGGTGAGTGCTGAACTGGGCCGTGGCCTTCAACGAGACGGGTGGGCCGACGGCGCCTCCGCCGCCGAGGGTCGAGGAGGACGACCGCGCCGTCGCCAGCAGGGTTTCGAGTTCGTGGCAGGCAGTGGTAAAATGCGAGAGGTTGATCAGGATCTGCACGATTTGGCCCAGGTACTGCGACGAGAGTTTCGACACCAAGCTGGCACAGACTTTGGTTGTCAGGAGATCGTCTAGCGACGTCAGGAGTTGGGAATCGATCTTGGACGTGAGGGGCGAGGGCGCATTGTCCTCCTGCGCCGAGAAGAAGTAGAATTGGTTCAAGAAGTTGCGGATGTCGATGCAACAGAGTGGATACATTTGCGAGAAGGGGAAGACGGTCGGGAAAGTCATTTCATGCACGGGACGATCCGGCGTATACCAGGATACATTGACGACCTTTTCGAATTCTTCGGCATTCTGGATCGGCATGGGCATGTAGTCGTCTGTACCGACAATCTCGATAAAGTCCTCGCTGAACCGCTGCTTAAGCAGCTCAGCGTACTTATCAAACAGCACCAGCACAAAATTCGACATGGCCGCGGTGTTGAAGTTGAAGCCGTTCATGGTCTGAATGAACAACGAGATCAGATTCTTGATCTTCAGCAGGTGCTCGGCATTGTCCACGGCAGACAGGGCCTTGGACATCAATGAGATTGCCGTTTGGCAGAGTGAGTCCCACAGCTCTTCGACTTCGGTGGTAGAGCGTAGGTCGGGCACTTTTTTCATTGTGGCACGTTCCATGATGGCGAAGCCTGCTATGTCTTCCAGGAGAGTGTGCAGATCACCCATCTCGTCGTCAACGAGGGAGATGGAGTTTGAAAGGAGAAGATCGCGTTGAGCACGACGACTGGCTGCGTAATCGGTCTTGAATTTCTCCATCTGACCAAGTGAGCGGTAGATATGCAAAGCTTCAAACAAAGGAGTAAAATCAACTTCCAGATCCTCGCTTTTGAGCAGGTCGAATTCCTCGTGCTCATCTGCCACGAGTTCAATAGCAGAGTTGAGTTTGAAGCTGGCAAGGTAGGGGGTCTTTTCAGATCTTTCCTTCAGCCGCTGCTTGCGAAGGTCGGTATGGTAGAAGGAGAGCTCCCCCAGATACTGGGACATTTCTCGGACGCGAAATAGCCAGGTGTTGAGGTCGGCCATGACGGCTTCAGCAATGGATTTCTGGATCGCAGGCACCGATTTCTGAATCAGCTCGCTCAGCTCGTACTGGGTGACATTCTGAAGGTGGACGCTCTGCAGTTCATCGAGTGCACGCAGAGCGGCATAGTGTTTCTTCTGATCCCGAAGCTCCTGAACCTGGTTCGCCAGGCGCAAAACTTCCAGACAATCCTGCAGAGAATGCCGGGCGTCTTCGATATTCTGTCTAACACCGCGGGACTCAACCAGGGCTTTCTTCTGGTCTACGAGACGTTCAGTGCTTGCTTGGATGGACTGGTTCAACTCGAGGATCTCGTTGGTGAGAGTAACGGTGCCTTCGCGAATTCGGAGCAGCTGATTGACAGACTTGACAAACTCCTGATGGTTCGTGTTGCACTGGCGCTCAATCTCTGACTCCCGTTCACCGGCAAGGTCGGATAACTGGCTGAGCAGATGGGCCGTCTTGTTGCCATAGCTGTAGTCTTTGATGTAGGGGATTAACTGGTCTAATGTGTCTGCCTCCGATGAAGAGGTGACGATCTGGACTATGGTGTCAGCCTGGAATTGCACCATGACGAGGTCTTCCATACCTGCTGAAGCACATTATTTATGTCATTCCTGTAGGGCGCTACCGACGGCATTGTCACAAGTGCTATCCTATCTCTGAAAACACTTGGATCTCCTAGGGCAGGCTAGCTTCCAGTGTCTGGAATTGGATTCGCGTCAAAGTTCGGCTACACGTGGCTTGTCTTATGGTGGCATGGGAAAAGGACAATTGGACAAAGAAAGCTGTGAGAGTATTGGATCGTATAGCAATGATTTCTTTTCGTATTGAACATCCAAGCGCCTTGCGACGTTGCACAGAAGGGAGAATATGGTAAACTCTGTGATTCTCCTCCTCTTGACAACAGGAGAGACTGAGGTCGGCAGACTTGCCATGACAGCGATATGTCAGATACTATGTAGTCGTATCTTAGAAATAACGCTAACCATATAGCGTTAGCGTCCTGGCCAAGAACCTCAAGCAACAACCTCACGACTTCTCTTGTTCCCTTCTCTTCTGTAGATCATGCCAACATCATCCAAGTAATCCTCCTCTTAAGAGAGACAGGGCATTGCGGAAGCTCACTGTGATGTCTGTGAGGATTGATGAGCTCGCGCTGCTTAGGTGGGGCTTGAGGATGTTCGCTTCAAGAGCAGACACTCTGCAACATGTTTGGTTTGTCTGAAGGACAAGGAGAAAGGGCTGTGTTGAGACAAGAACATTGCACCTGTGCCTTGAGAATAATGTCAGCAAACCTGACTCTTCTGTGCTGGGATAAGCAGTGCAACAAGACAAGAAGAAGAACTTGAAAGAGCTAAATGCAAAGACGTGAACCATGGCAGCGTGGACAAGCCGGTGTCGTGTGTCCAAGCCTCAGAGGCAGGTTCAATTCCGGATGAACAAGGGATTCGCAAAGCGCATGCGTCCGCTTATCATATGGTCTCTGAAATCGTTGGGACCATGCAAGCAAAGACAACGAGGACAATGATGTCGTCGTTGCCTGGGCTGCAAATTCAGTGAAGAGACCCAGCCGCCGCTGATGTCGTCGAAGTGAGGTGCACAGTGAGAACGCAATGGGAGACTTTGGCCTCACATCGGTCATATGTGGAAGATACTCGTTGCCGCAGGTAAGGGCTGTGGGATGGTCGCTGCGCATTCAAATTCTATGGGCAAGACGCCGACCAGAGCGGCTGGGAGTGTGGACTTGATTTGAAAGCCTCGTTTGTGGGTGAAAGTCGACGACTCTCACTTGGCAGTGCCGTCGCTCCCTCTCACTATTGTCACGACGACCATTACCTGCGTCATTCGAGCTTCCTGTCGTCGTTTGAAATCGGTCTATTCCCGTTGCGGGTTGTTGTGAAGAGTTTCCCAGCCGCTCCTTCCCACGAAAAAAATTCGCATCTTCTTTTTTCCGACCCAACTCACCTCACTCCTTACCATCTCTCTCTCCTTTACCATCCTCATCACACTCCTTCTACTCCATCAATCCCTCGAATCTTCTTGGTATTCGTCCTCCTTCATCACATTCCTTACTACAGCACACTCTCTTCATTGTTTTCAGAGCGTCACCTCATTCCAAAACCTCATCTCTGCACGTTTTTGGTAAGTTTCATCCAATGCCCATCAACTTACTGCTCTACCAAGAGAAGCGAGTTTGCAATAGCCATCAGCACTGTCCCTGCCCCCTCCCATCCTTCATGCTAGCGTCCGTGGCATTGGTTCTCACTGCCGTGCCTCTGCTCGTTGCCTGCATTGAAAACTTGATGTTTTTGGACTCGGGTTTTCAAACATCACCAGACACTCTCCTTCCATCCTCACCTCTTCCAATTTGAGCCACCTGCTAATTGCCTGCATTGAACAGCAATGTCTCCTCCGCGTGGCTCAGCCATGGCTTCCTCTCCTCACTCTACTGATGAGAACACCAATCATGGAACTCCATCCACCAACCTGACTGCGTTCACTCCTGAGGCCGACTTCGGGTCCAAGGGACGTGCCTCTGACTTCGTTCGCCCTGTCTTGAAACTTCGTCCTACCAATCCCAAGCATGCCAGGTAAGTGTGACTATTGACAATTGACATTCCCTCTCATCAATGTTGTTGAGTAATTAACTGACTGTTCTCAGTGTCTGCGATGAGTCTGAAGAAGATGTCTTCCTTACCGCCCCTGTTGCCGCCAAAGGCCAACAACTCTCTCCCACTGCTGAAGTCTTCACTCCAAGATTGTCCAATGGCTTCATGAAGAAAGAGGCTCAGGCTCAGGCTGGATACGTTGACCGTGCTCAAGATACCGTTGGAGTAAGACCTTCCTGCATCGACATTGACAGAGTACATACACTAACAACCCTTGCAGTCGCGCATGCCTGCTAAGTTCGCGTATTTCCCCGTCAACGTTCCTGGAGCTCCGCGTCCTGCTCAAGTCCCTGCTGTCAATCCAAATGCTGCTCGCTATGGATTTGGCTTGCTGAAACTTGATGAGACTCCCTTCAATCACGTCGCTGGTGTCTTCCTCCATGACTTCAACATCACTGAAGGTGTCTTCAGTCTTGATGAGGGTATCTCTCGTTCCTTTGTCGTCACCGGTGTGCCACTTCAGTTCACTTCGCAGGTCATCAGCCGCCACTTTCCGGTAAGATAACCCATTGGCTCTCGTCTTCACGCATGTACTAACGGCAGCAGATTGAATACTTCCCAAGCATCAGAGGAATCAACTCCACTGCAATCTCCAGCGGCCTCTTCGTTGTGTCCTGCGCTGATATTCGCGATGCAAAGCGAGCTGCGGACGTCGCCAACGCCATCTTGCCGTACAGCTACATCTTTCCCCTCAAGGCAAAGAAGTACACTTCGGACAATGGTGGAGACCCGTCCCTCGTCACCGATCATGAAGGACAAATCATCGTCAGTATCTACTACAATGGACATGCCACTGCACCACCGGTTGAAGCAGCCCCTATTGTTGCTGAGGTCAGACGTCTTCTTGCCCAATGTGGCGACGTGAAGGCTTTTCATACCATCCCCACTACCCAGACTCACGTCCGCGAGATCCGTGTGGAATTCTTCAATGCCGACCTCGTTGAGGTTGCCAAGGATGTCATTCGCGGAACCATCATCCATGTATGTTGTCTCCCTCTGACCAACTCCAGCAGACTGACATATCTTAGGGTACTGTTTTGGATGTCGCGTCGTTCCAGCCTGACGTTCGTGTTGTCACCGAGCTTGACGAGGAACTTCACGAACAACTTTCTGTCACTGGTCGCTCACGAGTCCCTTTCGATCCTGACTACGATCGTATTGCTTATGCAATCCAGCGTGATGGTCTTCGCAATGGTCGTCGCCTCAACCAAGCCATGAACCACAACGCCGTCGATATTGCTCGTATCCAGGCTGGCCTTGATGTCCGCACCACTGTCAGTTTCATCTCATCAGACTTTGCTGCGTCTACTGACATCAGTGTTCAGATCATGCTCCGCAACATCCCAAATCGCGTTGATCAACCCATGTTGAAGAATCTCCTTGATGTCACCAGCCGTGGCCGCTACGACTTCATGTACCTGCGCATTGGTAAGTTCAAACTTGTATCACCGTCTCAGTTGCTCAAGTTCTCACAACATTGGCAGATTTCGCAAACAACTGCAATGTCGGCTATGCCTTCATCAACTTCATTGATGTCAGTTCTTCCTTACCTCTACGTCATTGCTGCTGCTAACTCTTCTTCAGGCTCAGTCAATCATTCCCGTTGGTGACCCCATCATATTCACTTGTCCTTCCTGTCACTCACTTCTATTTTAGTTCGTCCTTGCTCGCGCCGGTAAGCGCTGGAACTGCTTCGCCTCAGACAAGATTGCCGAGGTCTCTTATGCTAGTGAGTGTCACCTCTCTGAACTGTGCCATCTTCACAATGAGCTCACCATGTCACGCAGCCATTCAAGGAAAGGATTGTCTTGTCCAGAAGTTTCGAAACTCTTCCGTCATGCTTGAGCACCCTGGCTTTCGGCCCAAGGCAAGTTGAGTCATCGCGTACCCTCTTTCTTTCCCAGCTGACCATCTCTGCAGCTCTTCGTCGCCGGCAATGTTCAAAATGCCGGGCAAGAGGAGAAGTTTCCCGAACCTGACAACCACTCAAAGATGCGTCGTTCAGTCGAGAATGCGGAGCATGTTGGTCTGTACCTCCCACTTCGTTTGAATCCTGGCTGGTACCCCGTGCCAAATCCTGGTGCTGCTGCCTTTCGTCGTCGCCGTCCAATGCGTCGCACCGGAAGATTCAACGTTGCCGAGATTGTCCGCAATGGTGTCTACATGCCTCCTGCTCGTGCCAACAAGCCCACAACGAGCAGCCCTCCCAAGGCTTCTGCAAACAAGACTTCACCGACACGTCGCCGAGTTCCTTTCTTCATTGACACTCGCAATCCTTATGACCCGTTTGCCGGTCGTCCCCGCCGCACCTTCTCTCCGTGAGCATACTTATTCTTATCTCGTCTTCGACTTTCGGTGTGCTGACTGTGGTGCTTCATAGGACTTTTCGCGCCTAGACAAGGCCAGGTGTACCGTGAAGAACAACGTCGTCGCCGCTCTCAATTTGACCGAGGCACCCCTGGTGCTGAGAACGAGTTGGGCGTTGCACCTCGCTATCGTCTTCAAGATCCCGCGCTCGAACACATGGGCAATATTCATCTTCCACGTTATTAACACAACATGATCGTGGCGCTGGACGTCTTTCGATGTTTCAGGTCACACCATGTTGGCATCATGGACAGTTGGCGGTGATCAATACCGGTGGTCTGGAGGGCCGCTTCTTGCCTGTCGGCTTGGATTTTCTTTCCTGCTTGACTTACGGAATGGATGGGACACTTGGTCTTTTGAGATCAAGTTGGTCTCATCCTGGACAGCCAGGGAAGGAGTGTGCTGGGCCAAGGGCCCAAGGCCGAGTCAATTGTTTTGTTTGCTTTGCTTCTGCCCCCCTGTGTTATCACACAGGCGTTTCTCCCTAATACTTGCAATGTTTTTGTTTTCTCTTTTTTTGCTTTTCAAAGAAAAAATGTGAGCAGGGATTTCTATGAAATCAATGTATGGCGGTGAGATGGGGCGGAGCTTGGACTTTACTGGAGGACAAATTTTGTACCATCGACACAGCGTGTACTGATCACTCATAGTGATCCAATAGCTTACAAAAAAAATGGATTCAATCCACTCGTCTTGTTCAAAGCCCTTAATTTGTCGTTGGCGTTGTATGTCGCCTGGGAAAACGTAGGTGTTGAGGGTGCGGCGCGAGCCTCCGTCAATTTGTCCTAAACCATGCACCCTCGAACAGCCTGTTTTTCTGACATGTCGATCATCCACGAAGCGCGCGCTGCCCACATCGACTCTACCATCGATGCCATCGCTGCTTGATTGTGATACCTACCGCAAGCACAATCGAAAAATCACTGTCTTCAACGCGGTCGACGCCAGCTCAGGCGGCGTCACATCGCACGTGCCCTCTTGCTCACCATCGCGGGCAGAGCCTATTTCCTACGGCAGCGTCCTTCTTTGTCAGTGAGGGACGATATTTCAGGACACATACACACAATGGCAAACTTCACAGATTTGACTGGCAAGTTCCGCTCAGGATCAAAGAAGCACCTGCAGGATACTACAAGGCGGCCCCGAGAGTCATATGTGTGCACTCAGTGCAAAGACGCCAAACTGCGATGTGACCGCAACCACCCCTGCGGCAGTTGTGTGAAAAGAGGCACCAATACCATCTGCAATTACCCTCATACGTCTGGAAATGTGCGCAACGGCGACCCGAACCGCAACCGTCCCTCTGTGGCCGAAGACAGGCTGTTGCATCTGGAAGCCTTGGTCAGTCGATTGATGGAAAACCAAGGGGCGGCACAGGTTAGCAACGACACAGCACCACCACCAACCGCAAAACCAGTGACTCCGCTTGAGGCATCCTTCAGTGAAACGGCTGGCACTCATCATGAGGAGACCGCCTCTACGACATATGTTGGGTCGACACACTGGTCAGCCATACTGGAGGATATCCAGGAATTGAAGGCCGCGCTGGCGCGCGTAGCTCATGGTCAACAAGCGAACGACAACGAAAATCTACCAGAACCCTCTAGCAATTGCCACGAGCTGATATTCGGATCCCCGGGCAACTATCCCTTAGCACAGGTCCTATCTCAGTACCTCCCTCCGAGACAAGAGGTGGATCGGCTGCTCGCCGTCTATTTCCAGGGCGAGACTTTCATTGTCCCCTTCATTCATGCGTATCATTTCCAGCGGCAGTATCGAGCATTCTGGTGCGAGATGACGAGCGTCAATCCGCTTTGGGTTTCCATCCTATTTTCAATCTGCAGCATAGCCACTTGGATCAAAGCCACGCAAGGAGTTTCATCAAATGAACCAGGGACTACTGCCGGCTCCAACTTTCACACAGCGGCCGCGCATTGCCTGGTGGCAGGAGGATATTACCAACCACAGCCACTGACAGTTGAGGCACTTGGGTTATATGCTCAATACAAGAATCTCCGAAGCCTCGACCCCTCGCGTGAAGCGGGAGCCATATTGGCGGTGGTTGTACGCATGGCCCACGAGATGGGCTACCACCGGGATCCTGACTCTCTCGGCTCTTTTACAGTGTTTGAAGGGGAGATGCGTCGACGGTTCTGGTCTACATGTAAGCAGATGGACCTCATGATCTCATTTCAACTCGGCCTCCCAAGCACCATCTGCCTGGAGAACTGTGACACCAAAGCACCGAGAAATCTCATGGATTCAGATTTCGATGAAGATACCAGGGTACTACCTCCTTCCCGACCGGAGAACGAGATGACCCGGCTCCTCTGGTTTATTGTCAAGGACAGGCAAATGCACGCTTTCGGAAAGGTATACCAGCATGCACTTTCGTTCGAATTGAAGACGGAAGCAGAGGTGCTCCAGCTAGACCGAGAAATTCAACGCATGCACGAAATCACCCCAGAAGTTTTGAAGCCGCGGCCTCTGTCAGAGTCAATTGCGGAATCGCCATTTGCCATCATGACAAGACTCTATATCGATTTTATTTACCTGAAGAGCCTCTTGGTTCTCCATCGGCCCTATATGGCCCGCGGCAACCTGTCAAGTACACAATCCTGCGTAAATGCTGCAACACGACTCGTCAGCCAGTTCATTGCCGTATACAAGGAGATGGAACCGGGCGGTTTACTGCATATGGAACGGTGGATGTTGACAAACTTCACCATGAACGATTTCCTGCTTGGTGTCATGACACTTTGCCTGATCGTCCACATTCGGCGCAAAAGTCTTTTCAAGGGCGTCCCTTCGCTCATTGATGCTGCCACTGAGGCGGAGGCGGTCGCTCTTCTCGAGCAGGCTATTGTCATCTGCACGGAGAAGTCCAACCTGAGCAAAGATGCAGCTCGGGTCTCGTCTGCCCTCCGTCTCGTGCTGGATAGCACTAAATCTCCGAATGTGCATCATGCCAACAAACATTTCCCACTTGGTGGCAATCGGACCAACATAGCTCACAAGTCGCTGGAGCTCGACCCAGCCCTACTATTGCTGCAGTCTCAGGAGAGCCAGTCTTACCTTCCGGCCGATCAAGAACCGTCTTTTGGGTTTCTTGACCCCTTCAACTTCATGGGCAATGAATTTGACAGTATGGAATGGATGACACTCGACTCACAGATCATGGGGGAAGATGGTCCACTGACGTCTCTGAGCGAGTTCGAAAATCATTGAGAATGCCATTAGCTCTCTCGCTCGGAGCTGGATGCACAAGTTATCTCCTTTGCATGACGCAAAATTCGCTCGGTCACTTCCAATCATCACCAAGGCTGGACCCCGTCTTTCCGCACGACAGACCCGACATCTTGGTCTCTCAGTCCATCTACTACATCTCTCACCACGCCGGCTCCGACACTCGGATCCAATGCACCCAGCTGCTTCAATCGCTCCGGGTTGCCAAAACCAAGTCCCGTTGCCAGAAAGCCGGGGCTCACACACCACACCTTGACATTGTCGTCTTTCAAGACCCTAACCCACTCGCGCATCATCATGTTCATTCCAGTCTTGCTGGCCCTGTATGCCGGAATCCCCAGCCCAGTGAGGCCACGGTTGGTTTTGGGCCAACCCTTCTCCCCGGGGGACTGATTGACAATGACTGCCGGATTTGTGCTCTCGGTGAGAGTGGCAGTCCCGCTTGTGATGAAAAGGAGGCGAGGGTCAGAGGACTTTAGGAGGAGTGGGATGAGTGTGTACGTGAGGATGTACGTGCCTGTGACGTTGACATCCCAGGATTTGTTCCACATCTGGCGCATGGTGAGTTCACCAGAGGACATTTTTGGCTCGAGCTGGCCGCCTGTCGAAGCACAGGAAAGCAACAAGGTCAGCGTTTTCTTTTTATCGAGCTTAGATGAGAGGGCGATGAGACTAAAGGTGCGGCTCGACTGATCGGGACAGAAGCCTTACCGGCGTTGTTTATCAGCACATCCAGCCTTCCATGGTGCTGCTCCAGATTCTCGAACAAAGCATTGATTGACTGGTCGTCCTCGACGTCAATCTGCACGGGCGTCACGACGCTTTGACTTTGGGTGAACTCGTCCTTGACCTGCCTCGCCGCGGTAGTGGCTTTCTCTAGACTCCGGCCGCCCAGGAGGATTGTGTATGTTTTGCCGGGTGACTGGAGTAAAGACCTGACTGTCTCGAGGCCCAGACCTGTGTTAGCGCCTGTGATCAGGACGATGTTGTTGGCCGCCATGGCTGTGACTGTGACGAGGCTGACGGAGTTGCTTGCTGGCCGAAGTTCGTTGAGACTTAGAACCGCTCAGGGAATATTGAACTCTTCGAATCCTGACAACCCTTGATTGCTCTTGTCGGCCTGCTGGTCGATACGATATTGTTTCTAGTTCTCCCTCCTCGCTTTTGCTGGCCAGCTTTTCCTTGTACGTAGTCTGTGCAATTGGCGTTGAAACCCGATAAAATCAGCACAACCATGAATGGAAATGTGATGTGGTATTTTGCAAGACACAAAAATCTCCCCTCCCCTCCCCCCCTCCCATCTTTTTATACCTTTTCCAACTCATTTGCATGCCTCCACTATATGATATATCTGGGAAGCCTAACTTATCCATAGTCCATAATACCCATCTTCCCTGTCCATGACCGCTTCACTTCCTCTCGCTCTGTGTGCATCTTCTACCCCTCCAAGAGCTACTTAGTGGCTACGGACGGATGTACGTCTCGGACATAAGCCACGGGAGAGCCGCCGCCAGCAGAAAGTTTTCGTTTTTTCTCTGATTCAACCCGATGCGACACGGATAACTCATTCATTCGTCAAGGTCTGTATATACCAAGTACAAACATCCACATAGGCGGGAGGATACTTCCTCCGAGGCCCGCAGGAAGGGTCGCTTTCGAGGGACTCATTGGTGGTTGGTTTGCTAAGCTGGGAAATCCGAAAAGGGAAATTCGGCTGAGCCGAAAACATATTCGTACTTAACCTATTTAGGCAAGCAAGCAAGCTTGGTCCATGCAAGTACGTTTCGAGGTGTACGTACTCGGTCTGAATGACATCACGGCAGTGGTTACAGGGGGAGGGCTTTCCTGTGGGACGGCAAGAAGGCTAAGAGAACGCATTCTTCATAGTCGTAGTCATACTCGTACCCATACTCGTGCCGTTGGACGATTCATGGGCAAGTATGTTACCAAAGGTCCCAGATCAATAACCAGATCAGATCAGTGTCTGCGTGATACAAACATTACTTAGCACGAGCCCTCAACTTCGACGAGACCCGGACGCTCAAAATGACTGTCATAGACTCGAGTTCATACATAATGATACAGATGCAGGTTGCAGGTGGCTTGCTGCTCAAACAAAATCAAAGTCCTGATCAAACTGGTGTCTCTTTTTTCTCTTTTCTCTTGCTCCGTGCTATGCAATGTAATGTCTTCCTCTTGCCCGCCTGCAAAATGCATTCATTCATGCAACCAACACACCAAAAAGATTGAAACGCCCGGTCATGCGCCTGCCTCCCAATGCTTCCCGATGCTTCCAATCGGCAAGTTCCTGCGTGCGTGTTTCAGGCTAGCTTTTTGGTTTCCTCCCCCCTCCCAGCATATAACAAAGGCAACACGGATGAGTTCTTTGGGTATTAGAGGTTCCTCGCGTCTCGCTTCACATTACACCACAACACAACACAGCACAGCAGCTTTACGCGCTGAAGTTGACGGCCCTCTTGTTCCACGAGCCGCTACACGACGGCGACGCGCTGGCCGTGAGGGGAAGTCCGGCAAGGCTCTTGAAACTGTCCGAGACTGTCTCCCCGTTGGAGCTCGTGCTCACGTCGTATTTCGTAAAGTTGGCGCCAGCAGCGGGCACGCCGAACGTGGCGGAATAAAAGGTATAGTACTGGCCGGCGCACACGCTCGTCATGGGCGTCGGGACACTGCTGACGGTGGGCAGGTCGTTGTACGTGATTGGGTTGATCAGATCCACCGACAGGGTGACAGGTTCGTAGGTCTCACCAGTGCGGGCAGCAGCGTAAACAGTCAATTGCTGGTTGCCGGAGCCGTCTGTGGCAGCGAGGGAAGAGTACGAGGTTTGTGCAAAGATCTTGTCCGAGATCGCGTAGCCTTGTCCGTTGTTATCAAAGGTCTGGGTGGAGCCACTGGTGAGAGAGACAATAACGGTAAAGGATGAAATCGAGGTCGAAGCTGGGATCGTTCCGTCAAAGCCGTAGAACTAGGAGACGTGTTAGCATCACAACTTTGAAGAGTAGACTACACTTACGGTGAATGTGTCATCGAAACCGTTGGCATCGCCCAAAGCTGACGCCTGAATGGTGTACCCATCGCTTGCTGCTCCAGTCCGGTCCTTGTAGACAACTTGGACGCTAGAGATGCTAGACGATGGGAGACTGTTGGTGTGGATGCGGAGTTCTCCCGTGAACTGGAGATTTTGTCCGTCGGCGGCAACGTTGAGCTGGAGGTTCGACGGCTTGAGCTCATAGGGGGCAATGACATCAGACAACTGCACGCCAGCAGGGACAGTGTTGATCATTTTTGCGAAAATGCCCGAGCAAGCATTGGCGTAGGCAGAGGGATCGGCCAAGCCAGACACCGTCTGGCGGTCATTGAGACCAAAGATGCGTCCGTCAGAGTAAGCCTTGGGATTGGCGCCAACGACAAGAGGGTTTCTGGTTGTGCCATCGAGATACTCGGTGACAACGGCGTTGTCGAAGGTGGCGTTGGTCGAATCCAAGTCCTGGACACCGAGCGGCGTGCTGCCCGGAGGCACAATGTCGGGATGCTCTTCAGAATGGACACCACCTATGCTGTGACCACAAGCAACCACCGCAACCATCTCCTCGGGGCTGAACCCCATGCGCCTGAATTCTCCAATCATCTGCGGCATGGGATCGGTTGGTTGAGGAACACCAACCGGACCAGGACCTGTGGCGTCGACACGTCCAGCTCGCACGGGCACAATCGGACCACCACATGCCCGCACCGCCTGATAGAGCCCGACATTGATCAGATCGGCCATAGGGGCTCGGCTGCTGAAGAACTGAGAATAGAAGTGCAGAGTGTTGTTGAAGGCAATGCCGGTGTTGGTTGGGTAGATGTTCGAATCCAGCTCAAAGCCGATCGAGGCGTCGACACCTCCCACTCCAGTCGAGGCATCATGAGGGGCCATGTCGTGGAACGCGGTCCGGATGAGACCCGCAGCGATTGAGTGACCTGGCTCCTTGGCGATGGTACACGGTTGCAGGAGTATAGGAAACTCTCGGGCGTTGTACCCGTTGTTCAGGAACATGAGGTCCTCGATCTCATCATAGGCGGACGGCCACGTCGGACCTGCTGAGATTCCTTGGATGGAGGACGCCAGGCCCAGGGCCAAAACGCCTATGTTATTGGTCCTCCGCATGTTGGGGATGGAAAGGTATTATTCCGGTATATCTGTCGGACAGATGAAAAAGACTGTAGGACGGAGTGTTTGGATGGAAGGGAGACAAGAGACAAAAATGGCGCAGAGGATCTATGGCAATATATCTAGGTACAACAGATCTTGGGAATCCTCTTTCATGACTGATTCGGCCAACATAAGCAAGAAGGCTGAGGGATTGGGAATCGCGTTGAAACAGTCCTTATCGGTTGGGAGGCGTCTGGTGGAGGCTGGTGCTCGTATAATTTAATTTGGGAAGTCATATTCTCAGAAGGGTACCTTGGCTCATGGCCTGATTCTTCTGGTCAAGCCAGTGCGCACTGCTCCAACTCACATGTGCTAGCAGATTTGGCCGCAATGGGCAATGGCCCACGCAGGATGCATAGGCAACCACTCCGACCAACCACTGGGGTTGAATTTGCAATTTCCTGTTCAAGGACATGTTCGCTCCATCGGACTTGAACGTTTAGAGAAGAGAACGAGACAGTCTGTGGACCTGGTGTCGGCTGAGGTGACAGTGCGGAGGCCCCGGCCTTGTCCATGATTCCACGGATGATTTAGACAAGATGAGCAAATACCTGGTCATCGGAGTATCGGTCCTCGATTATAACGACAGGGATCCTCTGCTGGCCGACACGTCTGGGGCTCAGTCGATGGTCAAAAGGACGTACCTAGTGAGTTTGACCGGTGGAGGCCTCTCCCTCAAAAAGAAACATCGGGAAGCGTTTGGGTGACCGACGGATACAAGGATCCGAGATCTCACAAGCGTCCCACGAGTCACTCCACACCATCCCGAGTTTAGGAGCCTGGGCGCGGTAACTGAAAGCAGCATCGCGAATCTTGCTCTATATCCTAGTGCAATCTGCTCAAGCTGTTGTTGTGTCGGGGCGTCGGGCAGTGAAAGTAAGCTGACAGATGTAGTCAGTAAGGCCACAGCGCAATGCGTATTCGCTACCGGCTTTCTCATAAACGGCGGTCAGACATAGCCGAGAGATCTTTGGTGTCGACTGCTTTGATATCGCAGACTAGCGGGTCATGACTTGCTGTAACTCGAGGCCAAGGCGGTGAATGAATGACTGATTGTAGATGCTGGAAGAAGTCGTGGAAAGACGATGATCACAAAACAGGCAAGTGGCCAAGCCAAGACTGGCCATTCCTGTTTTGTACTAGTACATCAAGACTACTAGCTGTTTCTGCACTAGCCCAATATGCCAAAATAGACACGCTAAGCCTTGCATTTTGATCCCATTCCATCTTTCCCTTTTCTCCATCTGGCATGGTGGCATTCAACTGATTATTCTTGTACCATTTGTTAAGCGTCATAATAGAGCCCAGACCAGCGGCCGCTTTAGAGTGCGCTAATTCGACGACCCGAAGTGCGGATGTGTTGAGGATGTGAAAAGATGGGTCAGAACCAGCAACCCGATGCTCGTCGTTCTTCAATAGCAGATGCGGACATGGCGAAGTCAAAGCGGCGAAAACTATTACACCCCCAGCGTGGGAGCCACGTTCAGGCTCAAGGCCGATCCCGAGCCAAAGATACAAAAAGGATGCCCAGAAAGAGACGACTCGGCCCTCACCCACCACGAGATCTCCGTCACCAGATTGGCCAGGCAAAACCTGAGACTGACCTCTCCACTCCTCCAGGGACATCCAACGGGGCGCCGAAGTTCACGCTATCATTCGCCAAATCCATCCTCGACAAAATCTGGATCCGTAACAAGAATCAGCACCGGACACAACCGTGGTGGAAATCCCTATCGATGTTGAGGAAAGCAGTCTCCCGGCTTGTCCTCATCGAGCAGGAGGAGTTGTCACTGAGGGGCCGAATTGGACAGGACACCGCCAACGCAAAAGCCGTGAGGGAGAGGTTCGAGCGCGAGACGCAACTACGCAGAGAAAAAGAGATCTGGGCCGACTGGGCTCGTCAGACCCTGGTGCCGAGGGCTTACCTTGGCTTTTCGGGACTAGTGAGCGATTCTCAATTCGCGCACCTGGGAGTTGTGTTGGTAGGCCTCTTGGCCGACGTGGTGAGCAGCGTGGGCCTGCCGACTCCAAACCCGCATGAGCAAATTGAGCAGCGAGGAAAAGTGATTACCACCACAAAAAGGGGCCAATCCGATACGGCGACCACCAAGGCGAGAAGTCTCACGGCCAAGAGTATCAGAGTGACGGGTCTGCAGAGCGGTGAGATCGTGGAGAGGACCTATGACAGCGACGACTTGGGAGAAGTGATTGAGCGAAAGCGACGTGACCATCAGCAGGACCTGCAGCCGAGCCGCCCTACCACCCGCACGTGGCCCGACGAAGCTTCAGACCGAGATGCAATGCTTGTCAGAGAGGAAGAACGAGCAGTGGTCATGGCGGGTTCTGCGCCCGATCGCGTCGCTAGAACAGACACGAAAAACCCCAAGCGCAAGGCCGAGAGATCAGCAGCACCCTCACCATCAGCACCTCTTACAGCTCCCCAAAGGGCTCCGGCCACCGATACTACATCACACGACCCCAGTCGTGGTGTTGGTGGAGCCGCCGGCCTCGACTTCACAGAAAGAACCACCTTCCTCGAAGAGACACAAGGACAGACGACCCGCGCCGCGAAGGAGACGAGAGTCAAAGGAAAGACCAAAACCAAAGACAGCAGCGTTAGCAGCAGCAGCAGCAGCAGCAGGACCAAAAAGAGCAGTGGGAAAGGCAAGAAGAACGCCATTGACGACTTGTTCGCCGGCTTGACGTGAGATATGTAGAGTCTCTTCGCATTCTTTGCATTCTTCGACAACAGCAGGACATACACACATACATACACATATGTGGACGTATCCGTATCCGTGTCCGTGTCCTCTATCTATCCCCCCTGGATATGTGTGTGCTCTTGTCTCCTGTCTCTGATTCGACATGAAATGTCTCAAAGGTCGAAAATGGATCTTATTTCTTGATTTCTTGATTGGATCTTCAACGCTATAGCCAAGTGTATCGGTATTTTCTCTCGTCACTAAAAAAAGGGTTGGAAAGAAACACACCAAAAAGCCCCCCTCTCCCTCTCTACCTCCCTCCCATCCTTCTAATCCCCTCTCTCTCCCTCCCACCAGCAAAATTCTTTCAACCTTGGAAAAATAGAAATATTGGCCGAGGGGGTATCATGGTTGTTTGTTTATTTTGCTTTTTCCGAAAACCCCCAGCCTGGGAAATTTCCCACCTCAGCAGCCCGGGTTTTTGCCCTTGCGCCCTTCATCAACCCAAGTGAACGCCATGCGGTATGAGTGGCAGAGACCAATAAATGCTGCGCCCTGTGGTCGAGTTTCTTGTGCCTGCCTTTTCCCCTGTTTCAATCAATCCCGCAGCACCGTTCGCTATGCAAATGCAAGAGGCATCCTTTCATCCCCATTCTCGTCATCATCTTAATCCGTTCGATCCCATTGCCGTTATTGCCATTGTGGGGTGTGGTAATGCACCGCACGACTGTGCAGCACGCGGTGGTAATCTGCAAGGGCGTGCTTCCTCCCGGTGCTTATGCCAGCACCACCAGATCCCAAGCTTCGTCGTTCCTATCGACGATAAGGGTCTTGTCCACCGTATCCACCTCTGTCCCTATCTCGCTCCCTGTAGTCTCTTCCCATGTCTCGGTCTCTGTCTCTCCTATCCCGATGCCCATCCCTCTCGCGTTCCCAGTCCCGCCCTGGACTTCGACTTCTTGGCCTTCGCTCCCGGTCACGATCTCTGTCTGTTGGTTCCCTCCCACTCGGCTCCTCATAGCGTATCGGTTCACCATAATCAGGGGGTCCATCACGGTACCCAGGCCGATCGTCCCTACGTCGGTGCTTCGGCGGAGCGGCATGAGGGTCGGCACTCGAGTATGGAGGAATATATGTGTCACGATTACCACCACCTGCAGGACCGCCGGCACCTCCACCGGTGGCAGGAGGGGCTCGAGATCTTGGTAGAGGCGGACCGCGCCCGTCATCACGATAAGGGGGAACTTCTGGAGGTCCATGGCGATACGAGTCGACTTCTGTAGGTGGTAATCGTGGTGGCATTGTATGGTCGCCAGGGGGTCGTCGCGGGTACGAGTCATCATAAGGCGGACGATGACCTTGGTCGTATGGTGGCATGTCACGGTGGGGAGGATAAGGATTCGCACCTCGATAGTCACCGCCGCCGCCGCCGTAAGCACCATTCTGAGGAGGTGGACCCGGTGGTCGTCTGTTGTAGGGTTGGTTGTTGTGGCCGTTAGCGTATGGTGGTCTGCCACCAGGCGCACGAGCACCAGGAGGTGGGCCGCCACCACGCATTCCTTCATATGGTGGGAGCGGCCTCCCGCTGATACCCCATTCTCCCTGCGGGCCGATACCTACAGAGCCACCAGCTGGTGCAGGCGGTCGTTTCGTTCTTTGATCTCTGAACTTCTTTCGATCCAACTCATGTGACTCTTCAAAGGAGGGTAATTCTTCGGGTCTAGCTGGGTAGGGTGCAGAGTGAAAGTAAGGGTGTTTGAGGGCGTCGATGGCGTTTATTCGTTTTCGCCAATCCAACTTCAGAAGCTCGCTCAGCAGCGAGAGCGCTAGAGGCTCGAGGTCGCGGAATTGACGGGTGAGCGTGGGAGGCATTTGTTCAAATTCCAGGATAGCATCAGCGCCAGGAAGTTCTCGCCAGCCGGGCATATTCTCCTCTGTAGGGGATCCCAGCAGCTCAAAGATCAACCTGGCCTGATTCAGATCGCTGTCTCCAGTCAAGATGGGCTTGTGTTTGAACATTTCGCCAAAGACACAGCCCACTCCCCACATATCGATTGCAGTGGTGTACTTGCGCAGTTGGAGCAGCAGTTCTGGTGGCCGATACCATCGTGTCACAACCAAAGTAGTGTATTCTCGGGTGGCTTCTCCGCCTCCATGACCTGGCTTGGGGGGCTCATCGTCATAGGGACGCGCCAGACCGAAATCCGCAATCTGGAGGATGCCTCGATTATTGATGAGCAGGTTGGCGGTCTTCATGTCTCGATGGAGGATTCTGTTCTCATGCAGATACGCGCAGCCTTCGAGGAGTTGCTTCATGTAGCACTTGATCTGCGGCGTGGTGAAATTGACATCGGGGTTTTCCAGGAGTCCTGATAGATCGTGGTCCATGTACGGTGTCACCATGAACATGCTCGTTTTCTTGCTCGCATTCTTGGGTCGCTCGACGGCCATCTCTGCCAGCTTCAAGACGTTGATGTGGTCGAGTTGCTTCAACAATTTAATCTCCCGCAGTGCGGTTATGGGGAATCCATCCTTCTCGTTGTGCATCAAGATCTTTTTCAGTGCCACAATCTGTCCCGTCCTCTTGGACTTCGCTTTGGACACTTCGCCAAAAGTCCCCTCGCCCAGTTTCCCCATGTATTCATACTCCGTGATTCTTGAGCAGCCGTGGAACCGGGGCCTGCCATCTTCAAGGAATTCGAGGCTCTTGCGGGGGTGTCTTGCATCCGAGGACATCGCGACCACTGTTTTCACGACCTGGAGCAGCCGTCTGTCGTAGGATAATGCTGTGCGCTGCGGAGGTCAGGGTATGACAGCCTCAGTACACCGCAACCGTGATGGCAATGGATGATGTCCACGCCAAAGTGTTTGCGCTCTTCTGCCGTTGTGTCGGAGGAGCTGGGAATCGCTATCGACAAGGCCGAGGCCAGAAAGGATGAAGTGGTTTCGTCATCTAGTCGCAAAGACGCTAGATAGGGAAGGGGTCGCAGGATCGAAGGTGCCGAGTGATGATGTTCAGGTGAGGTTGGGAATGTGCTGGACGGAACATGCGCAAGTTCCAGCGGAAATCAAGGCCGATTCACACGCAGTCGGGTTGAGGGCATCGACAATGTGCGATCTCTTTGTCCGGGTGGATTTGATCAAGACACGATCTCACGCTGCCGGCAAGATGATTAGGATTTTGGCTTCTACAACTGTCGCGATGCCGGACTTGGGTGCATGGTCATTGGGCAGTAATGAGACCCTGCAGATTCGAGTAGAATTGGCATGATCCTCGCTTGTCCCCAGATCGGGTGTCGTTCGCGTGCGGCGCCTTGCCCGATTAGCGGATAAACAGTTGTTCCGGCAAGGCTGGGATCCAGAGGCGCCACCAGCCCTGCCTGAAGGGCCACAGGGCTTACTTTCAAACTTGCGAGAGTAAACTTTCCGAAAACATTCTAGTTATGGCTTGTTTGAGTTTGTGGGCCGTGAGCCGGTACGTTTGACCCTGACGCACTATACAAGTGAAGCTGTTGCGGAGTGACACCAGGACTCGGTACACAGACGGACATAGATACCTCAGGGCTGAATGATGCTCATGTTGGATGGGACGCCTGAACAACTTTCCAGACCCAAAGCCACCTCATTGTCCAGCAGTTCACATTGAAACTCGCCTTCACCTCTCCCTTCACCTCTCCTTTCACGATTCAACGTCGTGACGCAAAGTAGACCTATCGTTGCTCCCTCTTACCTCAGCTCACAAACGCATATCCCAGCCATGGTCGGAGGGAGTTGCCTTTGCGGAAACGTCAAGTTCAATCTCGATGTTGACCCCGAGGCCGCGGATATGGTAAAAAGTCCCAATGCTTAAATACATGCAAAAGAGATGTTCATAATCAGGGGCAAAATTAGCAAACGAAAGCATGCCACTGTCGGCCCTGTCGCAAAATCACGGGTGCATTTGCGTCGCTCAACCTGACCGTTCCCGCAAAGGCATTCACCCTTACAAGCGGCAAGTTGAGGACGGTCAAGACGAAACACATCGATGAAGGCTTTGAATTTTCCCTGTCCTTCTGTCCCGAATGTGGGAGTCCTATCTACGCAATACCTCATGGGCCAGGGCCGCAAGATGTTCTTGTGATTCAAGTGGGGACGCTTGACGACGCCAGCGTACTGGAGAAGGTACCGGCGGTTGAGATGAACGTGAAGCATAGACTGCAGTGGGTCAAGGAGGTTAAAGGGGCTGAACAGAGGGAAAAATATGGATGATACTGATAGTTTTGAGTCTCGGGATAAGGTATTCATGCCCACTACACTCTCTCCGGCGGCAATAAATCCTTGTCTGGTCGATCACGTTGCCATTGTTTGCAGCTTCCCGGCTAGTCTTCCGTCAGGTCTCCATACTCCCACATACCCCTTCGTTCCTTCTTTGCTTCCTCCTGGAGCTCTCGGAACCTCGCCAATGTGTCTGCAGACTGCCTTTCCCACGCCTTCAGCTTGACTGGGACCATGGCCAGTCCTTCGCGAATGACCTCTGCATTGATGCTTTCATCGATTTTGTTGGACGCCTTCGGGTCGAGCAGAGAAATGTGCAGCGTTCCTTCCGGAGCGATGTAATCCACATTCGCAACCAGCTCGCGGCCGTCCGTCTGCTCTGCAATGAAATCCACGGTGTCTCGGAGATACTGCTCAGCAGTTGGAAGTTGCAGGAAGGACAGGACGGCATCAGTCGCCTGCGGCTTGAGCTTCTGGGTGGAGAATTGTGGTTGAGTCAACGGTCGCAATCGGGTCCAGGGAACGGTTTCCGAGTTGCCATAGTCAAGGTAGATCAAATCCACTTTCTTCCCGTCACGGTCGACTCTCCTTACTCTCGCTCGGTACCACTGGTCGTCCACAGTAAACTTGGCAGCAACGATGTCTCCAACCTTGGGTGGCCCGGGCAGTGGTTGGTCGTTTGCCTTATTCAAATGGAAGGACTTGAAGGCATTCATGAGCTCAGTCAGGCTTGCGGTGCCAGCACCGATTTGTTGAACCTTGAGTTTTCCAGTCTCGTCAACGTGTGTCACCATCACATCGCGATAGTCCTTTCTTCTTGAAGTCGACTGAGCTGCCTCTCCGTTGGTGCCGTTGGTGCCATTTGAAGCAGGTTCAGCTTCGTCTTCGTTGGCGTCCTTGCTCGGGTCCCAGTCGTGCCAAATGCCCTTCCTGGCCTCCTTTGCCTTCTTCTCGGCCGCAAACAGCTCATTTGCATGTCCGCTTTTTTCGGCCGAGTATGCATGAACTTCTGCAAGCCCTTCCTCTAATAGAGCTCGTGCAAAGTTTTCGCGGCCAACATACATGGTGCCGATGAACCCGCCAACTTTGTCGGTGTCCTCCACGTCGATCTCCACATCACGCTGCATACATCTTCTGTTGGCAAAGTCGTAGGCTTCCTGTCCAAAGGGCTCGGCGGTGTCGCCAGGCTGACGGGCAGGCTTCGGCGTCCGGATTCCAGAAAGAACAAAAGTCAATTTTGCATTCTCGCGAGGAACAAGAACCACGAATCGAGAACCAGTCCTAACGAAGTCGACCACAGCTGGAACCTTTTTCTGTCTTTGCAGCACTGATGCCTCCATCTTGGCCTTTTGTAAGCTTTCGGAATAGTCCTGATAGTGCTTGGCTGCAGGGGGTTTGTCCGACCACATGCCTTTACCCTCTTTCTGAGCCGATTCCTCAGCTAGAAGCAGCGCATCGTAGTCGGGCGAGCGATCGTCGTCGTCTCTTCGATGCCGAATGACAGACGCATAACCAGCCTCTACCAGGGTCAAAGCGACATTCTTTCCACCCACAGTCACAGTGGCCACCTCGCGTTCTTCGAACCCTTCTGAAGCTGGCTTCTTGCCGTCGATGCTCACCTTGACGTGCTTTCCGATCAATCGCTTCCTGAGGAACTCCTTTGCCTCGGCGCCGAACGCAGATTGTTTCGGATCTGAAGGTTTGGGTTGACGGATGCTGGACAGGGTCACTTTGCGTTCGTCGCCAGATCGGGTTCGAAGGAAGACCGTCTCGGCATTGAGAATCCTGGAGACCGTGAAGTCCGCCTCCTGCACTCCGGCGGCTTTGGATGCTGAAACGCCGGTGAAAACGCCCTTTCTGGCATTCTTTGCTGCGTTCTCGGCGTTTCTAAACTGGGCCATCTGATTGCCCAGCAAGGTGACGTGTTGGTCGTTGGAGCGAGCCAGCCCAGCCTCAAGGAGAAACATGGCAATATTTCCTTTGGGGTGCAGGACATTTGCAATGAGTTGATTTTGCGGCGTCACTCCCAGGAGTTCGACGGAGCATTTGCGCTGATGTAACCTCTCGTCCACGAAGGCGTGTGCCTCGGTGCCATAGGGCTCAGCAGGGACCTCTTTCCCTTCCGGCGTAGTTCTCTTGGTCGCAGGAGTTCGTATTCCAGCCAGGACAAGCATGGTTTGAATGTGTTTGCTAGGGGTGAGCAAGAGACGAGCAATCAAGCGGTCTCCTGTCAAAACCCTCTCTATGATAGCTTCGATTTTCTTGCCCTTGTATTGATCAACCAAGGCATTGGGGTCGGAGACCTCGGACGAGTTCTCGATCTGACCACCCTTGGCCCAAAGACCTTTGCCTTGAGATTTGGCGTCGGCCTCCAACGATCTCAGCTTGTCAAGGTATGCCAAGGCATCTTCGTCGTCCTCTTTCTTCCCAGCATCTTCTCGCACTTTGGCCCAGCCTTCTTGGACAAGGAGATCGGGCAGCTCGGCGCCGTTGGGGAGTCTGACTCGGCCATATTCACGTTTGGTGGTGGGAATGGCATAGAGGACTTGGAATTGAATGACCTTGCCGAGGACCAGCTCGCGGACGAATTCGCGGGACTGAAAGGCAAAGGGCTGCGCAGGGTTAGCTGTTGGCCCTTGTAGGTCTCGTGAGGGATATACCACCGACCTCGTCACCTTCTCTTTTCAATCTCGGGGCACTGATGTAGGCCAGAGACAAGGTTCGTTCGGCTCCTTTTGCATTGGTGATGATCAAGGTGTCGCCTGACAGGACGCTCTTGACCCGAGCTTGGAGGAGGGCCATTGTGAGATCGGGAGTGGTATGCGGGAGAGGAGAATTGTCAAAAGAGCAAGACAATGATACAGAAGTGATAAACGCTATGCAAAGAAAGTGTCAGTGCAAAGTGAATAAGAATACCAAGCTGCTGGAAGCTCAACAAGCGGTGGGAGGGCAGCAGTCTTGTGGACAGTTTTCGATTTATTTACGAGCGCATTTGGGTGATGGGTGTGTAGGTAAATAATTTGTGGGGTAAGAATAATCAGGGATCTCGTGCCCACCGCCTGCCGCCTACCATGCCGCCTGATGCCCGGCCCAGTGGGAGCCTCTCAGTGCCTGTCACGCCTCTGAATTCATGCCTAACAGTTTAGTGAAGGAGGCATGTCTGTTTAAGCCTAGTGAGGCTAGTTTGGGCTCGTTTGAGGGCATTTGACGTCACTATTGATAGGTTAGAGCGGAACGGAAAAAGCAGCGGGAGAGCAATCCAAAAAGGGGAGGGAGGGGAGTAACTGACTCGCGTGCTCGCCTTTTCGTTCACTACCAAGACAACACCAATACCTACAAGTACTTGGGTAGACATCAAAGAGAGACGTGCATCCTGTACGCTCCTCCATAGCGAATATTTGACCCCTTGTATCAAAACACCGAAACCTCTAGACGGAGATGACCGTGCACATTGTACAAACTAGAGTGTAACACGGCAGCTGCTCCTTCCTGTTTGAGGTCATTCCTTGTCTTATCTCTGATGGTTGCGGGGTATTTTGGGCTCCTTGCCCGCCTGCGTCTGCGTCTGTGTGTCTTTGACGGAGGGCAGAATCAAAACCAATACGACCATGTCGTGCATCCTATATCTGTCCAACGCCATCTACTTTTCAGATCAGTCCTTTCTGTTTCCATGACAGCTCGCCACTGGTGTTTGCAAGACTGAGCCAAGTCAATCACTTACGTCTCCTAGTCGCAGCCTTGCCCCCTTTCCCCGTCAGCCTCGTGTCATCTACATACCCACCCCACCCCTTATTTACCCCTTCAAACATGGACAAGACTGATCCAACCCACCGCAAGGGTGTCGTTGGCAATCCCAATGCCAACTTCTGGCTCTATGACTCCAAGACGGGGTTCGACCTGACACACCCGCCCACGCTCACCTCACCCACGCCTTCTCCCAACTATACGGTAAAGACGACTACCCTCCCCATCACCATCCACCCCCCGAAATCGGCCCTCGTCATTATCGACATGCAGAACTTCTTCCTCTCCCCTAAGCTCGGACGGCCAGAAGACTCCAAGGGCCTGGTCGCACAGCAGCAGCTTCTCAAGTACGCCATCCCGGCGGCCCGGAAAGCGGGCGTCCGCATCATCTGGTTGAATTGGGGTTTGACCGACCAAGAAATCGCCGAGATGCCGCCGGGCACTCTCCGCGCATTTGGTTTCGAAACCGTCCTCGCGGGCGAGTTTGAATCCTATGACAAAGTCGAGAAAAAGCAAGCAGCTGTCGACTCGCACGGTGTCAACGAGGGGTGCCATGAGTTCCCAGTCCCACAGATCGAAACGTCAGGCAAGAATCCGCGAATCTACAAGGGATTGGGGAGTGAAATTGGCCCTGTAGCCCTCGATGATGGCAGCACGACTCAAGGCGGACGGTTGCTGATGCGTGACACGTGGAACGCCGACTTGACCCCGGAACTGAAACATACATACGAGACAGACGGTAAGAAGGCTAATCCGCCAGATGTATGGATCCACAAGAACCGCATGTCTGGGCTCTGGGGTCAAAGTACCTTATGCACTGAGTTTCTTGAGAAGGAGGGCATCAAGACGTTATTTTTCACGGGAGTGAACACAGATCAGTGTGTGGGTGGGAGTCTTCAGGATGTAGGTCAAAGTGGAATTACTATTCCTTTCTTGCCCCCTTCTCTCTCTCCGAATGACCAAGGCCCAATTCATGGCTAATCTCGGTGTTCTTGACAACTAGGCATTCACAAAAGGCTACGACGTGGTTCTGCTCTCCGATGGTGCCGCCACCACGAGCCCATCGAGCAGTCAGGAGAGTATCGAATTCAACTGCGCAAAGACTTGGGGTTTCTGTACTACCTGCAAGGACTTTGCGGAGGGGTTGGGCTTGTAAGACAGCATGGCGGCAAAAAATGAGGCATGAACGCACGCAAAGTGAATTGATTATCCACTTGCCCTCGTCTTGAATAATCCATGATCCTCCACCTGGCCGTCCTTGCCATACATTCATTCTACCTATCGACGCCATGCTTTGAGATGCGTGACCTTTGAATAACAGCCAATGTCCTCCACCAGGCCGTCCTGCCTATCAGCCCCCACAAAATCAGTCCATCACACCCTTTCCAACTAGGACCTCACGATCGACGTCCACCTCTGCCACGTCCGCGACCCCGTCCTTGCCAGCCGCCACGAAATGCGGCAGGTTGGCTGGGAGGAGCCGCCTCGGCCCAACGGCTCTCTATCGTCGATTGACAGCGAGCAGCGGGAACGGACGAGGCAGATGCCGACGTCGGAGAAGCGGCACCCGCCTCTTCGATTGTCGGATATGGCGCGGCGGCATCCACCGGCGCCGGGACGGGCACTTGGCCAAGCCCTTCGATCTGCGCCTTGAGACCCTTGATGTGGAGGGTGTAGGTGTGAAGCTTTTTGTTTTGCTTCGTCAACATCTCCTCCCGGCGCCGCGAGAGGTCCTTGTCGGAGCACGTCGCTGACCGCAACTCCGTGTTCGCCTGGTCCAGCTGCCCGGTCAACCGGTCTCGGACGCCACCAAGCACGCTCGCTTCTTCCAAGGCCGCCTCCTTTTCCTCCATGAGTTGCGCGATGGCGCTTTCCTTCTCTTTGATCTCGTTCTCCTTTTGTTGGAGAGTTTCCTGCATTTCGCTCAGTCGCACCAGAGCGTCTTGGTGCTCCTTGCTCCTGGACTCTTGTTCGGCCATGGTGGCTTCTTGCTTCTTGATCAAAGAATCCTGTTCTTCAAGCATTGCTTGCTGTTGGTGGGCGAGGTCATCCTTGCCTTTCATGGATTCACTGTCGTCTTTCATCTTGATGATGCAACGTTGTAGCTCGTTGTTGAGCCCGTCATTGCGTTCATGACAGGATGCAACAGTCTCATTCATGTCCACGATGCTCGCGGCTTGCTCCTGGACTTTGTTGCTGAGGTTGCGGATTTGAAGGTCCAAATCCTTGATTTTCTCATGTTGCGTCACTTCGAGATCTCTGGATCCACGGATGCGATGATAAATGATGTTGAGAAAGCAAAGGATGATTGCTAGAACGCCGAGAACAGCAATGATGCCCAGACGGCCTCCGACGAAAGGCTGAGAAGGGGGAGTGACCTCACTCTTGCCGACGATGGTTGATACTTCAAGACGAGGTTGACGCTGGATCACCGGGCACGTTGGTCGCAGGACTCCTTCTTCAACCGGCAGTGGGATGCATGTTTTGACGAGGGCGGGATTGTCGACGATATGGACGCTAATGAGCCTGGCTGTGGACTCCGGTACAACGATGCGTTGCCCTTCTATCCATGTCTCGGATGCAAAGACCGAGGCCCCCGAAAAGTCCTTTGCATTAGGTGGGAAGTCTTCTTGTTTGGCATTGATGACAGAGCTCTTGGAACGTTGGGAGGAAGCGCTCCACCAATCGTACAGACCCCGGGGTTCAAAGACCATCATCCAAACGATGTGATCGGTTGCCATGATTGATGATCGAGGATGATGTATGTATGATTGTTTTGAGAGCAAAAGCCAGAGAGTCCACGAGTGAGAAGCTTCCCGGTCTGGTGAGGCAAAACGGAGAGAGCGTGTGAGTCGACAGATCTGTGTGGGAAGTTCTTTGTTTTGAAAGTACCAGTCGTGTTGGCAACGACTGCGCAACTCCCCCTTGCTGGTCCGGGCGGAAAAGGTCTTGCAAACAAGACGCCGACACAAAGGCTGAAACAATGTGTGAGTTGTCTCCTCTGGTAGAATATTGGTGGCGCGTACGATGTACTTACCTCTGATCTCTTTTCAGCAATAATCTGACTAGAAAGGCTGCTGTAACAGTGTACTCACGGAGGGAGACTTGTTTCACTCTTTGGCGGCGATGTGCTGAGGAGACGCGGGGCAGTGTAGGAATCTAGTCTCATAGGACAAAAAGTGATATCTGTCGATGGAGGAGATCGAAAGATTTGAGGAAGGACACACTGGATGAATATTGAGGGACTGGGAGAACGAGACAAAGGTGCAAGTGGGAATCGACAATGACAGATCAGACTTTGCAGAAGAGATTGTTTCGGACGGTGAAGTGATGAGAAAGAGATTGTTCTGTACGTGATCAATCAATTCAATAGCCTCGAGCCATTCGAGAAGCTGATTGCAGCTAAAATCATGCTGCCAGACCCAACCCAGCACGACAAGACGCCAAGGTGTCTATATACCTTGAACATTAGCCCAGGCTGCAAAATGAGACGAAAGTGTTGCCAATAGTAGCAAGCAAACATCAGCCAGGGTCAACATACCTCAGCGGTAGGAACAGTGTCGGAGGGTAGGTCAGAGAAAAAGGAGGGAACGGCTCAAGAGAGAGTTTGCATCGCAAGAATGGGGTATCATGTATTGGTACAGTGCCGCCCAACAGGAACAGTCCTGCTCTCCATACCAGAGAGCGGTTTTCTTCTCACCAGGAACGCCGTAGTAGGTTCAAGGTTGACCGAGGTGTTTTCATGTACATGCTGGCTCAGTGTATCTCCATCATAAATCACGGATGAGGCATCATTCCATCAGTTGAATTGTCGCTCAAGATAAAGTCGTTAAAAGTGGGCTGTCCAAATGTCTCCGCCCAATCCCACTCGAAAGTCATCGGCATCTGCCACAAATCCTGGGGGACAAAAGGATGTTGAAAAGACCCAACATTGAGAGGCGACATTGTGGAACTGGGCATCTGCTGACTACCCATGTCTGGACTCAGGCCTGGAGCCGAGATCGGGTCAGTATAATCATTATCGAATGTTGGCATGTTGAAGAACTGGTTGTTAGATTTCATGTTATTGCCTGCACCATTACCGGCACTGGGTGTCACAGGTGCGGCGGTTGTGGCTGTTGGTGGCATGCTGCTCGTAGTACGTGGCGAGGCGCCAGCGCCACTTGATCTTCGAGATCCGGTTTTGCGCCCGTTTATCTGTGCCTGAACCTGTGCCATGGATGATTGGTTGACGCGCATGACTTCTTCAGGCACAAGCCTGCGTTTTCGTTTTGAGCCTTCCTTCTCGGCCTTTTCAATCACCACTCGTGCAATGCGTGCAAACTCTGAGCACACTGTGAGCATGCGGTTCAGCGATCCAGAGCCTTCGTCATGCGCGACGTTCGAAAGAAAGTTGACGACGAGGTCCATCAGCTTTATGTCGGCTCTGGCACGGGTGTCTTGAGGATTTTGGAGGATATTGGCAAAAAGGGTGACCAATGCCGAAACGGGGAAGTATAAAATCAGCCAGACGCAAGCAAAGTCACCTTGTGGGATGTATTTGATGAGGTGGATCGAGGCCCGTGCCGCTGAAACGCAGAGCGCCGCAGAAGAGAAGACCCTTGGATTGAGAGGCCGCGCATTGAGACCTTGGATGGCATATTCCGATAGTCGACTGGTCCAATAGCCGTGATGGACCGACATCCGGTGAATTGTAGTCAAGCAATTGTAGTATGAGAAATGAAGGACGACGATGTGTAGAATGAGCGGGGTGTGCGACGTCTTGATCTCGTGCTCCGGCCGGAAATCCAGAGGAATGCTGTCCTTCCAAGCTTCCAACTCTTTGTCGAGCTCGCCGATGGTGTTCAGAAGCTCACCATCACTTTGCTTGGAAGCTCTGACAGAATAGAGCTGGCGGTACACCTTGCTTGAAATAATGGCAAATTCACACATGAGGCGGAAGAGGTTTATCTTACTCTTACCGTCGGCCAACGGGACATTTCCAATGTTATCGGGGGGATCCTCCGAAGGTAGCTCGACGTTCATGTCATCATCGTCCTGTGCAGGAGGTCGACCTGCCCGGAGGCAGGCGTCCTTGTCCAGAAGATATCCAATCCAAAAGACTCGTTTTCGCTGTTCGACTTCGATGGGGTTGAGGTTGAACGCTGATCCTCGCTTGTGCAGTCCTATCGTGTGTGAACATCGGATGGCAGCAGCAATCAGAAAGAAAGACGGCTGGGGATTGGGTGTGCCTTGCAAGAACAGAGCCATGCCGAGAAGAGCCTGAACGCTCAGAAGATCGGTGTTTCGCATAGTCAGTTCGGTGATGACGCCCATGGCATTCTTGAGGTAAAGCCATGCCTTTTGGTCATCTTCTTGCGGAACAACATTACTCATGACTCTGATGCGGTAGGCAATGGCGAGAGCAACGTTTATGCTCGCCCACCACCCGCTCCCTTCGTATGGATCCTTGGAATATTGTTTCTCGACGAGGTGCATGAACGTAGGTTCATGGAACAATGGGAACATGCAGTTGAAGTTTTCAAAGAAATCCTTGAACAATGACAAAGCTTCTTCCTTTGGCGGCAGCGGCTTGAAGACCCGGCGGACGAAGATGTCTCCAAACACCTCGGGCTTCCAGTATTGCCACTTGGTATCGTCTTCGTTGACAGCGTTTTGAATGGTTTCCTGGAAAGAAGTATCCCCGGTCTTTTCGTTGACCCACTCTATACCTTTACTCGAGAAGATGGAGAAGGCCGAAGATGATCCTGGATGACGTGTTAGAACTAAGGGTAGAGACAAGCAATAACGAGAATACACACCAATGTATCTGGTCTCACCAACGTTGTTGGTGACAAGCGAGCACATTGCTTCGGAAAGATTTTCTACGTCGTCCCTGCTTGGTCTATCACCATCTGTACTCGGAGAAGTCATATTGTCCCGAGGGGTTTCAAGGGATTCCCGTTGTGAGCCAGGTCGGGGGGAATTTTCGGCCACGGTAGAATTAGCACCGCTCTTCGCAGTACCCGGAGAGTCTGTCTTGTGGGTTGAGAAGTCTCTTGAGGAGGCCTTTTCGGCGAGACGCTTCTCCAGCGTCCCCAAGTCGGTCTTTCCTACATCTTCTTCGCTGAGGAGGCCAGACATTCGTAATAGAGACTCCATGCGGCCGAGGCGATTTTCGAGGCCCTCGATATATTTGGCTCTGTCACGGCCATCAGTTTTCCAGCGACGCTGTTTTTGTGGGACCCGAGAATTACATACCCCTTGGGAGGATTGCGCTTCTTCTCGACCTGTGTGAAGATACATTCCGTCTTGTAGTTGATGCAGTGACCACATTTGGGCATCTTGCCATCACACTTGATCTTTTTCTTTCTGCACATGTCGCAAGCCTGCAGTCACCGTCAGAAGGTACGGTACTTATTTGGTAAATGCGTAGAGAAGCGCACCCTTGCAATGCGCCGGCGCTTGGGATCATTGTCGTCTGCACCTCCATCGTTGAAATCACCAAAATATGCACCAGGCGGTAGAGTCGGGGGTATAGGAGTGCCGTCTGGGTGATATGCTCCAAAGATTTGTGGAGGCTGTTGGGACACGAATTGGGACATGTCATAACCCATGCTGTCAATGCTGCCACGAGGATCCATGGTCACTCTTCTCGGCGACGCCGCCGCCACCTTCGTAACTCAAGGAGGGTTCGTATAGGCTGGAGAGGAACTCGTGGAACTACGCTGAATGCAGGTACCCGCTTGGGAGAGGACGGAAATCCGGATGCTTTAGAAGGAGTAAGTCACTGCACTCATTGTGTTTGCGAATGTCTTGAAACGTCGTCCTTCGCCACTGGGGCATGGGATAAGATTGACTCAATGTGCAGACCAGTCGACGGAAGAGACCTGGGGAGGGATGAGGTTTTGCAGATGGCAAATCTCAGCACAAAATTGATTGGGGCAGAATGGAAAATGTAAATATGAAGTTGATTAATCAGGCAGAAAATGAAGTCGTGATTCAGGAATTTCAGGAAGGTTGAAAGTGTATCAAGTAGTTCCGGCGAGAACCATGATCCAGATACGATTTACGAGGGGATGCGCAGTGGTGCAAGGATGCGGATCCATTCTCGCCATCACCAAAGCCGCTCAGAGTTTAGGTGCACCAGGCCTAGCTTGTCAGTCGCTCGGCCGGCTATGACGATGGAGGGTAGCCCTGTGGGTTTCAGGGTGGCACGGGTAAGTGACTGGGCAGGGGGCCACCACCTGCTGCCCTGTGTGTATTAGGGGGCCCGTTGAAATCAATGGTGGGGTTATACCCATGCTTAAAGGGGAGCGTCATACCGAAGCCCCCAAACTCTCAGGCTCCAGGCACCAGTATTTGCATTTTCCGAGACCTCAAAACCCCCAGCCATTTGCCGCCATTCTCATTCGACAAAGTGACCACGAGTAAGGCCAGCGGCTACCTCCATTACCTCGTACTGATTCACGATTCCATCACTTTTTCAAGTGCCGGGGTTAAGTGCTCGTATTTCCTTGCTCAGAGCCTGCCTGCAGTCAGCAAACGTGAACCATGGCACCATCGTAGCCTGGTCATTGCGGGTTGGCACCGCTTGTTCGCTTCGTCCCATGGACTTTCCCCGGCATGTATCAGACTACGACAGTTCCAGATTGCAATTCTCACCTCACTCCTTTGGGAAAGACAAATCAGTTTCACCAACCTCGAATCAGTCACCAGTACTCGTTATGAGGAACGAGGTCTTGTTCTTGTCATTGCCAATGGATCCCCTGCCAGGGGATTTTGACTGCGCCCTCTCACCCTCTCCCTCTCCCACGCACCTACGTACAGTACCTCGCACCACCTCGCACCACCTCCGCACGTGCACCCTCTTTCCTCCCTCTCTGTCGACTGACCGAAGCCTCAGATCACACTCGAAACGCAGAACGGACGCACAAGACAACTCAATCCGAAATCTCCGTTCATCCGCTCCGCTCTCGAGCGTGCTCCGTATCCGTGTGCGTCTCCAAATCCATGCAGGCTGTCCTCCAATGGCAGCCCCAGACGCTTGCAAAGCTTGACATGGCGCCCTCCTACTGTGCTGTGTATATTCGGATTCGGTGACGTTTCGCGCCGGCGGGTCCGATGAATGGTCCGAGTGGCCTTATGTGTCGATTTCTCGGATGGACATTCTCGCAGCAGTACTCGGTCATGTTCGACTCTTCTCGAATCTGCGTTTCGGCCCAAACTGACTCGGCCGAGTCTGCCGAAGGTGGCCTATGATGAGCCAGACGGTGCGTTCTCCATCAAAATCAAAAGCTGGGTGGCTGACTAAATTGAATTAGTTTTCCTCCTCCATCTTCTGCACAAGGTTGGACATGTGAGCCATTTTTCGTCTATTGTCTTCCTTTAGTCGATCTCCAAGCATTCGATCTTCGGCAGTTGCTTAGATCCCGGGGTGCAGGAAAAGAACCTCGCAGATGGTCGCGACTACAAGTACCCAGTACACTTTGATCTAACCGTCGCGTGACTAGATGTTGCGCTTTGTCCTGCGGAGTCGGCACGATTTCGGTCCATTCCAAAAGAGCGAGAGCGAGACTTTCGAAGCAATAGGTATGTGGAAAATGTGTGGTCATTGATCCTCTGAGTATACTACAACTACAGTTTCTGCGTCAAACTGAGCGCCAGCAACATACTGCCCTCAACCTTGCGCCTGCTGTTCCTCGTACTTATCGACAATATCCCGGCATCGTTCGATCATGTTCCAGCCATATTCTACTCTGATAGTAGCCCAATTGTTCCACAACCATTCCCGGCCTCTGACTGTGGCACACCACCATATGTGCTCAGCCACCGATGGCTCCATGTATGAGGTACGTCGACGATCGACGTACCTTGGCCTTGGCTCCGGTATCGTGGATGGCTGGGGAACCCTGTTCTGAAGTCGGTTGAGCTCGCGGAACATTCGGTTTCTGCACGGGGAGCCATCTTCTTCTCCCGGCATCACGTCCCAGAAGTCTTCGTCGCCCGATTCTTCCTCATCCTCGTCACGGTCCTCCTGCCCCTGATTCCAGTCTTCGCTGTTAATCACATCTCCTTGCTGAGATCCTTCACTCCCACTGTATGCAGATTCTGCTCCGTTACCGTCGTTGTCTTCATCGTCACCATTGTCCCAATGGTTCTGTCTACCCTCTTCGTCCTGTCCGTCTTCTTCATCCGACGCGCGCTCGGCATCAATATCAGGGGGGGACACCCCATCTTGACCCTGGCCTGTGCGGTTCGCCTGAGCTATCGCAGCTTGCCTTTCATATGCTTGTAAGGCCGCTTCATAATCAACATCTAACGGGTCTCCGCTCCCCTGAGTATCGTCTCCGAGCTCCTCCTCTGAGCGATTCTCTTCGGCAGCAACTTGCCTTGCATATGCAAATAGCATCGAGCGGTGATCACCCTCCACCGAGTTTGCGTCATCTTGGTCATGGTCTTCCGTCTCTTGCCCTGATTCACTCTCGTCAGAAGCTTGCCCTTCATATTCACGTAAGAGCAATTCGAAATCGTCCTCTATCGAGGTTGAGTTCCCTTGGACATTGTTTTCAGGCTCTTGTCCTGTGTGACTCGCTTCGGCAGCAACCTGCCTCTCATGTTCCAGTAAGAGCGCTTCGATATCGTCCTCTACCGGGTCTGCGCTCCCTTGGGCATTGTTTTCGGGCTGTTGTCCTGAGTGGATCGCATCGGCAGCAAGTTGCCTTTCATATGCAGCTAGGGTCGCGGCGAAGTCGTCCTCTACCGGGTTTGCGTTCCCTGGAGCAATCTCTCCGGACTCGTGGTCTGCGACTGTACGTTCAGCGAGGGCGTCCTCAATTGGAGGGTTTTGGCTGTCTGTTTCTCCTTGATTATGGATGCCTCTCTCCTCCTGGGCAGGAGTGCCTTGGCCCGTGATGCTGCTGCTTCCTTGGACGTCGGCTTCACCCTCACCGCTTGAAAAGATGTCTGGAGATTTTTGATCCTTCTCATCTGCAGGGTCCTGAGGTTGTGTTCCTCTTGGTTGAACGTCGCCATCCTGAAGGCCCTGGGGACTGGGATTGATTGGGGCTGTCGGGTTCACCTCCGGCAGGGGTAAATGCCGTCTTATAGCCTGCTCCGACGCGCTTCCCAAAAGAGTTGTGAGCTGAGAAGGGTTGCACTGGGAAAAGGGAGACCGCATTGACAACCTCTTTCGATCAGTGCCTGTATACTGAGTGGCTCGGTGGGATTCAGGTATGCCAGCGGTTTCGTTTCCAGGAAGCACTGGGTCGTCCTCCTGGTTTCTCTTAACACCGTCTACGTGCTGACGACGTTCCTCTTCCAGGTCCGCCACTTGATGGATATTCAAACCAGGAATTGCTGACTGAGCGACGTGTCCTTCATTCAGCCGGGGCTCGAATGTCGTCTGAATAACAGGTTGATTGCTGCCCGTCTGGGGAACTTCAGGCGTTCCACTTCTGTTGTGTTCGAGCACCGCGGCTATGTGTCTCGCCACCATGAACTCTTCGTCCGTTAGCACCGAACGCATTTGAGACTCCCGCCAGCTGTATGGGTCGGGAGCTCCTGGGTTGTCTTCCTCAACGTCCTCAACGTACAGGCCAACCGGACGCGCGGGCTCATATCCTGACACTCCCGCGGCGACCTCTTCTTGTTGCACGGTCGGTTGCACTGGCCAAAATTGACCCTGAGATGCTGCTAGTTCAGCTAGAACTTGATGCACTGGCCAAGATTGACCCTGAGGTGCTGCTGGTCCAACTGGAACTTGATGCGCAGCGCCGTCATGTTCATAGTCCATGTCGGCGGCATTCTGCTCTAATGATAAGTCTCTCATGGCGGTTGACAAGATGTCATCAACGCTCTTCTGTTGTGGCTCGAATTGCATGGGTTCTGGTTCTGGTTCTGGGTCTGGCGCGTCTTCAGTCAGGTCCATGAGATCTGGGTCCATTTGACCGGTGACAGCAGGGGGATCCACAGATCCTCGCGCGCTCTCTGCCAAAACCCGCGCTTGATCCTCCTCTGACATGAGGCTGAATGACTGCAAGGACCTCAAGAAGGCAGGATCAAATCCAGATCCACCCGGGGGTTGCCCTTGGTCCCCAGCGAACGCAGACACGACTGGGGTTGGCTGCTCATTCGAAACCTCAATGCCAGTGGCCGCTGCGCCTTCCGCATCTACAACCATGGAATCTCGCAATGCTGCGGGCGCCTCTTCTGAGCGGAAATGGCACGTCTGGCTCACCACTGATCCGTCAGACTCTGTTGCAAAGGTGACTCCACGGACGCGCTCGCTCCCGGAGGGTGTCCCTCCTGCTTCTTGAGGCTGGGTCCGAAGTCCACCGGGACGACGTACGCCGGTGCCGTGGGACTGGTGGACGTCCCTCTGCGTAGATGGACTGGTGACAGGGCTATCGGAATCGAACAAGCCCCCAAAGTCAGCAGTGCCAGTGTCGATGGAGTCGCCACTGACTCCAGATGCATCGTCAGGGCGCTGAGCAGAAGCCTCGTTCGATTGTTGATGACGTTCCTCTGGGGCATCAGTCCCAGACACGCTCGAGGAGAGCGGTCCTTCATTGCTGCCACTGTCACGCTTGGCTTCGCCCTCGACGGGCTCTTCTGCATCCGCAACCCTTTCGAGGATGCCTGTCGATGGTGGAGAGGTAGGTCGATTGTCGTCCTCATCTTCGGCATCTTCCACCATCGGACGTGGAGGAATATCTTTTTCCTTTCCCACACGATTCTGGGAATCATCATCCTCGGCCTTCTCTTCGTTCTCCGCTGGATTTGACGTGATGGGTGCGCTGGCTGACGAAAAAGCAGGCCCATAAGATCGCGTGATGCTTTCCTCTTCTGTAAAAGTGGAAGGAAAAGTAGCGGCCGAATCTTGTTCTTCCTGTGGTAGAGGAATAGAATCTAGGTTGGGCTCCAAGAGAGGCGGAGCCTCTGTCGAAGTTCTACCATCGCGAAGCTCAGTCGAAACGGATTCCGGTCCCACAAGGTCATTCTCGTTGGAGGTGATCGGCCTGAGCGGGCTGTTTGAGGATTTGTCCTCTTGGGGTTCGTCCAATATGGGAATGTCTTTCAAAGGAGACGCTACGCTCAAATCTTCATGCCCATTGACGTCGTCGAATCCGAGCTGGCTTTGTGAACCTGCGCCATCGTGCGATTCGGCTTCATGTTCGTTGGTGGTATTCGACCCAAGTTGGATATTTGGAGATTCTTTCTCACCCAGTTCTTCAACCACAGGAATGTCACCTGGAGCCGAAACAACGCTCGATTCTGTTTGCGGAGAAGGCACTTTCTCGGACACGACAGCATTATCCGATTCTGGTTTTTCTGTGACCATGCGAGCCGGTTGAGGTGGGCTAGAACGCCTATCTGGTCCGCCCATCGCGTACGGACTGTCAGCCTTAGCATAGAATTCTGCCTGCGTTGAAGCTCTCTCGGCGAGCTGTTGTCGCTGTCGCTCATGCGGATTTCTAGCACCAGTTAGTATCGACAATCTCGCTCGCGGGTCACGCCTGGTGAAAGGTCGATCCGCTAGATGTTCAACCATGTCCCTCGGGCGAATCGGATTCGATACGACCGGTAAGCTGTCGGATTGCGACGGTTCGCCCGCTGAGTCTGGTGGTAGCAGATCCTTCGAGGCGAATGGGGGTTGTGAGAGGAGGCCGTCTTCTTTACCGTGTGCTGGAGTGTCAACAGGGGATGCCTGTTCGTCCGGCTTCTCTGCCTCGGTGGAGTTGACGAGAGTTCCAACGCCATCGTTCTCGGAAGTCTCTGGTAGAGACGGCGTTACTTGAGTGGCGGGAGTTGGATCCAGTGGTGCATCCGTCGATGAGTCGGGGGGAAGCACTACTTTGTCAACAGGCAGTGCTTCAGGGGCCTCTTCGACGGTAATGTCCGAACCTTCATCTCCTTCTACATTCCACCTTATGAATCTGGCTAGGTTGTCTCGCAGATAAAGGAGGACGACAGGAGCATAGCGGCACAACGACATGAAGGCCGTCGTCGCCGCAGCAGCAGCAAAGCGGCACAACCATGTGAGGACTGTCGCCGTCGTGGCAGCAGCAGCGCGGCACAGCCATAGGCCTCTCTTCCCTGCGGCAGGACCATAGCGGCGCAAGAGTATGAGGAATATCGTCGCCGCGATCGGACCAAGTTTGATCAAGAGTGGAATGCCGAGCAGAATAAACGCAGCCAGTGCTGGATGGGTAGGTATCAGTCTCAGGAAAGGGACGAGCGCCTTGTTCAGGAAGTTGCGGACAGCGAAGAACGTCTGTCTGCCAAACTCAATGATAGGCTCCATTGTGCTGTGTGCATGGGTAATCATGTTCGCCATGCTTGAAGCAAGGCTCCGACAGACAGAGGGTTTGTGGTCAGATGGCGATGGAAGCTCTTCAACGTCGATACCCATGGAAATGTTGCCAGCCTCACAGGTGTCCTGATCGATCCGTTCATGAGGAAGGCAAATATCTTCTGTCACAATAACAGAGGGACTGGGATTTCTGTTGGTGAGGTCGCCGACTCGCAAGTCAACAATCTCTTCCATATAGATGATTGTGCCATTGGTCCATGCTTGGACAGAGAAGAATCGTGTCACGGGTACAGTCGAAGGTTGCGTCGGTCGAAGAATCACATCTCGGCTGCCTTTCGATACAACTGTCTTGACAACACTGGGGCCAACAGAGGCCCCGGCCTCTGCCGCTCTTTTGTTTCTGAGGAGGTGCCAACCGAGAACACTTGCCATGGTAACGGCGCCAGCTGCGCCAACAAAGAGTTCGATTTCTTGGGTGGTGATCCGAGGAATGGCTGCGACATTGGCGACGAACCAGAGGGAGAGAAGGAGTGTCCACTTGAAGGACAGCATGGTGAAGGTATTCGAGGTATTTGTCTGAGGCTGTTCGCTAGTCTCGGGAGATGAGGTGACCTCTGCGGCAGAGTGGATCGAGAAGATGTTGGGTTTAGCGAGGTGAAACGAGATTCGAGAGGGAGTTGTAAGTGTGATCTTTGGTTGTGAAGAAGCAAATGGGCATGGCTGAGTTTTATTGACAGATTAGAGGCAGTGAATCAGCAGGTGAGGCAGTTGCAAGCGCTACTGGTTTGTACCGTCTGAATGCTGGATAATGCGAACACATTGACAACTTGGTAAGGCAGTTCTATGACTGACGGAGGTGAAAAGAGCAGCGGAATGAGTGACTGTGGTCTGTGTCTATTAGGATGGATCTCGAATGAATACAGAATATATATCTCTAGACAGAGTCGCGAGGCTGAAGAAATCAAGGAGGTGGAAAACAAGTTGTATATTCTTCTTCTCTTGCTTGCGTCGCAAACTACAAACTTCACGTCTTATTGAGTTCCATCAAACAGCGGGTTGCTATTCCCAGCGCTTCTATGTATAGGAGACAATGGTCTTTCATCCTGGTGGGTTGTGAGCGTTTGTTACAGACCCCGTTCTGCTTTGTCGCTGAACCACAGCCTTGTCCATGATTGTCCCTGCGACAAAGACAGCCTTGTTTGCTCCGTCCAATCACAGCGATAGCGCATAAGCAGGACCGTACAATACGAGTAGAGTGGAGCTCCTGCAGAGAACTGTGTCAAATGACATACAATACCTAGTATTCAATAGAAGATTGCTGTCATATAGGTCATTATTGTCATTTGAAGATCCCCATGACATCACCACCATCGCCTTGCCACAAGCTGCGATCTTCAGGCACATCCGTGCTCGGTGCGTGGGTGCCTCGCTGTTCAGCTCTTGACATGTGCGATAGAACCGATTCGAAAAGGGTAATCTTGTCCTCAAAACCTGTTTTTGATAGAACCCTTCCCCTCGTGGCAACGGGGTCGGGCGTTGTGGCGTACTGGGAAAGGAGTTCCCACCTGGCCCTGGAAATATATTCCTATCCAATTCCACGACTGCACCACCCTTTCTTTTCAACCTCTTCCATCTAACATCTTCGTACCCAGGTTGCTTGTTAGAAGACACACTCGTGCCTCCCAGAACTAATATTTGAGCTCAAAAGAACCCTGCCTGTAGGCATCTTCCTTTGCTGACCGGACGCCAAAAACAATGTCGGACGACGCTGGATTCTTCAAACGCACGTCCGAGGCCGTCGCCAATGCCGGTGCCTCTGTTGCCGGCGCGGTTTCCGGTTCCCTGTCCCTAGGCGCCTCGGCCAGCCACAAGAAAACGACGACGACAAAGACAAAGACCACCCTTCCAACAGCAGAGCAACAGCAATACATCGTCGCGAATGGAGGGGCGGGGCAGCCTGCTCAAGGACGCATCACTAGTGGTGGAGTGGGCGAGCAGAAGAGGATCACGTCAAAGGAGGCCGATGCATTGTACCAGGAGCGCATGGAGGACGAGTATGCAAAGAGGGAGGGCGGCGCTTGAATACAGGTTGTGAGAGAGTTGGGAGCACAGGTTTGTTGGTGTTTGCTGGGAACTTTGCCCAAGGGTGAGAGCAGGTCTGTTGTTAACTATTTCTCCTGCGATCGGACTACAAACCGGGGGAGGACACACAGGCACCGTCAACTCAAGATCACTCTGCCAACATTGCGTGAGATCTATAAAAACATATGTATTTCGACGTGCTGGGCTTTGGAGAGGATTTCCATACCTCCATAACTTCTGGATCGTTGAATGTTGACTTTCGCACATGCAAAACATCGCCCACTGCGGGAGTGACATCATTTTCTAGACACTGGGAAAATCTTCGGCAGATTCGGAGCACGAGATCCCAGATGCACTTTTAAGATCTCGCGTGTTCCTTCACCATAGCAAAACGACAAAAAGTGCGGTGTCTGTACAGAGTATAAGTACACGGTCACTCACTCTCTGTATCCCGCCATGGCTCCGGACGTCTCAAAAGCTCTGGAACTGATAGACGCAGCTCACAGAGAAGACCCGAACACGGTCGACATCAACGGCGACCAAATCCCCTACGAGCTACACTATGCTCAGAAAATGACACGCTACCTCGACCTCCACACGCCGAACGCTGGCCCCTTGCTCGCCACGGCCGCCCGTGCCCAGCATTTCCGCCGTTGGGAAGTGCCGCGAGACAGCTACCCGCGCACCAAAGCCGGGTACTTTGCGTGGCGCACGTTCCTGAAGAACCGGCAGGCCGAGCAAGTCAGGCAGATCTGCCTGGAGTGCTCGTACACGGAGGAGGAAGCCGGCAAGGTGGCGGCGCTGATTGCAAAGGAGGATCTGAAAAAGGGGGAAGGTAAGGGCGACGCCGACGCGCAGGTCATTGAGGATGTCGCGTGCCTGGTGTTTCTGGACGACCAGTTTGACGACTTCGAAAAGGGCCACGATGAAGAGAAGATCATTGGCATATTGCAGAAGACGTGGGTGAAGATGGGCCAGAGGGGGCAAGAGTTGGCGCTGGCCATGGATTTGAGTGAGAGGGCAAAGGAGATGATAGGCAAGGCTCTGGCGGGTTGATGGGAGGAAGGGGGGAGGGAAGGGGGTTTGTCTGATGCAGACGCCATATTGTACTTTGTCTGGTCAACAGCAGCCAGGCGTCGATAGGTCTGCACGTTCCTGGCATGGGTGTGGGAGTGAATTCCTCGTCTACACACCTCCATTGCCCGCGCAGTCCTGTGTCACACCCCAGTCCAAAACTCCCAGTCTTCCTCACAAGCCTCGATCGGACAAGACACGGGTATTGTGTACAGACCCCTGCGTCGTGGGACGTTTCCAAAGCGCTGTGTCCAACTAGCCCACCATTGCTTTCTGTCCCACACAAGTTGGCGGCGAGGCGGGTAAAGATCGGTCTTTACAATGTCCCAGGTTTAACGTGGTGGTTTTGTGGGAAACTGCGGGCCTCCACAAACCCCGCGATATACCGCCACGTCGGCCGTATATGAACGAAGCACCAAAACCCTTCTGGATCTCTGTCAACTGATAGTTTTGCATTCCTTGATACCAGCGCAATACTACTCGCAAGCGAGAAATGTCTCCCTATCCGAAAATTGACTGTCACTCCCACTTCCTGCCTGCGTAAGTTTCATTCATTCCCGGGAGGCGCCCGAAGCGAGTCGAGTCGAGTCCTACTGACCAAACTTCCTCAGTGAATACCGCAAGGCTCTTGCTGAAAATGGTCATAAGAACCCTGATGGCATGCCAGCGATCCCGGTACGTCTGCAGAGCCCCCGATCAATCTACCCAAGGGGCTAGCTAACGGCCGTGGTCAGGAATGGAGCGAAGAGAGTCACCTTACAATGATGAAATCCATCAACGTGACCAAGTCGATTCTCAGCATCAGCACCCCGGGAGTTCACCTCAAGTCTGGCGACGACGCACTTGCCCGAAAACTGGCCAGACACGTCAACGAGGTCGGGGCGGATCTGAAGAAACGAATGCCCGACCAATTTGGCTTCTTCGCCTCTCTCCCCTTACCCGACGTCGAGGGCACCCTGCAAGAGATCTCCTATGCTATGGACCACCTCAACGCCGACGGGGTTGTCGTGCTCACCAACTTTCACGGGACGTATCTCGGCCACAAGGACTTTGACGCCGTCTTCGACGAGTTGAACCGGAGAAAAGCCGTCGTCTTCATCCATCCTACCACACCGTGCCTGTCGTCGGGAACTGCGGCGACGCCACTCCCTCAATTCCCGAGACCAATGTTTGAGTTCTTGTTCGACAGTGCTCGCGCCGTCATTAACCTGTTCCTGACAGGCACCGTGAAGCGGTGTCCCGACATCACCTTCCACATGTCCCACGTCGGAGGCGCGTTCCCACCCCTGATCAACCGGTTCTCGAGCGTCGCCGAGGTCATGAAGCTGGGAGGATCTGCCAACGAGGTCACCCCGGCATGGGTCAAGGAGAGGCTCAACAAACAATTCTACTTCGACACGGCGGGATGGGCCTTCCCGGAGCAGGCCAAGGGGCTGCTGGAGTACGTCACCGTCGATAGGATGCTGTTTGGAAGCGATTTTCCTTATACGCCCTTACCGGTGGTCCAAGGTCTGTCCAAGCAGCACGATGAGTATCTGCCCCAGGTGTTTGCCAGTGACGACGACAAGGAGAAATTATGTACCAAGAACGCTTTGCAGCTCTTCAAAAAGTAACCCAGCAGCAAGCTTTCTTGAACGAGATGGGAAGGGCATGGGATTATGCTTTACTAGCCGACCATGAGAATCGCGTGGAATCAGCTTTGGCAGCGCCGGGATCTCTCCATCAAGTTCGTTTCTTGCCACGATTTCCTGGGCGGCTTCGCTATGTGGGCGAACCAAGACAGACCCCTTGCTGATCTTTACTACACAAACCGGGAAGTAATGGGTGATGGATGTCTCTTAGGTTCTGGGCTATGCGCTGGGCGTGTGACGAGGCTCAGAGGCATCTCCCTCCTCTTTGATCGGAGAACTAATCCGAAGACGAGGTGCCCCTCTTTGCCTTTCAGCATTCGCCATGATCGTCATGCTGCTGTCGTCAGATAATGCCAGGTGAAGTCATTGTAGCAAGCGACCGTCAACAATGGACTTGGGCTGTGCAGGGAGCATTCAGTAGAATATATCTAAGGGTGGTGCATGTTTTCGTACCCGGTCTATTCAGACATTTTGCTAGAAAACGACTCCCCAACAAAGGCAAATTTTGACAACAAGAAACAAAGACCATCGCAAAAACTCATCTCGTATAGCAACCTTGTCTACTGCACTTGATCGGGCCTACCTCTTCAGAAAAAATAATGACCGACAGCCAGACAACAAGCACGACGGGCACCTCAGAAGGTGCAGCATCCTCACACTCGGAACTGTTTGGGCTTCCAGGCCAGAAGAGAGCCTCGACCACCGCCGGCGCCGGAGCAGGATCAGGCATTATCGGAACGAGTGGGCACGCCGGCGCGGCGAACAAGAGTGTCGACCTGGACACGGGAAGCGAGGTTCAGAACGCTGGAGGGGTTGCTGGCGTTGCCGAGGGAGGGAAGAGCAGCACCGTCACAGGATCTGGCGGCGAGACTCTCACTCCCAGTCAAGGAAGTGGAGATGTTCGACCGGCGGGGCAAGAGAAGGGCATCATCGACAAGTTGAATCCATTGAAGTGATAGTGATGGTTAGGGACATGTAGTTGGGGAGAGAGGTTGGTGACTGCGCAGTGGATTGAGGGCAAGGCAAATCTTACGAGTATTTGCAGAACAGGTGGGGCTGCAGTTGGCGTCCAGGGCTTGAAGGAGGGAGTAAGAAGCCATCAATGACTGTAGAGGATCGTGCTTAAGATATTTCTATGCCATCATCTTCTCAACTCAAGTACAAGTACAATCTAATTAACGCAGGTCTTACCATTCTCCCAAAATCGGTACAGGCGAGAAGCCCTGTTCTCCGGGGGCCGTTTTAACAGCAAGGGAAAGGCGTGGCGACCCGTCAGGTACTAAAGATGGGCAGAGTGGAGGCGGCGGGACCAGTGAAAATGTCCCAGTCGTGCAGCAGCTAAGGGGAGGTGGCAGGGTGCTCAGCGAGGTAAAAGGTGGTTGCTGTTCGGGGTTGTTTGGACGCCCGTAAGGCGCTTATAAGCCACACCAACGGGCAACTTCCACCTGCAGCAGCCGTGCAAAATAACGGGGAAGCCACTAAACCTGACCCGTTTCTCTCAACCTGGCCCATTGTGATCCAACTTCGCACCTCTGCTGCCAACTCTGCACAACACCAGTATCCCGATCGCCCAATGTCCAGCTTAACGTGACTCAATCCAATGTTCCACCACCCTTCTCATCCTTAATCAACATTCCTCCTCGCGATCGCTACGTTCGCAGGACCTCTGTCAAGATAAAAAGATCGAATCCCCTTACTCAGTGCCGATTCTGTCGCTGCGCGTTGCCTCGTTTAAACAATACTCGACACGACTTCCACATTGGTTGTTTGATTACTTGCTGCGCACTCGCGGCGCCCAATCAGTCACCTTGTCACCTCCGGTTTTTGATCGAGGAGACTCGCCCATCACGGCGTTGTCGAGATTCAACCACTCCTTCGACAACGACGACACTGAACACGAGGACAAGATATACATTGCACCACCGCCACATTCACCCAGGTCCGCAGCGTCATCCTCGAGTCCTCCCTCCCCACGACCGCCTCCCTTCTCCTCCCTCTATTTTCCATCCGACGCCGAGCTCGACCGCATCAGAGCCACTGTCACCGAGACTCATTGCGACTCGCTCTTAGCCTCTGCCCCGGCACCCTCCTTCGAGGAGGCTCTCGCCGAAGACGAACCCGGGTCTAAGGCTGAGCGCGAGACAAAAGCTGCCCTCCCACAAGACACAAAAGCTCAGTCTTCCTCCGGCAAGGCCGTTGACGACGGAGAGCCGCCGCCACCTTATACCGAAGGTTCTAGTCCATTAGAGTCGTTCTCATACCTCATGGCGGCAGCGGGTGGTGCTGCCAGCATCATCACACAGGTCCAGCAAACAGGCCCACCAATCAACACTTTAGGAGGTGAGTGGCGATGCTCTTGGGGGAAGTGATCAAGACTGACACGATGGGTGTGTAGCAGGCGAGGCTGCAGCTGATGAACACATCACATTGGACTTGAGGTTTGTTTCCTTGGCTCACACTGAAAGCCAGCAAACAGAAAGCTGACTGCACCTCAGGGGAACGCATTTCACCCTTTCCCGTGATGAATTGTTGACGCTGCCCGAGTTTGTGCTGCTATCATTATTCCCCAATGGCCTTCTCCCGGATGGCCACATGAACTCGTTTCACGAAGGCGATGTCTACCCCGTTGACGTACGTCCCAATCAAAGCCCCCATCCCATTGTCGTTCTTAGCAATCCTTGTATCTATATCGGAGATGTAACCTATTCTTCACAGTATGACCCAGCCTCCCTTCAGTATATGTTAAATTTCTTCCGAGATGTGGCTCAATCAATACCCTCCACGTCTCCCTCCCCAACAACACCACCAGAACATGACCCCATCTCGATTGAACCCTTACAGGGTTCGACCAAGGATATGCTTCAGGACCGAGCGGGGATCATAGTCTTGAGAGAAGATCTTGACTTTTATGTCATTCCTCCTCGTCCAGACATTGAGCAGCCGGAAATGACAGAGATCAAACGGGCCGCTGGGAAATCCCTACTCAAACAAGACGGAATCTTCTCTGGTCTTAAGCGGAGTGAAGAAGCTGGCACGACAGAGCAACATTTGATTGAAATGCTGACCGCAGGGTATGTTCCACAAACCGATCATCTCAGATGGAGATACTGACACATGCAGCGGTTTTAATCACGATGATGCCTGGGGTCATCGAGCTGGAGAACCAAACAAGGCCGTTATTTGCAGCTTGGCTCTCGCGCGGCTACGGACTGATATCAAAGGGGATTTGGCTGGGAGCAATGTTGTGGGCATGGCTCAAAAACTCCTCCTGTTTTGGCGCAAACCGGCTCGGAGATGCTGGTGGGAGGGTGTTGAGCTGACTGATGTGGACGGGGTTGAGGGCAAGTTGAAGGTATGGATTCGAAGAGTGTGGACCCTCGAAATGGTGAGTATCCCCTGTGTTGTGTCGATATACCGTTGTCCTGACATCCTGTTCAGAGCGTGATCGGCCTTCGATGACAGGAGCGCAGTCATTCTTTCGTTGCCGTGTTGGCGTTTTGCATTGAGCGATCAGGAGAAAAAGAAGTTCGGTTTCGGAATATCCATGTGTTAGGGCTTTTGGGAGTATGAAACGGGTGATTGTCGCGACATTGCCTGCACAGCTAGGGTTTGCCTACAAAGAGCTGGGTGAGACTCCATACAGCCAATATTCGGGTTTCTTCTTACCCCCGGTCACAATCGCCTAGTGCCGTTGGCTTGGTGAAGAAGGATCCCACGTTTGTTCATTTGTAACTTGGGGTAATAAAAAAAATATGTACATGTTTCTCCATGGGCGAGACTTGAACAGTGAACTTTCTCTTTGGACCTTCCTTGTTGATTCCCGTCCAGCAGCAAAAAGGTAAAGTTGGCTCCGGCGGCTTCTAGTATACCTTCTCCCATTTCCCTCGCAGGTGTTGCGGCTCCTATCCTCTCCCCGGTGGAGAGGGTTAAATCGAGCAATCTTACAACAGCCACGAGGTACTCTGGGACAGGAGAACCATGTGCAAGACCCCTACAGCAAGCTCATGATCCCCCTTCAGAAGGCCCCTCCCACCTAACCCACTAGACCTTTTTCCCAAGATTGTAACAATAGCCCACCCCGAACTCGAAGTTGTAGGGGTCTCCAAGTGCTGATCGAACTTCAAGTTTTGTTTTTTTTTGTTGGTGTGTGATTTTTCACTTGGTGGGGGGGCTATGTTGCAGGAAATTCAGAGGGAATAAATCAAATTGATGATTGTTTTCTTCGGAGTGGGGCCTTGGTGGTGAGTGAATTTCTCGTTCGTACTGAGAGTGAGTATGCTGGGTACCTTTGTCTATATCACTTCAGCCTTGTCTGGGATTAAAAGTGGGGCGGCATGCCCATGCAAGGCTGAGGGTGATTTCAGGGCTCTAGCTTGGCGAAATAGGTACCTCGTACATGGGGTCCAACAGAGAGAGCTAGTTTTACGGGGAGATTACAATTTGTACCTCGTACAAGACTTGAGCTTGGACTCTGTCAATGAGGCCAGGAATGGAGTCTTGACGATATACGAGGTAATTGCGCTTCCTATCGCTTGTTCACAGTGGACAGGACGGAGCATTTCATCCACTCCTCCACTTTCGCCGAATGCTAACTATGGGTTTTCAGTGAAGACTGCAGGATATCATCTCGGGCAGGCGGATAAGAATACTCGGAATATTGAGTGGGAAAAGCGACGTATTCAGTGGGAGAAAGGACGATTCCAAGGTCACGGGCACGAACAGTTCCCCGCATGTTTCACGATGGCGGACACAACATCTGAACCAGCCCGGAAAAACCTACAAAGACCTAAGCAATCCGAAAGCCGGACACGAAAGATGCTTCAAAAGTTGCCGGTTTGTCAGTCGGGCTCTGGCAAGAATGTGGTCAAATGGCGAGGCTGTCTCCGCGAAACCAGGGTTATCAAAGCGCGACCTCATAAAGGCCTTTCAGGCCAAGGGGGCTCAAGGAGGCACCTTCATGGTGAGGGTTGAACACATGATCCAGAGTGGACCGTGTCTAGGGCATCATCTCATCTTGACCTGACCCTCTGCGAACTGGTGATTGAGGAGGTATCGTCGAATACTTTCCAATTTAAGCTCTTTCCTATAAGACTAGTGTCTTGGGACTACCGGGGAGTCCCTTGGCTTGGCACTAGACCCGTCTCGGAAGGGGTCGAAAGTCGCGACTGCGAACATTTCTTCAAGTAGCCCATTGCTGCAGCGCAATTGCGACACGCTTTGGCCATTACCCTTGATACCCTTCTGTCGGGCGTGGCGCGTGGACTCGATTCTTCTTGAGGCTTGTCGCTGTCGACCATGTCATAGTGCTGTATCACTCGTCCAGCCAACCGCGATGCACCATGGCGCCCGCGCAAGCATATGTGACCAGCTATCCCCCGCGAATTCGCCAGTACACCAATACCCTCCTTCAACCCGTTCTCCAGACCCAAAATGTCGTGCCCGGCGGTCGCACCACCAAACGAGGGACAACCATAATCAACTACGCAGATGATGCCTACGATGAGGACGACTTTGAAGACAGCGAAGGGCCCCGGCGACCGACCGGACTGCGATCGTTACGACGGGAAGAGCTCGAGAAAAAGGACACGCAGCATGAAAAGGTGGGAAAGGAAATACACGAGCCTGTCGATGTGCAGCCCATTTATCGGGATTGGATAATCAGGAGGACCGTTAGGCCCACGTCAGTGCTGCCCCTCGACTGTTGAAATCTCACTGTGGTGTTATTGACCAAGTTTTGTTGTGTCGAACAGGACCGATGCCCAGGCACACATCCAGTCGCAACTCCCACTCACCCTTATACCGATACGTATCGATCTCGATGTACCTCCCTACCAGCCTGAAGCGCCTTTCCCCCTGCCACGCACAGGGGACATCGGAGTCAACCCTTCTCTCCCAATGTTCAAGAAACCTGAACCTTTGCCGGGCTACAAGATACGGGATATTTTCTTGTGGAATCTTCACGAGAATCTACTTACTCCGGATGACTTCGCGCAGTGTTTCGTCCGCGAACTGGACTTACCGAACCAAACAGGTCTTGCGATGAACGTCAGTCAGCAAATCCGGACCCAACTGGAGGACTACGCGGGTGTTGCCATGCATCCTCTCTTTCACACTCAGCAGAAGAGATCGCAAATGCCTGACACCAACCCTGCTCCAACACCGTCAGCTTTTGTCAATGGAAGCTCTCGTGGCGGCACACCCCGGGCGCACCTGGGGGCTTCAATATCGCGTCCAACCTCTACGACACCGGGAACTCCCGCCATTTCAACACCTCATCCTATTACATTGACCAACGGCGCTTCTATAACAGCAGTCGCTTCTCCGCTACCGCCAGAACCCCAAATTGAGCAGCAGGATGACTCTGAAGATCCATTTCTTAATCCGGACGACACGTACCGCTGTATAATCACGCTCTCAATCTACCTCTCCTCGAAACTTTACCAAGACAAATTCGAATGGTCATTGTTACATCCACCGGGTGCTGCAGAGGCATTTGCAAGACAGACTTGCGCAGACATGGGATTGGGCGGCGAATGGGTTATGGCCATTACTCATGCGATCTACGAAGCAGTGTTGCGACTGAAAAAGGAGGCGTGCGAAGGCGGCATGGTCATGATCGGTGGGAACCATTTAAGCGGAGAAATCGACAACCAAGCCGTCCGGAGCGAAGAAGGTGCTGGGTGGAGATACGACATTGACGATTTTGGGGCCGAATGGGAGCCGAAATTCGAGGCTCTGAGTAAAGAAGAGATCGAGAAGAGAGAGGGTGATCGTGAACGTCAACTGAGGAGATTGCGGAGAGAGACTGCCAAATTCAGCTCCACAGCTGGGATGGTGCCCTCTGCTCGAGAACAGGAAGCACAGCAACGAGGAAGTTACTTTGACTACACCACCATTGGGAGCGCCGGGACAGGAGAGGATACTCCCCTCATGGGACGTGGAGAAAGAAGCAAGAAGAAGCGGCGATTCAGATCGCTGTCTCCCGTGGCAAAGGCGCAGACCCCGGATGCGACTGGAAGCTCTGCTGGTGCGGGATGGGGAGGTGAAGGCAATCGACTGCAGGAATACGAGAGGCAGAATTGGCGGTGTAAACATTGTCTCATTTGGGGCAGCGCTGTCTGGGCTGTTCGGGATGGACCTATGGGCCCTAGAGTAAGTCCCCTCCTGTTTTCCTTTTGCTTCTGCCTTGGTCTTTCCACCTTGTGATTGCGACTCCTGAACCCCTTTGATTTGACGATGCTGACTGGTGATGTTTGAGCAGACACTCTGCAACAGTTGCGGGTTGGTCTACGAGCGAGACAAGAAGCTGCCTGTGTGGAATGAGGGATTGCACCGGCATACCTTACCACTCGGCAGGTAGTCGAGTTTGTTGTCTGTGCGGGTTGAAACGGAACGTCCTTACCCTTTTCTCGTCTTTCGTGAGCCTCGATTGAGTCCTCGCGGTGCTTGTGCATTATATTCTGGAGCTGTGCAGGAGTGGGTGGGATCTCTGGTCAGGAAAAGGAAGAGCTGGTCAGGCTACATGCATCGGGGCATTACGGTTCTTTTTTTAAATGATCGGACGGGGACTGCGAGGCGCGAATATATCAGCCAGTCTTTGGTTGCATATGCAATGTGCTGGAAAGGAATGTAGAACTACCCCAGATTTTCCAGAAGGATGCCTCTATTTGGGCGGCATATAGTGTCTTGTCTGATGGCCATTACATCAATCAAGAAGAATGAGACTTTTGTGGCCGAATGAGGTACTGAACAGCTTACCCAGTCACCCAGTGTAGTGTAGTGAGTGTCTTTGTATGCGATGACTGTCACAACAGCGCAGCCTCGTCCAATAAGATCGGATGGCGGATCAGAGATGCACGGAGCGCACGAGGCTGAACTGCGCATCTGGAATCCCGCAGCGAAATAGTTGCCAGATCACGAAACTTGTCAAGTTGCGCAAACACCATCCTCGACCCATTTACGAGTCTTCGACGAGTTCTCTACATTCTCCGTGCTTACATCTGTCACTTCCGTCCCGATATGCGGTAGTGTTTCCTCTTGTGCCGTCACACTTTTCTCCCTTATTTACCCACCTACATATTCCCCGAGTACCTGTCCCGACGAAGTTGACGTGGAAATGGTATGTTTCTTTTGGTACCCTTTTTCGTCCCTTGCCGCAGACTGCGCAATTGATTGAACACACAGCCTGGGGTACCCCGCTGGACATACACTCCCCCTCTGTCTAGCTGGTGGTTCTCCGAGTCTGACGTTGCGAGACATTGTCATGGCTAAATTGAACTAAACTAACTTGTGTGCGAAAAACAGGCGCAAGTCATTGCGAACTCGGGCCACGATGATATGATTGTACGTTGCGCTTCCCTTCCGTTGTCCAACCCCTTGAACGACGTTTCTACGACTCCAAGAGATGGGGTTCTGCGATTGAGGAAAGAGGTGGCTGGCTGACTTGGGGGGTTTACGGTGGTTGACAGCACGATGCGGTCCTCGATTACTATGGCCGACGACTCGCGACTTGTTCGAGTGACAAGACCATCAAGATCTTTGAGATTGAAGGCGACCAACACCGGTTAACGGAGACGCTGAAAGGGTGAGCTTCCACTCGATTCTGTGAAACACTGGCCCCGAGGTTTTGGTTGGCATACACTGACAAAGAGTTCGTTTCGATGGCGCATTACAGCCACGAAGGCGCGGTCTGGTGCGTGTCATGGGCGCATCCCAAGTTCGGCACTCTCCTGGCCTCGTCGTCGTACGATGGCCGCGTGCACATTTACCGCGAAACGCCCTCACAACAGTCCCAGCCGGGCCAACAGTCACAGTCGTCATGGACCCTGGTCTTCACGAGCACATTCCACACCGCCTCGGTCAACATGGTCTCCTGGGCACCACCGGACCTGGGCTGTCTGCTGGCGTGTGCCTCGTCGGACGGCAACGTATCGGTGCTCGAGTTCCGCGACAACCAGTGGGGCCACATCATCTTCCCGGCGCACCCCATGGGCGTGAACGCGGTGAGCTGGGCGCCGTCTGCTCCGCCGGGCGCCATCACGCGGAAAGACCCCGGCACCACCGCGGCGGGCAGTGGTGGCGGGCTGGTCAAGCGGTTCGTCACGGGCGGGAGCGACAACAACGTCAAGCTGTGGGAGTTGGACCCGCAGACCGGCACGTACGAGAACGTGCTGGTCCTGCCCAACGGCCACGGCGACTGGGTCCGCGACGTCGCCTGGTCGCCCACCCTGCTCAGCAAGTCGTACATCGCCAGCGCGAGCCAAGACAAGACGGTCAAGATCTGGACCTGCACAAACATGAACTCCGGGCCCGGCAACGTCGGGGACTGGACCCTGGCCAAGACGTTGGAATTCGACGCCGTCACCTGGCGCGTGAGCTGGAGTCTGAGCGGCAATGTGCTCGCCGTCTCGGGCGGTGACAACAAGGTCACCCTCTGGAAGGAGGATCTGAAAGGGAACTGGGAGATGGTCAGAGAGGTGACCGAGTAGATTTGCCGATGGGCATACCCTACAAAGGGATTCCAAGTATCTGCTACGGTCCGTGTATGCTGGCGGCGCAACACGCTACACACCCATCTGGGTTGGGAGAGGATAGCCTCAGCACGCGATAGAAAATCACGGGAAGAAAAAAAGAAAAAGAAAAACAAACGAACATCTTACAAAATGACGACTACGTTTCTTACCTCCTTGTGTCTTCTTTCCTCGCCCCTCTCCTGATTCTCTCCTTGGATGTTACTGTATATGTACATTCCTGATCCCACCTGGTCTTGTACACGACATCCATGACACCGAAAGGAAAATGGTATGTATGATATATATATATATAAGAAACTCCCAAGGCGAGAGACAAATCTATAAAGTATAAGTAAAGACTACCTGGTAACTTTCGCACGCCTCCTGAAGGGCACGGCCCATACTCTTTTACGTGGAGGGAATGTGATGTATGGCCATACATACATACATACATACATCGTCCTACTTCCTACTCCCTATATCCTACAACGACATGCATGAAGACCAAGGCATAGGATAGGTCGAGCGTGAAACTATGAAAAGGGACACGTAAGACGCAGAAAAATGAGAGGAGTCAATCAATTAGTTTTATAGATATATATCTCTCCTCTTACGGACGAAGCGCATACGCTTTCCACTCCTTGTCGACTCGTCTCTTGCCGTCGACATCGCCTTTCCACCCTTGAGCCTGGATGACGGGCTTGGTGGTGACGGACTCGAGCTCTCGGGCCCGTAGATTCGCGTCTTGAATTCTCGCGATACACGTCCCCCGCCCCAGGATCTCCAGTGTCTCGGCGATGCCGGGCCCTTGTCTGCCGCCCAGCAATGCCCAGCGGAGGTAGTGGTACAGTTCCCGTTTCCAGGTCCGCGCGTCGACGGACTCGTCGGGTCCGCTCGCTTCGAGGGAGCGGAGGTGCGAGAGGTGCGTGTCTCGGGTCCATGACTCTTCGGGGATCAAAGCCAGCGTTGATGCTGCGACGCGGAGTGGATGAAGGAGCCCGACGTCACTGACTTCCAAGTGGTTTTTCAGGGACACAGGCTCGAAGAACAAGGCGCACTGTTCGGCGAATTGAGATGGAGAGCGGTAATGTAGAGATTCGACCTTCAGTAACTGGACGAGCACATCTCTTAGCTGCCGTTTCTGCGAACCAGTGTCTAGAAACTGCATGATTCTCCCAGCGCCGTACTTGTCCAAAAGAGAGACGGCCACATCGCGAATCATTTGCTCAAATTCTTCCCCTCCAGCTAGCACTCGTCGGCGAGCATGTTGTTCCTGCAAAAAGTTCAATTTATCCAGCGAGACAATGGTGTTCCCCTTTGTGATTTTCAGATCAAAAAGGGATTCGAGCTGGGCGAGGTTCATGACATCCCGTTTCTGAGTGTGAGACCAGCCCAAGAGCGCTGCGAAATTGACGAGGGCTTCGGGAAATATTCCTTGGTCGCGAAACCGCGAGATGTCAGAGTTGAAGTTCCTCTTGCTGAGCTTCTGTTTGTTGGCGTCGACCAGCAGTGGGACGTGGGCATAAGCTGGAGGCGTCCAGTCGAGGGAGTTATATAGCGCGACATGCAATGGTGTCGAAGCCATCCATTCCGACCCCCGGACAACGTGGGTGATGTGCATTTCATGGTCATCACAAACATTTGCCCAGTGGTAAGTAGGGAAGCCATCGGATTTCATCAGGATCGCATCCTCGTATACCGGTTCGTCCACGAGCAATCTTTTGGTCTTTTCGGCCCCGTGGCCTTGAGATTTGCCGTAGACGAGGTCATTATAGCGAGGCCACTCGGGCGGGGACAGGAAACGGATAACATGCGCTTCACCGCGATGGGCTTTCTCTTCCGCCTGAGACGGGGAGAGGCTGTTCAGACATTTCCTGTCGTACCCCAAACTCAAACCCTTTTCGTGGCGGCGGCGATTGAGATCATCGAGACGGTCCGACGTGCAGAAGCAGCGGTACGCCTGTCCCGTCTGCAACAGGCCCTTGATGTGTGTCTTGTACAGCTCAAGTCGTTCAGACTGTCGATATGGGCCGTAAGGTCCTCCTACTTCAGGGCCCTCGTCCCATTGCAGCCCAGCCCACCTCAGATCTCTGTACAACTGGTCCTCCGCACCGGGTATCGTCCTCTTTGCATCGGTGTCCTCGATTCGAAGAAGGAACCGACCGTTCGTCGCTCGAGCAAGGAGGTAATTGAACAACGCAGTACGGATGGACCCTAAGTGAAGGTTTCCCGTGGGAGAGGGAGCGAACCGAGTTCGAGCTGGTGTCGAGGGCAGCTTTCCTCGTTTTGGGGTGGAATGCGTCGTGCTGCTGCTCCTGGTTGGCGCAGTCGAGGCTTTGCGACTCGGGACAAGCGAATGCCCCTTTGCCGCGGTCTGACGGGCACGACATGAATTGCACACCCATCCAGTGACGCGGATGGCAGGCCTCGCCCTCATGGACAACGGGAGAAGACGTTGCAGTTGATAGAGAAAGAATGCAAGGTGTGGTAATCAATGCAAAATTCCTCGACTCGAAATCACCAGAAGATTCACGGGCCAACCAGTAGGAAAAGAGGGAAGCAATCCAAATTCTTCGAATGCTTCTATTCCTCCGCTGTCCGGGTTAATCGTCAGGTATCCATACACATGCAGCCCTATACTTGGTAGTGAATAATTAATTGCTTGCGCGCCACCACTGGATCTGTTGAAGGTTAGGCCCCGACTTTTCGTGCTAGCTCGTGCTGGGTGAACAAAAACTGCGAAGTCAATCTCCACTCATCTTTCTCACAGAACCTGTCGATTAGTTGTCATCTGCTGGATGCCTCGAAGCGTTTATTATTTTCCACTTTCCATCAACACCGACATTCTCTGCTTCCTGCACATATCTCTCGAGACACACATCTCCCAACAGATTTGAAAACAAAACAATGGACGGCGATACCCCCAACACTGGCGCCGAGATTGATCTCTACGAGATCCTCGGCGTCCCCAAAGATGCCTCTCAAGCCGATATCCGCAAAGCATACAGAAAAGCGGCGCTGGCCAGCCACCCCGACAAAGTGCCGCCCGAGGAGCGGGAAGAGGCAGAGGCCCGTTTCAAAGCCGCCTCCCAGGCTTACGAGATCCTTTACGACGACGAGAAGAGACATCTCTACGATGCCCACGGCATGGCTGCCTTCGATGGGTCCCGCGGCCCCGGGGGCATGGGTGGGGAGGTGAACATGGAAGACATCCTCAACCTGTTCGGCATGGGTGGTGGGATCCCGGGGATGGGCATGCCGGGGATGGGCGGTCGCAAAATGCGACGAAGTCCCGATGAAAATCAGAAATACGAAGTCACCCTGGAAGATTTGTACAAAGGCAAGACTGTCAAGTTCTCTTCCACCAAGAACGTCATCTGTTCGAAATGCAAGGGTACCGGTGGTGCAGAGAAGGCACAAGCCAAAGAGTGCTCCGCTTGCAAGGGGCAGGGTGTCAAACAGGTTCTGAGCCAGGTGGGGCCGGGCATGTTGACCCAGCGCATGGTCGAGTGCGGTGCCTGCGAGGGTACAGGCCAGGTTTTCAATCCCAAGGACAAATGCAAGAAATGCAAGGGCAAGAGGGTCACGGAAGAGAAGAAGCAACTCGAACTCTACATCCCCCGTGGTGCTCGGGAAGGGGATCAAATCAAACTCGAAGGCGAGGCGGATCAGGTCCCTGGGGCCGAGCAGACGGGAGACATCATTTTCCACCTCGTTGAGCAGCCTCATGAGGTGTTCCAGCGCACGGGCAACGACCTCAGCGCAAAGCTCGACATCACTCTCGCCGAGGCGCTGACGGGCTTCCACCGCGTCGTCCTCAAGCACCTCGACGGGCGGGGCATTGAACTGAGGCACCCACAAGAACCAGGCCAGATCCTCCGCCCGGGCGAAGTGCTCAAGATCCACGGTGAGGGCATGCCGCTCAAGAAGTCTGACGCAAAGGGAGATCTCTATCTCGTCGTCGAGATCGCCTTCCCTGAAGATGGCTTCTTCTTGGACAAGCCCGAGGCGTTGGAGCAACTGCAGAAACTCCTCCCTGGGCCGGAGCCACCGATCGAAGCCGAGGAAACCGATGAGGTGAGTTTCGAGGTGGCAGACATTGACGAAATCGGAGGTCAGGAGGCCCAAGGAGCGTGGGAGGACGAAGATGGTCCGCAGGGTGCGCAGTGCCAGACTCAGTAAGCAAAAGATTGGGTTTCCGGGATGTCAATGGGCTGGTTGGACGGACGCGACACGACGTTATGACTCAAAAGACATCCAGAAACAAGGGATGGTGGAAAGCAAAGCATTAGACGGCGTTTTTGATGCAGGGTTCTTGGGGAAAGCATTGTACCGGCGTTGCTTTAGAGATGACGAGTTGGGCTCGCTCCTGAGACGAAGGAAGATCCATACTCTCCTATGTTGTAGAGAGGTTTCTTCATGTCCGTGCTCCCAGGCTCCGACTTGATCTGATTCGGGTTACCACGTTGTTCGATGGCGGTTGATGCTGGGAGGCCGGGTCTTCCTGGCTCGAAGGTATTGGATCTATCCAAGCTGAAATATATATCTCCTCTAGGTGACCAAGTCTTAGAACATGAACGTTGCTCCACTTTCTCCAAGCATAGAGACCTTCCTTTCTAGCCGCTACTCTTTTCCGCATCCTAATCCGCTCCGTTCTCGACCGGCTCTGGCTCGGGCGCTCCTGATGCTCTCAAGCGCCCGCCAAACTTCTTCTTCGTCCTTTCCGGAGTAACTCTGTAACATGTGGGAAACCAACTCTTGAGCTCCTCGCTATCTGTCCCTTCGATCATGCTTGCAGCGGCTTTTGCGCACAAAAAACACAAGACCATTCCATGCCCCTGGAATGAGGCAGCCAAATATAGTCCTTGCTCACCGGGTACAGGTCCTACAAAAGGATACCCATCGCACGAGAAGCCCATGACGCCAGACCAGATTCGTCGACATCGACCTTCCGGGTTGTCTTTGCCCCAATTCTTCGCGCCAAAGTATCGCTCTGTACATTCCAAGAGATAGTCTGCGCTGTTCTTGTCATAGGTGGTATCATCAGTATTCCCGTATTCGGATGTTCCCTCGTCTTGTGCAACGTGCATACCACCTCCGATCACAATGTCACCCTCAAACTTGGAGCCGGCAGGGCGAGAGATCATATATTCAAAGCCTTCGTCGTAGACAAAGGAGTAGGTCGTTTCGAGTCCCTTTTGGGGCATGCCTTGTCCAGGCCGTTGAGCTGTCACTACTCCTCGCAGAGGGACGATCACACCTTGGAGTTGCGGATAGAGGTGTGCAGTATAGCCATTTGTAGCTAGGACGAGTGTTTTGGCTTTGATATTGCCACGTGGTGTCGAGATGGTCCACTTCCCATCTGCAGCACATTTGGACAAGCTTTTTGCAGGAGTGTTGCATTGGAGGTTAAGTCCCTTTTGCAGAGCGAGCTTTAGTACGCCGATAGTGAACTTGTACGCACTCAGACTCCCTGATTCATACTCAAGCCCTCCAACACTGTTCGGTGCCAGAAATTTCTCTGCCGTCTCCTGGCTGTTGTGGAAAATGTGCTTCGGAGCATTTTCCTTGCCCATCAACTTCTCCATTAGCACGACCGATTCTCGAGCCTTTTCAAATTGCTTCTCGTCGTAAAAGACGTCAATGGTTTGACATCTCACAGAATCGCAGTCGATGTTGTTCTCGCGGGCGAATTTGTGAACCGAGACCATGCAGTTGTATTCTAGGTTGGTGATCTTCATGGCATCTTCTGCCCCCACGGATTGAACGTTGTCGAGGAAGGATCGATAGGTAGCTGTCTTAGTGTGACCTCCTTCAAACGGGTCATGTTAGGGAGTGCTCGTGAACCATAGAAGAGAGAGGTCGTCTTATCAGCTGGTAAGAAGGACAAACGTCAAGGAGCACAAGTCAGTTTCTGATGACTCCAGACCTACCATTTCTACCACTGGCGCCACTGGCAGCCTGACGTGCCTCCAGAAGTACAACCTTGAGGGCTGGATTCGATGAAAGCAGATTGTAAGAAATAGAGGCGCCGCTGACCCCTGAGCCAATGATGGCTATATCGACCTCATCGGGGAGTTCGGCGGTCGTGCGACAATCTGCTATCTCATCGGGTGGATCTTGCCAGTAGCTCTGGATAGGATGATCGCGGGGCAGACCTGGAGGTATACTGGCTCTTTGTTCCATTGGAAGAAGCCGGGAGGACAAGATCGAGATCTGAGAGGGCTGGAGGAGAGTCGAGGAAGCTGACAGAGAGTCAGACAGAGGACACTGTCTGGCACTATATGGGGAGTACCGAGCAGTGGACCTCGCAGTGACCGGGAGCACTAATGGTGGGACCGATCAGCCTGTGAGGTTACATAAAGGAGAGGCAATAGAGATATTTCGGCTGATTGTACGAGCGCAGGCAGTTCACTCACGTGACTCAACCTGCGGCAACCCCAACCGTGTGCCGGACTAACGCCGCTTGCGGCTGCTAAGCCAGTAGTGAGAGGGCGCCTAGCAAACCTGGCTCGCGGGTGGAGGTGGCTGCCGGGTGGCTGCTGGGCGGTCCTGGCACCTGGGTGGTGCTGGCAGCCCGGCGCCTGGGCTCCAGTCTTTCGCTCGCCTCGCCTTCTCGTCTTTGCCCCGTCACCTGTCGACCTCCGACTTTCGTTTCTGTCTTTGTTCTTCCCAAATCCCTTCCGACCAACAACTCTCCGCTCCCCTTCTCACTCACCACCTCGTTCCCACCGACGTCTTGAGTGTTGCGCCCGTCCGATACCTCGCTCCTGCTTGTCTCTACCGCAAGCCGTGTCCGCCATCATCGTCATCCCCTCCCGAAGTCGCCCATTGATACAAATCCGATCAAAGTGACGCCCCGCTCCACCACTGCCCAAGTGACAGCTCTGCTGGATCACAGCGCTCTCTTCGCGACTCCTCCGCTATCGACGGTGGCGCGCAAACCACCGCGGAAGGACTTGATTTGCGCGATTTCATGTCCTCTACAAGCCGGCCAACTGCCATCCCGCCATCCCCAACTTCTCCCTCTGAATCGGGCCTCAAGCGACGGCGCCTGTCTGACAATCTTCCGCACTCCCCCATTTCCCCTTCTTTTATGTCAGTCGCTACAAAGAGCTATGTCTCCTCTTACGGAAATACACATAATTCCGACGAGACTTCGGGGCGCTCGTCTCCGAACTCACCAAAGGCTTCAGCACCGCGTAATCAACAACCGTTGTCCCGTACCACGCCGTCCTTGCCAACCCCTGCGCACAGTGTGACGGGCACTTCCTCTGGATTTGACATGGTTGATGATATCGATTCACATCGGGACAAGCGTCAAAGACTTGATTCGGATAGAGATCAGGAGGCGGATCAAATGGAAGTAGAACCCCTTGGAGAGGCAACAAATCATGATCGGAACGATGAGATGGAAATAGACGGCGAAATTGCTGGCAAGGAGAACAGCGCTGAACTGGGAGCTACTGAGAAGGCTGCAGAGCTAACAGTGGACGAGAAGACCCTGGACCAACTACAGAAAGATATGGGTGAAGCCTTTCTTCTCTGCAGATCCAGTAAGACTCTCCACTTCTCCACCACTCATAATCTATCCTTGCAGGTTTGTTAACAGACATTCTCACAGAAGTTGAGCGCCAGAAACCGAACCCGCAGCAGCATTTGTTGGCATTATATGGTCTGGGCCCATTATTGCACAGTGTCGCTCGTACCGATCCGAGGACTGGTGAGAAAATAAACAAGCTGCGGAAATCGTACGAGGGTCAAATCAAGGGATTCGCTCTGACGGGGCGGAACAAACCTGTCAAGGGCGAACGCAACGTGGAAGAAGACCAACCCGGACCGTTACGGCGCATGGCTGGATCGTCTGCTTGGGGCCTTCAACCAGATGAGCAGTGGAATGCAGAACACGCAAAGTCCAAGATTGAAGTTACGGCAGACTTCCGAAACAAGTTGAAACAAGCCATGCAAATGCAGCCAGGCACAGTTCGCAATAACGCTCACTGGGAGGATATGCTCGGATTCGATAAGCCGAAACCGAACGTGGCTCCGATGCAACAACCAACCCCTCGGCCTGTCGCAAACGGGGTGGTACGACAGTCTCAACAACCATCTGCAGAAGCCAAACGACAGACTCGCGGGAAAAAGCGGAGTTATGGTGATGATAGTTTTGTCGGCTACGGAGAAGGTTATTCGGATCCTGAAGATGGCGATGGCGACGAATATGGCAGCCAAAGAAAACGGAAAAAGGTGATAGCCACGGACTACTGATGGATTGATCTGTGACTTACACAGCCTCAGGTTTCGTCTGGGACACCTCTTCCCTATGGACCAGATCGCTAGACGCCTTCGGTAGTCCCGTTCGGCGGCCATGCATATTCACGACATCACCTTTGAATGCATATTCTTTGCCATATTTTGCATGCACGGGATGTTTTCAAGATACCCTAATGAGGACAGATAGAGAGAACAGAAAAAGGGACACGGGCGATGGGCGGTCAAAACTCGTGGAGGCGTTTCAGAGGGGGGAGGGTCGGTCTTTGTCTTTCGCATGCTATTCCAAGCATTGAACATGGGGCTGCAGGGAGGATGGAGGCAGGATATTCGTGCTTTACCCTGATCCGGGATGGCGAGTGAGGCTTTCTACTATCACTTCTGCTCGATCAGCGTCGACAGGGCTCAAACCACAATGGGGGGAAATAGCGGCGGCCTCCGGATGACCTTGCAGGTCTGTTCACGCCTTGTGGCATCGTCCTGAGGCGCGTTATGTACGAGCGATCATGACACTAAATGAACAACACATTCACCGAAAACCTGCCTATATATCTTTCACCTGTCTCATGATGCCGTCTTTGATTGTTCCCGAAGAGACGACGTATTCATATTTCGCGGATGCAGTCGTGTTTTCTTCAAGTGCAGCCAAACCCTTTCGTCGACCTCGCCAATTGACTTGATACGAGCTCGATCTGCTTTGTAGGGCAAACCCTTCCACCCCAAGAAACACAGCCCAAAGACAAGATGGCTTCGTCCTATCTACCTATGCCCGAGCCTACCGTGCCCAAAAGACCACTATCGTCCTACAAACTCATCTCGTACGACATCTACGGCACGCTCATCGATTGGGAGACAGCCATTGTAAAACTGCTTCAGCCGCTAGTCTCGCGCATCCCCTCATCCTCCCCCCTCAGCCAGGAATACCATGACAGCACGAGCCCGGGCACCGAAGGACGGATCCGACTCGCGGCGAAGTACAACGACATCGAACATGAGTTGGAGGAAAAGAACCCATCTCAGCAATATGACGAGCTCCTGCATGACATCTACCTGCGCATCGCGGCCGACTTTGGCCTCGAAGTCACCGAGTCGACCGAGGAGGAAGCAAAGCGGTTCGGCGAGAGCATCGGCACCTGGCCACCGTTCCCGGACACGGTCGACGCGTGCCAGCGGCTGGTGAAGCACGGGTTCAAGCTGGTGCCGCTGTCCAACGTCGACCGGGCCAGTTTCGCGCGCACCTGCTCGGGACCGCTGAGGGACGTCGACTTCTTCCGCGTCTACACGGCCCAGGACATCGGCTCGTACAAGCCCGACCTCCGCAACTTTGAGTACCTCATCGAGCACGCCAAGGAGGACGCCGGCGTGGAGAAGCACGAGATCCTGCACGTCGCGCAGAGCATCTTCCACGATCACATCCCGGCCAAGAAGATGGGGTTGGCCAGCGCGTGGATCAACCGAAAGGGGGCGGGGATGGGTGGCAACGAGGCGATCAGAGGTATCCATGAACGGGGGGAGGTCGGGTATGGATGGAGGTTTGGGACATTGGGGGAGTTGGCAGATGAGGTTGAGAGGGAGAAAGGCCAGGAAGAGAAGTAGTGTATCGCAGCGGAGGACCTTGATAAGTATGTTCTTCGTCTTTAATGCCATTGCCAGTGCTCTGTCTCGAAAAGTCGCCCTTCCTAAGCCGTCCATTTTACATTCCCATCTGTCAGGCCTTCTCGTTAAAGTCGACGCTACACAACAGCCTTGCCTTATACTCGGTTTACTCTTTCTTCCTCCGAGATGTTTATGGATCACTGCTCTCGGTGACGGGAGCCCTGCCCAGTTGGATCTGTTTGTTTCGGTCAGTATTACGGCGTGGACCTGAAACGGTTGTCGAGCTGCTTACCTGCAAGATCTTCTGGTCCCAGCCCTTGGGGAAACTTTGAATCTTTTCCACATGGCGTGTCTGTTCGTTGCTTCAATCCCATCAGGGTATTCTCACCTCTTCCTCTGGGGGTTGATCTGTGGCCATGAGTGCTTTGAAGACATTGTTGCGATCCGCATACTCCAGCCAGTGGAGATTCGCAAAGACGATCTGCTTAACGCCTTCCTGGACTTCCTTTCTGTGACGATTCGAGCGTACATTTCAAGTGCTGCAACGGGGTTCTGCTCGCTTGATATCTTATGAGGATTCAATGAGGTCATGCGGGCGAGGAGTGTGTTGGTCAGTGGCCGGCGCATGCGACTGGCTTCAAGAACTTTTTCGATCACTCTGAGACGCTGTCAGCTGCTGTGGCGTTGGAGGCATTATAACTTGCTCAGTTAATCCACCGATCTCGAGCGAGGAGATACGCCTCAATAGATGTATGTGGTCGTGTGGTGTGGAACGGGGTTCTGAGTGGGTGCTGCCGAACATCAGCCGCGCCAGACTTCATCATCTTCGTGGTTTGTGTTGCCTTCCTCTTCCTTCCTACCCACAATCCTCCATTGCTCGGCAGAGGAGAAACGCTAAACTATGGCACGCAGATCCATTTCCTCGAGTCACATCACATTTTCCGACGGGTATGGACGAGATTGGCGACCTTACAACCAGAGAGTAGGCTCTCGCTCCGGGGTCAAGGTCATTATACCGATTGAGGAAATGCTGCAAAACGCCACACCGCAGCCCCTGCTTGGCTCCAGGACACCGTCCATTTCATTCAATCTTCTTCTTCCGCCGCTGCTTAGGAGTCTTTTCCTCCTGAACCATGTCTCTGAGGTGTTCACATACATACTCAACAGATGGTCATGGCAAATGCTCACCGCAGTACTCGATCCAATCATTTCATTCAACATGATCCAAATGCTTCCCGTTACAGTCAACGGCTCTCGAAGGAGCAATGGGAAGAGATCAAGCCCAGGGTGGTGGCACTCTGCAGTCAAGATGTCGGTATTTCTGGCATCCTACGAGAGTTGCAGTCCAGTAATATCTCTGTGACACGAAACCAACTTGACGGGAAAATGAAGAAATGGGGGCTTAAGGGGAGCACTCAAGGGCCTTCAACGCAGGCCATGCTTGCTGTCCCATATGCCGCAATGTCGGAGCAAGCAGCCATTTCGGGAGAAAATGCGAGAAATCCATCAGAGCTACTCTCGCAGAGTGCTAATTCGACATTGTCGGCTATGGACCCCGCTGGTTCAAGTTACGGCTCGGCTCTCGAATCCAAACCGCCTCAACTCGCGGAAGCCTCCCCATTCGAACCTACCGGACTGAGTCGAATCTCGAAGTCGCAATGCGTAGCGGACGCATCCGACACCGATATCATCATGACCGAATATTCCGTCGTTCCACCTACCAGGGTGCCGTCAGAAAGGTCGGCCGGTGCTGCTGCATCTGATCTCCAACCTCAAGCCAGCGAGATGATGGAAACAGAAGACAATAACATGACGCAGAGTTTCACTCGCAAACAAGATTCTCCCAAGCACAGCCTGGGTCAAAACCTGCACCGTCTACCTCAAGTGCTCCTGGACGAACATCATCCGAGACTCGAAATTAATTCGTTATGTTTCGATGATGAGGGCATAATACCCCGGATATTCTGCTCTTTTGTTACCAAATATGGCGCTTCTGTTAATGTTCTCAGACGCTTCGGATACATGGCAACGCTGCTTTTCACATTGAACTTCCAAAGCGAGGCGTTCCAGATGTCACTTCGTATTGTCGATCAGATCAATCGTCAAGTGTCGGTTCAGGGACTTTCGCGTCAGCTTCTGCCATTATATGTCATATCGTGTGCTCAATTTGCTGGCTCAGTGGGCGAAAGATTGGAAGCAATGTCGCTTGTTCGACAGACATATAATTGGCTGTCAAGGTGCCATCTGTCTGGACAACACACCGGCCAACAGACTACTTCATGTCTGGAGGCCCTCCTCCAAGTGGAGGAAGATAACCCAGTGCAGCGAGACAAGGTGACGGCCTACTGGTTCTGGGACGCTGCACTCTCCGATTTCCAGGAAGACGAAGAGCACTTTATTTGGTCAGACATGTTGGAATGCAACAGCATTGACAGCGCCTTTCATTTTCTCCACGAGGACAGGGATATCTTGAATTTAATGAAGGATGCAATCACCAAGATAAAGAAGAGTCTACAAGCCTATAAGGAAGAAATCGATGGGGTATGGTGTCGCCACCTACGAGCCTTCGAAGACGATCTCTACATAGGTCGAGAATTGGCACGCTTAGTTTTGAAGCCTCGTGTGTTACAAGATGCCGGACATCTCGATGATCTGGTCTCTACTGAGAGCGCAGAAGATCTTGATAACTCAATAATTATCTCCCGACTCCTGGAACCAATCTTGTCAGTGATGTGTGTTATAATCGGCAAGCAGGGGCGAAGAGAATGGATCGGTGGCGGACGTTGGAGCGCCTCAACCAGCAACTTCAAACTCTCAGCTATGCTCATGGATGCGGCTCTGTCAATCCAGCGAGCAGTATGCCGTGGCCCGAAGGTTGAAGGTGATGTCGTTGATGGTTTGATAACGGCCGACAGCTATGAAGACTTCATCGGCGCATGTCTTCGCGAATTGAATGCCAGGAAGATGAGGAAATTCCCGTCAGAGGCAATGGACGACAAAGACCTGATTGAAATGACGGCTCTCCTGGCGAAAGTATCGAATCACTCAGACCTTGAATCATTGGACAAAACATTCTTGCCGTTGACACTCTGCGTTGTGCCGCCCAACTCACTCTTCCCATCCAAATTGATCCGTCCCGCCACTCTCTCAAATCCCCTTCACGTTGAAGCTATAAGGGCCTACAGCGCAGAGACTTGGGCCGGCCCATCTCTCGCCAGATCTTGTACGTCGTCGATAAGTTCGGGTTACAAGTCGTTCAAGGCAACAGCTGCTGCGCATGGAATGGTTGGATCTATGCAACCCCCAACGATTCCTCCAGTTCCAATGGTGAATTGGTCGGAGCTTATGAGCTTGAAGTTCCATGCTGGGACAGGATTCCCTTCGATTCATATGACGAGTATTCCTTCCGTCATCTCAACCCGCGACTTTGAGTGTCACTCCGTCGACGAAGACATAGTCTTGTGAAAGGTGGGATCATGGTGGGGAACGACTACCGACCAATGTTTTCCTCGTGGGCTTGCTATGGGACGATCGGAGGATGTGGTTCTTGAATACTTGGGGTTTGGAAGGAAGGATTCAAAGGCGTCGGGGGTATTAAAATGATACAGTCATGACTGACAAGCTGGCAATGCTGATGGCCGTCGTCACGGAGGGGTCTCCCCTTGACGTGTCCATACTGATCTACCCTGTCTTTTATGCCGAGATGATCAATCACAGATACATTACACAACATCTAATAGTAAGATCCCTGAAAATCTATGACACATTGAGTTTGTATTCGACCCCCCTCTATGACCCCTCGGTAGGTATGGGGACGTTGAACCCGTTGAGGTTGACCGACACCAAAGCGTACAGCGACACGAGGAAGATCAGCTCGGACAACATCTTCTGGCCGAGGACACGGACGCCCTGGGCGTAGAGGTCGTCGGACAGCGGACCTCCCGACACCAGGGATTTGGAGATGTCGTGCACGAGCGTTTCGTCGGGCGAGAGACCGCCCTCGGGAACCTCGCCGCGCGCCAGGGCGGCGACCTGGTCCGGGGCGAAGTAGTGGCGCGACAGGCCCGAGTGGGCGTAGACCTCGTAGGCGGCGCGGTAGTGCGAGCCGACGGTCAGGATGGCGACCTGGCGCAGCGTCTCCGGCAGCGTCGCGGCCCGGAACATGACCTTGCTGAGGTGCCACATGGCGGCGCCGACGACGGGCTCGTGGATCCACGCGTTCCACGGGCCCAGCAGCGCGCCGGAGCCGTCCCGCGTGATGAACGACTGCTGCCCGTCGAGCGTCTTGACGATGTTGTCCACCACGTCGTCGTACAGGGCCCGCTGCGCCGGGTCCAGCTGCTCCGGGGGTACGGGCTGGAGGCGCATTCGGGAGGTCATTTTTGTCCTGCTCTCTCTCTCCCGGTATCTCTATCTGACTCGAGAAGGGGAGCGAAGTGTGTATGATGCTCGTGAGTGCGTGAGTGAGTGAGTGGTAGTTTCTTGACCGGATGGAAGGTGTCTTGGGGGG